CCATCCCTCCCCTGTCCCCTATCTCTCCTGTATGTTTTATAGTCTGGTAGTGACACAGCAGCCTCAGGTGAGGAGCTGGTGAGCCACGTTTCAGATAAATCCATGAAATCGATATTGGAAATACCTAATAAGTGCTCAATCTGTTCACGTTTTGGTACCAAGCTGCGAACATTTAAATGACCCACAAACAAGCCCCCCTTTTTATGCACTGGGTCCCAGATAGTCCTAGCCTGATGAAGTGTCCTGAATCATTTAAATTGTTTATGTTTCTTGAATACTGGGTTGCGAGTCTTACATGTGCTCGTGTGTGGAGACTGTCCTCTTGGTCGGGGTGTTGTGGTGGTGACCTCATGCTGTGTTGCAGTTTCCTGGCTCGATCCCACTGGGTGACCCGCTGTCGAACTGACCTTGGCTGGGTGTAGCATCTCCTCCTGATGTTGTAGCACATGTTGTGGACATGGCCCTTGTTGCTGTGACAGGTCAAAGTCAGAAGAAGATAGAAAGTTACAAAGGCAATAGAGAGACATGTTGATGGCAAAAACTGAGGTCTTTTTTTGTATTTACATGACTTTTGGAGCAAACCCACAGGACCTTCCCAATTGTGTGTCTGCTCCTCGGCGGCCATCTTGTCAAAGATCATTTGGCGGCCAAATGATCTATTCTTTCATAAAGTAATGACTTCATTCTTTCATTAAGTAACAACTTTATTCTTCCAGAAAGTAACTACTTAATTCTTTTAAAAAACGATGACCTTTTTTTTCGTAAAGTAAGAACTTTATTCTTTTGTAAAATAATGACTTTATTCTTTTGGACAGTAACTACTTTATTCTTCCATAGAAAGATGAATTTTTTCTTTTGTAAAGTAACGACCTTATTCTTTTGTAAAACAACAACTCTATTCTTTTGTAAAGTAATGACTTTATTCTTTCGTAGAGTAACAACTTTGTTATTTTATAAAATAACTTTTTCCTCTGATTCAGTAACAACTTTTCTTTCGTGAAGTTAAGAATTCATTTTTTGTTAAGTAATGACTCCGTTTTTACATCAAGTAACGACTTTATTCTTTTTTGTAAAATCATGATTTTATTCTTTCGTAAAGAAATGATTTTTTTTTTTGGGGGAAAGTAAGAATTTAATTCTTTTGTAATGTCATGACTGTTATGTCATTAAGTTATGACTGAATTCTTTCATAAAGTAACAACATTATTCTTTTATAAAATAACTTTTTTTGTAAATCAATGACTTTATCTCTTTGTAAAGACTTAATTCGCTCAGAAAGTAAGAACTTTATTCTTTTGTTAAGTAACAACTCTATTCTTTTGTACAGAAATGACTTTATTTTTTTGTAAAAAATGACTATTCTTTAGTAAAGTTAAAGACTTAATTTTTTCGTAAAGTTACAAATTTGTTCCCCTTGAAAAATAAAAACTTTTGACTCTGTCCTAAAAACATGAGATTCTGGTCACAAACATCTAGTTTTGGGAGATTATGACATTTTTCTTTTAAAGAAACAACCTTCATAAATGTATTTTTTCCTTTAATTGGCCCCTTACTCCCTGTCTTATAATAAAATCTTGAGTGAAAATGATTTTGAGTGTGATTATGAGCATGATTTCAGAAGTTTTTCAAAAATTTATACTAAAATAGTAACAGAAAAACAAACAGGAGAGGATTAATGTGACAATGGACCGTTTACCTTCTTATATCTGAGATCTGAAGGAGAGAAAATCACTGTGTGTGTGTGTGTGTCTGTATGTGTGTGCATTTGTGTGCACGTGTGTATCTGAGAAGCGCTTTGCCCTGTGTCATTACACCCTGTTGTCTAAACACATGTCACACGTGCCTCTGTGTGTGTGTGTGTGTGTGTGTGTGTGTGTGTGTGTGTGTGTGTGTGTATTTGTCTGCAGCAGATGGTTGGGCTCTTAGGGGAAATTTGAGGTAAACCTCTCCATTTAGAGCAGAGACAGATTAAATGTTTTTGATAATATTTCATGGAGAAAGAGTGAGGGGGCTTACCTGTCTGTCCGCTCACCTGTCTGCCTGCTCACCTGTCTCTCTCCCTCTTGCTCTCTGAGTCCTGGTTCTCTTCAGTCCGACTCTGTGGGCTCTGGGGCCTGTTCTATGAAGCAGGATTACAGCTTAGCGAGGTAACTTTGAGGGTAAGTTCGGGGTTTCCTGTTCTACGACGCAGGTTCACTGTTTAGCGAGGCGAGTCTCCATGGCAACATACGCTGAACGGCTAACCTGCTCCGGGGCAGGTTAGGTTCCAGATTAAACTCACCGAGTATAAAAACCCCGCCCACTGACCAATGAGCTCTTTCGAAAAACGGCTTGTCCGTCCTTGGAGGATCCTATAGACCTTGGTGCTCGCATTGTCCGAGGAGGAGCACTCCGGCTCGCGAGAGTTTTCAGGGACCGCACGGACCCACTTACTTCTCCGGATGACCACCTTTATGAAAGGCTCATATTACGCGCTCATAGCAAAGCTGGATCAACTTACGAGGTTGTTAAACAGCGTCGTAAGACTGTTTAGCGAGACCACTGGCTACAGTGCTAAGTTGAGCGAGGTAGCTCCAAGGCTACCTCGCTAAGTTGAACTTGTTTCGTAGAACAGGCCCCTGGTCTGGAGTTTTCTCTGGCTGCTGATTATTTCAGTCAGCTGACGCAGTTCAGGGATAGTGCGCCCCCTTGTGTCTATAACAACCATGAACAGATGAAAAGCTGTGATTGGACCAAAGGTTGATTTCTGAGAGAGACAATGTTAAACAAAGCTCGTGTTTCTAACATGTAACAGAGTGTGAGGGCCAAATAAGAGAGAAGATCTTACCGAGTCCAATCATGGAGGTTGGAGAATAAAGTCGTACTTTGGTTATGTTACAGGATTAAGTAGTCTTAAAGTCATACCATTAGCTGAAGTCTCTGTGAGTGAATAAACCCACAACTTCTACAGCGTTGCTAAATTCTGCAGGATGTCCCTATAACCCAGGATTTCCACCACGTCCGAAACGGCGGAGATTTTCGCTGTCCGCCAATTACTACCGGATCCGTTTGTGAGGTGAATTTCATGGCGGATTACGGACAGCAGGAATTGGAGAACTTACAAGAACTTACGGATTCACGTTCAATCGCCCAATAGCGAGTTGTCTCTATAAAGACAGACACATAGACATATAAGCAGTAGATTGTGTCCTTCCAGAGGAGGAAATCTACTTCTAGACTTCTAGAATCAGCATCTCCTCATCCATGGTGTCATCGTGGTGAAATGACGTCTAAAAACCTTTCACTTGTTTTTCTCCGCCTGTTTGCATGGTGTGAAATACGATCCTCCTGAAACACAATGTTTTATTTTGAAAAGAAGCCGGATGTTTATTTTGTGTCTGTGCCCAACTTCCTTTCCTACACGGGTTTATCTATGCTGAATTTATCTGGCATGCTCCGGCGTCCGGAAAAAAATAGAACTCTTGCGATCAGCTGTGGAGTCCGGTGATCTGCAGAGGAACGGAAAGAAGTTGGTGTAAATTGATTTATTAACTTGAATGGTTACGGCTACAATCTGCAGATACGGCCTTTTCGTAGCCGTTCAGGATGTGGTGGAAATTGGGGGTAAGAGCGACAGTGACTCTGGAACCTTCTGCCAGCCAAGATGACGATGAGCCAGTTATGTATTCACAACACTGTCGATTTAAACACTCTAGAACCTTGGGGTTCAGGAATTGTGGCGTGTCTGTTTGTGTTTTCGGAGGTAGCAGGTCCATGGAGCCCAGTTTCATAGAAAAACAGTGGATTATTTTGAAAATGATCGAGTCTATAGTTGGAGAAGCTAAGCTAGCAAACATCGGCAAGAGGGCAGCTAGCATGACTGTTTTAATGTTAACCACGTACAGGCCCAGGAGGAGCTTTGCCAAATCTGGGTCATGAACTCTGTGGTCTTGACTTTTGTTTCTGCTCAGAATGATCTTCTGGCATCTTTCGCTGTCTCCTGAAAACTTCTTAAGGTGGGGTCGGCAGGGATCCATTAATGAAGCATCATTTTTTGTTGTGTATTTACAAAAAATCTTTTAACATCAGTCAATAGTTATTAGTTATTGATGATATTTGGGAATATAACTATATCTCTGCGTTCTTTTTTGTCTGTGTCGTCAACATTTGAACATTTTTGAGCGGCCCCCCTTTTTCTGACTGTAAACAAAGCCGTTCTCCACCTCCCTGACCTGATTGGTTGTGAGGCAGATGCTGCTTCCTGGTGCCGTTCACAAGCCCAAACAAAGTTAGCGTGCTACAATATCGGACAGTAGAAACCTCTCAACTCAACTTTATTTGTAAAGCACTTTAAAACAACCACAGCTGAACAAAGTGCTGTACATAAATAGACAAACAATGCAGACATAAAAACAATCAAAAACAATTAAAAAAATGGATAAAATAAAAGCAAATATTAAAAAGTAAAATATAGTTTCAATGTTTTTAAGAACTCATTTAAAAACAATAGAAACAAATAACTAAAATCAAACCGTAAAACACTAAAACAGGAGCCGAGTCTCATGCAGGGTTGAACACCAATGAATACAAATGGGTTTTAAGACGAGTTTTAAAAATGGACAGTGTGGGGGCTTGTCTGATTTGGAGGGGTAGCTCAGCCAGAAAGTTCGGAAAATGTCTGAATCCTCCGGATTAAATACCGGAGACTCTGGAGGAATAACGGGCGCTTAAAACGGAGGTAGACCGGACAAGAGCTGAAAAGCCGGGTCAACATAAACGATGGGGGACGCTTGGGGATCTTGGTGACCCTGTAACCTTTCTGCTGGACAGGTAAACCGCTTTAACAAAGTAAGACAAGTGTCTGTAACAGAAGTGTTTCTTGTCAAACGGGACCTGCTGTAGCGTGTTGTAACGCCACTAAACTGTCCTCCCTCGGGTCCTGGACTATGTCACTTTATCCTAGTTGTAGAAGTCCTGCAAACATTGGCCCTCATTTATCAAGCTTGCGTACGGCAGAAAACTTGCTTACACCTTGCGTACGACAATTTTGACGTGAGGATCGGCATTTATCAATCTGCACGTGAGCGTATGCTACGACCAAATCTCACGACAGGTCTGACATCGTGTACGCAAGTTTGAGTCAGTGTGGATCTGCGGTGCAGCAAATGTCTGTCTCGAAATAATTGATAAACAAACCTCAAACCTGTCATTAAGCACAATCCGGATTTCCAAAGAGCAAATCCTTGTTAGTTTCCACCACAGATATCCACTTTCAGCTCGGAAAAGTTTTGCATCTTTCTAATACATTCTCCTCTTTCATGTTTGACCTCAGTGGGCGAGGCTTCTGAACCACGAATATTTAAGAGCGTGAACATGTTAATGATGATCGATTTCAGCCGCCGCATTTATCAAGACCCGATCATATGTACGCTGGGATTGATCCGATACGAACCCTTTCAAAAATCTCACGTGTGTCCTATCGTTCAATGAATCCTGCGCTCAGATCTGCGCTCAGATCTGCGCAAGATTGATAAATGAGGGCCACTGTGTTTGCTGGTAGTCTGTTGGCATCTACAGTAGCACAGATGCTTTTTACTTTCACGTTGACTGGGCCCTATTTGTAATTATCTGAAGTATTTATCTGCATTATATCTGAATTTAATTGGAACGATACAAGCGAGCAGGAGCGTCTAGTTGTGGGCGGAGCTTGCTGGAGCAGAGAGGGAGGGGATGGGAGGGGAGGAGCTGAGGGGAAAATTGGTTGGGAGGGGTAGAGTTTACATTCAAGATTTCTCCTAAAAACTGGAACTTCCTCAGCTTTAAGACAACTTAATGCAGAGTTAATGCGACAAGATAAGGTTTTCAGACTCGATGCAGTATGTGAAATTGGATCTTTTGGTGGATTGAACATTACGATATTTACATTCAGCTGTTTTTTTCTCATGAGCTTGAGAAAAAGTTTGTAATTCGATAACCATGCGGTAGTGGTAACCTTTCTTGCAGTAAACGCCATATTTCCACAAGGCATTGACCTTTTGGCATTCATGCTGCTGTTACCTATCAACAATAAGCCTCTCCTATACATGTCTGGAGGAAGCCTCTGATGTCTTGGCGACTGCGCCCACTCCCCAGTCTGCAGTGATGCTATAGAGTCCAGCATCCATCCCACCATCTGTCCTCTGACCTCCAGCTGACGGCCTCCATGTGAGGCTGGAAATGTTCGACTAACTTCCTGCGGATGAGGGGGCGAGGATCTGTCAGCTGGTAACCAGGTTAAATACCTCCATGGATGTATGTAGGTCAGATGTGACTGTCAGACCACGTGATCAGATTTCTTGTTTGTCAGTCTGATCAAATTTACACTGATGCTCCTCTAGCCCCTCCCCTTCTTAATTGGTTGTCAAGGAAACCAATATGGAGGAGAGATAGAGGTCCACCATCTCTCTCTCTCTCTCTCTCTCTCTCTCTCTCTCTCTCTGTCTCCCCTCCCTCTGCCGCCGCCCGCCCGCCGCTCACACACCGGGCTGTCTTCTGAATCAAACCGAGCTCTCTCTCTACGGCAGCAGCAGCAGCTCGTCGGTCCGTCCGCCGCTGTGAGTGTGTGCGGGTCCGAACCGTTCCCCAACGGTCCGGTCCGTGCCCCGGCGTGTGTGTGTGTGTGTGTGTGTGTGTGTGTGTGTGTGTGTGTGTGTGTGTGTGTGTGGCTGACCCGGTTTCTTCTTCTACGTGCTGTGGACCGGGAGAGCCGCTCTCTCCCCGCACCGACAGACTCTTTAATGACCGGATTTGTGCTTTGCTGCGCGATGTACATGGACAGAAGCAGCTTGAGCAGAGGTGAGCCTGCAGTGTGCACACACACACACACACACACACACACACACACGCTGATGCACGCGCACAGGAGCGCGCACAGCCTCATATTGTCCATATTTGCTCCACGTATTGGAGTCATAAAACCCTGAAATGCTGATGTGACTCTTGGACGCTCATATTAACGATGGGGGGGGTGACATCCGCGCGCTCACTCAGGCTGTCGTGCACGAGCGCAGACACTGACCGACATCTCACCGCAGTGAATGTAGGCTAGTATGGCTGCGTGATACTGCGGGTCTGCCAGCTGTGAGCCTCTGCTCTGCCCATCAAAAGGATGTCAGTGACACTCCAGATCGGAACTCATCGATTATTAACGATCCGTGTGTGTGTGTGTGTTACTGATTGACTCCTAATCCATTGATTTTAAAGCTGGATGCTGATTGGAGGCTGATGTGGATGAACAGCAGGATGGAGGAGCTGTCAGTCCGTGCGTTAGTGTGGGTTTTTGTGTGTTTGTGTTGGTGTGATTCTGCAGACAGACGGACACACCCCCTCCTCCACATACACACATACGCGTTAACCCCCCCCATGCTGAGATCTGCAGGATCAGGACCGTGTGGCTGCAGCATGATGCAGGTTCTGTTGCTCTGTGTTCTCTGTAGACTGGGTCTCAGTCTGATCTGGATCTTTGGTTTGGAGGACGTTGTCAAGATTTGGGCTGATCCAGATCATGTCTACAGATACTGACCAACACCTAAAAGATGATCACATTCAGAACCAGCTGGTGTCGGGTTAGACTGCAGGATTTCTGTGTTTAATGGTCTGTGTGTGTCAGATCAGACGGTTTTGGAGTCAGGGGGCTGTGCTGAGCTCGAGGTCCAGAACCACATGTTGTCCCCAAATCAGACTGTTGCCACAATCCAGACCCCAATCACTGCAGATACACGATATGAATCTATGATGGGGCTATCTGTACTTAAGTCGAAGTTCAAAATCTGTATTTCATACATGAAGACCGAGGATGAGCTTCAGTTAGCAGGATCGAAAGATATATTTCATACTGACCAGTTGGGGTCACTGTTGAGACGACAAACACTCTAGGCAGTTCAGATGTCGTCTTCATGCCACATCTGAACAAAAGGGTTTAAACACATGAATTACATATGGAGCCAATGAGAAGTAACAACAGAGTGAATGAAAATGACGCACATGACATTCGACATGCAGAGGACTTTTTAAAAGCACTTTTTTTTTTAAAGGGATATTCTGGCGTAAAATTTAAGTTAGGGTCAAACACACCATAACACCGAGTGAGACACCCCCTCCAGAGATGAATGTTGTCGACCGCTTGCTTCTCTAGTTATACCAACTTGAGTAATGACCGCAGGATAGCAATACAGAGAGCCATACGTTCAACCAAAACGCCACTCTATAGCCACAGATAATGCTCAGAACAGCACCTAACTTCATCAACAGGACATATAGGGTCCCAGCCATAGTACTAGCCACCAAACATCCTTTTAACTTTGACTAATTTCTTCAGCCAAGAGACTAAACACAACTCACCTACTCTCTTCCAGCAGCCGCTTGTTTGTAGCCAGACCTCAGTCCAGTCCATTACGGACTACAGCGGGGTGACACAGCTCAAGGAAGAACATTTATGATCATTTTTTTAATCATTTCCTTGAAGTAATAATCATCATATTAATCATTTTGCACTGCAGACGCAGTAGTTCTTCTGTCTTAGCATCTCTGTCTGATTGTATTTCCATGAAGAAAATTAATTTCTACCCGAAATTAATTTTACGCCAGAATATCCCTTTAAAAATCTTCACCATGTTGGATCCAGGAGGGGTCTGATCGGCCACCCTGAACCCTGAACCCTGAACCGTGATTGTTTCTGCTCTTTAAAGGAGGACAATTTTATTTTGTTGGTACTTTGGTGACGTTGACCACCACCCAGTGCTCACCACAGCAAGAAAAACCAAGTCTGACAGATTTGACATAGAACGGTGTACGATACAGTGCAGGACATGTGCAGAAGCGTAAAGCAGGTTTAAGGCTGACTGGAACCACCTCAAAACCTTCTCAGTGACCACTTGAACCTCTTCTGTGATGTGAAAAGCCCCCCCAGATTATTGTGATGACCATAAAATAGATAGACCCCAGGAATACGAGACTAGAATACGAGAAGTGTTTCCTACTGAATCAGTAGAACCTCCTTGGTGGGCACTAGAAGATCCTGGCTCAAGACTCCCTTATCCTCCTCCTGTTGTTTGAACAGAACCACCACAAGTCACTCAGTCTGTTTCCATGACACTCGAGAAAACGGAATTATCGGCTTATTCCAATTAAGACCGGATAACTGAAGGTCATGTAAACACCCTAGTCCGACTATAGTCAGAGTTTGAGAACTCTGAATGGAGTCGTAGAACTCCGATTAAGACACCCAGATAATGCGATTGGAATTTGTTTTTCTCTACCATGTAACCAGCGTAGTCGGAGTATGATCGGACAATGCATGTGCGCATGTGCCACGCCCCCGTAACCCTGTAACAAAAACACCAGAGAAGAGGAGTAACATGCGTCTCATCTGCAGAAAAAGGTGCACGCCCATCATGTCGGACAAAAACAACGCTGTACGATGCTCCATCTTCTTGCTCCAAAATGCCCAGCAGCAGTTGTAGACACTTCTGATGTCTGGCACGGACCTGCTGTTGTTGTTGACGGCTGTATGGGGTCAGAAACAGCGCAGCTGAAAAGACCCTTATCGCCCCCTAGTGTTGGGGAGGAGGACACGTTCACGTCAATAATTCAATTTTCTCAGCTGCATGTATACGCGGACAAGGAGAGAAATCTGATTCAACGAAAAAAATTAATAATGAGCTTTGTCTGATTAAACTGTGCACTGACTGTCACTGGACCCAAGAGGGCTTACTCCTTGTACCCCAGGACCTCCTCACTTCCATATTGAGAAGAGAGTCTGAGGGGAAAGTCCAGGAGCCTCATTTATCAACCATGCGTAAGCACAGATGTGTGCGTAGTGAGTGTAGTGATTCCCGCGCAAAGTATAGAATTTATCAACCTGTACTTGTGCTTAGGAACGTGCGTAAAATTAAGCACAACTCTGACCATGTGTACACACAAAACCTAGTGGTAGAACAGTGAAACTACAAATAGAACCCAATAAAGGAGTCACAGCATTTAGCAATGTCAAACTTCACACATGTTCCCCGTTGCCTCTGTATAAAATTCAATTGAGTAGTTATTTAGCAGACATTTTAAATGATTGGTGTGACAAGCTATAAAAATCAGCTGGGACAGGACAACCTCAAAGAAGTCTTACAAGTACTGATACAAGAATCACGGCTTATTTTGCGCTATTGGAGGACTTGGAGAACCGTATGCTCCGCAGGGAGCGCATTTTTAAAGACAGTGCTGATCTGTTCAGTGAGAACACAGAGTGGATTCTCAGCAGGTACCACTTCCCCAAAATATTTTAACCGATTAATGCCGTGATTTACAACCCGTGTTGGAGGAGAGACAAAATGCACCAAAGCCATCCCAGTGCACATCTAACTCCTGTCCACCCTGGGATTTTTGGCCACCGGAACATTTCAGCGTGAGATTGGAGACAAATGCGGCATTTCGCAGCCTACACTAAGCAGAATCATGCCGGAAGAGTTGAAAGCAATAATTTCTCTGGCCTCAACTTACATCCAGTTCCCAAACACACATCACTAACAAGCCTGAAAAAAAAAAGGATTTCACGCCATCGCCGGATTCCCGAACATAATTGGAGCCATAATTGCAATCAGTTGGAGGTGTTTCTGAATGCAAATGACCCTAACCATGCACGAGCACGGTAGTAAAGAACAGGTGGGATTTATCATCACCGATTACTTAAGTGTGTGCGTACGACATGTTTGATAAATGCAGATTTTTTTGTATTTGCGCACATTCTAAATTTCATTCCCACGCCAGAATTTAGAACTTTTCTACGCACGTTTGATAAATAAGGCTCCAGGAGTCTTTGGACCTTGTCAATGCCGATAAGAACCTTAAAAAGTACCACCTGAAACAAGTGAAAGGACCTCCTTATTGACCGGCTCCAGGTCCCTCGTTCATTTGGCAAAGACCAAGACATCTTTAGAAGAAAGTACCAGAGTGTGTACAACCTCACCGTCTGAGAATCTGCTGAAATATTGCTTGAAAAAGAAAGTTGATCAGCACACTGTACCCCCTGAAGGCCTTGTTTACCCCTACATTAACCAGACCCCTAAACTAAGAACAGAACCACCTTTAAAAAGACAAAGAACTTCCCCAATAGAGCCTAAACTACTGAGACAAGAATCACTATAAAAGATAAAGGTAGGGTAGGCAGGATTCCGATAAAGAAGCATCTTTTTTTGAGGCGTATTTACAAAAATCTTTTAATATCAGTCAATAGTTATTAGTTATTGATGACATTTGGGAATACAACAATATCTCTGTGTTCTCTTCTGTCTGTGTCGTCAACATTTGAACATTTTTGAGCGGTCCGCTCTTTCTGACTGTAAACAAAGCCGTTCTCCACCTCCTCTAACCTGATTGGTTGTGAGGCAGACGCTGCTCCCTGGTGTCGTTCAGGAGCCCAAACAAAGTTAGCGTGCTACAATATCGGACAGTAGGAACCAACCAGAAAGTTCGGAAAATTGTCTGAATCCTCCTATGGCCACGACTGCCGACACAAGCAAGAAAACAAAGTTAATTCCGGAGACTCTGGAGGAATAACGGGCGCTTAAAAAGGAGCCTGATGATGCGCTTAAAAACAAACCCCCCACTAGACCCAGACCCGAACAGAACCCCCAAAAACGACTCCTTGGATACTGATCCATGACCATGAGTTAGCTGCAGTTGTATTTCCTGCTGTCTTACTCTTAGACACAGTTTGTGGATGTTGCTTTTTACACAGCTCTGTGGTTCATTATCTGCTGATATCAGCTCCAGGTTTCAGGACCAGCTGAGACTCAAATCCACCTGGTACTGGTCTATGTTTCCATTGTAGCCATCAGCTAATAATCCTGGATGTGTTTACTGGAGTTTTTCCTTCTATGAGAAAAAAGTGGATTTAGATCTGCTGAGGAGAAACAGGAGTGTGGTCATATCTGTGTGAGGATGAGTGTGTGCAATCATCAGAGGAGCTTTGTTGTGTTGCATTCATATTAAATATGTGTGTGTGTGTGTGAGAGAGTGGGTGTAGTTGTGTGCTTAGTGTTGAATTTAATACTTCCTCCATCACTCCTCTGCACACTAACATGTGGCGCCTCGGTTTGTTCTGCTCTGTTCAGTAGAGACAGTCTCTGCAGATGATAAGCTGCCTGTCTGCAACTCAACCTGACACACATCTGTTCGTGTGTGTGCGTGCATGCTTTTTGGTGCACATGAAGGTTATTGTGAAGCTGAGTGTATTAAAGTAACAGTGAGAGAGGAGAGCAGGGAGAGGAGCAGGAAGAGGAGAGGCTGAATGATTTGTTGGATCTGCAGTCTGAGCTCAAATCCTTCAGTTTTGATCCTTCAATGTTAAAATACTGAAAAACGTGAAATCTGAGGTTTAACTGAGTGAGTATTATCACCAAAGTTAAAATAGAAGCTCTTAAATTGAAATCTAGACCCTTATCATCCATATTTTAGTCAACAAAATAAAAGTGTAAAATTTGACATCTGTCGCCAATCTGAGGCGAAGGAGGTGGCGACAAGTCCTACTTCATGTTTGGACGTATGACAGAGGGGATGTGTCCTCTTCGGATCAGAGGGATTCTGGGTAATGTAGTTTGTTGAGTGAGGGTTCTCAGAGAGAAACACAAACAACACAGACGAGCGGAAAAGACCTGAAGAAAATCTGCTTAATTCAGCATTTAATGACCGAGGCTGCAGTTATTATTAGACCACACACCGCACACACACACCATCTGCTTTACATTAGCCTGTTGATGTTTTCCCATGACCTCTCCCATCACGTTCACATCTGTACTCAATCACTGTGGGCGCTCAGTTTCTTCATTAACGTCTCAATTATCTCATTTTCTGTTCTGATCGTTTGGACTCCGTCTCCGTCCTCATTCAGTACTTTTGGAGGTTTTGATGTGAGGGGAAACATTTTCAGACCCTCTAATGCTGAGTCAGAGGTCGGAGGGTTTTACAGGCATGCTTTATCTCATAATGATTCCCACACCAGGAGTAGTCCTGCAGTCTTCAATAATCATAGGGTCGCATCAATAATCAATACCTTTGTCCTCTGCAGATGTTACTGCTGCAGTATTTGCAGGTTTTTAATTCTCGTGAATAATTAATGAGCCTGAGAATAAACAGCAACTCAGCAGAAAGTATCTCCACCCTCACCTCCACCACAGATGGACTCAGTGTATGGATCTGATTCAGGTCACAAAGCATCCTGGGAGTTGTAGTAGCAGTGATGGCCCAGGGAAGACGTTACTGTCCGAACCCTGAATTTTTGAATCTATTTCTGCGATTTTGAATGATTCCTCTCAGCCAATCAGCTGTCCGGAAGCACAGACACTCAACCAATGAGCTGCGGCCGCAACAAACCACAAATATCTGCTCTGTCCTCCATGTGGAGTTTATTTCTGTCCAGCTGCAGGAGACCTCATGTGGAAGCTATTACTGTGTTAGTCTGTGTGTGTGTGTGTGTGTGTGTGTGTGTGTGTGTGTGTGTGTGTGTGTGTGTGTGTGTGTGTGGAGACTGTTCTTGCAATTAGCTGGTTTCTTCATGCTCTTCTCAGACTGCCTGTCTAAATCCAACACTGTCCTCAGAACCAGGAGGATGATTGGACGTCTGCTCCCAGAATGTGAAGCTGCTGTCTGTATGTGATGGTTTGAAATTTAAGACTTTATTTTTTTTAACACAAAGACGACACATAACAGAAGTGCTATATAGGGTCTCAGCCATAGTACTAGCCACCAAACATCTTTTTAACTTTGACTAATTTCTTTAGCAAAGAGACTAAACGCAGCTCGCCTACTCTCTTCCAGCAGACGCTTGTTTGTAGAGAGACCTCAGTCCAGTCCATTATGGACTACAGCGGGGTGACACAGCTCAAGGAAGATTGGGTTTAGTCTTTTTGCTGAAGAAATCAGTCAAAGTTAAAAAGATGTTTGGTGGCTAGTACTATGGCTGTGACCCTATATGTCCTGTTGATGAAGTTAGGTGCTGTTCTGAGCATTATTTATGACTATAGAGTGGTGTTTTGGTTGAGGTTTGTTTATGGCTCCTCAGACCACTGTGTATTTCTATCCTGCGGTCGCTGCTAAAGTTGGTATAACTAGAGAAGCAAGCGGTCAACAACATTCATCTCTGAATGGGTGACTAAGTCCGTGTTACAGTGTGTTTGACCCTAAATTAATTCTACGCCGGAATATCTCTTTAAAAGGAGAACAATGTTTATGTTTTTGGTTTTGATATTTGATCTCTTGTCTTTGCATTATTTTGAATTAAATAAATTTATTTATTGATATCTGCTTGTGTACCTGGAGGTAACATTTAACATACAGTAAAGTTTACTGTATATCTGGAGGCTTTTATTTTGACAGTCTGTGGGTGTGGCCTGTCTATAACTTGACCACTGTCGTCCTGTCCTGTCTCCCATCAGGTCCCTCCTCCTCCTCCAGTCCCAGTTTGCTGACTAAGAGTCTCTCTGTGGAGCCATCCTGCTCTCCGTGTGGCCACCAGGGGACACTGGACACTAACGCTCCCCAGCAGCCGCTCTCTGACCCTGGGCCCAGCTTCTCCTCCTCCGGCCCTGCCTCCCTGGAGGGAGGGGTGGAGCGAGCAGAGTGCCGCTGTTCAGGTCATGGCCTGCTATTGGTTAATGACACGGGGCCGCCGGAGCTGCCAGCTACCACAATAACACCACCGAGCAAGAGAGCGCTGCTGCCCGGACCGAAGCCTCAAGGTGAAAAACTTCAGATTTCAAACTTTGAGACGCTCTCAGATTTTTAATCTCAAGATTATAATGACAATATATCGCTGCCTCCACAGTCCCGCCCAAACCGCCACACCTTCAGCAGCAGGCAGGTGTATCCAGGCCACGCCCCCGGGCACCAGAGAAGCCCCTCCCACCTACCCCTCCATGCAGACCCCTCCCAGCGGACCCCAGAGGGACCAGGAGTCCCCCAATCCGAGCCGATGGCACTGCCTCTCCGACCTGTGTCCTCTCACTGATCGAGAAGTTTGAACGGTGGGTCCTGATTGGTCAAAAACAGAGTGATGTCATTGATTGACAGCTGATTGTAACCAATGTGTTTGTTTGCGAGCAGGGAACAGATCATTGTGGTCCCTGATATCACCGGGGGCTCTCTGTGTCCCCGCCTCCCTGAGCCCACCTCGTCCCAGCCTTCATCACCGTCATCAGCAGCCCCTCCCCCACCTGCTGAGGAGCTGCCTGCCGAGCTGACATGTCCTGATGACATCACAACGGGTGAGGAGGGAGACCTTCACCCTGATGATGTGGACAATGAGAACAATGACGATGAAGATGACGAAGATGATGAAGAGCTGGCTGCGGCGTGTTGTGATGACCACCATCAGAAGCGTCTGTCGATGGAATCAGGTTACAGCCCCTCAGAGAAACACCTTGAGGATGATGTAGTTACCGTGGAGATGAGGGAGCAACAACAAGAGCCACCGCTGCTGGACCAATCAGAGCTCCCCTCTGAGCGCCTGTCCCTCCCCTCCTCACAGACTGACGGGAAGCTAGCCAATCGGGACAGCGGCATCGACAGCATCAGCTCGCCGTCACACAGTGAGGAGCTCTGCTTTGTGGGTGTGGACGATGGAGGTGTAGCTTATCCCTGCAGCCCCGCCCTCCTGCCCCGCCTCTCCAGCTCGTCCTCTTGCGTGGGAGAGGGAGGGGAAGGAGAGGAGGGGGAGGGGAGAGGCGAAGCCAGGCGGAGGAGGGAGTTCTCCGAGGAAGGAGACAGCGACCTGGAGGAGGAGGAGGCGGAGCTTACGATAGTGCTGCCGCCCCCGAAGACAGAGAGACAGGACTCAGTGGAGGTGAGTGTCTGATATGATACATGTCTGCAGAGCCCAGCGAATTGTTGTAGGTTGGCAGACAATTCATAAAAAGATGATAATAAGTAAAAAATGTAAAATTAATAAAATCTAGATTAATATCTAAACATGTGACTGTGGGCACTTATTTATTTTTAATATAGATTTCAAATCCTTGAAAGGAAGTGGGCCGAGTTCCAAGAACTGAACACTGTCTTCATAAATTTTAAAGATTTTTATGTTATCTTTAATAGTAATATGTGACTGCGGTCACTTATTTATTTATTAACTTGTTTATTGAATCAAATTTCAAGAATAGATGTGGAACAGCGGTTAAAAAGAGGGTTGTGGATCTGTCATGCAATGACCTACTCCGTCCAGCAGGGACGCAAAGATAGGCTGTATTGGGACAGAGGAAAAAGTGCCTAGATAGTGAATTTCATTCCACTACGCTGGTTCTACTTGTTCAATATATTTTTGCATAGACAATATTATTCTGGACTTTGAGTTAAAATATCTACTCAGACTATCTGTCAGACTTTTGTCACCAGCCAGAAATGTACATATATGTGAGTAACCCAAAAAACGATTATATGGTGCTGCTGTTTTTGCTTGTAGAAACTGCTATGTTGATTCTGGCAAGACAAAATCTTTCTCAAATGTCATAAATACATCTACCTAACATCTGAAACAGTTATTGGTGCCTTAGTATACGCATAAGTGAATTCAGATTATGAAATGTAGCAAATTTCATGAAGAAAATGCCTCAACTTAAGTGATTTGCACCCAGCACAATGAAATATATACAGTAAATTTAGCTAAAAGCTTATGTTTCATACATAAAAATGACACAACCTACTGTGTAATAAAAGCAATAAAATATAAACAGCACACCATGTCCATTAATTGCTGAAAATCAATAAAATTGCTACCACGCCCCCCCAAAATTGGAATAATGGAAAAAATGTAACAAGACAAAAATAAATGCACAAAAGGTCTGAATTGATTCAAAATATGGTATAAAACATTTATTCAAGTATCATCAGATTTGTAGTCATCCATGTCACTGCCAACTCCCCATCCTCAATGTGCCACCCATTGCCAGTGTGTGAAGGGGCACACATTTTACCAGTCATAGAATGTTTCATCACCGCTGCTTGGTAGTTTGCTCTCAAGCAACAGAAAATGTTTTTCTTTTGCCCTTGCCATGAAAGGCTCTGGTCGAGTCACAACCTGTGAACGTATGGATGCACAATGGGTGTGTGTTTTGATCTTTATTTTTATATTCTGGAGGGGTTGATAAATGTCAGATGTTTTGACACTGTGATACTACAAACTTAACCACACTGCACTCCTAAGCATAAAAAAAAAAACTGTAAGCAAACAAAGTCACTCCAAAAGGGAGGAAAAAACAACAAGGCTATGAAACAGAAGCTAGATCTAGAAACTAAACAGGGAAAAAACTACAACAGAAAATCACTCTTCTAAAGAGGAAACAAGGATTATCAAAAATACAAACGTGGTTATCGAGCAAGGCTGTGGACATGAAGGCTGGAGGAACACGAATAAACGAGACACTCTGGCACAGGACAAAGGGAGACGCCGACTATAAGACACATGAGGTTAATGGGGAACAGGTGGAAACAATCAGGAATCAGGGGAGATGACAGACCGGAGACACAAGAGGAAGGGCAAGTGACCTGAAACGAGAGGAGAGTTATTTTTCAAAATAAAACATGAAAATGACAAGACAGAAAAACCAGGACAAGACACCCCTCACCGCGTTGTGACAAAAACAGCAGCGCCATTTAATTGCGTTTTGTGTTACTCACATATAGGCTGTATTGGGACAACGGGAAAAGTGCCTAGAAAGTGAATCTCGTTCCACTTTAGTGGGGCAACATAAACTGTGATTCATAAAATAGCTCTATTGATAGTAAGCATTAAAAAAAAAATCTACTTATGCCATCCAGTTGATTTTTAGTCATCAGTGTTTCGGTGTCGAACTATTTCCTTTCTGTGGCGCAGCGATATTTGCACACACGCAATCGAATATGGAAAGGTGTGAAGCGATTTTTGTCACGTGGACCAATAGGAGCCGAGTCTCTGGGCCATAGAATCAGAACAACACAATCATGGCGACGAGCGCATCCAGCAGCGAGACAAGCGAAGAGAAAGAAAAGAAAAGGAAAAAAAGAAAACAGCCTTCAAAAGTGCATAAAAATTTTATTTTATGAATCACAGTCTATGTTGCCCCACTGAAGTGGAACGAACCAACACGATCTCACTCAACCAATACAGCCTATAACAGTGAGTATATTTCAAGAGGTAGGTCTACGGTTTAGAGATATTTCAGTCACTTTAGTTCCATTTGTCCATAGTTTGTCCTTCATATCAAAACAGGACAGAAACATCCTCGCCCCTAATGTCTAACAACACCCAGAGAGCATATCAGATAGGACAGTAGGGGGCGCTGTACTCAAGCATAAAAGAAAATAAAGAAAAAAAATGAATCAGAGCACATGATTAGTTGTCATTAACTGCCTCCTTCTGTGATAAAATGACATTTAATCAGGATGGGTTATCCATTTCCTCCATAGCCTGGTGAATTTTTCCGTGCACAGGTTCAAGGAAAAGGTCCGTTTTTCCATGTCATATATTTTTTTCACAATTATAATCCACTCCTCTTTGGTTGGGGGCTCTTTCGATAGCTATCTTCTTGTAATAGCTTTTTTACCAAACATTATTTTAATCAAATATTTATAAGTAGCAAGGTAAATTGTGCAAAATTCATTATTTATCTCAAAGCCTACCACTGAATTAATTTTCTTCACTACAACCTTCCATTAGGAACATATAATCAGACAGTCCCAGAAAAGATGGAAATGATCTGCCTGAGTGTTTCCACACTCTCTTCAACATTTTCCAGAACTTGTCTGTCCTTTCTGGATGTGCTTTTTAGTAACATGACGCTTAATCAAATTTGAAGTTTGAGGTCAGTGAGTGAAGATTTTTACAAAGCGCCTCATCTTGGGACCAAGAACTGTACAAACAATTATCACAGTCCCTGAACCTGCAAAAAAGGAATTTCAACAAAGGAAAACAGCCTTGTATTAAGGAAATAAGTCTTATTTTTTATGTACAAAAGGAATATTCATCTTGTCAAGCATGTTTGGCATTAGTAAAATTCTCTATTTTTAAGAGAAAATGGCTAACTTTTTCTTGATAAGATATTCCAGCTAATTTTGAGATAGAATGAACCAGAAATAGAGGAGAAAAATGTTTTATGATAAAATCCAGTGGAGCTACAAGATCATTTGTCTCATTTTAAGAGTAAAGGTCCTTACACACCGGGAACGACGCAAATATACGACGCGAAATTACAAAATATTCAGAGTTGAATTTCGACGCACCTGACTATACACATCAAGCCCGATGCAATTTTGCAACTTTCCAGGGGGGAAAAAGACGCATCCCAGGTGGAAGCGAGTAGACTGACCCAACAGCAGTGTTTCTCAGTTTTGATTAGACACTAGTGTTGAGATGGCTGTCTGTCATGATAGCATGTACTGAGTCGGGGCCAGTACCAGATAAGATTTTGTCTAGGTAACCCCAACAGAGCTTGGCAGAATACTTAGGGTCATTGTCTTGCTGCAAAACAAACTTGTGACCCACAAGTTTGAGTCCAGATGGAACAGCATGGTGCTGGAGGATGGAGTGGTACTGTCCATTCTTCATGATACTCTTTACTTCAAACAAATCTCCTACTCCATCACCTGCAAAACATCCCCATACCATGGAACTACCACCTCCTTGCTTAATTGTGGGTGTAACACATGGTGCTTTCAGTCGTTCACCAGTTTGTCTGCGGACATAGACTCTGCATTTTGAACCAAACAGTTCAAACTTGCTTTCATCGGTCCAGAGAACTTGTTTCTAGTCATCATAAGTCCAAGTTTTGTGAGCTTTTGCCCACTCATATCTCTTTTTCTTGTTCTGTGGACAAAGTAGTGTTTTTTTTGCAGATACACAACCCTTCAGACCAGCCTTTCTCAAACATCTTTTCACTGTCGTCAGAGATATGGGTTTCCACCTTGTCATGTTGATTTCCTCCCTTATTTGTGGTGCTGTCTTTCGCCGATCTCTCTTACTGGTGACAATGCTCTGTTTATCCTCTGCTTTTGTAGTAACTCTCTTTCGTCCAGTCCTTTTTCTATCATCATAACTTCCCGGTTTTTCTAGTCTCCTTAGAGTGTAGTGGACTCCTTTGTTAGACACCTTTAGGCATTTTGCAAATTTCTCTTTCTGTGTATCCTTCTTTCCTCAATGTATGAATCTGTACTTTTGTTTCTTTACTCAGCTGCTTCTTTCTAGCCATTTTTGCGGTATTTTGAATGCAGTTGAGATTTATTAGGATTTTTGTATGCAGGCTCTCAAAAGCCAAAAAGTGAAAGTGAATAATCCGATTGTGATTTGTTTTTTTGCTTTTGCACTGAAGTTGTGACTTTTGCAAATGTTTTCAACCCTAAAACTAAGCCCTTATTATCTTTTGCTGACATATATTTAGCAATGGTCTGTTAACATCAATGTGTATCTAAAGGTAAATGGAGTAAATTGGTGCATTTCCATGAAAGCAACATCTGATCATGGAGTAAATACATCCCAAAATACATACAACTCATGTTGGATTTTAAAAAAAAGCATTGTGAACAAAAACTTAAAGTTACTCCCAACTGTTCGGCCTGTAGTGTATATGTCATCAATATGCAACAAATGTCACCATTGTTCGACAACACAAACAGGCGCGGAAAGCAATTTTGTGCTTTGTGCGCATGCGGGTCACTTCACAGACGCATTCCGTTCACATTAGATGCCGCGTTTGTTGTTGTAATGTGAATGACCGCACAAAAAGATCGTATTTAACAAAAAATCCAATTTGTGCATCATAACCTGCAGTATGAACGTAGCCGTATATTTGCTATGCTGTTTTGAGAAATGATGTCTTATTAGAACCACTGTCATGCTCATTAATAATCCTAGATTTAGGTATTTTCTTAAAGTCATTTATTCAAGAGACAAAAATTCTAATTTTAAGTAACTTCAACTTCTTGCAGTAGAAAAATGTGTTTAATATCAGATTTTTCTGTCCAGTTTTAAGTTTCATTTGAGTCTGTCAGGGCCAAGACATTTGTTCTTATTTTGAGAATTCTTTTTCTTTGAGAAAAGCTTACCCCTTTGGCAATTTTTTTTGCTTGATTTAAGATTATTTGATTGAATATAAGAATATTTTGCTTCTTTCTAGTAGGGCTGTTTTTTCAGTGTAAAGGAAATACCGTATTTTTCGCACTATTAGGCGCACTTAAAATCCTTTTGTCTCGGGGGGGGGGGGGTGCAGCTACCTTTATAATCCGGTGCGCCTTATGTATGAAAATAGACGCGAATAGACTAGTTCATTAATGGTGCGCCATATAGTGCGAAAAATACAGTACTGATCTGGTTCTCTGTCCGTCCAGCTGTCAGTCCAGCAGAGGGTCTTCAACATCGCCAATGAGCTGCTGCACACGGAGATCGCCTACGTCTCCAAGCTCCACCTCTTGGACCAGGTGAGAGGGTCCTGTCTCTGTTACCGTGGAAACCTGTCTGTCTTTCACACCCTGCAGCACAGGCAAGTGGGAGGTGTTGACCGTTTGTTCCCCCTTCTGCAGGTTTTCTGTGCCAGACTCTTGGAGGAGGCGCGGTCTCGCTCCTCGTTCCCATGCGATGTGGTCCAGGGGATCTTCTCCAATATCTGCTCTATCTACTGCTTCCACCAACAGTTCTTGCTGCCTGCTCTGCAGAAACGCATGGAGGAGTGGTGAGGAACGTCCTCCTCCTCCTCCTCCTTCTCCCTGCCGGATCTCCTCCTCTGGAGCTGCTCTGACCTTTTCTCCTCCTTCGTCTACAGGGACTCCAACCCGCGGATCGGGGACATCCTACAGAAGCTGGCCCCCTTCCTGAAGATGTACGGAGAGTACGTGAAGAACTTTGACCGAGCGATGGAGCTGGTCAATACCTGGACTGAGAGATCTGCTCAGTTCAAGACCATCATTCAGGAGATCCAGGTCCACATCCATACCCGTACACTCACCTGTGTCTGTTCCTGTGTGTGTGTTTCTGACAGTGTGTGTGTGTGTGTGTGTGTGTGTGTGTGTGTGTGTGTGTGTGTGCGTGTGTGTGTGTGTGCAGAGGGAGGAGCGCTGTGGGAACCTGACTCTGCAGCATCACATGTTGGAACCGGTCCAGAGGATTCCTCGCTACGAGCTGCTGCTCAAAGACTACCTGCACCGCCTGCCGGAGGACGCCCCCGACTACAGGGATGCCCAGAGTGAGTAAACACACACACACACACACACACACACACACACACACACACACACACACACACACACACACACACACATAGAAACAAACACACATCTTCTGTAGAGGATGGAGGACTCACCGTGGTCATGCTGTTTTCTCTGCAGAGTCTCTGGAGCTCATCGCCACGGCAGCAGAACACTCCAACGCAGCCATCAGGAAGATGGTGAGAGTTTCACACGGACAACACCCACAACTGTCAGACACACACACACACACACACACACACACACACACACACACACACACACACACACACACACACACACACACACACACACCACTTTCCAGCCTGTTAGTTGGTCATTTACCTCTGATTACAGATGATGAGTCGACCTGTGTCATATTCAGTTCATCTGTGGTGTGTAAACCCAAAACATTCAGGATCTGTATTGAGCGCGTTTCGTATCAGCGTTGGGTATCTCATACAGGATCAGCGTATTTGGAGCATAAATAAAGTAAAACTATGTGAGTGCTGCTGCTGATGTAGGCCTATGATTCCTACCGCTGATATGTCAAAGCTCCGCTAACGTTATGTGCCTCCTGCTGTGCAGTGTGCACTGAGCATCCAAAGAGCAGATAGTTGTGGGGCAAAACAATGTAGCAAAAAAAGGACATATCCTTCAGGAGCCGAGAAAAGAAAGAGGAAGAAGAGAAAAAACGCCAAGATAAAGGTCTGTTTGCATGTCAGGGAATGTTAATCAAAGAGATTTGTGAAGGTGTGTGAAAGATCAACAGTCAATGTTATTGGCAGAAATAGAGGGCCCCAAAATCACATTTTGCTTAGAGCCTGGTTGCTTAGGGCTCTGTCTATACTGAGCCCAGCTGACCAGAGCTGCACTATGCTACTGCTACGCTCCAAATACACTGATCCTGTATGAGACACCCAACGCTGCTCTACGGAGAAAATACGGAACAACACGCTCAATACGAAGGGTTATTCTTACTCCGATCTCTCTCCTCAGTCAGCCTCATTATTCGCAGCTTCACCTGTTGAAACAGAACATTTGTTGACTGCTCCTCTGTGACTCCAGCTTCAACCTCACTTCACTTCAACTTTCTTATGTCCCAAAAATGGGCAAATCGGGTTGCAGCTGGCACAGGCATTTAAAACACTGCCATACATCATAAAAAGAAAATAAATAAAATACATTAAATTAAAAACAGTTCAGGAGATAAAAAGTATTAAAGATGATTTAGAAGGTAAAAAGAAAAGAATATGCCCGTCATACCAGTATTTTTGCATGAACAGAGTGCTTAAGATTAAATGCAGAAACAAAGTGCAATGTGCGGTTTGCGTACCAATAAAAGACCCCTGGATGAAGCTTGATCTGGAATAATAATAATAATAATATTCACCACATACTATCAGAAACAGTTATCTCTTCCTGCAGGAATCATTTCGGGCTCTGATAGAGCCTGGGATGAAGGAATTTTTATACCTGTTTTTTGTGGTTGTAGAAACTCACAGCTGATGGCCAGAAGGTAAACAGATTGTATTCTGAGCTGAGAGGATGGTCACTATAAGACCGAATGGACACAGCTTTTTTAAGAACCTGCTTGTTAGAAATATGATTCAAGCTAGTGAACTGCACGCCTGCAATCTTACTTACCACCTTTACAATCCTGTCCAGGGCATTTTTCTCTCTGGTCCCCAGGTTGCCGTACCAACAGATACAGTACATACAATACAAAGCAGAATGAAACAATGACATCAGGGACTTATCAATTTGAAATTTGGCGAGCTCTCTTAAACAAAAAAGTCGTTGCTAGCCTTTCTTGCACAGCTCTTCGGTATTACATTTGAATTTCAGGCTATTGTCGATCAGAGTGCCTAGATATTTATAGTTAGATACGATCTCCACAGCCTCACCCTTGACAACGCTGTTCTGGGGAGCTGGGGGGGATCGTCTAAAATCTATACACGTCTTTTGTTTTACTGACGTTAAGTTGTAGGAATGCGTTTTCACACCTCAGAATAAAATCATCAACAACAGGACCGTGGCTATTTTCACCGTCATCAAGGAGGCGGACAATAACTGAATCATTGGCAAACTTTGTGATATGTGTATTTGTAAAAGAGCTACGACGATCATTTGTGTATAGCATGTATAATTATGGAGATAAAACACATCCTTGTGGAGAGCCGGTAGAAGATATACGGACATTTGACAATTTCCCATTCACCCTTACTGTCTGGGTCCCATTGGTGAGGAAATCAAGACCTCCTACTCCAGTTCAACAAGCTTTTACTGCAGCCCTGCAGGCCCTCACGGTACTGCATGTCTCAGTTACAGCACCGCTGCCTTTTTGCTGCCACCTGCTGGCCTGTGGTGTTTGATGCATGTCAGGCACAGTCAGTGGTATTTCTTGGATTGAGGAGAATGTGCATCTTATAATGACAGTGAGATACAGAACTGACCCGTACATTCAGAGGAGAAACTCCCATGAGACTTTGGTTCCCACTTCTGTCCAACATGTCAGAAAGTTAACTCATGTGTGTCTCTCACCTGTCCACCTGTCCACCTGTCAGGAGCGGATGAGGAAGTTGTTGAAAGTGTACGAGTTGTTAGGAGGAGAGGAGGACATTGTGAACCCGACGAACGAGCTCATCAAAGAGGGACACATCCTAAAACTGTCCAACAAGAACGGGACCACGCAGGACAGATACCTGATCCTGGTACTCACCTGTCCTCTTCTTACCTGTCCCATAGGAATGTGTAAACTGCTCACCTGACTGAAACCTGTCTCTCTCTTTCTACAGTTTAACGACAGGTTGCTGTACTGTGTCCCGAAGCTGCGTCTGATTGGTCAGAAATACGGCGTCCGTGCTCGCATTGACGTGGACGGCATGGAGGTGAGACATGATCAGCAGGTGGTCTCTGTTAGAAACACCTGAATCACATTTAACCTGTCTGTCTCACCTGTGTCCAGCTGAAGGAGACCAGCAGTGCGGCTGTTCCCCAGACATTCCTGGTTTCTGGGAAGCAGAGATCTTTAGAGCTGCAGGCCAGGTGAGTTCAGAGACACACCTGCAGACCGACAGGTTTCAAAGTCTCCTGGTCACACACTAATGGTTTCTGTTTGTGTTCCTGCAGGACGGAGGAGGAGAAAAGAGACTGGATACAGGTGACAAACCGAAGACTGATACCTAATACCTCCTGACCGCACTGATGTCATGGTGTTAATCAATACTTCTCTGTCCTGTCTTCAGGCCATCCAGGCGACAATCCAGAGACACGAGCAGACGATGGAGAGCTTCAGACAGCTCAACTGTTCCCTCAGAGATGACGAGTCCACTCCTCCTCACTCTCCGGTAACTTTCACACCAACAGCTGATCCTTCAGCCGAGGTTTATGTCTCGAACCCGGGAATCCCACTGGATCCAGAATGCCAGGCAGCTCAAATATGCAAGCATACAGCGCCCACCGGATCCGATCCACCTCTGCAATCAGAGGAGAAGCGCTTGCAAGATTACCGATATTTCCCGCGAGACTGGACATTTTATGGAAGTAAATCTGTGCCATCTGATTTTGAATTTGAATTTCTAAAACTGAAATTTTTGTTGCATCAAAATCAGACTTTTTTTAAAAAAAAAATTTGAATTTTTAAATAATTGAATTTCAAGCATGCATTTTTATTTCTGACACTAATTTTTTTTCACAATGATTAAATAAATTCAGTGTAAAAAGAAAGGTCTCATAAATATTCATTTAGTAAAAATTCGACATAAAAAAACGTGTAAAAACAATTCAACACAAAGAAAATTTCAGTGTCAAAAAATTCAGTTAAAAGAGACCAACTCAACATCCGGGTAACCAGGGAGAATCAATTGTATGAAGTTAATCTTTGCCATCTGGTTTTGAATTTCAATTTCTAAAGCTGAATTATTATTTTTTATGCATCATAATCAGACTTTGAATTTCAAAACCATCAAATTTCAAGCACGCATTTTTATTTCTTACAGATTCAGTGAAAATTGGACTCAAAAAAACTGTTAAAAAAATTGACATTAAAACAATTTAGTGTAAAAGAATTCAGAGTAAAAAAAATTCAGTGTATAACGATTTCTGGTTCAATTATCCACCGTCCAACCAATCAGTTGATACTAGATTGGTCATGTAGCACAGATATGGAAGTAAGTCTGTGCCATCTGATTTTAAATGTGAATTTCTAAAGCTAAAATTTTTTGTATCAAAATTAGACTGAATTTCAAAACCATCATATTTCAAGCACAAATTTTTATTTCTAACAGATTTAGTGAAAATTGGACTCAAAAAAACTGTAAAAAAAAATTCGACATTAAAACAATTCAGTGTAAAAGAATTCAGAGTAAAAAAAATTCAGTGTATAACGATTTCTGGTTCAATTATCCATCATCCAACCAATCAGTTGATACTAGATCAGTCATGTGGCACAGATATGGAAGTAAGTCTGTGCCATCTGATTTTAAATGTGAATTTCTAAAGCTAAAATTTTTTGTATCAAAATTAGACTGAATTTCAAAACCAGCGAATTTCAAGCACGCATATTTTATTTCTGACACAATTTTTCACAATGATGGAATAAATTCAGTGTAAAACAAATATATCAAAATATTAATTTAATAAAAATTTCAACTGAAAAAAACTAAAACAAATTCAACATAACAAAAAAAATTAAGCGTCAAATAATTCAATGTAAAAAGATTCAGTTTAAAAGGAACTGACTCAACATCCGAGTTATAAGAGAGAAGCAATCGATTGGATTCAATCTTCCACTGGAGTCGATGTCACATGACCAATCTAGCATTAATTGATTGGCTGGATGGATGATTGAGCCAGGAAACAACTGCTTCTCTCTTGTTACCTGGATGTTGAGTCTGTCTCTTTTACACCGAATTTTTTTTAAAACTCAGTTATTTGACACAAATTTTTTTTTTATGTTGAATTTTTTTTTTTTTTTACAGTTTTTTTTGTTGATTTTTTACCAAACAAATATTTATGACAGACTGATTTTTTTTTTACACTGAAGTTATTTAATCATTGTGAAAAAAATGTATGTCAGGAATAAAAATGCATGCTTGAAATTTGATGGTTTTGAAATTCAGAGTATGATTTTAATGCAAAAAAAAATTCAGCTCGAAAAAAATACAAATTCAGAATCAGATTTACTTCCATACACAGACCTCAGTGGAAGATTGAATCCAATTAATTGCCTCTCCGTGGTTACCCGGATGCTGAGTCCGTCTCATTTACACTGAATTTTTTTACACTGAATTATTTGACACTTCATATTTATTTTTTTTATGTTTAATTTTTTTTACACAATTTTTTAAAGTCAAATTTTCACTAAAGAAATATTTTGAGAGACTCATTTTTATACACTGAATTTATTTCATCATTTTGAAAAAAATTGTGTTAGAAATAAAAATGCCTGCTTGAAATTCAGTGGTTTTAAAATTTAAAGTCGGATTTCAATGCAAAAAAATCCAGCTTGAAAAATACAAATTCAAAATCAGATGGCACAGATTGACTTCCCTAACATTTCCTCATGAGACATTGAATGAGATCCGCCGATCGGTGTAAATAAACACTCACATCCCACAACTCTGACCTCTCCCATTATCAAGTTAGAACACTTCAATGTCTTGACTTTATTTTATTTAGAAAATTAACCAGATATTTTTCTCTGTAGCCGCATACAACTTCCGCTGCTTCTCGTGCTGCGCTGTACTGTGATGTCCAGCAAAAATAGAAGCTTTGCATATCTGATCGGTCGCCGGAGCCGATCCGCAGCGGAGCCGAACAGCTTCTGTGGAATGACTCACATTGACTATAATAGGGTTGGCTATCGTTTTATTTTGAAGGATTCTGATTCTGATTCCTCGTTTTGATTTCAGTTCCTATCAATTCTCTATTCCGATTCTTTTTAAAGGCTGGATATTAAAAAAATGCATGGTTTAAATGAGGGTGCTAACCCGAGTTCTTCTTTTTGGATGAAATTTCTGAACTTCTCCATGAATTTTTAAATTATATTAACTTTTTAAGAACTTTACTATGAATTTCTCACATTTTCAACCAGTATATAAATATCAGTTTTTGTTGCCAGGTCTTTTGTCTATGAAAAAGCACAAGGGCTAATGTTAGTTGGATATTTAAGTTGATCAACTGTACACAGTACAATTTATTTGTTGCTTCAATGTTAGCAGAAGACAGAAGTCATTTATTGTTTCACTTCTCTGATTCTGGCTGGTTAGCGAAGTGTGTCAAAGGCGGGCACTTGGGTATTTCCCCTCCATGGATCCTGAGGTGTTTAATCATGTTGGTCATGCACCCTCCTCATATGCTTCGTCCTCGTTGGTGTCCAGTGGCTTCTTCGTTGGTGTTCGGCGGCTATGTCTTCCAGTCGAAGAGTTAACTTGGAATCGAAATTTTAAAATTTGAACGGAATGTTAGTCCCAGTCCCCATCGATGCTTGAGACTCAATGCCCAACCCTTATTATAATGCTTGCAGATTGATCCGCTGCTGTGCTGGAGCGGAGTGGAGCCGTTCTGGATCTTGTGGGTTTTAGCCGTAACCTTTCAAACTGACGACACAGAATCAAATCTTCTTCCTCCCTTTCTCCCTCTCAGAGCTGTGTGGAGTTGGGAAAACGAGCTCCGACCCCGATCAGAGAGAAAGAAGTCACTCTGTGCATGAAGTGTCAGGAGCCGTTCAACTCCATCACCAAGAGACGCCACCACTGTAAAGCCTGCGGACACGTATGTTCACCAAAACCAACCCTGGACTCATTCACATAGTTCCCTGATTGGCTAATATTTGTGGTTCCCTTAACAACAGCCACCATTCTTGGTTCCCTAACACCATCAAGGCATTCATACCATCCTCGATAAAACTCGGATTGTTCCCTGAACTGTCAGTGGACAGTTTTAGTTCCCTTAACAAGATCTGACAGTCTGATTCTCTCAACAGGAAATGTTTGGAGTTCCCTCAACATCCCACTGAGGTTATAAAGTTATTTGTACAACCTTAAATAATTGATGACTCTGATTGTCCTCTAAGAAACAGCACGCATTATTAGTTCCCTTAACAGAACTGAACCCTAAAATATTCCCTTAGAAACACAGGGGGTATTTGTAGACCCTTTAACAGTGATATTAGTTCCCTGAACAACAGCAAACTCTCAATTCTTCACAATTAATAACAGCTGACATTTGTAGTCGCCTTGACAACATATGACAATCTGATTCCCACGACAGCAAGTACTAATAGTTACCTTATAAACATTTAAGATATTTGAGTTCCGTTAATCACAGCTGACATTTATAGCTCCCTTAACAACAGACAGGTGAGTCTGTTCCCCGAGAACATTATTAGTTCCCTAGGAAAACAGTGAATGTTAATTTTCCTCTTGATACCTACTGACATTTGTAGTTCCCTAGAATATCTGATCCCCTCAACAGCAAATAAAAATTGTTTCCTTAATACCTTTCATGAAATTTTTGTTCCCTCAATAGCAGCTAACCAACGTAGCCAACATTCTTTGTTCCCTAACCATGGCTAGCATTTGTATTGTCCCCACTAAGAGAGGACTCTGGAAAACAGTAAATGTGATTAGTTCCCTTAAAATTGGTAAACCCTACAGTTTCTTCTGAGAGTAGCTGATGTTTGTTGTTCCCACAACAAATCACAGTCTCACAGCAAACACTGCATTATTAGTTACCGTGAAACCCTGCAAGATTTTTTAGTTCCCTCAATAGTAGACCCTAATTACAAGTCGACAACAGCAGACTTTTGTAGTTCCCTTAAAAACTGACAATCTCACACCCTGAGAAAAACTATTATCAGGGGTTTCCAATACACCACCAGTGATTTTTCGTTCCCTCAACACCGGTCAGTATTCATAGTTCCCTTCATGACTGCCAATAGCTTGCATCCATCGTTTACCCAACATAAGCTATTATTTTTTAGTTCCCTAAATGATCGACATTCTTGGTTTCCTAGGTGACAAATGCTAAAGATCCTACATTGACAGCAAACCGCCACAGCTGCCCAAAACCAGACGTCTCTAGGGGAAGGTCCCGCCTCCTTCGCCTCTGATTGGCTGTGAAACGTCATCACACGCTCAAGTCAAGTGCGGGCTGTGGGCTCTGTACATTGAACAGAATGTTATCGCACTTCTGAATCTCCTAACGTTAACCCGACAAACAGTGACATTTCACAGCCGTAAGGAGTAACCAATCGGAGCCCAGCACTTCTAGCCAATCAGAGGCGAAGGAGGGTGGGACCTTCCCCTACCATTCTACAAAAAAAAAATTCACGTCCTTAACAACCTACAGTGTTGTTAGCCTGGCCGGGCCATCCTGTTGCGTGAATCACTTGATGTTCCTTCCCACAACAGTCTGGACTTCGGCCCATAGAGAGCATGTATTCCCGATCAGAAAATAACCGGGCCAATCAGAGACCGTGTTTCCACTGTTACCTGGACAACAGGGAATGGCAGCCCCTGATTGGTCCATGTGTAGTGGTGATGTCTAACACATGCTGCAGGACTTTTCAAAGCCCTGTTCATTCAGAACGCCGTTAATTCTGCAGTTGACTCTGCAAAGTCGGCAGAAATCGTTTATATACGCAGAAGACGTCCGGTTATTTTCTGATCGGGAATCCACGCTCTCTATTGGCCGAAGTCCAGACTGTTGTGGGAAGGAACATCAAGTGATTCACGCAACAGGATGGCCCGGCCAGGCTAACAACACTGTAGGTTGATGTTTTTAAACATCCTGTTTTGTTGATGTTACCATGACAACGGCAGTATGTCAGTATGGCAGTATTGACGGTCTCCGTCCCCAGGTGGTTTGTGGGAAATGTTCAGAGTTTCGTGCACGTCTGTCGTACGACAACAACCGAACCAACCGTGTTTGTGTCGACTGCTATGCCATGCTGGTGGGAGCGTCACCCTCACCCGCCACGCTGACCAGCAGCACCACCAGGAGGCGCTCTATCCTGGAGGTCAGTGTGGCATCACTGTTTGATGTAACTTGGGTGTCTGTGTGTGAGATTTTATTATTTTTACTGAACTTTTTGAGATGAAATCAGTCATTGATGCTCTCCTCCTCTCTGTCTCTTGTTGCCATAGAAACAGGCCTCCCTGGCAGCAGAGAACAGTGTGATTTGTAGTTTTCTTCACCACATGGAGAAGGGAGGAGGGCGGGGCTGGCAGAAGGCCTGGTTTGTTATCCCTGAAAATGAGCCGCTGGTGCTCTACATCTATGGAGCTCCACAGGTAGGTCATTCATCAAATCTGCTGACGTTGCCCTCTACAGGCCATTGCGTGCATCACACACACAAGCATAGCCTGGGATTTCCACCGCTTCCAGAACGGCAACAATTTCTGCCATACACCAATTCCTACCGGATCTGTTTGTGAGGCGAATTTCGTGGCAGATTACGGACAGCAGGAACTCGCAGATTCACATTCAATCGTGCAATAACGAGTTGTCTCTATAAAGACAGCCACACAGACATATAAGCAGTAGATTGTGTCCTTCTAGAGGAGGAAATCTACTTCTAGACTTCTAGAATCAGCATCTCCCCATCCATGGTGTCATCGAGGTGAAATGACGTCTAAAAACCTTTCATTTGTTTGTCTCCGCCTGTTTGCATGGTGTGAAATACGATCCTCCTGAAATATGGAGTGTTTTATTTTGAAAAGAAGCCGGATGTTTTATTTTGTGTCTGTGCCCGACTTCTTTTCCAGCACGGGTTAATCTGTGCTGAATTTATCCAACATGCTCCGACATCCGGAAAAAATAGAACTCTTGCGATCCGGCGATCAGCAGAGGAACGAAAAGAAGCTGTTGGAAATTGACACGTTAACTTGAATGGTTATGATCAGCTACGATTGGCGGATACGACATTTTCTTAGCTGTTCCAGATGCGGTGGAAATTGCCAGTAATGATAGTTCAGGCATGTCACAGTGTCTTCTAGTCTTTGGCTGTGCTGAAATACCCATGATCCACTCTGATTAACCCCCTTAAACCAACTGTATGTGCTGTCTCTACAGGATGTAAAGGCACAACGCAGCGTTCCCCTTATTGGCTTTGAGGTCTCCCTCCCCGAGTCATGTGACCGCTTGGAGCGACGCCACGCCTTCAAAATCTCCCAGAGTCACCTGACCTTGTATTTCAGTGCCGAGGGGGAGGAGCTTCAAAGGCGATGGATGGACATCTTGTCTAGAGCTGGGAGGGGGGAGGAGCCTCAGATCCACAGGCCAATCGTGGAGAGTGTTGAGGAGGAGGGGGAGGAGCTAGCAGCTGCAGCAGACGGGGAGAACACATGATTCTATTGGATGAGAGGAACTGATGAAGAAGGGTTTATAAATGAAGATGATTGGACACCAGTATAAGCCAGGACACACACACACACACACACACGTACACACACACACACACACACACACACACACACACACACACACACACACACACACACACACACACTCTGAGCTCTCTGTGTATTCATACTTTGTCTGCATGATTCCTCCTCGCCACCAACACACCGATGAACGCAAGTGACCTCTCCACAGGAACCCTTAGAAGCACCTCTGGTTGATCCCCATGGACTGATCTCCACCTGTGCTGCAGCTGCGACTTTACATCAGGAAATCTGAAAAGAACAAAAATGAGGCATCATACAAACACAGATCCGCAGTTTGGAGCGCTCTGATTGGCTGGTTTGAACATAAAGCACATTAATGTTAAGAGACTGACTCCTCCTCCTCCTCACAATGTGTTGACCTGGTTGGTCACAGAAAGGTCAGGGGTTGTTATGGACTCCTTCTTTTGTTCTCCTCTTTATATCTTGAGCTGACGAGAGTTCAGAAACACACAGAGCGGGATTTTCCCACTTTGTAACGTCACAGTATCAAACGACTGATGGAAACCAAACACACAAAGTTAAACGAAGTATAATTGAGTCTGGGATCATTAGGGTTCATGCTAAATGTCAGACAGATCTTCCTGATATCGTGAACATCAGGTCTGGGAGTGGATTACGATGCTGCAGGATCAGGCTGAAGACTTCTCCTGTGGAATCGCTCCAAAATAAAACGCCAATGACTCAACAAGCACATGAAATCAGTCCAACTGAAGAAAGGAGTTCAGAGAGAACAAAGTAAAAGCTTATCAGAGAGAGTTTGGATCCTGGAAATCGACTGTTCAGAGGACTGCGAGGTTTTTAAACACAGAAGAAGAAAAAGACCAATGCGTCCTCTTTGAATGCACTTCTAAAACTTCTCATTTTTAAACCTAAATTTCCCCTCAAGATGAAACTCACCAGGTTTCTCTCTCATTTTTTTAAACCGCCCCCCAAATCTTCCCTAAAACTTCAGCTGCCTACGTTTCCCAGCAGGCTCTGCTCTGAGGTGTGGGTGTAAATTACCTGAGGCCCCTCTGCTGGTGAGAAGAGGGGCTGCAGTCTTTACAAAAACCTGTAAGTGGTTCATCAGAGTCCAGAAGAAAAGGGTGTCGGAGTTCGGGCTGGGTCCTCAGACTGATGGTTTTCTAAAACACAAAAAGACTTTGTGATTGTCGTCCATAAAAACACGAGACCTGCAGATACAGAAAAAAAACATGAAGACTCTTCATGCCTATTAATATTTCCAGCTGGGGTTTTTGGGTTTTAGTCATGGAAACAAGCAGGCTAAAGACACCAACATGAAGCTCTGAGAACTGACATTGTCCCGGCTTTTTATTGGCTCACTGATAAATTGTGAAAACTGGGTCCAGTAGATCTAGGGTTTTTGCAGGACTCTGATGATCCCGTGATGATGGATGTTTGTGAATTTTGCTTTTCGTTGGAGTTGGATGTAAAAAGTTACAGGTGGAGTTTTTTGGGGACATGGAAAAGGTCTGAGAGGAGGTACCCGGACTGGACTGAGCCCATCATATTTCTGTCGGGTTCAGGGACCGTTCCTGGACTCGGCGGTTCACTTTTGTAGTTGAATCCAGTGGTTAGACGGGGCCGATGTGAACTGGATCCAAGGAGGAGGTTGTTTTTTTATCATGTTCACAGTGGTACAGTCTTTCTGTCTCCATAAATGACTTTTGGACAAAGTGTTTTGATAGTGAAAAAAGCAAATATGATCAATATTATTGATATTATTATGATAATTCATATTCTTATTGTTATTCTGATGAGTCTATCTGATGCTATAATGAACAGACGGATCGTTGTTGGATATTTCTGTGTTTCTGAGTCGCGGTCGTGTTCGATGTTTGCTTGATGCAAGAAAAAGAAGAGAAACGTTATTGTAAATATAATTTATTCTCCTGAGACCGCTCGGTCATGTGACTATGTAAAGGTTAAAGGTTAACGCTTGCTTCTCCTTCACACTCTGCAGACCTCCACACAGCCAGGGCACAATTCTTTTTTTGGAGGATGGAAGGTGGAAGGTCCCGCCCTCGTTCACCTCTGATTGGCTAGAAGTGCTGGGCTCCAATTGGTTATTCCTTACAGCTGTGAAACGTCATCGTCTGTCGGGTTAGAAGATTCAGAAGTGCGATAATGTTCTATAATGTTCTGCCCGTGGTTGGCTTGAGCGTGTGATGACAGTTTCATCTTTTCTAGCCAATCAGAGGTGAAGGAGGTGGGACTTTCCCAATCAGAAGAATCAGATTACCGTGGCGACCATCTTGGCCTCGCTGTTAAAAGGTGAAGTTAAAAGGAACAGTCTGACATTTTGATAAACCCTGCTGTTCTCTGTCAGGTGTTTCAGGTCTCAGGTGCTTGTTTGCGAAGATTCGGAGGCCAGTCACATTTAACATGATACTTTTTAGGGTCGGCGATGGGAAGGAAAATTTTCCATGCAAATTGAAAAAATCAACATAATGAAAATAAGAGAGGGAGGCTGTTTTAGTCCCTTTGCATAGGTGAGACTCTGAGTGGCACTCTGAAGCTAACGTCTGTCTGAAAGCCCTGACTCGGGATCACAGCTTGTTTCAAACTGGGTTTATGTAAACGTTAACATGTTTCTTTGACTTCTACCTCTGCTGTCTCTGGCATGGTGCTCAGTGTGGGCATGGCTCTGCTTCTCACGGTGTGTTTTTGGTGTGTTTGTGGCGTGTGAAGCAGACTCGGTGCTGTGCTCTCGCGGTGGGAAAGAAGAAAATGGCCAGTATTTCAGCCTTACAGTTCCCCTCATCATTATCCGCCATCACCACCTGCAGAACAATGTTTTTAACTTTACTCTGAGTGACTTGTGTCCGTGAGTTTTACTTTAGAAGCTTTTTCTGACTGGTTCTGACCGGTCCCAGCCGGTTCTGACCAGCTCTGACCGTGTGTGTATGGTGTGAACAGTGGTGTGTTGTCCAGTGTGCACTCTCTTCATGTGCCAGCACAGATTCAGACTAAGATACCATATTTATATTCAGAGCTAGTGAATCGTTGGCTAATATATCAAACCTGCTTTTTGTTTAAATATTACTCGTCGTAACTTTGGGCTGGATACCACACCTGAATTTATCTTCATTTACAGTCTGAGTGTAGACAGACTCGACCTACAGATGAGCAGGATCCTGTTATCACATGATTTACATTGATTACGTTTTCTCATGTAGAATCCAAACCCAAGATTTTGACCATCTTGTTTAGTTCAAGGTGGGGTAGTCAGGATCTGAGGAAGTTCCAGTATTTGGAAGAAATCTGGAATGTAAACTCTACCCCTCCCAACCAGTTTTCCCCTCAGCTCCTCCTCTCCCCTCCCTCTCTGCTCCAGCAAGCCCCGCCCACAAAGACGCTCCTGCACGCTCGTAACGTTCCAATTAAATTCAAGATATAATGCAGATAAATACTTCAGATAATTACAAATGGGGCCCAGTCAATATGAAAGTAAAAAGCATTGGTGCTGCTGAAGATGCCAACAGACTACCAACAAACACAATGTTTGCAGGACTTCCACAACTAGGATAAAGTGACATAGTCCAGGACCCGAGGGAGGACAGTTTAGCGGCACTACAACACGCAGCAGGTCCGGTTTGACAAGAAACACTTCTGTTACAGACACTTGTCTTACTTTGTTAAACGTTTTACCTGTCCAGCAGAAAGGTTACAGGGTCACCAAGATCCCCAAGCGTCCCCCACAAAGATTGTATAGACAATGGACAACTTGGTTCCGCCTTCCACCAGTATATGGATTTGAAGCCGAAAAGTTCGAGGAGGCAAACAGCGTCCATTCTATATACAGTCTATGGTTCCCCATCAGTTATGTTGACCTGTCTTTTTAGCTCTTGTCCGGTCTACCTCCGTTTTAAGCGCCCGTTATTCCTCCAGAGTCTCCGGTATTTACTTCGTTTTCTTGCTTGTGTCGGCAGTCGAGGCCAAAGGAGGATTCAGACAATTTTCCGAACTTTCTGGTTGGTTTCTACTGTCCGATATTGTGGCACACTAACTTTGTTTGGGCTTGTAAAATTTATTCGAGGAGCGTGCCTCACAACTAATCAGCACTGAGGAGCAGCATCCGCCTCACAACCAATCAGGTCGGGGAGGCGGAGAACGGCTTTGTTTACAGTCAGAAAGAGCGTGTCGCTCAAAAATGTTCAAATGTTGACTACACAGGCATAAGAGAACACAGAGATATCGTTATATTCCCAAATGTCATCAATAACTAATAACTATTGACTAATATTAAAAGATTTTTTGTAAATACACCACAAAAAAAGATGCTGCTTTAACAGAATCCTGCCTACCCCCCCTTAAAGTAACTCCGTCTTTATGTGTTTTTGTTCCCACACACAGAGCCACCATGATTGTGAAGCTAACCAAGTGTTTAAGTAAGACGAGTGTGGTGGCATGCAGACAGTACAAGCTAACTGGTCAAAGTAGCACAGAAGGCTATCAGTGGTATAGCCTTCTGCACTCATTGGACTAGCTGATATTAAAGCTAACTGCTTACCTCACTATCATTAGCATGTTTGTCCCTCTGTTCGTCACACGCTCATAAAATAACTAATCCGGCTCATATTTAGTTGTAGCTGATTTTCTTGAATTAGCAGCAGCAGACAGCAAGTTCAAGTTTTTAAATATCTGGAGTAATACCATCAAGTTTTGATTGATTTCTAAATCAAAAGGAAATTTAAAGCTGGTCGAGACCAGTAAGAATCAGTTCTACTCAGCTAGTTAAACCAGATTTAAACTCGATCTGTATGAGGTACATGTGGTTAGAAACTGATTTTATCTGGTTTTAGCTGATTTCAATTGTATCTGTTAGGCAAGAGCAAGATAACATTAGTTCCGTCAGGTGTGAGCTGTTTCTGTCCAGTTTGAGCTTTTTGCATCAGTTCTGCATGGATAAACCTAGTTAAAAAAAGCTCCAGCTAAGTCTGAGTTAGATCAAACCAGGTCAACCTGGTTCAAACCAGTTCTGTCTGGTTTGAGCTGGTTCTGTTGAGTCTAAAACTGGTTCAGACCAGTTTGAAGGGTATTTCAGGTTAAAAGTACTTCTGTAGGGCTTTATCTGGTTTTATCTGGTTTAAGATGATTTGAACCATCTTTTTCAAGTTTCAACTAGTAATTTCTGGTGGAAACCGGTTCTGTCTGGTTTCAACTGATTCTGTCTTTGAACTTATTCTGTCTACTTTAAACCAGTTTATTATGTTAAAACAGGCTTTTTCCGGTTTGAACTGGTTCTGTCTGGTTTAAGCTGGTTCTTTCTGGTTGGAACAGGTTCTTTCTGGTTTGAACTGGTTCTTTCTGATTTGAACAGATTCTTTCTGGTTTAAACTGATTCTGTCTGGTTTAAACTGGTTTTGTCTGGTTTAAACAGGTTATTTCTGGTTTGAACTGGTTCTGTCCTGTGTAAGCTGGTTCTTTCTGGTTTGAACAGGTTCTGTCTGGTTGAAACGGGTTCTTTCTGGCGTAAACTGGTTCTTTCTGGTTTGAACTGGTTCTGTCTGGTGTAAACTGGTTCTTTCATACTGGCTGTTCTTTGTCTGTCCTGATTCCACGATATTCAATTCAGTATTTTGCCTTAGACTTTCTGCAGTTTATTGAACTTTTCCTGTGCCAAATCCGACGATGGGTGGCTGTCAGTGTTTAATCTGTTTTTGTATTAATTTATCTTTTGTAATCCGCAGTGATATTATCGGTTCTATTCATTTTTTTACTTCCTGATCTGATGCTGACCAACACATCCTTTTCCTGTTAAACCGTGTCTCCTCTTATTCCTCCTTATCAGATGCTCAAAGTGTCATGGACTGTTACTGGCTGCTGTTACCACTGAGACCATCAGGATTTTCTCCTTCTATCGTAACCAAACACACAGACTCTGAGCTGATGCTGAAACCTGCATGAAACCAAACCAATACAGAGGACTTTAACAGCTCCAGGTGTGGTCAAACAGATAAAAAACGTAACCAATCAGGGGAGGACTGGGCCATGATGTCATCCAGTTCATTGACATGAATTTTCGTAACCTGGTAACCACTGGGTTTCTGGAGCAGTGAGTTACCATGGTTACTACCAAGATCCCAGTCCTCCTTCTCGGTGTTGCCATGGTGACCACTGAGGCAGGCCTTATATGCGGTGGAGCTGCTGTGCTTGCATTACCATGGCAACCACTGCGCTCAAGTTACTAAGACGACAAGCCTTCCCCCTCCCTCTGGGTGTAACAGCAGCATGGTTGTGTATTCCTCTTCTTCTCCCTGTTGTACTTCTGGTATCTTGTTCTTATTTCCTATTGAGTATTGATTGATTGGTTGCAGGTGATTGGTCAGTGGCCGGCCACTGCCTACATCCTGTCCCTGTCAGTTTCCCATCATGCACCTCTGTAAGAAAATACAATGAGAAATGTTTATGAGGTCATCGATGAAATAAAAACATTAAAACTGCTGAAATTATGAACTGATTTCTCCTAACACTGCTGGAGTAATACTACTTCTTCTACTACAATGCTAGTACTAAAATTCTTCTTCCATTGTACTTAAGAGCTAATATTACTGTACTGCCGCCATAGCACAACAACTACAGCCTTGTCACCGCTGTAATACTAGCACTACAACTATCTACATGGCTACTTATATAACAATAGTAACTTTTATTGCTACAACTTCCTTCTGTAAATCTATAATGTTTGGTTTACAGATTTTAGTGAGTTCAGAGATCATGCGCTCATACAGCCTGAGCTGACTGTCTGCTGTTTTTGGATTTCTTGTATTTTCTTTGAAGACGCGCTGTGTCTCCAAGCGAGTCAAGCCTCTCACCTGAAATGCGCAGCTGTGCAGCGGCACGCAAAGAATTCTGGGATACCAACGGCACGAAAGCGTGCATAAATGCACGCTTGAAGAATGCTAAGTGCGCTTAGCATTTTGTGCCAAACGGGACACCGTTCGTGCTGCTTGATGACATCATGCACGCTTCAAATGCGCCGTTATGTGCCGTTCGACGGTTGCGGTCTCTGAAATGGGACACAGGAAGGGTACATAACGGCACATGACGGCACATAACGGCAGTGCACTCAGCTAAGCGCTGTTAAGCGCGCTTATCCCGATTCGGTCTCTGAAATGAGACACAGCCTGTATAAAGAATGGACAGACTCTGCCTCCTCGCTGGGTGAAACCACTCCGAGAACAACACCCTCTGATGGTGGGCTGCAGTACAGGTCATGAATCCCGCCTCCGCCAGCAAAGCTTATGGGACTGTGGACAAACTTTTTTCTGTACAGCTCTGTTTTTAAAAGTTATTAGGGGGTTCATGTTTTCTATGATTGACACCTGGTACAGCCTATGGGCGCTCAGGGATTGCGTAGCTCACCCGGGGGGATACGCTGTTTGAGCCGAGCGTCATCACAGGGACTCTCGCCGACTGCGCAGCCGAATGCGCGCATCGCTACTGCGCAGCTCTGGTTTCAAGGAAGTGGAGAAAAACCTGGAATTACCGAGAGCTTTTTGGCTTCAAATCCGTATACAGGCGGAAGGCGGAACCAGGTTGTCCATAGTATATACAGTCTTTGGTCCCAATACAGCCTACCTAGCCTTGTCCTTTCTAAGCTCTTTCTTCTGGGGTCCTTAAGCCAACTTACAATATATCAATGCAAATATCTCATAATACGCTCCATGTAAAAAAAAATATTACTACTACTACCACTACTACCACTACTACTACGACTAATAATAATTAAAAAACGTAAAATAAACACAAACAAATAAACAAAAAGAATACATACAAATACACAATACTACTTCTTCTTATTCTTATTCTTTATTTATCTCAAATTTTAAGAACAAAAAAAAAAAACCAACTAGAAACAAAAACACCGAACAAAAAAAATACATATGTACACCAAACAACTGTACATGTCAAAGATAAATTAACAAAACATATGTATGTGTCAAAAATAAACAGTTTGAGAAGAAACAGAATGAAGCAAGAAGCTTATCTAGTCCTGACCCCTCCTTGCAAATTAGAGATTTAAAGAGAAAAAATCTATTTGTACAAATTACAAAGATCTGTATAAATAAATATATTTTATTCACAAAGATACCTGCTCACACTCAATAGGTTACTTATTATAATTACTTGCATATTATAATAAAAATTAGTGTTATAATATTCGGAATTAATATTACTTTTATGCAGTCAAGTATATCCAGTATAAAACCATATTTTTTGTTAATCCACTAATATCATTCTTTTAATACTTCTCTTTAGTTTGATTTAAATATTTTTATGTTACAATACATAAACAATAACAAAAAGCTCCTGAGTCAGCAGTAATGTTAAGTATTTAGATATCATAATATTACCACAGGTCTACATATATTATGTATATCGAGCACACGTTAAGCCTTACTTTTCTTTCACCCTTTGATACTATACACACACACACACACACACACACACACACACACACACACACACATATATATACATATATATGTATATATACACACACACACACACATATATATATACATACATACACACGCATACACTCAAATTACTCGCCATCTAAATGTTAAATTTTATATTTAAACTGAATTCATTTAACTTTTTAACTTTTTTTAAAAGGCTTAACAATGCACAAAGATTTCAGTAACTCAGAACAATGGCACATAAAATAAACACAAAAATGTAGCCTTATAAAAAAGAAAATATGAGTGCAAATGTGTTTTTTTCCAGCGCCGTCAGAGACAAACAGACCGTCTTTAAAGTGAGATAATTCACACCGTCAGCAGCTTGGTTTCTTCTCTGATTGGCGTGTATTTACCGTGGTCATGACGCCATCCGGCGCTGATGAAACGCGGTGTAAAATCAAATTTTCCATTTACACCGTTTTGCACTCCGCCCGCCCCTCCGTCTACATTCTGCCCTCCGATTAATCAACTCTCCTGTCACTCTGAGCTCAGCCGATTACACGCTGAGGGGGATGATGTCACCGCGGACTTCCCCTCCCACGCGCTCGCTTCCCGTAAGTGAAGAGACGAAAACAAACAAGATGGCGGACTCGGCTGCTCTCTGACAGGCAGCAGCTCATTGGCTCTCAGCGAATCGAGCTCTTCTCTCATTGGCTGACGGTGAGAAGCGCAGCAGCTGATTGGACTGTGTCAGATCAGTCCAGGCGGTTAGGCCCGTCCCCTGTCAGAAACTCTCACATAGAACCAGAACATATAGAACTCACCTGAGAGTGCAGGATGACTCAGGATTTAACCATTTTAATTCAGATTTTATTTCTGAATTTACAACAAAACATTGAAGTACATCAGTGAAGAACATTTGCGCTGTACAACTTCATGTTTTCATCCGTCAGAGGGACTTTGTCTTTGTCACGAACATTTGACAGTTTCATGATTTTTTTTTTTCAGTTTATTAAAACAAACCAAAAAAGTCTACTTGATGAGACGTTTACAGATTTGTCTGTTCAGTCTTTTTGTTTTTGAATTTGATAAACGTCAGCTCAGCAGATCTGAAGAATCACCTCCACTTACCTTTGTAACAGGTGGATTTTCTGCACACGGAGCATCATTTGTAAAGTTGTGCACACCAAGACAACACGTTCTCTCTATAATGAGCTTTAAAATATCATACAACTATCTGGAGACCTATCTATCATGTTCAGAGCAGTAATTGTGAACACTGTCATATAAACTTTTGTTAAAATTAAAGTCACTGTTGAAGTTAAACACTATAAACAAAAAAGTAAATTTAAATCTAATTTTTAAATCTAAAACCCTATTTTAAATGTTGCATATGGAGATTACATGTTGATGACAAAATTAAATTCAAATTACAATATAAATCCTAAGATTAGGTGTTCATGTAAAATGTAGGACATAAAAATGTACATGGATTTTATAGTAAATTTAGACTGAAATTAGCCTTAATGTTAAAATTTGATTAGTTTTTAAAAATTGTCATTTTGTTTAGAAATTCCACATCCCAATGATAGGTTAAGATTTATTAAGCTCCTTTTGTAGTTTTCAAATGGTTTAGATTAAATGCAGAGATATAATAATTATAATAATAATAATAATAACAACAACTTTATTTTCATATCACTTTCAAAAACAGAAGTTTACAAAGTTCTTTGACAAACAGTCGTTTAGCACAGAACATCAGCACATGGAAATAAAAACAAATAAAATCCAAAAGCTCAATTGAAAACAAGTCCTCTGAATTTAAGGCCAGTTTAATTTTTCATAAGAAACCCAAACAATACAAGAACCTTATAACATAAAATGAGACCATGAGGACCAAAATAAAACCAAAACATTAGTTAAGAAAAAGAAAATGCAAAAAAAGGGGGGTAGAAAGCAGGAAACAGGATAGTAAATATAAAAAGAAAATATTTATAATGATAATAACATCATAATAAAATAATAACACACACCCACTCTCACTCACCCATACATACACACACAAGCGTTCCGAACATTTTATTATTATTATTATTATTATTATTATTATTATTATTATTATCATTAGTCATTTGTTATTAGCCTCTCCAAAAGCACCCCTGCACCACTGTAATATTACAAATGTTTTACTTTTTTTGATTTAGTTGAAGGAAACTTGTTGATAAAAATGTGGGATTATGACACTGTGGTCCAGAGCTGCTCTGTCTGATCTATGTGCTGTAGATCTATGTATCCAGTTGCTCCACACTCACACTGTCTGTCTGTTTTTGTGTGTTTGTGTGTCTGTGTGGAGATCATTCTGCGGTCCAGTCTTCAAACTCTCCCGGTACCTCTCGGCAGACTCGAACCTGTGACTGAGTGGACCACCATGCCCACTGCCGCTGCTGTGATTCTGTGTTGACTCTTTGATCCCGCTGTGGCTGCTGGGAAATAAAGCTCCTCTCTGTGAAGTCGCTGCTTCTTGTGAAACGTCTCCGTCTGTCTGCTTCTGGAGAAATGTCAGCCGTCAGCCCGGACCAGGTCCAGACCGGAGAGCCGAACCGAACCGGAGCCGAGCCGCAGCAGCAGGAGGCCGGAATCCTTCAGCCGCAGACCGTGTTTGTCATCCTGGACTCGGCTGAAACACTCAATCTGGTTCGGTGAGTGCGGAAGTTTTTGGAGGAACCGTTATTTCTGCTGCGAGCAAACCCCCGAACCAAACTCCATTCAGAAATCTGCATATTTATCACTTATTGAACAAAGAGAATTCAATCATATCGTTAGTGTCTTCTTCTGAACTCGGCTCATGAATTGTACATTAAACGTGCTTCCTTCGACGAATGTCATTATGTAGAAATACGGAGATGAGTATGGAGATGAATCGCATAATAAAGTGACGGTTTTGTTTTAAACCAAGTAACGAAACTATTTTCATCCATGCCGAACAAAAGTTGGGTTATTAAGTTGTCAGAAAAAATGCGTAATTTGTTCTGACAAGTTGATATAGATGTCAATTTGATCAAAATGTTATAATTTTCACAAAAAGTTTGGTGCAAAGGGTTGTCAAATTGATAAGATGAAGAGTAGAAGGTTGGTGCTGAAGATAACAGTGTCAGAGGCTGAAGAAAGCAGGGCCGAACTGACATGCGGTCTCTAAAGATTCACACTTTGCTTTGTCATGTTTCAGGTGTCATGTAAAAAAAAGTCACCCCTTAAAATGAGAACTAAATAATTGGAGTCTGGTTGAGACAGCTGAGATGGTGGTAGCACCAAAGTGCTGAGTGTGGGTGTTAAATAACGTAGAGATGATGAAAATGACCATGATGATGATTGTATATATACTATGACACTTATGACACTTAGGAGAGCAGGTTGTTGTTATAACTCTCTGACCTTTGACCCCTGATCCTCTTTGCCTCCTGGTTCAATGAGTCATCCTGCATTAACGCGCACGCACGCACGCACGCACACACACACACACACACACACAGGCTGGTTCTGTCATGTACTTTCCCACCAAGAAAACAGAGACAGACAGGCGGAGCAACAGGTCCGGGCGAGTTCAAATCTCCTCAGTGTTGCCCCCCACCACACCCTGTCAACACACACACACATATATATACACACATACACACATTAGTTATGTGTGTGGTGAGACAGAAAGCAAAAGTAAAAAAAATGCAGGAGGCGTCTCTTTGCTTGTCATCTGTTTGTGATCAACAAACTGACTGAGGAGGAGAAGCGAAGATGTCACAGTCAGCGTTCAGAGGAAATTAATGTTACCACAGAAATGTCTGATTCATGGGCTTCAAATCTGAACAACCATAAAATAGAAAAATTGGATCTTTACAGTCTACAGCATCACATCATCCACTTTTAACACCCCCCACCTCGTCAGTGAGTTTATTTTGGCCACATTTCCTGTTTTTACACTTAATTAACTATATGTAATGATATACCAGAGAATCCAAACAGTCTTAAACACTCATCCCCAATTTCCACCGCATCCTGAACATCTACAAAAAGGTCGTATCCTCCGATCGAAGCTGATCATAACCATTCAATTTACACCGACTTCTTTCCGTTCCTCTGCGGATCACCGGACTCCACAGCCGATTGCAAGAGTTCTGTTTTTTCCTTTACGCTGGAGCATGCCAGATAAATTCAGCACAGATTAACCCGTGCTGGAAAGGAAGTCGGGCACAGACACAAAATAAAACATCCGGCTTCTTTTCAAAATAAAACACTGTGTTTCAGGCGGATCGTATTTCACACCATGCAAACAGGCGGAGATGAACAAGTGAAAGGTTTTTAGACGTCATTTCACCCCGATGACACCATGGATGAGGAGATGCTGATTCTAGAAGTAGATTTCCTCCTCTGGAAGGACACAATCTACTGCTTATCTATGTGGCTGTCTTTATAGAGACAACTCGTTATTGCACGAGTGCTCGTGAGTCTGCAGGTTCTTGTGAGTTCTTGCGATTCCTGTTGTCTGTAATCCATCACAAAATTTGCCTCACAAACGAATTTGGTAGGAATTGGCATACGGCAAAAATTGCAGCTGTTTCGGATCTGAGCCGTTTCGGAAATCCCAGGTCAGGTGTCGGCAGGCAAACAGTCTGTATGGAGAGCAAAAGCAGGCAGAGCACAAACCACCATCAGTGGTAATGTAGTTTTTGACAGTGAAACTGAGTCTCATGGGGTTCCTACCACAGAAATAAGCCAGAGTGAAGCCTCTATGATACTCGGTCTTAACCATGAAACTGGCACTGACCAGGTTATAATTGCTGGAGTGAGCCAGAGTGAATCCTCTGTGTAACTTTCTGTTTACAATTAAACTGAGATTCACCAGAAATAGATGAATGAGGGTGGAGATGTGACAGACAGAGGAATGACGGAGTGGATTGAGCAGACAAGTCTGGAGAACACACTGACACTGAGTTAATAACTGACATGGAAATGAGAGTCTGAGGACGTCTGTGACTGTCAACAGTACAAGTTGGTCATAATCTGTGCAGTTGTATTAATGATGTAATAATAAGTCACCGATGAATGACTTTGGTCTCACAGGCTGCAGAGGAGCTGATAGAGAAGAAAAACATGTCCATGGCAGAGGTGAAAGAGTAGACCAGGTCTTCAGGTGTTTTTCTCCCCTTCAATAGTTTCCAGATGTTCTCGAAAACAGAGACACACCGTGTTCTTATTTTTAACTGAGACACTTTTTACAGTGTAGACCGTCTGTTCGGCTGCGTCCCATTTAGAAACCAGCAGCACCTTCAGGCTGCATTCCATGTTTGCTAAAGTTTGCAGTTTCCAGATTTTCATTAAGGTGATACTCCAGTACTTTTGAAGTCGGTTTATACACTCGCAGTAGGAGGTTTTTACTCTGGAGTACTGCAATTTAATGTTAGCACAGCACCTTTGTCAGTGACTGCAGGTCTCACCGTGTTTGTTCTGGGGATTCAAGGACCTGCAGTAGCCCCCAATTTTCACAGCATCCGATGCGATTTTCGCCATCCGCCAATTTGTACAAGATCTTGCTTGTTTCCTCGTGAGACATTGAATGAGATCCGTCGATCAGTGTATCTAAACACCCACATCCTACAACCCTAACCTCTCCCATTATCACGTATTGACTTTCTTTTATTTTGAAAATTAAACGGATATTTTACTCTGTAGCCGCATACAACTTCCGCTGCTGCCCGAGCTGCGCTGCACTAAATTGATGTGCTGTGCTGCAGTGTCCGGCAAAAATAGAAGCCTTGTGTATCTGATACAGCTGCTGGAGCCGATCTGCAGCGGAGAGATTGTACGGAATCACACACATTGATTATTGCTTGTGTGTTTGATCTGCCTGCCGGAGCGGAGCCATTCCGGATCCTGTAGGTTTTAGCCGTGACCCGGGATTTCCACTGCATCTGGAACAGCTCCGATCCAAAATGGTGGCAGTTTTCGTTGTACGCCAATTCCTACTGGATCCGTTTGTGAGGCGAATTTTGTGGAGGGTTACAGACAGCAGGAATCGCGAGAACTCACAAGAACCCGCGGATTCACGTTCAATTGCACGATAACGAGTTGTCTCTATAAAGACAGACACATAGACATATAAGCAGTAGATTGTGTCCTTCCAGAGGAGGAAATCTACTTCTAGACTTCTAGAATCAGCATCTCCTCATCCATGGTGACATCGGGGTAAAATGACATTGAAAAACCTTTCACTTGTTCGTCTCCGCCCGTTTGCATGGTGTGAAATACGATCCTCATGAAACACGGAGTGTTTTATTTTGAAAAGAAGCCAGATATTTTATCTTGTGTCTGTGCCTGACGTCCTTTCCAGCACGGGTTAATCTGTGCTGAACTTATTTGACATGCTCCGGTGTCCGGAAAAAATAGAACTCTTGCGGTCAGCAGTGGAGTCCGGCGATCTGCAGAGGAAATCTGCAGCTATGATTGGCGGATACAGACTTTTTGTAGCTGTTCTGGATGCGGTGGAAATTGGAGGTAACTCAGCGCTGTCTGTAAAAGATTATTCTGTACTAAATTGACTGTGAAGGAAAATTTGACTTAATTAGTCATTACCAAACATAACATTTGTGACTGTTTTGAACCTTTTTATTGGCGGATGGATCAGAGGTTACAGATCAGACTCACCTGATCGTATTTCAATGCTCTGAAATATCACAGAAGTTAAACCTCACTGATAAAAATCACTTTGAACAACAAACACAAGCTTCACTTTACCTGTTCTGGCAGCTTAATTCCAATTTACCCACTACAGAGATAGGGTACACAGGCTGCAGCGCTCATGGTCCCAGCAGAGGGCGCTTACGTCACACACCAAACACATTAACCTAGTGGAGCACCAGCATGGCTACATGATCCCATACAGTACGAACACAATTAAAATCATGAGAAAACCAGATAATAATGAAGGAAAGTTCATCATCAATCAGATCCACTGATTTAATTTAGTTTCCTAGAATTTCCCATGATCCCCTGCTGCCATTTGTTCATGAGCGGCACCCAGATCTGGGTCTGCAGGTTTTTTTTACAGTGTAGAGGAAGTGTGTTTGGACGCTAGATTACAGGGACATGACTCAGCAGAAAACACACACACACACACACACACACACACACACACACACACACACACAGTGAGTAGGAATGAGGGCAGTTTAACTCGAGTGCTGACAGATGTTTTTATTTTATTTTTTATTATTTTTTTAAATACAATTAGGTAAGAAAATGATTTTTTTCCCTTTTTTCCATAAACAACAACACAACAAAACAAACAAACAATGACAAACCGCAGGAAATAAAAATAAATCCCTTTTGCCCACCCACCCCCAACCCAGTCCTACATATTTGTTGCAGTACTACCACTCATCCTTCACGTGTACTATAAACAAATAAACACATACTCAGAGAGAAAGAGAAAATAAAATAAAAGGGGAAAAGGAGTCATACCAATAGAAGTTGAATTCCCAGCTTGTCGGGGTGGGGTGGACATCAAAGATAGGTGTCATTTATCCTGCAGTGTCTTTAATTTAGCGATGTAACTAATCATGTAGCCCCAAGCCAGGTCAAATCTTTCAGGGGTCCCCCTCAAATTGTATTTAATTTTTTCCAGGTCCAAGTGCAGCATCAGGTCCTTAAGCCAGACAGAGGCTTTGGGGGCAAATGGTGACTTCCATTCCAATAAGATTCTTCTGCGTGCTAGAAGAGAAGCAAAGGCGATGCTATCCTTAAACTTTTTCTCGATTGTTTGACATTCTGGTAGTATCCAAAGATAGCCAATTCTGCACACGGCATCAGTTATGTGTTAAGTGCTTCTGTAAGATGTTTAAAAACAGCTGTCCAAAAGGCTTGCAGACAGGGACAGGACCAAAACATGTGGGTCATGTTTGCTGGCGACAGGTGACATCTGTTGCAGCTATCTGTGATACTGGAGTAAATCTTAGACAATTTGGAATTAGTAAAATAGATACGATGAACAACCTTAAATTGTATCAGATTAAGCCTGGAGCAAGACGAACTGTTATTGATCTGGGTCAGGGCTGAATCCCAGTTGCTGTCATTAATAGTCCTGCCAAGCTCCTGTTCCCACTCTGTCCTCATTTTGTCCAGAGATGTCTCTCTGAGATGAGAAATTAGAGTGTAAATTTTGGAAATTAGGCCTTTTTGATTTGTGGGAATGTTCGAAATGGAGTCAATGACTAAATAAGGTGGAATATTGGAAAAACAGGTGCTGTATAATTTAACAAACTAACGGACCTGGAAGTAATAGTATTGGTGAGAATTTTGAAAGGTTACATTTTTTGCACAGTTCGCTGAAGCTAGGAAAGACATTATTAATGTAGAGGTCACTTACCCTAACAAGGCCTGAGCTCTGCCTAAAAGAAAATGTATTATCAATTCTGTGAGGGAGAAGACAGATGATTTTCTTTTCCATTCTTCTTCTGTGGTGTTGTTTTCACGCAGAAAAGATATGTGTGTGTGTGTGTGTGTGTGTGTGTGAGAGAGAGAGAGAGAGAGAGAGAGAGAGATCAGGGGCCTGTTCTACGAAGCAAGTTCGACCTAGCGAGGTAGCCTTGGAGCTACCTCGCTCAACTTAGCGCGGTAGCCAGCGGTCTCGCTAAACGGTCTTATGACGCTGGTTATCAACCTCGTAAGTTGATTCAGCTTTGCTATGAGCGCGTGCACGCATGTAAGGCGGAGCCCGCCGCATCTGACCAATTGTGAACATGGACCAGTCTGGAGCGTCAGAGCAGGCCAGAGAGCGAAGGACCACAGACTTTACAAACGAGGAGCAGGAGACGATCATGAGAAAGAATGAAGAATTCAAATCTATCATAAACCTCAAAAGCAACACCGTCGCCGCTGCAAAAGCACGAAGGGAATGCTGGCAGAAAATTAATCTTTGATGCCATTATCACCCTGAAATAGCACTGTTCAACATGCGCTTTTAACTAAGGTGACCAGACGTCCCCGATTTCCAGGGACAGTCGCCGAATTGGATGATCTGTCCCTGGCTAAAGCTGTCCCCGAAAATGTCCCTGATTTAAGCGTTTCATGAATGAGAACAAAAAAGTTGCATTGTGGGCAAGAACAACGGTTGTTACAGTAGGTAGGAGGCACAAGTAAGCAGTCCTGAACAACAGTATTTACGGGGTTATTATAAGGGGCGTGTGCTGCTACTAAATAGTACTGAGATGTTGTCTGTGATCACACAGCCCCTGCAGCCCCTGCCCATTCATTTCCAAGATGAATTCATTCATTTGTTAATTCCTATCGTGTTTACATGTTTTGTGTGATATGTCGGCCATATGAGCCTTTCATAAAGGTGGTCATCCGGAGAAGTAAGTGGGTCCGTGCAGTCCCTGTAAACTCTCACGCGCCTGAGTGCTCCTCGGACAATGCGAGCACCAAGGTCTATAGGATCCTCCAAGAACGGACAAGCCATTTTTCGAGAGAGCTCATTGGTAAGTGGGCGGGGTTTTTATACTCCGTGAGTTCAATCTGGAACCTAACCTGCCCTGGAGTAGGTTAGCCGTTTAGCATATGTTGCCATGGAGACTCGCCTCGCTAAGAAGTGAACCCGTGTCGTAGAACAGGAAACCCCGAACTTACCCTCGAAGTTACCTCGCTAAGCAGTAATCCTGCTTCGTAGAACAGGCCCCAGAAGCAGCCGTTGTTGTTTTCTTCTCATCAGTCAATTTGATCACAGCACCATCTGGTGAATGTTACAGGAACTGCAGCTCTGAGGTTGCTGATTGGTTAATTCTCTCTCTCTCTCTCTCTCTCTCTCTCTCTCAGGGTGGAGTCTGGAATCGTCGCCGACATCGAGGTCGACAGTTTGTTGCCGTCAGACAGCGACAACTTTTACCAGATCAAGAGTCAGCCAATCAGCATCAGGTAATACTTACTCCTGGCCTCTGACCCCTGACCCCTGACTCTGGCTGTATCTGCCCCTTCTGAGTGTCTTGTGGAGGTTCACAGACACACTCAGATGGTCTCTGATCCTTAAGTGAAGATCTGGAACCATTTGAAGACCTCACTGGAGATTACAGGCCTGAGCTCTGTGGTCCAAACTGGAACCATTAACCCTTCAAACTCCCAGCTCTCAGTTTATGGAGCAAAAATGATGTAAAATGAATGTAACAGTAGATTCAGAACCATCAAAGTTAACCAAAAAACAAAAACGGACATTGATCCCAACAGTACTTTGTTCAAAAAACACATAAATCTACAGTGACCAAGCCTCTTCTCACCTGCACATCATTCTCTCAAGTCTTGGTTATCAGGAGAAGAAATATTGGGGTTGGAACAAACACACAACAGAAACTATTGACATGTTTACATTAAGGCTGCGCGATATTGGAAAAAACTAACATTGCGATTTTATCAACCCTGCGATATATATTGCGATATTAAAAAATAGAGGAATTTTCACCAGATGACACATGGCTATGATGTCATAAACGTGAGCCGACGTGAGTCAGGACGTCACAGGTTTGACCGTTTTCAGCGTCTAAAAGTGGCCTAACTGAGTTCATCGCAGGCTCTGCGATGTGACTATTGCACACACATACATCGTAATGACGATGCTCAAACGATATATCATGCAGCCCAAGTTTACATGAATTCTTCCAGGTGTGGAAGAGAGGAAGAGGAGAGTGGTTCACCTATTCCTCTCTCTCTCTCTGTTTGTAGCTCACCAGCAGCAGTTTCTTCTTCCTCATCTTCATTGTCCTTGCAGTCAACCATGTCATCCAGGTAACAAACAGACACACACACACACACACACACACACACACACACACACACACACATACACACACACACACACACACACACACACACACAAAACGGTAAAGGGAGAAACTTGAATGAGAAATATCTTCCCTTCAGGGGGCGATTTGCACTTCATCTGAAACATTAAATATAACCTCCTCTCTACCTCTTCCTCTCCTCTTCCTCTCTTCTTCCTCTGCCCTTCCTCTCTTCCTCCTCCTCTTCCTCTCTTCCTCTTCCTCTCCTCCTCTTTCTCTTCATCTCTTTCTCTCTTCCTCTCCTCCTCTTCCTCTTTCTCTTCCTCTCCTCTTCCTTTCTTCCTCTTCCTCCCTTCCTCTCCTCTTCCTCTCTTCCTCCTCCTCCTCTCTTACTTTCTTCCTCTTCCATTTTTCCTCCTCTCTTTCTCTTCCTCTCTTCCTTTTTCTCTCCCTCTCTTCCTCCCCCTTCTCCTCCTCTCTTTCTCTTCCTCTCTTCTTTTTTCTCTTCCTCTCTTCCTCTTCCTTTCTCCCTCCTTCTCTCCTCCTGCAGGGTTCTGATGCGTCAGGATCTGATGCGTCAGCAGGCTCTGGAGGAGGAGCAGAAGGAGGCGCAGCAGCAGCTCCTCCGTCCGTCTGACTCCTCCTCCCCTATCTCAGTGTCGGTGTCCACCTCCTGCAGACCTCCTGCTCAGGTCCCCGTGGAGGTGTTGAAGGTATGAGGAGGAGGAGCAAATGTTTATTCAGGTTGAGCTCAGAGATGTTCCAGTTGTTAAAAATATGAAAACATCCTGGCTTTAGTGAAAATAAGGGATCCTACACTTCCCAGGATGCACCTGGAGCTGGACTGACAAAGATGTTTTTGTCTCAGGTGCAAACTCACCTGGAGAACCCCACTAGGTATCACATCCAGCAGGCTCAGAGGCAGCAGGTGCGTCAGTACCTCAACACCACCGCCAAGACAGCCAATCGGGAGCCAGTTGGAACACAAGCCCACTCCACCCAGCCAGGTCCCACCCCCAAACTCCAACCTGCGGACAAAAGACAGAAACAGGAGGTAAACGCATGAATAATAATCACTCATGTATGGAAGTAAATCTGTGCCATCGGATTATGAATTTGAATTTCTAAAGCTGAATTTTTTGCAACAAAATCAGACTTTGAATTTCACGCACACATTTTTATTTTGGACACTAATTTTTTTCACAATGATGAAATAAATTCAGTGTGAAAAAAAAGGGTTTCTCAAAATATTTGTTAAGTAAAAATTCGACTTAAAAAACTGTGTAAAAAAAATTCAACATAAAAAAATTAAGTGTCTAATTATTCAGCGTCAAAAAATTCATTTAAAAGAGACCAACTCAATATTCAGGTAACCAGCAATTGTATGGAAGTAAATCCATGCCATCTGATTTTGAATTTGAATTTCTACAGCTGAATTCTTTTTTTTTTTCATCAAAATCAGACTTTGAATTTCAAACACGCATTTTTATTTCTGACACTAATTTTTTTCACAATGATGTAATAAATTTAGAATAAAAAGAATCTGTCTCTCAAAATATTTGTTTAGTGAAAATTCGACTTAGAAAAAAACTGTGTAAAAAAAAGATTCCAATTTAAAAAAATTCAGTGTAAAACAGACCTGGATGTTGACTCGGTCTGTTTTACACTAAATTTTTTGACTCTGAGTTATTTGACACAAAAAAAATTTTTATGTTGATTTTTTTAAAGTTTAATTTTTACTACAGGAATATTTGGAGAGACCAATTTTTTTTAAACTGGATTTATTCCATCATTGTGAAAAAAGATAAGCGTAAGAAATAAAAATTCAACTAAATAAAAAAAACTGTGTAAAAAATAAAATCAATGTAAAAAAATTCAGTATAAAACGGACCTGGATGTGGAGTCAGTCTTTTTTACCTGGAATTCTTTTTACACTGAATTATTTGACACTAATGTTTTTCTTTTATGTTGAATTTTTTTACAGTTTTTTTTTTTTTTGAGTCAAATTTTCACTAAACAAATATTTTGTGAGACCGAGCATAAGAAATAAAAATGTGTGCTGGAAATTCAATGGTTTTGAAATTTGAAGTCTGATTTTAATGCAACAAAAAATTCAGCTTTAGAAATTCAAATTCAAAATTAGATCGCACAGATTGACTTCCATACTCTTTCATGAACATATCCCTGCCGGCTCGTTCTCGGTGAAACATTAAAGGAGCAGTTCACAATTTTCGCTTTGCTCAGCAGCTTCTCAGCTCTTCCTGTCTCACTCACAGTCTGCTGAGTCAGCAGATCACAGGATCTGACTCAGCACAATCTTATACCTTCATTAAACCACACACAGAGTCAGGAGAACCTCACACGACAGCACAGATACAGTTAGAATCAAAGAGTTACAGATGAGCCCTGTGCACAATTTTTTTTTTTTTGTAGGGGCAGGTCCCACCCTCCTTCGCCTCTGATTGGCTAGAAGTGCTGGGCTCTAATAGGTTATTCCTTATGGCTGTGAAACGTCATCGTCTGTCAGATAAGTGTGATAATGTTCTGCAATGGTCTGTTCGATGTACAGAGCCGACAGCCTGCGCTCGACTTAAGTGTTTGTTTCCAGCTTTTCTAGCCAATCAGAGGCGAAGGAGGCGGGACTTTCCCCTACCATCCTCCAAAAAAAAAACAAAACGCGACCTGTACTGCACCCAGTCAACAGTCTGCTCTCTGATTGGTTCATTCAGATGGAGGAGACTGTCATCGATGACATCATCAGCCTGGAGTCAAGTCTGAATGACGAGTTTCTGACGCTGATCGACTCCGGACTGCAGCTCGCCAACACGGTAAACAAAGAGTGTGGATATGTTTCCATCGACTGATTTCACCCACCAGTTCATGTAGACAGTTTATTGATTTATTTATTCTTTTATCGACTTTTTTGATTGATTGGTTTATTAATAAGGGGGCTATTAGGCGTTTGTGACCGTGTCAGATCAGGCTCAGAAAAAAAAGGAGGCTGAGTCTGAAAGTCTGTGGAGGTGAACCTGCTGCAAAACAGCTTTCACATAAACACACAGGGAGTCTCCTGGCCTAAAAACTACATTTCCCATGATCCCACAGGAGCCGGGAGTTCAAACATTACATAACCACAAAAATTTAGGTGGTACAGAGCAATGCTGAGAAAATGTCTCCGACGGGTTTCCCAGGTTTGATTTCACTACTGTCCTGTCCTGAAATAAAAGCTGAAAAATCCTGAAAAAAATTAGAGGATTAAAAATGGACTTGTCTGAATTTCAGAAAAATTACAATTTTTTTATCTAAAATATTTAACAAACAAAAAAAGCAAAGAAAAAAAGAACAAGTGGATATTGAAGATAATGTAAAAGTTTTTAAAATGATTTTTAAAAATATTTTAACAGTTGTTACAACCTGAAAAAAATTTCATAAAACACAATAACACAGGATGAAAAATATGAAAACAAAAATTTTATTTTTGTGAGAAATTCTTTTTCTTGCCAAACCATTTTATTTAGTAGACTGATTCTGCATTTCCAAAAAAATGTATGTAATGTAAAATATTTCAATATTGTATAAAATGTTTTTCCCACATTAAATTTTCGTGTTTCTTAAAAAATATATTATTTTTTAAGTAGTACTCACCATGGTTTTTTTTCGTGGTCATGAAATGTTTGTGCGTTTGGCCTTCAGGGCCTCCATACAGTCAGTGTCTTTGACCAACAGACAGCTGACGGTCTGTTTCCTCCTTGTTCATCAACTCATTTAAGAAACAAAAGCAGAAGATCAGATCCTGCAGCAGCAGGGGGAGGAGCCTTTGTGTGTGTGTGTGTGTGTGTGTGTGTGTGTGTGTGTGTGTGTGAGAGAGAGAGAGAGAGAGAGAGAGAGAGACAGATAATGAGGGAGGGTTTTTGTTTCTTAAAGAGATGTTTCCCCATTTTTTAACAGTCGTTCAAACAGAAAGAGGAAGAGAAGCTGCTCTGTGTGTGTTACTGTGTGTGTGTGTGTGTGTGTGTGTGTGTGCGCTCGTGTGTGTGTGTGTGCACATAGATGTTTATATGTGTGTGTGTGTGTGTGTGTGTGACAGGGACCAGAGAAGATGAGGATTTTAGTTTTACTGCCGGATCATGAGAAGAGGAGGATTAAATCAGAGGTAAAGTTTCTGTTGTTGTTCAGGTTAGTTGTGACGGTTTGAGTTGTGACCTTTGACCTCTTACCGAAACCGTCAAGTTTCTGAGGAGGGAAATATCAGGAAGTATCAGAAAAATCAGAAATTAGATTTTTGCTCTGAAGAGGAGGAAGAGAGGTCCGGTCAGTTTGAGGTCGAAAACTTGACGAAGCTGAGCTTTTGTGCTGCTGTTAAAAAGCGTGTGTGTGTGTGTGTGTGTGTGTGTGTGTGTGTGTGTGTGTGTGTGCTGTTATCCTCAGCTTTCCTTTTCGATCAGCAGATTCCTGTGTTTTTCTGCAGAGACCTGAGCTGACTCCGGGTCCGATCCAAGCTCTGAGCAGCTTGGTCCAGATGATGAGCAAACAAGCTTATCAGAGGTTCTGATAAAAGGCTCTGATTTTTTAGGAAGTATTTCAGACAAATGCAGCTGAAAAATCCAGAAAAATTAAAAAACCATTATTACGTTCTCAAAGGAAACTTCAAGCTCCAGTGAGGAATTTCTTGTCCTGAAAGTTGTTTTCGGACTAATGTCTTATCCTGTCGCCACCGTGGATGTTTCCTGTTGGACAGGTTTACAGAGTAGCAGTTTCGTTTCTCTCTGAGGTCGATAGAAAATGGAAATAACCAGTAAATGTCGTCATTAAAAGGACGTAAAGCTGAAATAAATCACTTTTAATAGTTGTGAAATATGTTCAGTCTCAGCTCCTCTGCTTTCGTGTTTATTCTAAGACTAACCTCAGACTGATGATAAACTGTGTGTGTCCAGATAAGACCGGATATTCTCAATCATACTGAGGGGCTGAAAACCTTGTTAGAGGTGTTACTTTTTACACAGCTCTGTGCTCATGAAATGACCTTGAGGTGAATTTAATGTTTGTTTGTGCGTGAAGCTGAATTCAGATTAGGGAGACACTCTGACCTTTGACCCCTGCTGTAAGTCAGTTGTGATAAGTCCCTTTCTCTCATGAACTCCTGACATTTCCCAGATAATCTCAGTCCAGATATTTCCAGGAGAAAGATTTTTTTGTTGGCTGGGAAACGTCATCGTCTGTCGGTTTAGGGTTAGGAGATTCAGAATTGCGATAGTTCTGACAGCCCGCACTTGGCTTGAGCGTGTGATGACGTTTCCCAGCCAATCAGAGGCCCTCACCATCCCACAAACAAAAGAAAATTGCACTCCTAGGAGTACGACAGACGATTGGTGCTTTCCATTTACCTCAGAGAAAGCAGAGCAGGATGAGGTGACAGCCAAGTTTGCAGTCGAGTAAACCCTCATGCTGGGAAATTTAAGATGCATTCAGTGACACTTTGGCTATTTTGACAGCCAATCAGAGCTCACGATGCTCCAGGTATCCTCTTACTGGTCCGTTTCAATGCCTGCTACTTATTCTGCACTCTGATTTTTGTTCATTTTAGCTGCCGGTGTCGGGAAACATGCTGGACGTGTACAGCAGCAGTGGAGGGATGGCCACTCCCACCATCACCGTTAGCAACAGTTGCCCCGCAGACCTGCATGCCGTCAAGAGAGAGCTCAGCGGTGAGTGAGACACATCAACGAAGATGAGCAGAGTGTGTTTATGTGCAACCCTGCCAAAGTAAGAAGGAAAGAAAGGAAAAGGAAGGATGAGTAAACGGGTGACTGTCATCAAAACTGTCGCTCCACATGTCGGAGAATTTATTTAGGAACTTCTTTTAGAGTTTCAATAAAAAAATGAAGTATTAACTTAATTTTTATCATCGTCTCCATCATGGCTGTGAAAGGGCAGAGAGGCTCATGTAACACTCTGCAGAGCTGGACTCTGATCAGGCTTCACTCTGACCCTAATCAGAGTGAAGCCCCGCCCCCTAAGTGTCCCTAAAATCTGTTCTGTTTGATGAGTCAGCGTCACGACTTCCACACACACACGCACACGCACACGCACACTCAGCCTGTCGTTTTCCCCTCATCATCAGTTCCCACTTCCTGTTCAGTCAACATGAAGGTTTGTTCTCCAAAGTAGAGAACACTCTTTCTGCTGATTCTTGGTTTCATGAGGAGAATCAGCTGAAAAAGTTCACACCAAACTGTCTCTGATCTCTGGACAAACTCCAAAACAAATCAAATCATGAAAATCTCCTCTAAACTCAAACTGCAGCTGAAAAGTTCTCCGTTTGAATTTCTGAAAACTTTAAAGAAGGGACTTTTTCTCTCGAAAAGAAACCGAGAAAAGCCCGGTCTCTCTGTCTCAGGGTTCCTCTCCAGGTAGAGGTAAGCTAAAGTGGATCATGTCAGTCAAGTGGTGTTTAAATGCTCTGATTTGATCCAGCTTCATGTTTTTGAATATTTAAAGATGAAGTAGTCAGGATCTGAGGAAGTTCCAGTTTTTAGGGGAAATCTTGAATGTAAGCTCTACCTTTCCCAACCAGTTTTCCCCCTAGCTCCTCCTCTCCCCTCAAGCCCCGCCCACAAACAGACGCTCCTGCTCGCTCGTATCGTTCCAATTAAATTCAGATATAATGCTGATAAATACTTCAGATAATTACAAATGGGGCCCAGTCAAGGTGAAAGTCAAAAGCATTGGTGCTACTGTAGATGCCAACAGACTACCAGCAAACACAATGTTTGCAGGACTTCTACAACGAGGATAAAGTGACATAGTCCAGGACCCGAGGGAGGACAGTTTAGCGATGGCGCTACAACACGCTACAGCAGGTCCGTTTGACAAGAAACACTTCTGTTACAGACACTTGTCTTACTTTGTTAAAGCGGTTTACCTGTCCAGCAGAAAGGTTACAGGGTCACCAAGATCCCCAAGCGTCCCCCATCGTTTATGTTGAGCCGGCTTTTTAGCTCTTGTCCGGTCTACCTCCATTTTAAGCGCCCGTTATTCCGCCAGAGTCTCCGGTATTTACTTTGTTTTCTTGCCTGTGTTGGCAGTCGTGGCCAAAGGAGGATTCAGACAATTTTCCGAACTTTCTGGTTGGTTTCTCCTGTCTGATATTGTAGCACGCTAACTTTGTTTGGGCTCGTGAACGACACGGGGGAGCAGCGTCTGCCTCACAACCATCAGGTCGGAGAGGTGGAGAACGGCGTTGTTTACAGTCAGAAAGAGCGGGCCGCTCAAAAATGTTAAAACGCTTTTTTGGAAATACACCACAAAAAAGATGCTTCTTTAACAGAATCCTGCCTACCCCACCTTTAATCTCACGAGTGTAATAATGTGAAAGCTAGTTTTGTCCAGAAGTGACTCTGTGTGTGTGTGTGTGTGTGTGTCTGTGTGTGCGTGCTTTTTTGTAAATACACCACAAAAAAAAGATGCTTCTTTAACGGATTCCTGTCTACCCCACCTTTGAAGAGATATTCCGGCGTAAAATTGAATTAGGGTCCAACACACCGTACCACCGAGTTAGACACCCCCCTCCAGAGTTGAATGTTGCCGACCGCTTGCTTCTCTAGTTATACCAACTTTGGTAACGACTGCAGGATAGCAATACACAGCGGTCTGAGGAGCCATAAACAAACCTCAACCAAAACGCCACTCTATAAAGTGTAGCAGCGCCAGCGTCAGTACGGGGGGCGTGGTGCGTAACGTGCCAGTGCGGACATTTTGTCAGACATAACAACACTAAGCGCATTGAAATGAATGAAATTAGGATGACATTAGGTTTTAAAAACCAACTATTTATTCGCTGACTACACAGTAACGGAGAACGGAATGGAGAGCAAAACTTGGACTCAACATTCCATACAGGGACAAGCTGAACAATGAAGAAAGAGAGTGTTACCATTGCTGGACTCGACCCATATGAACACACTGTATGGTCAGAAGATGATTCGAGATGTTACCACCACTTAACCGAGTGCATTTGATGCTCAGAACAGCACCTAACTTCATCAACAGTACATATAGGGTCCCAGCCGGAGTTGTTCAAAGTTGTTTTAACTCCTAAGAAAACAACCTAAGGAGGGGTGTTTCTCCACTTCTGTAGTCTATAAACTGAGCCAAGAAACTTCTACTGTAGTTAGATGAAAAGGTAAAGGTGTTTTTATTGAGCCAAATCTTAATAAAATTATGATTTTGTTAACAGGTATGAATATGTGTGCTTTTGAGTTAGTATAAGTGAACAAGAGCACAGTCAAGTTAAATCAGCTAATTTTCAAGTGAGCTTCTGTTACTGAACTCTGTGCTCTACTCAGCTTAGTACATATGGGGTCCCAGCCATAGTACCGGCTACCAAACATCTTTTTAACTTTGACTCATTTCTTTAGTAAAGAGACTAAACACAACTCACCTACTCTCTTCCAGCAGCGGCTTGTTTGTAGCGAGACCTTAGGCCAGTCCATTATGGACTACAGTGGGGTGACGCAGCTCAAGGAAGAACATTTATGATCATTTCTTCATGGAAATGCAATCAGACCAGCAGAAGAACTACTGTGTCTGCAGTGCTAAAGAGTGGCATTTTGTTGAGTGCGTGGCTCCCTGTATTGCTATTCTGCGGTTGTTACTAAAGTTGGAATAACTAGAGAAGCAAGCGGTCGGCAACATTCATCTCTGGAGGGGGGGTCTAACTCGGTGTTACAGTGAGTTTGACTATAATTTAATATTTCGCCAGAATATCCCTTTAAAGGTGCAAAAAGAAAAACCACAAACTTAATCATTTTCATTCAAGTAAAGGTTAAACCCATAGACTGTATATAAGATGGACACCGTGGTTCCGCCTTCCGCCTGTATACGGATTTGAAGCCAAAAAGCTCTCGGTAATTCCGGGTTTTTCTCCACTTCCTTGAAACCAGAGCTGTGCAGTAGCGTTGTGCGCATTCGGCTGCGCAGTCGCCGAGAGTCCCTGTGATGACGCTCGGCTCAAACAGCGTATTCCCCCGGAAGAGCTATGCAATCCCTGAACGCCCATAGGCTGTACCAGGTGTCAATCACAGAAAACATGAACCCCCTAATAACTTTTAAAAACGGAGCTTCACAGAAAAAAAAAGGACTTGGGCACAAACCAGTCTTACTGTAACTATACATCATGTACATGTAAGTCAACATCACAACCAGGGGGGCGAAAAAATTATGTTCTGTGTAATACATTTTTAAAGTTTGTCCACAGTCCCATAAGCTTTGCTGGCGGAGGCGGGATTTATGACCTGTACTGCAGCCCACCATCAGAGGGTGCTGTTCTCGGAGTAGCTTCACCCAGCGAGGAGGCAGACTCTGTCCATCTTATATACAGTCTATGGTTAAACCCCATAAACATGTCTACACCCACACACCTGCTCTGGATACTCTGAGTCTGTCCTAAAGGAGACCTGTTTCTGCTTGGGGTGTTACTTTGTACACAGCTCTGTAATCATGAAACAACACTAGCTTAAAATACTTAAAGCAGAGTGATGTTCTGACTGATGATGACGGTTTCATGGTTCCTGTTGTGTTTTCAGACGTGGAGGCCAAAGCTTTGATCAAGGAGAGACAGAAGAAAGACAATCATAATCTCAGTGAGTACGACGTCGTGACGTCAAATCAGAGTTTTTCTTTTTTTAAACCGAAATAAGAGAGAACAGGAGCTGAGTGTTTTATGATGGGCCTCTCACTCCTCAGTCTTTGGTTTCGACATGTTTGATTTCCTGATGACCAATCTGCTGACAGAGGATTTCAGCGTTTCCACAGAGTTTGACTTTTAACTCAAGTCATGACAAAATAAATATGAAGAAATATTGACCAGTGTTGAATCATGTCGAATAATGTCGATAAAGTAGAAGTCATGAAAATAAAAGTGATTAAAACATCTAACAGTCTGAATGACTCAAAATCAAGTCTGGGAAGGTACGAAAACTATAATACAGTCAATATAGAATGATAAATTATAATGGAAAAATATATATATACAAAATATTCATGTGAAATTATTGATCTAAAAAATGAAATTATTATAGACTGAAGTAAAATCATAGGAATAGATTTTTAAAAGTAATGTGAAATAATGTATAAAAAAGTGTCTACATTTAAAATTATATCTCAAATAACGTAAAGTCATATAGAAAAGGTGTAATGTGAAATTATGTGAAATTGTATAAAAAATATAAAGTAAAATAAAATAATGTGAAATAATATAAAATGATTTATAATAATATAAAATATTTGTGAAATAATGTTAATTATTATGAAATAATATAAAATAATAAAAATAATGTAAAAAAATATAGAATAATATAAAATTGGTCAAATAAAGTGTTTTCATTTATAATTATATCTCAAATAATGTAAAGTCATATAAAAAAGTGTCATTTGAAATTATGTGAAATTGAGTAATAATATAAAAATGTGATATAATATAAAATAATATACAAAATTATAAAATCATATAAAATAATATTGATAATATAAAAATTGTAAAAAAATAATGTGAAATAATATGAAATTATATACATTAATGTGAAATAATATATAATATAATAAAATAATGTGAAATTATATAAAATAATATAAAATAATGTGAAATCACATAAAAATAATAATAATATAACGTAATAATGTAAAATAATATAATCTAATGTGAAATAATGTTAAATATTATTTGAAATAATGTTATTATATATAACAATAAATAATTATAAGACAATATTGTTAAAATATATAAAATAGCATGTTATAATGTAAAATAATGTGAAATAATTTAAATAATGTATTATAATATGAAATCATAGAAAATTGTGTAAAATAATATAAAATCATGTGAAACTAGAAAAGCACTCGGAGAGCGCAGACCTCCGCCAAGCAACTCATGTCCCCCCTTAAACAAGAAATGTCCTGACTGTGATTCCAACCCTGGACCTTCTGGTTGTGCGGCGACAGGGCTAACCACTACACCACTGTGCCGCCTATCTACTCCACTGTGCCGCCCATTGGTTATCTTTCAGCATTGAAAATTCCAACAACACTCTTATTTTTGTGTGTTCTGAATCACAGTATCCAGAATTTTGTCTGGATCACCGCCAAAATTTAATGGGATCCTCCTGGGGCTTAGACGTACCTCTGGTGAAAATTTCAGTTCATCCGTCTGTTACTTTATCCGTAAAGTTGCTAACAGACAAACAAACCAACGCTACTGATTACATAACCTCCTTGGCGGAGGTAATTATGTGATATGTAATAATATCAAATAGTGTGAAATATTGTAAAATAATATACAATGATGTAAAATAATGTGAATTAATATAAAATAATGTAAAAAATATATATTAATTTAAAATAATGTGAAATAATATGAAATGATATATATTAATGTGAAATAATGTGAAATAATATGTAATGATGGTAAAAAATGTCTTTTTTGTGAAATAATATAAAATAATGTGAAATTATATTTAATAATGTGAAATAATATCAAAGTATATGTAATGATGTTTAATAATGTGAGATTATATAAAATAATAAGAAATAATATAAAATATTATATAATTATGTAAAATAATGTAAAATAATATTAAATTCTGTGAAATAATGATTTAATTATGTGGATGATGATTTTGTCTCCAGTTGAAAGGAGGAGGAGGTTCAACATCAACGATAGAATCAAAGAACTAGGAGATCTCATCCCTAAATCCACCGACCCGTGAGTATCACTCAGTACACTGTTTACTGCAGTACTTCTACTATAGTACACAACAGTACACCGTTTACTGCAGTACTTCTACTATAGTACACAACAGTACACCGTTTACTGTAGTACTTCTACTTCTACTATAGTACACAACAGTACACCGTTTACTGTAGTACTTCTACTATAGTACACAACAGTACACTGTTGACTGCAGTACTTCTACTATAGTACACAACAGTACACTGTTGACCGCAGTACTTCTACTATAGTACACAATAGTACACCGTTTACTGTAGTACTTCTACTATAGTACACAACAGTACACTGTTGACTGCAGTACTTCTACTATAGTACACAATAGTACACCGTTTACTGTAGTACTTCCTGAATACTACACAACAGTAACACCTGGTACTACAGCTCTTCCCCCCTGACAGTTTTTAGTGTGTATTAGTACACATTGTTGCGTCTCAACACTCTGTGACAGTTCATGTTAGTCCTCCTGCTTGTCTGTATGTTCTGTGCGTGTGCTAACGAGGCGTGGCCTGTGATTGGTTGATCAGGGAGATGAGGTGGAACAAAGGAACCATCCTGAAGGCGTCGGTGGATTACATCCGCAAACTGCAGAAAGAACAGCATAGAGCGAGGGAGATGGAGGAGAGACAGAGGAGGCTGGAGAACACCAACCAGACACTACTGCTGCGCATCCAGGTGAGGAGGGGGCGGGGCTTCAGGCTTTCACTCTCAACCAATCAGCTGGAGGTCGAATTTAGACCTCTCTCTGTTAGACTTGGTATTGTGAATACCGTTGAGATCTGGTATTTGTAGTTGTTACAGGATTTTGTAGTCCTCATGCTGAAGTTTTCGAAGTTTGAATTTCTGACTCGACGTTTTTAGGAGTTGGAGCTTCAGGCTCGCCTCCACGCCCTCTCCTCCTCCTCCTCCTCTTCACCTGCTCCAAACTCCACATCCCCTTCTTTGGACCCCCAGGCCCTGCTCTCCCCCCAGCTGTCTCACCCCTTCTCCTCATCCTCCCCCTCCTCCCCCCTGGTGACCCCCTCCCTGGGTCTGGACGCGCTGAGCTTCGTGGAGCTGGACGAGCCTCAGGCAGCGTCCGGCGTCTTCTCCCCGGATCTGATGAGCGAGGTGGAGCTGACGGAGCTGCACGGCCTCGGGGACATCCTGATGGAGGAGGGGGGAGGAGGAGGAGAAGGAGGAGTGATGTCAGACCCCCTGCTGTCTTGTGGAGCATCAAAGACCAGCAGCAGGAGGAGCAGCTTCAGCATGGACGAGGACCTCTGATGACATCATTGCAGACAGGTGATCTGATTGGCCGGGGCTGTTTTTTTTTTTTTTTTAATGAATAGAACTTTTTTATAACTAGTTACATCATCGAACACCCAACACATGCACGTGACATCACAGGGAACCATGGCAACCACTGTGTCCCGGAGTGTAGACGTGAACCTGAGCAGACCAGCTGCGGATTGGCGGAACACTGATTGAACTCACAGCTGACTGGTTGACTGAGGTGCAGCTGGTGGGAGCTCCAGGTGTCTGCAGGTGATCAGAACCTCTCCGTCAGTTCACCAAAATAAAAGTTTGAGATTAGGGTTTTAAAAAAGTGTGGCAGTTCAGCTGAAAACAGGAACTTTTGAGGCTCTGACGTTTAAAAATAATTTTACATAAATGAACAGAAACTCTCCTCTGAAGGGTGTCCGACAGGACTGAATTTTCAAATTTCTGAATATGAACATGAAGACGGACTTAAAGCAGATTTCCTGAGGTGTTCAGAGAAATCCAAAGAGCTAGTGAACTAACCGGCTAGTTAGTTTAAGTTACTAATGTCTATTCTGCAAATCGACAGCCACTAAGACAGATGTTAACACTCAAAACAAGAAATAAAATAAGTTAAAGTTGAGCGCAGGAAATGAAAAGCATTTTCTGCTCATGAGGTTCAAGCACAAACACACCCTCAAAGTTTGTGCAGTTTGCTCCAGTGTTGCACCGGATGAGTACTGAGCTGGCAGCATCACTCAGTGCGTTTATATGCACAGCTTGATCGGACTAAGCTCATAATTCGTTTTTTTTTCGCCCAATCAGACTTCTCTCCTTGTCCGCGTGTACATGCAGCTGAGAAAATCGAATTATTGACGTGAACATGTCCTCCTCCCCAAAACTAGGGGGCGATATGGGTCTTTTCAGCAGCGCTGTTTCCAACCACATACAACCGCCAACACCAACAGCAGGTCTGTGCCAGACATCAGAAGTGTCTACAACTGCTGCTGGGCATTTTGGAGCAAGAAGATGGAGCATCGTACAGCCTTAACTTTTGTCCTATATGATGGACGCGCTACTATTTTTGCAGATGAGACGCACGCTACTCTTTTTCTCTGGTGTTTTTGTTATGGGGTTACGGGGGCATGGCGCACATGCACATGCATTGTCCGATCATACTCTGACTACGCTGGTTACATGGTAGAGAAAATCGAATTCCAATTGCATTATCTTGGTGTCTTCATCAGAGTTCTTAGACTTCGATTATAGTCAGACTAAGGTGTTTACATGCACTTCAGTTGTCCAGTCTTAATCGGAGTAAGGCGATAATTCGGTTTTCTCGAGTGGCATGTAAACGTACTGAATCTCTGCTGCTCAGAGCTCTGCTGTGCACACTTCTATCCACATATATGATGAGTTGAGTGGAAAGGGGAGCGTCCACTCCAGATTATTACACAGTTGATTCATGAAAGATTTGACGGGTTTGATCCGCCTTATTTCCTTGAGCTGTCTCATAAAAAAGCAAATTTAAAAATCACCCTCATGTGTAATAATGACACAGTCTGTATGTGAAAGAGGGTCCGCCATGAGCAGCCAGAGACAGATCCAAAGTCTTTTTGGCTCATGTTCATGGTGCAAAAACGGAGTCATCTTTTTATGAAACAGGCTCTTACCCCCAATTTCCACCACATCCTGAATGGCTACAAAAGGTTGTATCCTCCGATCGTATCCATTCAAGGTAACGTGTCGATTTCCACCGACTTCTTTCCGTTCCGCTGCATATCGCCAGACTCCTCAGCTGATCGTAAGACTTCTATTTTTTCTGGACACCGGAGCATGCCGGATAAATTCAGCACAGATTAACCCGTGCTGGAAAGGAAGTTGAGCACAGACACAAAACATAAAATACAATAAAAACATTGTATTTCACACCATGCAGACGGGCGGAGACGAACAAGTGAAAGGTTTATAGATGTCATTTCACCCCGATGACACCATGGATGAGGAAATGCTGATTCTACAAGTCAAGAAGTAGAATTCCTCCTCTAGAATGACACAATCTACTACTTATATGTCTATGTGTCTGTCTTTATAGAGACAACTTGTTATCACGCGATTGCACGTGAATCCGTGGGTTATTGTGAGTTCTCGCGATTCCTGCTATCCGTAATCCGCCAAGTAATTCACCTCACAAACGGATGGTGGTGGATGGATTGGTGGAGGGTGAAAATTGCAGCCGTTCTGGATCGGAGCCATTCGGGATGCTGTGGAGATTGGGGGTTGAAGTTTTACCCTCATTCTTTTGTTTATCAGCCGCTTACAAATGATGTTAGACATGTTATACTCTCTCCAACTGGACAGGAGTAGAACAGCAGGAGTAAAGTGTGACTGAGGTTCATTTTATTCGTCCAAAGAGGCTAAAGAGGAACCGAGATCCAGAAAGTTACCTTCTAAAAGCAGAAGTTCTTCAGGTTCCTCTTCAGCTGCAGCTCTGGAGCTCCTGGAGTCTTGACAACACTTCTCAGATGATTCTTGTAAATATGACTCTGTAGGTAAACTCATGAAACTTTAATCACTGTGTGCTGGAAACAAACTCTAAGGAGGAAAGAGAAAAAACTGATCCGTCTGTTTACACCGTGTCATTGATCAGGTTCATTGATGAGAATTTGATCTATTATTATTGATGAATTATGATCTGCTTTGTTTGTTAGGATCTTCAGAGGAAACAAAGGGAACTTAAGAAATAGAGATAAATTTTTCTTATCACTGTCACTCAGATCTGCTGTATCAGTTTTCACATCCATTTATTCATTTATTGGATTCAGGCGTCAGTCTGCCCCAGAGATCGCTGATTTTTATCAGTTAATAAAACTGTTTACGAAGTTTTCTCCCAGCTGTGATCAAAAACACTGTTATTGAATATCTGTGGACAGAAAAACACAGAAACTCACTTTGGCTCCTCTCACAGCCTCCATGTTCGATCAGTGTGACCTCAGTTAGCTTTTAGCTAACATTAGCGAATGCCGCAGAGTTCGTATGAGACTAAAATATAAATATTGTATTTTTCTGCATTAATGAATCAGTTACTGGAAGAACTGAACATAGTCCTCCTTGTCAGAGGTTTTTTTCTGTTATTATAAATAATTCATGAATTTGGTGAACCTTTAGCCTGTGAGCATTATTTGTATGTTTAGCTAGCTTAAAGCTGACAAGCTAGCTGTTAACTTCACAACTCTGGTTGGCGTTGGCGATTAGCACAGTAACCGTTTGACCATTGATGAACTTTTTTATAGCTAATAGCTAGTTGTTCGCCATGGCGATATCGTTATTTTTACAGCTAATGAGCCAGTGAACAAACTCTTCTTTTTTCGCTCTTTGCGACAGTCACAATAGTAGTTCAGCTTAGCCTGCTATAGTTGATAGCTGTTAGCCGCTTTGAGCTGACAAACAGCTAGCTAGTGCTAAAATTATGCTGCGTTCCAGTTACCTCGGAAGTCAGAAGTCCAAGCTAAAACTGGCGTCACACCCAAGTTCCCAGCGTTTCAGTTACCAAGTCGGAAAAAAGCTAAATCGGAGGCCTGAAGCAAGATGGCTACATCTACCACAGTTATTTTAGCGTTTGCCTTGTCCAAATATAAGGTAAGCGCTAAAATAACTTTCGTGGATGTAGCCATAATTGGAGGTAAAAAAAAGACAGCTACATCTACAAAAGTTATTTTAGCACTTAACTTATATTCGAACAAGGCAAGTGCTAAAATAACTTTCGTAGATGTAGCCATCTTGTTTCTGCCTCTGATTTTGCTTTTTTCTGACTTGGTAACTGAAACGCTGGGAACTTGGGTGTGACGCCAGTTTTACCTTGGACTTCTGACTTCCGAGGTAACTCGAACACAGCATTAATCTCAGTTTAGCTCAAACTGCAGTTGGCCATGTTTATTCAGTCTTAGCTACCTCGGTAGTTAGCTCTGTCCCACCTAGCTAAAATAGTCAAACGACGACTCCGACTGCTGTCCTGAAAAAACGTTTCTTGAGCTCAAACTGACCAGCTGTGATGCCTTCAAATTTAAATCTGTTTTGTTCCCTCACTCTCTGATTCAAAGAGTAAAAATTGAAAACACAAACGCTGAAGCTCGGTCAGAGAAAACGTCCACCTGTTACCATGGCAACAGCAGCCAACGCTGCAGGAAAATTGATGTTCTTAAAGGGATTGTCTACAGTTTCTTGTGAACCTGCTTCACATCTGAAAATGATCTCAGTGTTTCATTCAGCATCATGTTGGTTTTTATAGATTCTCTGTGTGTCAGATTTAAACTTTTATAAATAAATCAAATCAGGAAAAAAGAACAAACTCGGCTCCACCTTTTTGTCCGTCTCTCTGTTTTATTACAGGACGATATTTTTCTTTGATACAGAAACATTTACATCCTACAAACATAAAGAAATTAGTTTTTTATTGATTGAATGGTTTCATTTTCATCATTTGACTGACATTTTACTATGTGGTAAAAACTAGAATATGTTAAATTTTCATTTTTGCACCTAATTATTAATTCACTAAAGAAGTTGGTTTGTTATTCATTTGATAAACTGACATCACTTTATCCACAGAACGGTACATTTGAATTCTTCATCTAAGGGTGGTGTAGTCAGGATCTGAGTTAGTTCCAGCTTTAGGAGAAATCTTGAATGTAAGCTCTACCCCTCCCAACCAGTTTTCCCCTCAGCTCCCCCTCTCCCCTCCCTCTCTGCTCCAGCAAGCCCCGCCCACAAACAGACGCTCCTGCTCCCGCGTATCGTTCCAATTAAATTCAGATATAATGTAGATAAATACTTCAGATAATTACAAATGGGTCCCAGTCAACGTGAAAGTAAAAAGCATTGGTGCTACTGTAGATGCTAACAGACTACCAGCAAACACAAAGTTTGCAGGACTTCTACAACTAGGATAAAGTGACATAGTCCAGGACCCGAGGGAGGACAGTTTAGCAGTGCTACATCATGCTACAGCAGGTCCCATTTGACAAGAATACTTCTGTTGCAGACACTTGTCTTACTTTGTTAAAGCGGTTTACCTGTCCACCAGAAAGGTTACAGGGTCACCAAGATCCCGAAGCGTCCCCCATCGTTTATGTTGACCCGGCTTTTTAGCTCTCGTCTGGTCTGCGATATTTTTTTTTTGTACGATGGTAGGGGAAAGTCCTGCCTCCTTCGTGTCTGATTGGCTAGAAAAGCTGGAAACGTCATCACACGCTCAAGCCAAACGCGGGCTGCCGGCTCTTTAGTTAGAAAGAGCAGGCCACTCAAAAATGTTAAAATGTTGACTACACAGACATAAGAGAACACAGAAATATCGTTATATCACCAAATGTCATTAATAGATATTGATATTTAAAGCTTTTTTGGAAATACATTACAGGCCAAAAGTTTGGAAGCAAGGCCATTACAGGCTGAACAGTTGGGACTAACTTCAAGTTTTTGTTCACAATGCTTTTTTAAAAATCCAGCATGAGTTTCATGTATTTTTAGATGTATTTACTCCATGATCAGATGTTGCTTTCATGGAAATGCGCCATTTTACTCCATTTTCTACAAAAGCAGAGGATAAACATAGCATTGTCACCAGTAAGAGAGATCGGTGAAAGACAGCACCACAAATAAGGGAGGAAATCAACATGACAAGGTGGAAACCCATATCTCTGACAACTGTGAAATGACGTTTGAGAAAGGCTGGTCTGAAGGGTTGTGTATCTGCAAAAAAAACACCACTTCGTCCACAGAACAAGAAAAGAGATATGAGTGGGCAAAGGTTCACAAAAATTGGATTTATGATGACTAGAAACAAGTTTGCACTGTTTGGTTCAAAACGCAGAGTCTATGTCCGCAGACAAACTGGTGAAGGACTGAAAGCACCATGTGTTACACCCACAATTCAGCATGGAGGTGGTAGTTCCATGGTATGGGGATGTTTTGCAGGTGATGGAGTAGGAGATTTGTTTGAAGTAAAGGGCATCATGAAGAAGGGACAGTACCACTCCATCCTCCAGCACCATGCTGTTCCATCTGGACTCAGACTTGTGGTTTATAAGTTTGTTTTGCAGCAAGACAATGACCCTAAGCACTCTGCCGAGCTCTGTCAGGGTTACCTAGACAAAAGAGAAGAGGAAGGTGTTCTTCAAGAGATGGTTTGGCCCCCTCAGTCTCCAGACCTTTCTCCAATTGAGCTTGTGCGGGATGAATTAGATCGATCAGTCAGAAAAAAGCGTCCTGCGAATCAGCAGTATCTTTTTAATGAACTTGGCCAGAGCCAGAGGAGGTTTCTTTACAGAAAGCAAAGTCTAAGCAACAATAACTCAAATACCTGATAATAATACTCAAAATGTCTTCTGATAAGTTACTCTTTACATAATAGTCATGTTTATTGTGTTGAAAATTATATATATGAAACTATGGTCTCTTTTTTTGCAAATCTGATCTTGCTTCCAAACCTTTGGCCTGTAGTGTACACCACGAAAAAGATGCTTCTTTAATAGAATCCTGCCTACCCCACCTTTAATCTCACAAGTGTGATAATGTGAAGGCTAGTTTTGTCCACCAGATAGTGCTGTTTGTCTTTCATCAATTTATATCTATTTTTTTCTTTCTCTCTGTGGTTGTGTAAAAAAAAAAAAAAGTATATTTAAGCTTTAAGGAGAAAAAAAAAAAACTGGTCAGATAAATTTACCTCACGGTCATGAACCGGTCAGACCACCAGGGGGCAGCACCAGGTCAGAGCAGAATAAGGGACAGTAGTGACTCTGCGTGTGTGTGTGTGTGTGTGTGTCCCTCTCTTTGATGTCGGGCGTCACAGAGGTCAGAGGTCAGGTCTCAGTGAGTTCCTGCTTCCTGTTTGGATGTGCTGGCATGTCGCTCCAAAACAACACACTTCCTGCCCCCTGCAGGATACACTTCCTGTCCCACCTGGCCCTGCCCCTCCTCGACTGTCAATCAAAGTCGGCTGGTTGTGTGGAGAGGAGGAGAGCTGATGTAGAGATGAGTTTATATCCTCTAAGTTTAAATGTGATCTAATATCACACTGTGGCACACCACTGATCTGTTTCTCTACGTATCCATCCACCACAGAAAGTAGATCCACAATAAAAACCACATTCACACCTGTTTGTTTGATAAACGGTGGAATGATATTTGAAGGTGAGGCTGTGATCAGGTCAAACATCACTATTTTCTCTCTCAGTTTTCTTCCTCTACTGTCACAGCTGTGACCTTTGTCATATTGGACTTCAAGGCCAGTGCACGCCATTATTCGTCACATTAAAGGGATATTCCAGCGTAAAATTAACTTAGGGTCAAACATACCGTAACACCGAGTTAGACACCCCCTCCAGAGATGAATGTTGACGACCACTTGCTTCTCTAGTTATACCAACTTTAGTAACGACCGTAGATAGCAATACAAAGAGCCACGCGCTCAACCAAAACGCCACTCTATAGCCACAAATAATGCTCAGAACAGCACCTACCTTCATCAATAGTTCATACAGGGTCCTGGCCATAGTACTAGCCACCAAACATCTTTTGAACTTTGACTAATTTCTTTAGCAAAGAGACTAAACACAACTCACCTTCTCTCTTCCAGCAGCCGCTTGTATATAGTGAGACCTCAGGCCAGTCCATTATGGCAGTGGTCCCCAACCTTTTTGTACCAGGGACCAGTTTCATGCAGTAAACCTTTTCAAAAGACCGGGTAGGGGCGTGGAGGTTCCAATAAAAAAAAACCTTAATCAGTACATAGAATATAATCTGGATAGGCTGTATGTACTCTGGACAACTTGGTTCCACCTTCCTCCAGTATATGGATTTGAAGCCGAAAAGCTCTTTGTATTTCCGCGATTTTTCTCCATTTCCTGAAACCAGTACTGCGCAGTAGCATTGTAAGCATTCGGCGGGAGAGTTGTCAAGAGTCGCTGTGATGACGCTCAGCTCAAACCATGATCCCCGAGTGAGCTACACAATCTTGGTACGCCCATAGGCTGTCTCAAGTGTCAATCATAGAAAACATGAACCCCCTAATAACTTTTAAAAATGGAGCTGTACAGAAAAAAGAGGACTTGAACACAAACCAGTCTGACAGTAACTACATGTCAACATCACAACCAGGGGGGAGAAACATTTATATTCTGTGTCATTAATTTATAAAGTTTGTCCACAGCTCCATAAGGAGGTGGGATTTATGACCTATACTGCAGCCCGTCACCAGAGGGTGCTGTTCTCGAAGTGGCTTCACCCAGTGAGGAGGCAGACGGTGTCTGTTTTGTATACAGTCTATGGGATACAACAATTAAGCTTTATTTATGGCACTTTTCATTACACTTTAACAACAACTCACCATAATGCAGAACCAACCCTTTCTCTTTCCACTGAACTGTTTCTGGCTCATTTTTGCAAAGGCTAGCTTGTGTTGCTGATGCAGGAAAATGACTTGCCGAAGAGTTGAGCGTGAAAGTGAGGCGATGGCGGAAGTGGTGGTCTTTCAAAATAAGATAAAAGGGAGGACGGATAAGAAGAAAAAAAATTATTTAATCATCGTTATTTTTTTTTGCGGCACAGTACCAATTAATCCACGGACTGGTACCAGTCCGGGGCGCGATATTTTTTTTTTTTGTACGATGGTAGGGGGAAGTCCCACCTCCTTCGCCTCTGATTGGCTAGAAAAGCTGGAAACACACACTAAAGCCAAATGTGGATTGTCGGCTCTGTACATCGAACAGAACATTATCGGAATTCTGAATCTCCTAACCCAGGGGTCGGCAACCTTAAACACTCAAAGAGCCACTTGGACCAGTTTCCCACAGAAAAGAAAACACAGGGAGCCACAAAACCTCTTTGACATCTAAAATGAAGATAACTTTACATATATCTTTTTTTTTTTTTACCTTTATACAAAGTATATAAAAAACTGTAGCGAGTTGCATTTATGAAATAAATGAACTATTCCGGCGAGTGTCTGTCTTCTTCTGTAGTTAAACCACAAGATATCAAAATCTACCCGGATACAGCAATGCTGCTTTTTGATTGGCTGTTCAGTAGATATACTTTATTTGATTGGCTTGTGCGTGGCACGCAGCTTCTGAACTCTCGGAGAAACTCAGTTGATTTCCACCTGTTCCATAGTTGAAGAAGTGCAACTTGGTGGACATCACCATGTTCATTTAAATGCGTGAGAAATACAATGTGTGGTGTGTGAGCGTGTGAACGAGTGGGAATGCGTGTGTCATACGCTGAATGCGTGAGACTTGAGAGCCCTGTGCTCACGCATCATTGATGTACTCCCGAGCCATGCAAAACGGTCTTTGCAAATGTTGCACTGAACGCCTTCCTTTTCAGTCTTGGTGAAGTTTTCCCACACCACTGATGTTTTAGGTCGGGATTTGGGTTGGGTTGTGTCCATGTTTTTCTCAGCCGCTGCCTCGGCCATGGCTGTTTCTTTTCTGTGCGTCCTGCTGACGTTTACACGCCGGTGTCCATGGACATATATAAAGACCCGACGAATCGATTACAGAATTTGATGGCAACAGATTTTTTCGTCACGACGAATCTACTTAATCGATTCGTTGTTGCAGCCTTAATAGTTTATTTAATGTTACAAGAGCATTATAATCTTTGAATTTAGAATTACAAAATAATAATAATAATAAAATAAAATAAAATGCAATTAAGTATTTATTATTTATTTTCCAAATCCATTGGGAGCCGCAGCTTAGGGAAGAAAGAGCCGCATGCGGCTCCAGAGCCGCGGGTTGCCGACCCCTGTCCTAACCCTAACCCGACAGACCATGACATTTCACAGCCATTATGAAGAACCAATCAGAGCCCAGCACTTCTGGACAATCAGAGGTGAAGGAGGGCGGGACATTCCCCTACCATCCTACAAAAAAAAATGTATGTCTGGGGCCCGGTGGTTGAGAACCTCTGCATTACGGACTACAGTGGAGTGACGCAGCTCAAGGAAGAACATTTATGATCATTTCTTCATGGAAATACAATAAGACCGAGATGTTAAAGCAGAAGAACTACCACATCTGTAAAATGATTAATATGATGATTATTACTTGAAGGAAATGATAAAAAAAATGATCATAAATGTTCTTCCTTGAGCTGCGGCACCCCGCTGTAGACCATAATGGACTGGCCTGAGGTCTCTCTACAAACAAGCGTCTGCTGGAAGAGAGTAGGTGAGTTGTGTTTAGTCTCTTTGCTAAAGAAATGAGTCAAAGTTAAAAAGATGTTTGGTGTCTAGTACTATGTCTGTGACCCTATATGTCCTGTTGATGAAGTTAGGTGCTGTTCTGAGCATTATTTATGGCTATAGAGTGGCGTTTTGGTTGGGGGCGTGGCTCTCTGTATTGCTATCCTGCGGTTGTTAATAAAGTTGGTATAACTATAGAAGCAAGCGGTCGACAACATTCATCTCTGGAGGGGGTGTCAACGGTGTGTACCAGACTGGGTCATCGATCATGTTCATTTAGGATCTATTTCCACTTCTATGTTGCTCATTGACAGTTCTGTATGCCGGGTGTTGCAGGTCATAGATGGACCACCTTCGAGCTCGAGGTCTGTCAGTCTGCAGTGGTCTTCTTCAGTCGGGTAGGACAGAAACAACAGGCATTAGATTACTGAGTTATAATTGAATCTGTCACTGTGTTAATCCCTGCAGAGAAAGAATCCTGATGAACACTGAACGTTTTCATGTTTTAATTATGTTAGATTTCATGTTCTGTTTTATTACTCAGAAATAATCTAGATTAACAAGCAGACGATTGATTCATAAACTTCATTAGAACAGTCCAGAAGTTTCTCTGACTCCTCCAAGAGCCGTTAATCGAAGGTGAGCACAGCCAGGTGACAATGTTTCTGTGACATAACCATGTAGTCCTTCTCTGATTGGCTAATCTATGAAGGAAAGCAGATCGAGCAGCACTCCAAACAGACCTCCAAACAGTCAGACGAGCCACAGCAGTCCTCCAGAATCCCACAATCCAACACGGCCTGACATGCCTCCTCCGTACACGCCGCCTCCCCCGCCGCCTCAACGCAGCAGCAGCAACAAACCGAGGCGTCGCAGCACAAAGCTTCACCCACTCCACAAGCGAGACAATCGCCCAGGGCCGAACACATGGACAGCATCTCACAAAAGAGACAGGCCAGGAGACAGTGAACGCAACAGTCTGAAAAAAAAAACGGGAGACAGTGAATGTAACAGACTTAAAAAAAACAGAGGGCAGTGAATGCAACAGTCTGAAAAAAACGGGAGACAGTGAACGCAACAGTCTGAAAAAAACAGGAGACAGTTGCTGCGTCCGAATTGCCCGCTCGCATACTACATGCTACTGCTACGTGCTACTGCTAGATCCTACTCCTACATACTAAACACGTTGGCCCAATTCGGACACACTAGACGAGCGGTGGGGAAAGACGACCCCCGCAGGCAGAGAGTAGGTACTGCGCCCGTTTTAGACTCTGAATGGTAATTGTGCAAGTGAGAAACTAGAAACTCATATTTAGAAATTCACAAAGTAGCTTTTCCATGACTTTTAGCCTTCATTCACTCACGTGGTGATCGTTTGTTCAATGAGATCTGCCTGATTACTGCAGCTGTGCAGTTTAATGATGGAATAAGTGAGCTTTACCTCCATGATGTCGCCACATGTTTGCTCATAAAATGATTATATGACACCATGACATGACAAAGAGATACAACCGTACATTATTTTAGGACAGTGTGTGAAGTTACATGAAACTTACATCTGTACTGCTGCGGTCCTGCCCCCTGCTGCTGCTGCTCTGCCATGGTGCGCGCTGCTGTGGTCAGCCGGCGTTCGCGACACATTTAAATAGGCAGAGCAGCTGGTGGCGCTAGCATCACATGCGCTTCTACAACTTTTAAGAGGACGAAGAAGAAGCCCACGGTGCATTTTGGGTCAGTAGCATGCCCGTAGGATGCACCGCGACCAACCTACAATGTGGGCGTGTCTAGTATCTGAAATAGTATCTGAAGTAGCATGCTACTCGCTCCGGTGGCCAATTCGGACATGCTAGATACTACTTCGACTACTACTTCGACTACTACTTGGCAATTCGGACGCAGCTTCAGTCAGTGCTGTAACATGTACACTACAGGCCAAAAGTTTGGAAGCAAGGCCATTACAAGCTGAACAGTTGGGAGTAACTTCAAGTTTTTGTTCACAATGCTTTTTTTTTTAAATCCAGCATGAGTTTCATGTATTTTGGGATGTATTCACTCCATGATCAGATGTTTCTTTCATGGAAATGCACCATGTTACTCCATTTACCTTTAGATATTATACATTGATGTTAACAGACCATTGCTTAATATATGTCAGCAAAAGATAAGGGCTTAGTTTTAGGGTTGAAAACATTTTCAAGAGTCACAACTTCAGTGCAAAAGCAAAAAAACAAATCACAGTTGGATTATTCACGTCAACTTTTTGGCTTTTGAGAGTCTGCATACAAAAATCCTAATAAATCTCAACTGCGTTCAAACTACCACAAAAATGGCTAGAAAGAAGAAACTGAGTAAAGAAACAAAAGTACATATTTGTACATTGAGGAAAGGGGGATACACAGAAAGAGAAATTACAAAACGCCTAAAGGTGTTTAACAAAGGAGTCCACTACACTCTGAAGAGACTAGAGGAACCTGGAAGTTCTGATGATAGAAAAAGGCCTGGACGAAAGAGAGTCACTACAAAAGCAGAGGATAAACATAGCATTGTCACCAGTAAGAGAGATCGGTGAAAGACAGCACCACGAATAAGGGAGGAAATCAACATGACAAGGTCGAAACCCATATCTCTGACAACTGTGAAATGACGTTTGAGAAAGGCTGGTCTGAAGGGTTGTGTATCTGCAGAAAAACACCACTTCGTCCACAGAACAAGAAAAGAGATATGAGTGGGCAAAGGTTCACAAAAATTGGATTTATGATGACTAGAAACAAGTTTACACTGTTTGGTTCAAAACGCAGAGTCTATGTCCGCAGACAAACTGGTGAAGGACTGAAAGCACCATGTGTTACACCCACAATTCAGCATGGAGGTGGTAGTTCCATGGTATGGGGATGTTTTGCAGGTGATGGAGTAGGAGATTTGTTTGAAGTAAATCATGAAGAAGGAACAGTACCACTCCATCCTCCAGCACCATGCTGGTCCATCTGGACTCAGACTTGTGGCTCATAAGTTTGTTTTGCAGTAAGACAATGACCCTAAGCACTCTGCCAAGCTCTGTCAGGGTTACCTAGACAAAAAAGAAGAGGAAGGTGTTCTTCAAGAGATGGTTTGGCCCCCTCAGTCTCCAGGCCTTTCTCCAATTCAATCAATCAATCAATCAACTTTATTTCTAAAGCACATTTAAAAGAACCACAAGGGTAGCCAAAGTGCTGTACAATGACACATAAAAACAAATAAAACAATCAGAGAACAAGATGAAGTGAGCAGAAATACATTAATGCAAAAGAATAAATAAGTATATAAATAATCAGGCTCATGGCAGGTGCTAAGATGATAAAAAAACAAAATAACACTACAATGTATCAAAAGCCAAGGAGTAAAAGTGCGTTTTTAAAAGGGATTTAAAAACGGGAAATGAGGAGGCCTGTCTGATTTTCAAGGGCAACTCATTCCAGAGCTTAGGAGCAGCAGTGGCAAATGCTCTTTCCCCTCTGAGCTTCAGCCTTGTATTGGGGACCATTAGGAACAGTTGATCAGCTGATTTTAGGGGTCGGGGTGGGCAATAAGGCTGGAGCATCTCAGAAATATAGGGTGGAGCCGGATTGTTCAGGCCCTTGAAAACAAATATTAAAAGCTTAAAATGAATTCTGTACTGTACAGGGAGCCAGTGTAAGGACGCCAGGATGGGGGTGATGTGCTCACACCTGCGGGTCTGGGTCAGGAGACGTGCAGCAGAGTTCTGCACCAGCTGCAGGCGGGCAAGGGAAGCCTGGCTAATCCCTATGTACAAAGAGTTGCGGTAATCAAGACAGGTAGTGATAAAAGCATGGATTAATTTTTACAGATCAGATCTTGATAAAATGGGCTTCACCTTCGCTATTTGACGTAGCTGATAAAAACCTTTTTGTACCACCCCGCTGATCTGCTTCTCAAATTTAAAATCAGGGTCAAACTTAGTTCCCAGATTAGTGACGACATCCTTCAGATAGGGTGAGAGGGAGCCTAGGTTGATGTTGGGGGGGTGGCCGCCACTTGGTCCAAACATCATTACATCGGTCTTGTTCCCATTAAGACTGAGGAAGTTAAAAGAAAGCCAGGCTTTAATGTCCTTAAGACAGTCAGTGAGTTGTTGGACTGAGCCGGAGTTGTTCTGTACTAGTGGAAGATAAATCTGGCAATCATCGGCATAAAAATGAAAGGAAATGCCATGTTTCCTAAAAACAGAACCAAGGGGGAGTAAATAAAAGGCAAATAAAAGAGGGCTGAGGATTGAGCCCTGGGGGACCCCATGTGGAAGAGGAGCTGTTGACGACACAGAGTTGTCTAGTTGAACGCAGAAACTTCTGTCCCTTAAGTAAGACCGGAACCAGTCCAGGGCGACACCCTTAATGCCCACACAGTGCTCCAGGCGAGAGATTAAAATGTCAACGGTGTCAAATGCAGCAGACAGATCTAGGAGCACTAGGACAACAAACTTTCCAGAGTCTGTTGACATGAGAATATCATTAGACACATCATTAGTGCTGACTATGTCCTGTGGAGAGCTTTAAAACCAGACTGGAACAACTCTGTGATACCATTATCTTCCAAAAATGGTAACAGCTGATTGTAGACAACCTTCTCTAGAATTTTGGACAGATATGGAAGATTTGAGATGGGTCTGAAACTGGCACAGAGGGATGGGTCAAGGCCAGTTTTTTTAGTAGAGGTCGTACTACAGCATGTTTAAAATCCACAGGTACTGTACCAGAGGAGAGGCTACTATTTACAATATTAAGGACACTTGGTCCAATAGTAGCAAGTACTTCTTTCAACAAGCGAGGGGGGATGGCATCTGCAGGGGAACCAGAAGGCTTCATATGGCCGACTATGTCCTTTAAAGTAGAGAGGGACACATTGAGCTTGTGCGGGATGAATTAGATCGATCGGTCAGAAAAATGTCCCACGAATCAGCAGTCTCTTTTTAATGAATTTAGGAAAGCTTGGAATGCAATCCCTGGAACATACCTTAAAAAACTTGTGGAACGAATGCCTGGTATACGCCAAGCTGTTGTTAAAGCCAGAGGAGGTTACTGTAAAGAAAGCAAAGTCTAAGCAACAATAACTCAAATACCTCATAATTATAGTCAAAATGTCTTCTGATAAGTTACTCTTTACACAATAGTCATGTTTATTGTGTTGCAAATTATATATATGAAACTATGATCTTTTTTCTGTACAAATCTGATCTTGCTTCCAAACTTTTGGCCTGTAAATTGTGATAAACGTAAATAAAAACAGAATACAATGATTTGCAAATCCTTTTCAACCTATATTCAATTAAATACACTACAAAGACAAGATATTTAATGTTCAAACTCATAAACTTTATTTTTTTTGCAAATAATCATTAACTTTAGAATTATATGGCTGCAACCCGTGACAAAGAAGTTGGGAAAGGTGGTAAATAATACTGAGAAATTTGAGGAATGCTCATCAAACTCCTATTTGGAACATCCCACAGGTGAGCAGGCGAATTGGGAACAGGTGGGTGCCATGACTGGGTATAAAAGCAGCTTCCCCAAAAATTCTCAGTCATTCACAACCAAGGATGGGGCGAGGTTCACCACTTTTTTGAACAACTGCATGAGCAAATAGTCCAACAGTTTAAGAACAAAGTTTCTCAAAGTACAATTGCAAGGAATTTAGGGATTTCAACATCTACAGTCCATAATATCATCAAATCTGGAGAAATCACTGCACGTAAGCGGTATGGCCAGTATCCAACATTGAATGCCTGTGACCTTCGATCCCTCAGGTGGCACTGGATCAAAAACTGACATCAATGTGTAAAGAATATCACCACATGGGCTCAGGAACACTTCAGAAAACCACTGTCAGTAAATACAGTTCGTCGCTACATCTGTAAGTGCACGTTAAAACTCTACTATACAAAGTGAAAGTCATTTATCAACAACATCCAGAAACGCCGCCGGCTTCTCTGGGCCTGAGCTCATCTAAGATGGACTGATGCAAAGTGGAAATAGTGGATGTCGTGTCCTCCGGGCCAAAGAGGAAAAGAACCATCTGCACTATTATCGACGCAAAGTTCAAAAGCCAGCATCTGTGATGGTATGGGAGTGCATTAGAGCCCAAGGCATGGGTAACTTACACATCTGTGAAGGCAACATTAATGCTGAAAGGTACATACAGGTTTTGGAGCAACATATGCTGCCATCCAAGCAACGTCTTTTTCATGGACACACCTGCTTATTTCAGCAAGACAATGCCAAGCCACATTCTGCACGTGTTACAACAGCGTGGCTTTGTAGTAAAAGAGTGCGGGTACTCAACTGGCCTGCCTGCAGTCCAGACCTGTCTCCCATTGAAAATGTGTGGCGCATTATGAAGCGTAAAATATGACAACGGAGACCCTGGACTGTTGAACAACTGAAGCTGTACATCAAGCAAGAATGAGAAAGAATTCCACCTTCAAGGCTTCAACAGTTAGTCTCCTCAGTTCCCAAACATTTATTGAGTGTTGTTAAAAGGAAAGGTGATGTAACACAGTGGTAAACATGCCCCTGTCCCAACTTCTTTGTCACGTGTTGCTGCCATGAAATTCTGAGTTAATTATTTGCAAAACAAAAAATAAAGTTTATGAGTTTGAACATTAAATATCTTGTCTTTGTAGTGTATTCAACTGAATATAGGTTGAAAAGGATTTGCAAATCATTGTATTCTGTTTAGGTTTATGCTTTTTATTTTCCTAACTCAGTTTTTCTTTTACCAACCCTCTGTAGACTTTTGCAAACCCAGCAGACCAGGTTCTGGAGTCTGAAAGTTGATTCAGGTCTTTTAGGGTGTGAGTGGATAGAAACCAGACCAACTGATGCTGGGAGGGGTCGTTCGTGTGTGTGTGTATGTTTGCGCGTGTGTGTGCGTGCGTGTGTGTGTGTTGAGCAGAGATAAGCAGACCTCCATGTTGAAGGCTTTCAGCTGATAAAGTTCTGTTTAATGTGAAAACCCTGTGAGACTGTCGCTCGCTCTGATCCTGTTCCAGTTTCCTGGTTTTTAAATGTTTGTTTCCACGTGTCGTGACCCTGCAGGTCAGACGGGATGATTTACAGTGAGGTGTGTCATTTTTTAACACCTGTTACCTCCTCTTACTCAGGTTTGTATGAGCTCAGTGAGAAAGAAGGAGAATCTAATCTGCAGAGATTAATATCAACTGATACGCTGATGACACTCTGTTATATCTGGTTTTCATCGTGCTCCTCAGAGGATCAACCGTCAGATTCAAAGACCCCATCACCTGTTTCTCTAAACGAACCTCACACTCACCATCACCAGCGACCTCCTTAATGTGGGCGGCGTCTGTCTTCATGGAGGCGTGGCTTCTAGTGGAGGACAGACGCTTTGGGTCGGTGCTGTGGTGGTGACGGTGACGGTGACAGCTGCAGGTGTCTCTGTCACAGGTGGACAATCGAGAGGGAGGAGGTGAGGAGAGGAAGGAGGAAGGAGGAGTGACGATGGGAGTGGATGACATGGATGAGGAGTCCCCACCTGAGAGGAAGAGAGACACCAGTGATGATGTCAGAGTTGACGTCATGCTGAGAGAGGTGAGCTCAAGTGTTCAGTTACCTATCTGTTTTTGTAGAGCAGAGGTGGACGGGGCGGGCAGGAGGTGAGAGATGTCGTTAGTAGAGCAGCTGTCAATCAAAGAGTCATCACTGCTCTCAGCATCCTCTGACCTATTAGAGGGAGGGGGAGGGGCTTCTTCTGCAGGAACAGGGTTTAAAGCAGAACAACACAGCCATCTTGAATCAGATAAAGTCAGGTAAAGTCAGACGAACCCGGGAATCCAGATCTGGAACAGCTGATGGATGAAATATGGAAGCGTACAGTGCCCACCGAATCAGATCCACCTCCGCCATTGAAGGAGAAGCACTTGCAAGATTACTGATATTTCTCACGAGACTGGACGAGATCTCACAAGGTGTAAATAAACGACACCCATATCCCACAACCCTGGCCTCTCCTATTATCCAATTTCCGCTGCTGCTCATGGGTTTGTTGCGCTGCACTGAATTGATGCACCGTGCTGTGGCGTCCAGCAAAAATAGAGGCTTTGCATATCTTATTTGGCCGCAGGAGCCAATTCTGCAGCAGAGCCGGACGGCAGACAGATTGTATGGAATCACACACACATTGGTTATAATGCTTGCGTGTTTGTTCCGCCTGCCATGCCGGATCCTGTGGGTTTTAGCTGTAACCTGGGATTTCGACTGCAACCACAACTGCTTCGATACGGAACGTAGGCAATTTTCATTGTACGTCAATTCCTACCAGATCCATTCGTGAGGCAAATTTTGTGGCAGATTATGGACAAAGGATTCGCGAGAACTCACATGAACTTGCGGATTCATGTGCAATCGCGCAATAACGAGTTGTCTCAGGGTGGGGTAATCTGTGCTGAATTTATCCGCCACGCTCCGGCGTCCGGAAAAAATAGAACTTCTGCAATCAGCTGTGGAGTCCGGGGATCTGCAGAGGAACGGAAAGAAGTCGGTGGAAATTGACACGTTAACCTGAATGGAAATGATCAGCTGTGAACGGAGGATACGACCTTTATAGAGAGACGAAATAAAGATGAAATATTAAAGGGTTGACAGATTTGAGGTCCGAGTTCAGAGACAGTGTTTAGAACCTGAAAATAACAGATCCGGACCTCAGACGGAAACCGCCCGGAGAGCATCCTCTGTTTATCCGTGAGTATTAAGTGTGTGGACCTGTTTGGAGACTGAGCTGCTGCCTGACAGGAAGTGGGGCCTGCCAGTCTCAGCTCAGGGTAAAAATAAAGAACAAGTCCTGAAACAGGAAGTAGCCTCGTGGTCCTGACGTCGGACAGTTAAAGTGCTCTCAGGTCAGGAGGAGTGTACATGAAACCAAACCTCCTGATGAAATCCTCATGATTCAGTTTTTCCTAAATCTGAATAAAACTCTAGATGCTACGCTGTTGACCTCTGAACCTGGTGATTTATCGGACCCTGTTTCCCTCACAGTCAGACTAAGAATTAAGGAACACATTCATATATGACGCCGAGTGTTCTGATCCAGTAAAATAACGTTCGTCTGAGAGAATTTTTCATTTTCACAGTTTTTATCGTCAGCGTCTCACACTGTAGTCTCACTCTGTAGTCTCACTCTGTAGTCTCACTCTGTAGTCTCACTCTGTAGTTAGATCCATCTGTCTCACCTGTGCTGTGATGTAGCAGCGTCCCATTGGCTGTCGGCTGACTGGAGATGCATTCTGATTGATTCTTAGTGGTCCCGCCCTCAGTGATGTCAGAGCCGTTATTGGGTGATGTCACATCCATCCTGATAATTGATATAATAAATAAGATCATATGAATGATATGAGATAAAAGCGACTGATTACCTGTATATTTTATCTTCAAAGACAAAGTCAACAAAACCAAAATAACAACATCACATCAACGCTCACAAAAACAAACAAAAACGACGGGAACAACAGGAAAACAAACAACGACAACATCAGCAAACAAACAAAACAACAAAATAAACGACAACAAACCCAAACGGCAACCACAACAACAAAACAACATCCCCAACAGAAATAACAATTATATAAAGAACAAAATTAACAAAAACAAACAAAACAACAAGATAAACAACAACAAACCCAAACGGCAACAGATAAAACAAAGAAAGGAACAAAATAAAACCCCTTACAGAAATAACAATAATATAAACAACAAGATAAATAACAGCAAATCCAATCAACAACAAAAGGAATACCGAAATAATGTCACCAACAAACAACAGAAATTATAATATAAACAACAAAAAAGAAACAGAACAACAAACACAACAGAAATAACAATAATATAAACAAAAACAATTAAAACAAAAAAAACGACAAAACGATTACCAAAATTATCAACGATGAACACTGCACAACTAACAAAAATATAAACAACAAAATAAACAACAAACCCCAAGGGCAACCACCACAACAAAACAAATTCTTAAATGATGTCAACAACAAACAGAACAGAAATACCAATAATATCAACAACAAAATAAACAACAACTAACACAACAGAAATAATGATATAAACAACAAAGTAAACAACAACAAACACAACAGAAATAACAATAATACAAACAACAAAATAAACAACAACAAACATAACAGAAATAACAATAATATCAACAACAAAATAAACAACAACAAACACAAACAGAAATGTCAATAATATAAACAACAACAACAAACAACAACAAACCCAAACAGCAACAAAACGAATACTAAAATAATGTCAACACAAACACAACAAAAATAACAATTATATAAACAACAAAATCAACAAAAACCCAACAACAAACAAAAAGAATACTTGAATTTTTTCAACAGCAAACACGACAAACAGAACAGAATTAACAACAATATAAAAAACAAAAATAAAAACAAGAAAAAACAAGAACAAAAATAAAACCGAAATAACGTCAACAACAAACAAGACAAACACAACATAAATAACAATTATAAATACAACAAAATAAACAATAACAAACCCAACAAAAACCAAAACAACAAAAAAGAAACAAAACAACAAACACAACAGAAAAAACAATAATATAAATAACAAAATAAACAACAACAACAAACACCAAACAAAAAGAATACTAAAAGAATGTCAACACAAACACAACAGAAATAAAAAAATATTAACAACAACAATAAAAAACAAACCTATCAACAAACAAAAACAATACCGAAATAATGTCAACAACACAACAGAAAAATCAATTATATAAGCAACAACAACAAACACCACAAACCCAAAAACAACAACAAAAATACTGAAATAATTGCAACAACAAACACAACATCAAGAACAAAATACAAACACACTTTAATTATTTGATCACCAGTAAAAAAAGTTCTTGATAATGCTGTCTTAACATTTTTCATATGCATGAAAGTCATCATCAGACCAACTCTGAATCATATGATTGAAACTGTAATAATCTAAAAACATATTTGAAGTTATTTTATTTGACATTATCTCTTCTCACACGCACCTCTGTCATGACTGTACACCTTTACTAATAAAGGTCAGTTTGAACAAAAAATCAACGACGATTACAGACTCAAAATACTCTTAGAATAGAACAGAATAAAAATGCTTATAATAATATTAAAAACTCAGTTCCGTAGGAATAAAGTTGTTTTTTTTTCAGTTTGACTCTCTTCTCTTGTCTTTCTGCTTAAATATTAAATGTCATCAGAGAGGAAAACAAAAATGAAACGGTCTGAAATGGTGATGATAAACTTGGATATTCTCTAAAGTTCAGAGTAGACCTGGAGTATCCTGTATATATCAACAGATTTGGAGAGTTTCCCACCTGCAGACTCGGTCTCTCTGTCCTCCTCTCTTTTTGGTTCTTCTCTCTCTCTCTCTCTCTCTCTCTCTTCACTCTTCCTCTAAACTTCTCTTAATAAACTCCGCCGTTATGTTTGAAGCGTGCGCATGCGTGTTACCACCTCCTCCTCCGTGTCGTCTCAGTAAACAGCACATTATTATAATGATACTTTGACACATTTACCGCAGTATTATAGTTTGTCATATTAAATCCCGTTATCATCATGAAAGCCTTTAACAATTGAAAAATTCAAACAATAAAAATCAGGCGAAAAAAAGAAAAATATTCTGTGTGTTAGTGTCTGTTTTTAAGGGATTTAGTGTCTAAGTTCTGCCACCTGCTGGACTCAAAGAGAACTGCAGTTTTGACAGCGCTACAGTACGGTGGCCTTGAGGGTCAACTGCAGTAACATTTCACAGAATATTAAAAACACAAACAAAAATGTTTTGTGTGACGTTTTTCATGTCGGTCCGTGTATTATCTATCCATTCAATTATTCTATTCAATCTAGTAAACGAAAAAAATGAAAAAAAAAAAAAACAGTCAATATTTTGTATATTTGTTTTTCTGTATAACCAAAAATAAAAGATTAGTGTTTGTTTTTGTATTTTCAGTTTTTTTGGTAGGATGGTAGGGGAAGGTCCCGTCCTCCTTAGCCTCTGATTGGCTAGAAGTGCTGGGCCCCGATTGGTTCTTCCTAATGGCTGTCAAACGTTATCATATGTCGGGTCAGGGTTAGGAGATTCAGAATTGCGATAATGATCTGTCCGATGTACAGAGTCGACAGCCCGCGTTTGGCTTGAGCGTGTGATGATGTTTCCAGCTTTTCCAGCCAATCAGACGCAAAGGAGGTGGGACTTTCCCCTACCATCGTACAAAAAAAAAAAATATCGTGTCCAGAGCGGTAGAGAAAGGCTAACCTGTTGTCTGAAGGATGAAGATATGACTGTAGAAAAAATTACAACCAGAGCTCTCTTCAAACGTAAGATTTAGGCGCTCCAACCGCTCTGTCGCATCTTTCGCCATGGTAACTGTCACTGAGGATCATGGGAAGGCCAATGTAGCCTCCATGCATATATGCTCAAAACAGGAGCAATCAAAATCGATAATAGTAACTAAGATTTATTATTTCGTTTTGTTTTCCTTCTCAATTACATATTCTGTTTTGAACTGAAAATATGAAAACAAACACTATTTTTTTTTTTGTTATACAGAAAAACAAATAAACAGAATATTGACTTGATTTTTTGTTTTTCATTTACTAGATTGGATGGAATAATTGAATGGATGGATGATACATGGACCGATGTTTAATATAAAATTTCAACATTTTGATTTTTACAAAGACTTCTGTGATCTAATAATGGCTCTGGTTTGTGTTTTATAAATATTTTCCTGTACAGTGAAATGTTTTTAAAATGTTTCTTTCAGAAGCTTTTCTACAATTAACTCTTAGAAATAACATATATTAACAAAAGAATTTAAATTAGCATATAATGTGTGTTACTTTTATAAATTTTTTATTATTATTATTATTTTCTCGTCACGTATGATGCAACAGTACCTTTTAATTTGGACATATTAACATATATGTCCCAGTCTTCCTGTTTATTCAGAATCAGAAATACTTTAATAATCCTCAGGGGGAAATTGCTTTTTCTCACAGTAACTCCAGTGCAAATACAGTATAAAGAGGAAATAAATAATATATAAAATATGTTCTAAAAAAAAGTAAAAATGAAGAGATAAATAGATTTTTTAAAGTAAAATTTGTAAAAATAAAAACAATAATAAACAAGTATGTACACTATAAACAACACACATAGTAACATTGTATGCATGTAAAAAAATTATTTCCATTCATTCCTTTTGATTATACTTCAGCGATACATTTTGTCTACTCTTTATTTTGTCATATCATATTGCATATATTGCACTTTAATGTAATTTAATTACATTACAAAATAAAAAAATTAAATAAAAGGAAAAAAAAACGCCACCAAAAACAATAAAAGTGCAATACTAAACCCCTAATTATTTATTAATCATGTGCAATATCTCAACTCAACTCAACTTTATTTGTAAAGCATTTTAAAACAACCACAGCTGAACAAATCGCTGTACATAAATAGACAAAACAAGGCAGACATAAAAAAGAATTAAAATAATGGATAAAATAAAAGCAGATATTAAAAAGTAAAAAACAGTTTCAGTATTTTTAAAAACTAATTTAAAAACAATAGAAACAAATAACTAAAAACAAACCATATAACACTAAAACAGGAGCCGAGTCTCATGCAGGGTTGAAAGCCAATGAATAAAAATATCATCATCATCACATCCATACCTGTTTGTTTTTGGCACTGATAATTTTTTTTTATATTTTTCTTATTCTTGACTTTAATACTATTTTCCTTTGCACTGCTCTTTCTTTTGTTTTTTGTTTTTACTGTAGTTCTTTATCTTATTTATTTATTTGTTTTTTTGTACCTAGTATGAATGTGTATGTTGTGTGTACCGCTGCTGCTAACAATTTAATGTCCCCACTGAGGGATGAATAAAGGAAAATCTAATCTTACCTAGATGTCAAATGGCAGTTTGTATTTTTATAGTACAGTTTCCGTCCAGCAGGTGTCGCCGCAGCACCGTCTTCGCTCTGCCTGAATTCGCACAGAAGAAGAAGAAAAGGAGCAGGGAGGAGGAGGAGGAGAGAGGAGGGAAAACAAAGAGATGTGAACGGATTTGATGACAAATGAAAATAAATGAGTGAAAGTGAAACAGAGGGGTGAAGGGGATCAATCTGAGGAAATTTTCTTCTTCTTCTTCTTTGATGTGAGAGTCAGCGGCGGATCCATCATGGTGAGTGTTGAAACAACTGATTAAACCTGCAGCAGCAGGATGATAAACAAATAGGATTAACAAATGAGCAGAGTTTGCTTCATAAACCTAAAAACGGATGGATTTTACTGAAATCACCCTGAATCTGTCAGGGTCTCTGCAGCTCACCTGGAGCCTCATTTATCAACCGTGCGTACGCACAGATGTGTGCGTAATGAGTGCGTAGGAACATTCCCACGCAAAGTCTGGAATTTATCAACCTGTACTTGTGCTTAGGAACGTGCGTAAATTTAAGCACAACTCTGACCATGCCTACACACAAAACCTAGTGGTAGGACATTCAAACTACAAATAGAACCCATTAAAGGAGTCACAGCGTTCAGCAATCTCAAACTTCACACGTTATCTGCTGCCTCCATACAAAATTGATCAATTAGTAATTTACCGGACATATTGAATGATTGGTGAGACAAGCTATAAAAATCTGCTGTGACAGGACAACCTCAAAAGAAGTCTTACAAGTATCATGGTTTATTTTGCGCTATTGGAGGACTTGGAGAAGCGTCTGCTCATCCGCAGGGAGCGCGTTTTCAAAGAGCGTGCTGATCTGTTCAGTGAGAACACAAAGTGGATTCTCAGCAGGTACCGCTTCCCCAAAAACATTTGAATGGATTTACGCCGTGATTTACTACCCGTGTCGGAGCGAGAAACAAAACGCACCAGAGCCACCCCAGCGCACATTCAGCTCCTGTCCACCCTAACCGGAACATTTCAGTGTGAGATTGGAGACATATGCGATATTTCGCAGCCAACGCTAAGCAGAATCATGCCGGCAGAGTTGGATGTATTAATTTCCCTGGCCACAATTTACATCCAGTTCCCGTACACACATCACCAACAAGCCGAAATAAAACGAGGATTTCATGCCATCGCTGGATTCCCGAACATAATTGGAGCCATAGATTGCACCCACATCGCAATAAAAGCACCTTCACACAATAAATTCAGATTTGTCAACAGGAAAAGATTTCTTTCAATCAATGTACAAATAATCTGCCATGCACATTTGTTTCTGTTTCTGTTCATTCATTCTGCAGAACAGCTCTGTGAGTGTGCACCTCCAGGAGAAGGAAAAAAATTCATTCACGCATTTTAAAGGAATTGTTGATACCATATATGGACAATTGGAGGCGTTTCTGAATGCAAATGACTCTAACCATGCACAAGCACGGTAGTAAAGAACAGGTGGGATTTATCATCACCGATTACTTCTCAGACTGACTGACTGTCCGCACGTTTGATAAATATGGATTTTTTTGTACTTACGCACATTCGACATTTCATTCCTACGCCAGAATTTAGAACCTTTTCTACGCACGTTTGATAAATGAGGCCCCTGGTCCTGGTTAGTTTGGGGGGCTGGATTTAATAATCCTAAATGCTCTGGACGGAGAAAAACATGTAAAATACTGGCAAACCAAGCAAATTTAGTTTTTATTTTTAAAAAAACTTTAAAGATTCAAAACTTTCACATAAACACACCGTTTTTATTGAGCAAAGTGCAGTTTAGAGCACATGAACTGAGGACGACTACTGAAGTTCTGTGTACAGAAAATATAAAAAATCAAATTACACAAAATAAAGACCAAAAAACAAAAACATGTATTTTTACTGCTTTTAGGCCACATTAATCGGATAACATAACGCATGCCTTTCAAAATTCGCTTTTTTTCAAAATACACACCAGATGCGCATTAATCTGTTTATTTTTTTTTTTAATCGGAACAGTACATACTAATGAACATTTACATGAAAATATGTGGGATTAAAGCCAAATGGCTATTTTCCATCCCCAGTCCCATTGGAAGCCGTGGTTTTCTTCCGCTTCATCCGGGTCTGGGTTCGTGGGGGCAGCAGCTTCAGGGGGGAAGCCCAGACGGCCCTCATCCCAGCCATTTCCACCAGCTCCTCTGGGGGGATTCCCAGGCCAGGCGAGAGATATAATCCCTACAACTGGTCCTGGGCCAGCCACGAGGTCTCCTCCCAGTGGGACATGTCCGGAGCACCTCTAACAGGAGGGGTCCAGAGGGCATCCTGACCAGATGCCCGAGCCACCTCAGCTGACTCCTCTCGACATGGAGGAGCAGCGGTTCTACTCTGAGCGCCTCCCGAGTGTCTGAGCTCCTTGTATCTGCGATCTTGTTCTTTGGGTCATTACCCAAAGTTCATGGCCATAGGTGAGGCCCGCACGTAGATCGACCGGTAAATCGAGAGTCTTGCCTTATGGCTCAGCTCTTTCTTCACCATGACTGATTGGTGAAGTGTCCGCATCACTGCTGACACCGCTCCGATCCGCCTATCAATCTCCCATTCCATCCTACCCTCACTCATGAACAAGATCCTGAGATACTTAAACTCCTCCACTTGAGGCAGGACCTCCCCTCCAACCCAGAGAAGAAAATCTACCTTTTTCCGACTGAGGACCGTGGCCTCATGGACTTGGAGGTGCTGATTCGCATTCCAGCCACTTCACACTCAGCCGCCAACTGCCGCAGCAAGAGCTGAAGGTCACTGCTCGACGAAGCTAGAAGAACCACATCATCTGCAAAAAGCAGCAACGCAATCCTCTACCTGCCGAACTAGACACCCTCCACCCCCTGGCTGCACCTAGAAATTCTGTCCATAAAGGTTATGAACAGAACCGATGACAAAGGGCAGCCCTCAGTCCAAGCGGGGGATACGCTGTTGACTCTCTGCGACTCTCCCGCCAAATGCATACAACGCTACTGCACAATGTTGGTTTCAGGAAATGAAGAAAAATCGCGGAACTACCAAGAACTTTTTGGCTTCAAATTCTTTTACTGATGGAACCAAGTTGTCCATAGTATATACAGTCCAAGGCTGCATTTGAGTTACCACGGAAGTCACATGTCGGAGCTGAAAATGACGTCACACCTGAGCGTTTCAGTTACCAAGTCGGGAAAAAAGCAGAATCGGAGGTGGACACAAGATGGCTACATCTACGAAAGCTATTTTAGGGCTTGCTTGCCTTGTCCGAGTGTAAGGCAAATACTAAAATAGTTTACCACAGCGACTCTCGGCAACTCTCCCACCGAATTGAACAACACTACTGTGCAATGTTGGTTTTAGGAAATGGAAAAAAATCCAAGGCGGAACCAAGTTGTCCATAGTTTATACAGTCTATGGTTTGGACCCAAAAGTGGGTCGCAGACACGTTCTGGATGGATCACAAACAGCTGGTCAAAAAAGTAAATATTTAATGCACATCTGATGTTTGACTTTTATTTTAAAAATTGGTTATTTTGAAAGGCACGTGTTCTGTCTTGGTCCTCTTCAGTTTCGTATTAATGTGACCTGAATGCAGTAAAAATACATGTGTTGTTGTTGTTGTTTTTTTTTGTTTTCTTTTGTGCAGTTTGATATTTTCTGTATATGCAACTTCAGTAGTTGTCATCCTCAGTTCATGTGCTCTGAAATGCACTTTACTCAATAAAATGTTTGTATTTATGTTAAAGACTTGAGTCTTTAAAGGTTCTTAATAAAAGCTAAATTTGCTTGGTTTGAATTTTATAAAAGTGGGTCGTGATTTCAGGACCATGAGAAAATGTGGGTCCCAGAGTGTGATCAAATCAAATCAAACTTAATACAGAGATATCTCCAAAATAATTTCTCAATTAAATATAAATATTAAACATTTTTTTTCATGAAAACCAGAAATATTTTACAAAATGCCAAAATATGAAACAGAGTTTTTAAAAGTTTCTGTGTCAGAACGTGAATCTGTGAGAGAGCAGGGTGATAGAGGCTGAATCATTGAAGGTCCTTCTCTCTTCAGAGTCAGTTACAGGTACAAGTCCCAGATATAAAGACATGTAGAGCTCACCTGGTTTTAGAAAAACGTTCCTCTCAGCGATGGCAGAGGAGACGGACTTCCTCATGTTTCTGCTTCAAAGAGACGTTTGACTTTCTGCCGTTTGTGTCTCAGTCTGAGGAGGCTGCAGGAGCAGGGGGAGGCCCGCAGGACGAGGAGGAGCAGGGAGGAGGAGGAGGAGGAGGAGGAGAAGATGGAGGTGAGGGAGGAGAAGGAGGAGAGGAAGGAGAGGTTGCCATGGAAACCCCTGATGGCCCGCTGTACTGTGTCTGCAGGAGACCAGACATCAACTGTTTCATGATGTGAGAAAAAAAATTCACAATTTTTCATAGAAAAGATTCACAATCAAACGTTAAACGCGTGTGTGTGTGTGTGTGTGTGTGTGTGTGTGTGTGTGTGTGTGTGTGTGTGTGTGTCTCAGAGGGTGTGACAGCTGCACCGAGTGGTTTCACGGAGACTGTATCGGAGTTTCAGAGCGTGCAGCCAAGTCCATCAGGGTGTGGTACTGTCCGTCTTGCAGAGGTCAGTCTCATCTTTAGCCAATTTCGATCAAACAGAGACATTCATGAAGTTCAAAAAACTCAAAATATGTGATAAATCTCAGAGTATTTAGGCGATTTTAAATTTTAATTTATATAATTACGACAAACAGCTTAAATTTTTACAAAAGCATCAGGACAAACCTGAAAATATTTCCTTTTGAGTTTCAGTAAATCAGTGTTTGAACTCTAAACACCCTCAGTCGACTTCACACTTTTAATAAGGTCAAATATCGGAGCCTTTAAGTGTGCGCTGTCCCCTCTGCAGACTCAGACCCGTCGCTGGAGATTAAATACCGTCCCAAAAAGATGAAGGAGAAGGAGGAGAAGGAGGCGGAGCCAGAGAGGGAGGATAAACATGATGGAGACGGGGGCTCCACCCCTCAACCCAAAGCTGACAAGAGGCGAGGCTCACAGGTAAGCGAAGTCTAAAACCAGTGGGAGGTTTTGTGCGAATGTTTCCTGAGGTCTTAGGGATCCAAATTTGACTCTCTTTTTGGAAACCATGGACGCTGCATCTTCTGCTAGACGACACTAGAGGGACCGCCTGGCTTGTTGGTCTGGCACCCCTGCTGGTCTGGGGATGCAGTCCTGGTCTTGTACTTCTTTTGTTTCATTTGTATAATAATGATGAGGATTGTCATGAGGATTGTTAAATGCTGCGTTTGAGTTACCTCAGAAGTCAGATGTCTGAGCCGAAAATGACGTCACACCTGAGTTCCCAGCGTTTCAGTAACCAAGTTGGGAAAAAAAGCAAAATCGAAGGCGAGATGGCTACATCTATGAAAGTTATTTTAGCGCTAACTTTGTCCAAATATAAGGCAAGCGCTAAAAATACTTTTGTGTAAAGTATCTAATGTATTACATAATTTGTTCTATAATTATCATTACTATATCCTACCACATTTATTTATTAAATAAGTTTATTTTACTATGTATATATATATGTATATGTATATATATATATATATATATATATATATATATATATATATATATATATATATATATATATTCTATTATTTATTCACCTACTTAATATTATTATTATTATTGTTATTTCCCTCCCTCCTCTTTTTTTTTTCTTTTTTTTTTGCTCTATTATTATTATAATAATAATTTTTGTTAAGTCATAACACTTACTCTTTCCTCTTTCACTCTTTCCTCAAAAGCATCATTTATCCTATAATTATCATTACTATATCCTATCACAGTTATTTACTTAATTACTTTGTGGGTATATATATATTATACATATATGTGTGTGTGTGTGTACATATACATATTTCTTATAAATTAACCTGTTATTCTATTATTTATTTACCTACTTATTGCTACTTTATCTTGAGTGTTTATTATTATTATTATTATTATTATTATTATTATTATTATTAATATTTTCCTCTCTCCTTCCTTTTTTCTGTTTTTTTGCTCTCTTATTATTATAATATTTTTTGTAATTTTTGTTAAGTCATAATGCTTACCCCCTCTTCTTTTACTTTTTTCTCAAAAGTATATTCCATAATTATCATTAATATACCCTACCACATTTATTTAATTTATTTTACCATGTATATGTTATGTGTATACATGTATATTATAAATGTACCTGTAATTCTATTGTTTATTTAGCTGCTTATTATTATTTTATCATGGTTTTTATTTATTATTATTATTATTATTATCATTATTATTATTATTACCTCTGCCAAGGAGGTTATGTAATCGTTAGCTTTGGTTTGTTTGTCTGTTAACAACTTTACGGAGAAAGTAACAGACGGATTGACCTGAAATTTTAACCAGAGGTGTGTCTCAGCCCCAGGAGGATCCCATTACATTTTGGTGGTGATTCGGATTGCCTTCTGGATTCAGAAATTTTTTGAAGGATTCTTTATCATTGTGAGATAGGGCAAATTTTGGAATTTTTGCATTTAGCTCAATAAAAATGGCCAGAATCTTTGGTAAAAAATGACACAAAAGGATCTCAATGAGTTTTATGAGGTGTCAAAGGTTGATCCTGATCCAGACAAAATTCTGGAGTGTCGTTTGAATTTTCAATGCTGAAAGATAACCAATGAAGATACAAGGAAGTGTACGCTTACAAATATTGCATAATAAATCATGCATTTATGTATCTAATATGAGCTTTGTTGTTTTAGGAACATTATGGACAGTGAACATACCAGTTTAAACACAAATAAAAGTTAATAAAAGACACGTAACAGTAAAAGTTTTGATTTGAATCACAATATAAGGGGGGACATGAGCTGCTTGGCGGAGGTCTGCGCTCTCCGAGTGCTTTTCTAGTTTACTCTATAATTATCATAACTGTATCCTACCACATTTATTCAGTTTATTTTACTATGCACATACAGTATATGTGTATATACATATATATTATAAATTTACCTGTAATTCTTTTATTTTTTAAACTACTTATTAGTATTTTATTGTGGTTTTTATTTATTTTTATTATTATTATTGTTATTAATATTATTATTGTTATTTATTTATTTATTTTATTATTATTATTTTTTTTTTTCCTCCCTCCCCTTTTTTTTTTTTTGCTTTATTATTATAATAATAATTTTTATTTTCTTTAGTCATAATGCTTACTCTTTCCTCTTTCACTCTTTCTTCATCAAGCATAAAAATTTAAAAAAAAAGGGGATGAAGAGCGGACAAACACACTCACTTCACAACACACATAAAAACACCGGACTCCTAACATTTACTTAAACACAGTCTTTCTAACACCTTCTTCATGTATCTAAATGTGTTTCTGCTGTATTTGTCACTTTGTCTGTTTGCTCTGTATTTATGTCGTTAACCACCTGTCATGATCCATCCTGCATCACCCAATTAAATATCAAACTTTCATAGATGTAGCCATCTTGCTTTCGCCTGCTATTTTGCTTTTTTCTGACTTGGTAACTGAAATGCAGGGAACTCGGGTGTGATGACATTTTCTCGAACGCATCATAACCGTTGTATATTCGCAGATCAAGCGCTCTGCCCGGATGTGCGGAGAGTGCGATGCCTGCCTGAGGACAGAGGACTGCGCTCAGTGTGACTTCTGCAAAGACATGAAGAAGTTTGGAGGTCCGAATAAGATCAGGCAGAAGTGTCGCCTAAGGCAGTGTGAGGTCCGAGCCCGGGTGAGTTCTGGTTCTGATCATCAGCGCGATTTCTGACTCCAAACACCTGTGGGGATGAAAGTTTACCTGCGGACCGGTGTGCTGATGCTGTTTGTCTGTGAGCAGAAGATGCTCCGTGTCAAAGATGAGGAGATTGGTCGGAGCAGCAGCAGGGGGCGTGTCCTCTCTAGGAAGGGGGCGGGGAATCAAACAGAGGAGGAGGACGATGATGAGGATGAGGAGGGAGCGTTCAGCGAGAGTGAGCTGGAGCTGTACGAGCAGTACAAAGCAGCCGGATACAGAGACCTGGTCAGTATGTGTGAAGGTGGATGACCAATCAGAGGTTAGAAGAGGCACTTCCTGTAACGTGACTTCCTGCTGCAGGTGTGGCACAGCGAGGAGGAGGGGGACATGCAGTCAGAGTCTCTGAGGAAGAAAGCCGTCAAGGTCAAACACGTCAAGAGACGAGAGAAGAAGATGGAGAAGAAGGTGAGTCATCTTTTACCTGACCACGAATGACCTCCCTGATGATGTTACTGACACACCTGTGCTCTGCTGCAGAAGTCGGTCTTTGCCCCCAAAGAGGAGGTGAAGCCTCGCCGCCACAAAGCCAAACAGCGACACAGAGAGCGAGTGCGGCACAGTGAAAGAGGAGGTGAAGGCGGGGCTAAGGAGGTCGGCGGGGCTCTGAGGCAATGTCTGGGGCCGGGGTGTGTCCATCCAGCCAGGTCCAACTCCAAGTACTGCTCCGAGGACTGCGGCATGAAGCTCGCCGCCAAGTGAGTCTGATCACACAGCGTGGGGATGCATGGGGGGGCTGGGACAAGTCAATATATCCACACTTCCTTATGTGATGTTCATTAGTGATCCGAGGGCGGAGATTTACGCTGATTAGAGGCTGTTTACAAAGTCAGATCTCTGATTGGCTGATCTTTGATTCACCTGTCCGTCTCTCAGTCGGATCTATGAGATTCTTCCTCAGAGGATCCAGCAGTGGCAGCAGAGTCCGTGCGTCGCTGAGGAGATGGGGCGAAAACAGCTGGAGAGAATCAGGAAGGAGCAGCAGGCGGCGAGACTCCGCCTCACTCTGATGGAGAAACGTTTTCATGAGCTGGAGGGAATCATCGCCAACGCCAAAATGCAGCAGGTCCAACAAGACGAGGAGGTACGGAGCAGAGGGACAGGCGGCTCACTCGCCCGTCTCCCTCCTTTCTGTCCGTCTTTGACCTGATCTGATTTGTGTGTCCTCTCCAGGTGACCGAAGGTGACGGCGATGACACAGACCTTCAGATCTTCTGTGTTTCCTGCAGTCACCCTGTTAACCCGAAGGTGGCGCTGCGACACATGGAGAGATGCTACGCTAAGGTCAGTGAGCAGAAGGTTGAGTCGGTTTCTTTAAGCAGATTTGAGTGATTCTGGATTTATCAGAGTTTGATTCAGACTTTCTACAAGGACTGGGTGATTATGTGACTGTGATAAATTTCAGTTCGATTACGGTAATCAGCTGTGAGCATATTTACTCGATCAAACATGGTGGAAATGTGTGTCACAACAGCCAATCAGAGTCGAGCTTTTCCTGCTCACTTCTGTAAGATGTAAACAGGAGAATTAAACAGAATGACCGAACATGAAGCTAAATGTGGAGCTGAGGGCAGCAAAATAGATGTCAGCCATGACTTTGAGTCATCCTCTGAAGATGTTATTGTTGGGAAAAGTTATTCAACATCAGTTGTGTGTCTGTAGTTCGGACGATCCTCAGCGACCCCGACTTGACGACTTGACAACAACGACGACGAGTTGAGCTTTTGTTAGCGGAGCATGAGCGAGAGAGCGAGCATGAGCGTGAGAGCAAGCATGAGCGAGAGAGCGAGCATGAGCGAGAGAGCGAGCGAGTCACTACTGCTAGCTAAGACCGAAGCCCTTCACGAGGCAAATCAAACAATTATCACACTCAAACTCCATATCCAAAAACTTTCTGAGGAACTTAAATCAAAATCTACACTACTCACAACATGTATGGATGTGGCCCACCAGAAATCGCTCCACCTGTTCTCCCTCCAAGCTACCCTCCAAGACACGCTACCCTGGGAGCCTCACAGCCCAAAGACCTCATCCCGACCGCCATCCACCACAGCACCTAACCAGGACTCAACCTGGACTGAAGTCACAACTCGAACCAGGAAAACCAACAGCACCACCCCCTGGAACCCGGCCGGACCTACCTCAAGCTCCACGCCGAGCAACCCACTGCTCCGGTCCGAGATCCTCGCCGGCAGTGTGACGGATCCCCCTAACGATGCCTCCACTGTCCGGTTAGCCCTCTCCAATCGCTTCGAGGCCCTTATGCATCCTCCTAAGCCCGACAGGACCAGCCCGAACCAGTCCCCTCTCCGCGGTGACGTGGCGTTGTACTCTACAGCGGCTGCCAGAGCTCCCATGGCTCCTACACGGCCACCCGGCGGAGCCCCCGGACCTTCGTCATCATCCATCGATGTCTCCGCGGCGTGCCGGCCCGACGACGCCATCCTCCATCCTCCTGTCCCGCCTACACTCCCTCCTCAACATCACAGGCACTGCCCTCAACTGGATCCAGTCATATCTCACAAACCGGAATCACTTCATCCACATCAACAACTGCTCCTCCACAACTGCCCCCGTGTCCCAAGGTGTCCCCCAGGGTTCGGTGCTTGGTCCTCTCCTCTTTATCATCTACCTCCTCCCTCTCGGCCACATCCTCCGTCAACATAATCTCCATTTCCACTGCTATGCTGACGACATTCAATTATATATCTCTTCCACCTCCATCACCCCCCAGACCCAACGCTCCCTCTCAAACTGCCTCACTGATGTTAAAAACTGGATGGACACCAACCTTTTAAAGCTCAACTACAACAAAACAGATCTCATCATCATTGGCCCAAAATCCCTCACCTCCACAGTCACAGACTTTCAGCTCTCCATTAACAACACCACCCTCTCCCCCTCCTCCCACTGTCGCAACCTTGGAATTCTCTTTGACAGCAACCTCACCTTCACACAACATGTTAAGCACATCTCCAAAACAGCCTACTACCACCTCAAAAACATTGCCCGCCTCCGCCCCTCCCTCTCCTACTCTGCAGCCGAAACCCTCATACATGCATTCATCTCATCCCGTCTAGACTACTGCAACAGTCTCCTCCACGGCACTACCTCCACTCTCCTCAATAAACTTCAGCTCATCCAGAACTCTGCCGCCCGCCTCCTCACCCATACACACTCCCACCAACACATCACCCCCGTCCTCCAGAACCTACACTGGCTCCCCATCCCCCATCGCATTCAGTACAAAATCCTCCTTCTCACCCACAAAGCACTCCACAACCAGGCCCCCCCCTACCTGCAAGATCTTCTCCACCCCTACATCCCCCCCCGCACCCTCCGCTCCGCCGATGCCAACCTCCTCACAGTACCCTCGACCAAGCACCGAACCTGGGGGGACAGAGCCTTCTCAGTCACTGCCCCCACCCTATGGAACTCACTCCCACTGGACCTCAGAAATTGCTCCAACCTTACCAAATTCAAAGCCCAGCTCAAAACTCACCTTTTCCGCACTGCTTTTCATCTTCCTTAGCCCCCCTCCTTGATTGTTGATTTTACCTGATTTTACTTGATTTTAATTGATATTGATGTATTTTATTGTATATTGATGTATTTTTATTGAATACTGATATTTGATTTTAGCTATGTACAGCGTCTTTGAGTCTCTGAAAAGCGCTCAACAAATAAAATGTATTATTATTATTATTATTATTATGTTTTATTTGTTCACACTTCTGTTTCTGTATAATATTGTGTTAAGGGTTGTTTACAACTGGTATAGCTAACAACAACTAACAACAGCTAACGACAGCTAACGACAGCTGACAATTGTTGACAACAGCTAACAACGGGTAGCTGTAGTCGTCCATCTTGGTTATCTGACTTGTTTACTGGAATGTTGTCAACTCAGGTGTAACGTCATTCTCAGCTCTGACATCCGACTTCTGAGGTAACTAGAATGCAGTGTAAGCCGAGTTGAGGGCGGTCGATGCCCTCAAAAATCTGCAACACAACAGATCTGTTTAATTATTTGAAGAAGTTAAGAAAACATGAAAATGTGGGCGGAGTCTGCACAGCCTGTCACTGCTTTAGTACAGATGCTTTAAAACTAGCAGTTTAAAAAAAAAAAAATGGTGATAATAATTGAGATCGGACAATATGACGAAATATATTGTGGTTATTTTTTGTGCCAAATTGCCCAGTCCAACTTTCTACATCCTCCCAAGAATAAAAGCTCTCTCTGTCTGCTCCACAGTACGAAAGTCAGACATCCTTCGGCTCCATGTACCCGACAAGGATAGAGGGGTAAAAATGTCTATTTGTCTGTCTGTCTGTCTGTGTGTCCGTCTGTCTGTCCTCAGTCATACCTGTCTGTCTGTGTGTGTGTCCGTCCGTCCGTCCGTCTGTCTGTCTGTCTGTCTGTCCTCGGTCATACCTGTCTGTCTGTGTGTGTGTCCGTCCGTCCGTCCGTCCGTCCGTCTGTCTGTCTGTCTGTTTGTGTGTCCTCGGTCATACCTGTCTGTCTGTTTCAGGGCGACCCGGCTCTTCTGTGACGTGTACAACCCTCAGAGTAAGACCTACTGTAAGCGTCTGCAGGTTTTGTGTCCTGAACACTCCAGAGACCCAAAGGTACGACTGAAAACATCATCCAGTGATTTTATGCTCAATTTTCACCACATCCAGAACAGCTGCGATATTCGTCGTCCGCAAATTCCTACCGGATCCGTTTAAGAGGTGAATTTCGCAATAACGAGTTGTCTCTATAAAGACAGCCACATAGACACGTAAGCAGTAGATTGTGTCCTTCCAGAGGAGAAAATCTACTTCTAGACTTCTAGAATCAGCATCTCCTCATCCATGGTGTCATCGGGGTGAAATGACGTCTAAAAACCTTTCACTTGTTCGTCTCGGCCCGTTTGCATGGTGTGAAATACGATCCTCCTGAAACACAGAGTGTTTTATTTTGAAAAGAAGCCGGATGTTTTATTTTGTGTCTGTGCCCGACTTCCTTTCCAGCACGGGTTAATCTGTGCTGAATTTATCCGCCATGCTCCGGCGTCCAGAAAAAATAGAACTCTTGCGATCAGGTGAGGAGTCCGGCGTTCCGCAGCGGAACGGAAAGAAGTCGGTGTAAATTGACACGTTAACTTGAATGGTTACGATCAGCTACGATCGGAGGATATGACCTTTTTGTAGCCGTTCTGGATGTGATGGAAATTGGGGGTTAGCCTCATACAGTGACTTCCACTTAAGAGTCAGAATCATATGTGTTGCTGGCATGTTGCCTTTGCTTTAACTTTCCACAAATTTGAGATTTAAATGAGCTGCAAACCATCAAATAAACAACGTCCCAACTTTTTCAGTATCAGGCTTGAATGAGTTTCAGCGTCACGAGACTCGTCTTTTCGTATTCATGAAAAAAACTCTAAATTAGCTCAGAGTCATTTCATCTTGATTGGTGCTTTTACCTCTCCTCCATGATGAAGTCTGTCTCTCCTGAGGAAGTTTCATGAATACAGGTCCCTTTTTTGTACAACCTCTACAACCTTCAACCTTCTCCCTCTGCCTCCCCCTCTCTCTCTCTCCCTCTCTGTCTCCCTGTCTCTCTCTCTCTCCCTCTGTCTCTCTCTCTGTCTCTCCCTCTCTCCCTGTCTCCCTCTCTCTCTCTCTCTCCCCTCGCCTCTCCCTCTCTCTTTCTGTCTCCCCGTCTCTCTCTCTGTCTGTCACCCTCTGCCTCCCCCCCTCTCACCCCCTTTGTCTCTCTCTGTCTCCCCCTCCCTCTCTCTCCCTCTTTCTGTCTCTCTCCCTCTCTCTTTCTGTCTCTGTCTCCTCCTCCCTCTTTCTCTCTCTCTTTCTGTCCCTGTCTCCCTCTCTCTCTCTCTCCCCTCACCTCTCCCTCTCTCTTTCTGTCTCTGTCTCCTCCTCCCTCTTTCTCTCTCTCTTTCTGTCCCTGTCTCCCTCTCTCCCTCTCTCGCCCTCTGTCTCTCTCTCTCTCTCTCCCTCTCTGTCTCCCTGTCTCCCTCTCTCTCTCTCTCTCCCCTCGCCTCTCCCTCTCTCTTTCTGTCTCTGTCTCCTCCTCCCTCTTTCTCTCTCTCTTTCTGTCTCTGTCTCCCCGTCTCTCTCTCTGTCTGTCACCCTCTGCCTCTCCCCCTCTCACCCCCTTTGTCTCTCTCTGTCTCCCCCTCCCTCTCTCTCCCTCTCTCTCCCTCTTTCTGTCTCTCTCTCTCTCTCTGTCTCTGTCTCACCCCTGCAGGTTCCAGCAGACGAGGTGTGCGGCTGTCCTCTGGTCAAAGACGTGTTCGAGCCGACCGGTGAGTTCTGTCGCATCTCCAAGAGGAAGTGCAACAAACATTACTGCTGGGAGAAACTGCGCCGCGCCGAGGTCGACCTCGAGAGAGTCCGAGTGGTAATCACAGAAATCTTTATCACCAATAGACCTTGTTAAATCGAGGCCAAATCTGAAGTCCCCAATCTAATCCTTCACCTGTGTTTCTTCTTCCTCTGTCCACCTGTCCCCCTTTCCCTTTTCGTCCCTCTGCCTGTCTGTTATCTCTCCATCCGTCCGTCTGTCTGTCCGTCTCCATCTGTCAGTGGTATAAGTTGGACGAGCTGTTCGAGCAAGAGAGGAATCTGAGGACGGCCATGACGAATCGAGCCGGCTTATTGGCTCTGATGCTTCACCAGACCATCCAACACGACCCAATCACAACCGACCTGCGCTCTGCCAAGGACAGGTAGAAAGACAGGTGGACAGAGAGACTGACAGGAAGGTTACAGAAAGGTCTAAAGTTTGAAGGATATTTTTATTCTAAAAGTCATCTTTCAATATTTCAGTCTATGCTCAAACCAACAGAGTGCACTGTGGGAAACTGGGGCAGCTCACACCAACACATGACACCAACACATGACATCAACACATGACATCAAGCAGAGGAAAAGAAACAGGTTGGATCTCAGTGGTACAGTCTCCTCTTCTGATTGAGACTGTGTTCCTGTAAATATAAGACACAGATGTCACACAAACAGGAGGCAGCATGTGTTTACGCTGAGGAACCAGATGTCAGTCAGCCTCTCCTCTTTTTTTCTTCTTACTGTCCAGTAAAATCCAGCAGACTCTTAGCTTATCACAAGCAGGGATGTAATGATAGTCCACAGCACAATATTTGTAAAAAGGGATCAGCAAAGACTTGGATAAAAAATGAATTATTCAGCTCTGAGTTTCTTTGAACATCTATATTTCTCTGTGGTAAGTGAGATGCCCTCTGTTTGTACGACTTCAGTCTTTGTCTCTCACAAGAGCTCATATTAGGAAATAAAAGAGCTTGTAATTCTGTGCTCAAAATCAATTTAAGATTGATTTAATAAAATAAGTACAATCTTCCCCAAAAACCATAATTATGTCTCTCCAAAACCCAAGTTTTCATTTTCTAAAAATGTTTCCCCTCATTGTTATTTTACTGAGCATACCTTAAACGAATAATAATGTAACCAGACGCAATTTTTTTTTTTGTAGAAAGGTAGGGAAAAGTCTTGCCTCCTTCGCCTCTGATTTGCTAGAAAAGCTGGAAATGTCGTTACACGCTCAAGCCAAACGCGGGCTGTCGGCTCTGTGCATCGAACAGATCATTATCGCATTTCGGAATCTCCTTATCCAAAACCCTAACCTGACAGACAATGACATTTCACATTTCACAAGCCCGGCAGTAACTCCTTGTCCCGGAAGCATTATTATGGTGCATTAAAAGCTGGAAATGTCGTTACACGCTCAAGCCAAACGCGGGCTGTTGGCTCTGTGCATTGTACAGAACATTATTGCACTTCTTTATCTCTTAACCCTAATCCACAGACAATGACGATTCACAGCCGTTAGGAATTACCAGTCGGAGCCCAGCACCTCCAGCCAATCAGAGGCAAAGGAGGGCCAGACCTTCCCCTACCATCATTTTATTTTTTTTCTTTCGCTAACCAGACATTGCCTTGTCAAGTTAGGTACCTGCCTTTAATGCTGATTTAATCATGAATTACTTATTATTTGGTGGTGAGGACTAGCTTGAAAGTTAGGGTGTGACTACCATAGACTCTATATTCTATAAACTCTATGCTCACTACCAAAAGCCCGGCAGTTACTCCCTGTCCCGGAAGCGAATTTTTTTTTTTGTGGCATGGTAGGGAAAGGTCCCGCCTCCTTCGCCTCTGATTGGCTGTGAAACGTCATCAAACGCTCAAGCCGAACGCGGGCTGTCGCCTCTGTACATCGAACAGAACTTTATTGCGATTCTGAATCTCCTAACCCTAACCCGCCAGACAATGATGTTTCACAGCCATGAGGAATAACCAGCCGGAGCCCAGCACTTCTAGCCAATCAGAAGAAGGGACCTGTATTTTTTTTTTTTTGCTAACTGTACATTATCTTGTCAAGTTAGCTAACTGCCTTTAATGCCGATTTAATCACAAATTACTGTTTTTGGTGGTTGGGACTCGCTTAAAAGTTAGAGTGTGACTACCATAGACTGTATATACTATATTCTATATACAGTCTATGGTGACTACTAAAAGCCCAGTGGTAACTCCCTGTCCCGGAAGCGAATTTTTTTTTTGTGGCATGGTAGGGAAAGGTCCCGCCTCCTTCGCCTCTGATTGGCTGTGAAACGTCATCACAAGCTCAAGCCAAATGCGGGCTGTCGCCTCTGTACATCGAACAGAAGATTACAGAATATTATCGCAATCCTGAATTGCGTTGCGGAAAGTTGACACTTTTTTAACTGAAAAGTTGATGATATTTAGCTAAACTAAAGAGCTTTTCATACATTCAACTGTCATAAACCTCAATCGTTATAATGTGATTTCATTTATATTAGCTGCAAATTAAGTATTATTCAGAAAGTTTATTAAAACATGTATGTTTGAAGTTTAGTGAAAGGATTTGAAGGCGACTGGAATCTCCAGAGCTCTGCGATGATGTCATTGGATCTCACAATACCGCGACATTGGCGATACTGTTACATCCCGAACCAGGTATAAAAGGATTATTAATTAGCCTTAGCAGTATTATTAAATTCACTTTCTTTCAGCTGTTAACACAGTTGTTAGAGGGTTAAGGTTTAACGGCCACATATGTACTTTCAATCAAACTAGACTTTTTAAAGCTCTGCAGTAAGAAAACACTACATTACCCATCATCCCAATGCTCATAGACCTTCCCTAGTCTCTGAGGAGGGGGGAGGTAAGATGTTTCTGATCATTTATATAAATCACTGATCAATCAATGAAGGGAAAATGTCTTGAGGTGACAAGACATTTTATACAACATCAAATCAAAAGTCTGAATAACACAAAGCATTCTGAACTTTTTATACATTTTACCAGCTTTAATTTTTGTGTTATCATGTTTTTGTAATATTGAACATTTTATCCGCCTTGATGTAGAATTTAAAATCAAACTAAAGAAAGAAAAAAAATCACTACAAACAGCAACAGCTTTATACGTTTCTGTTATTCTTGCACTTGTTTTTTTTATCCTGTAATCTCTGTTTACTTTCTCTGTGTCCTTAAGTTTTTATACTCTGTATTATTGATCATTTTATTGTTTTATACTGATTGTTCAAACTGACCTTCCATTAAAAACTGAAGATGGTTTTTATTAAACATTTGAATATGTGGTTTGTCTTATGTGGATTTGAAGCCAAATAGCTCTCGGTATTTCCGGGATTTTTCTTCATTTCCTGAAACCAGCGCTGCGCAGTAGCAATGCGTGCATTTGGCAGTGCAGTCGCAGAGAGTTGCTGTGATGACGCTCGGCTCAAACAGGGTATCCCCCGGGAGAGCTACGCAACCCCTGAACGCCCATAGGCTGTATCGGGTGTCAATCATAGCAAACATGAACCCCCTAATAACTTTTAAAAGCGGAGCTTCACAGAAAAAAGAGGACTTGAGCACAAACCAGTCTTACAATAACTACATGTCAACATCACAAGCAGGGGGGAGAAAAATGTATGTTCTGTGTAATAAATTTCTAAAGTTGGTCCACAGCTCCATAAGCTTTGCTGGAGGAGGTGGGATTTATGACCTATACTGCAGCCCATCAACAGAGGGTGCTGTTCTCGGAGTGGCTTCACCCAGCGAGGAGGCAGACTCTGTCCATTCTATATACAGTCTATGGTAGCAACATAGATAATCATACTTTGTTCAAAAGGGTGTAGGATGATAAAACTTATCTAGTCCTGCCCCTTTATTGTTGTGTTACTGTAATTTAATCGGTCAGAGCATGTGTAGGAGTAACAGCACAGAAGAAAGAGAATATATCAGAAAAAAGGCACTTTGACCATTGTTATAAATTCATGTTTCTGTTTCTCTCTTATATCCATTCAGAGTGTGGTTTGTAAAAATAAGTTTGAATTTGCTCGGCGATCTGCAGGTTTTCATTTCTTTGCTGCAACTGTTCCACAGATTAACTCCTTTGACATTTTTGTGTTTGTACATACAGGTTGTTTTTAAAAAAATTTACAGTTGTGGTCAAAAGTTTACATACACTTGTAAAGAACATAATGTCATGGCTCTCTTGAGTTTCCCATTATTTCTACAACTCTGATTTTTCTCTGATAGAGTGATTGGAAGAGATACTTCTTTGTCACAAAAAACATTCATAAAGTTTGGTTCTTTTATGACTTTATTATGGGTAAACAGGAAAAGTGATCAAATCTGCTGGGTCAAAAATGTACATACAGCAGTGCTAATATTTGGTTATATGTCCCTTGGCCATTTTCACTTCAATTAGGCTCTTTTGGGAGCCATCCACAAGCTTCTGGTGAATCTTTGACCACTCCTCTTGACAGAATTGGTGCAGTTCAGTTAAATTTGATGGCTTTCTTTAGCGCTGTCCACATGTTCTCAATGAGGTTTAAGTCAGGAATTGGGAAGGCCATTCTAAAACCGTAATTCTAGCCTGATTTAGCCATTCCATCACCACTTTTGATGTGTGTTTGGGGTCATTGTTCTGTTGGAACACCCAACTGCGCCCAAGACCCAACTTCGGGTTGATGATTTTAGGTTATCATAAAGAATTTGAAGGTAATCCTCCTTCTTCATTATCCCATTTACTCTCTGTAAAACACCGGTTCCATTGGCAGCAAAACAGCCCCACAGCATAATACTACCACCACCGTGCTTGATGGTAGGCATGGTGTTCTTAGGGTTGAAGGCCTCACCTTTTTCCTCCAAGCATATTGCTGTGGCCAAACAGCTTGATTTTTGTTTCGTTTGACCACTGAACTTTCCTCCAAAAAGTCTTTGTCCATGTGATCAGCAGCAAACTTCAGTCGTGCCTTAAGGTGCCACTTTTGGAGCAGGGGCTTCCTTCTTGCACTGCAGCCTCTCAGTTCATAGATATGCAAAACACACGACTGTGGACACTGACACCTGTGTTCCAGCAGCTTCTAATTCTTGGCAGATCTGCTTTTTGGTGGTTCTCGGTTGACTCTTCACCCTCCCAACCAATTTTCTCTCAGCAGCAGGTGATAGCTTGCATTTTCTTCCTGATTGTGGCAGAGACAAAACAGTGCCATGCACTTGATACTTACAATTGTTTGCACTGTTGCTCTTGGGACCTGCAACTGCTTTGAAATTGCTTCAAGTGACTTTCCTGACCTGTTCAAGTCAATGATTCGCTATTTTTATTACTATTAAAATAGCGGGGATAGAGGGCCGAAAGGACCCCCTTTTCCCCCGTCCGCCCCCTCCGGAGCTCTGGGGCGCTCCCCCCTCCCTACACAGTTTGATATGACTCACATTTAAAATGAAACAATTTAACTACGGGCTAAAAATGAGTCATTACCTTTGACAAAGTGGTCACTGCACACACGGGCATTATCTGACGCAGCTCCTCCAGACCATAGGCGGAGACTAAAAAGCCATTTTTTCAGGCGTTTTTCAGTCAGCTTTTTACATCTTTCCCCTTTGTGTAACACTACTTTGGGCACACGATAAAAGCTCTTGTTTTTTTTCCCCTGTTCGATTGATTCGAGTAGCCGTAAACAGCGCAAAACATCGGCATGTTGCTGGTCTCTATGGCAGCAACTCACTTCCTGCCCTCCATCTGTATTGCGCGCGTGCTGCGTAACACGGAAGTGACGTCAAGTGAAAACCTACGGTGGCTTGGAAGTGCAAAACACAACCGCAAAAGAGAAAACACGACAGCAAATCAAAATGCAAACGCAAAAGAGAAATCCCAACCACAAATCACAAAACACAACTGCAAATCACACGTGCAAACACAAAAAAGAAAACATGACAGCAAATCACACGTGCAAACACAAAAAAGAAAACATGACAGCAAATCACACGTGCAAACACAAAAAAGAGAAAACACGACAGCAAAATCCCAAAACACGACAGCATCGTCTGTCTTCTTCTTCTTTTTCGTTGTAGTTTAATGGCAGTTTTCTCCACTGGAGGTGGAGTACTACTGCCACCTGCTGGAGTTTGGAATGGGAAAGTAAACATGAACATGGACGCCGAAAGCGAAAGTGTACTCGAAATAATCCAGCAATATTTTGATGCAGGACACAAATATGACGTAATAGTCGACATGTTGTGTAGGAGAACACATTAATTGAACATCCCTTAACTTACTTGATGGACTGTCACCATCTGCTTCTTGCAGCCTTTTCCCACAACTGCTGCAAAAGTTGGGTTGTCCGGGGAGGTCTTTGCCACAGTATCGGCAATACATCATCACAGACTGTCGCGCCGCGGTTCGTGTCTTTCCCGGTCAAGGGACAGACGAGTCGATTCGAGTGCTTACCTTCCCGCTCCGACATCGATCCAGCAGGTGGAGGTAGCACTCCACCCCCAGCGGAGTAAACTGCCATTAAACTACAACGGAGAAGAAGAAGACAGACGATGCTATCGTGTTTTGGGATTTGCGGTTGCGTTTTCTTTTTTGCGTTTGCATATGTGATTTGCTGTCGTGTTTTCTCTTTTTTGTGTTTGCATATGTGATTTGCTGTCGTGTTTTCTTTTTTGTGTTTGCACGTGTGATTTGCAGTTGCGTTTTGTGATTTGTGGTTGCGTTTTCTTTTTTGCGTTTGCGTTTTGATTTGCTGTCGTGTTTTCTCTTTTGCGGTTGTGTTTTGCACTTCCAGGCCACCGTAAAAACCTCCTACTATGACTGAGAAATTTTATTTCATTCACTCTTTCTATTTCTATGTTATTTATCACGAGTTTCTTTTGTGAGTTATTTGCCCTATTTCCAAACACAGACCCTTTCCAAAAAATTAAAATATCATGGAAAAGATTATTTATTTCCATAATTCCATTCAAAAAGTTCAACTTTCACTGGTTATAGATTCAGGGCCCACAATTTAAACAATTTCAAGTATTTATTTGTTTATTTTGACATAATTTGGGCTTCCAGCTCATAAAACCCATGAAAACAGGACTTAAAAAATTGGAATACTGTGAAGAAATACCCATTTATGCCTCAGTTTTTGTAAAAAATAAGAAATTAGTATCACATCAAATCAGTCAAAATATGGTACTTTCAAAATGATATGTCAATCTTCAATACTTGGTTGGGAATCCTTTTGCCCTAATCACTGCCTCACTGCGCCGTGGCATTGAGGCAATCAGCCTGTGGCATTACGGGAGTTATTGAAGCCCAGATTTCCTTGATACTTGCTGTCAGCTCTTCTTTGTTTTTGGGTCTGGTGTCCCTCATTTTCCTCTTGATAATACCCCATAGATTGGCTGGCCAGTCAAGCACTGTGATGGCATGGGCATCACAGTGGTACTTTTGGTGCTTCTGGGGGTATGGGCAGAGGCTGGTCTTGCTGGAAGATGAAATCTGCATCTCCATACAGATACCTAATGTGGTGGTTTTTGAAGCTGTGACTCCCGCCTTATTCCACTCTTTCTGGATCTCTGCAAGAGTCTCGAATCTTGATAATCTGTTGAAGCCCACAGTTATCTCTTTTGCTGGTGCATGTTCACCTGCCACATTTTGCCCTTCCTCTAGACTTCCCATTAGTTTGTTTGAACACAGCACTCTGTGAGCAGCCATCCTCCTTAGCTATGAACCTTTGTGGCTTACCCATCCTAAGGAGGGTATCAATGATGGTCTTCTGGCCAGTTGTCAAGTCTGCAGTCTTCCCCATATTGAACCGAACTGAGACAATTCAATGACACCTGGGGAAACCTGTGCAGGTGCTTTGAGTTTAGTAGATAATTAATGTGAGACACTCAGTTTAAAACTTTCATGACCCGCAAAATTTGGGCTGGTTTCTTCACAGTATTCAAATTTTTTGAATTCGTGTTTTCATGGTGAGGAAAATCCCCCCTTCCTCTCTGGCTCTCCTACCTGGCTCCAGGCTCCCTGCTTGGGAGGAGCCAAGGAGTCATTAAAGACAGCAAGCTCACCTGCTGCAAACCCTTTCACAACTCAGGAGACAATAGAGCTGGCTGACAGAGGAACACCTCCAGTAGCATTCACTGTGTGCTTACCCTGTGAGTTTGATTTGTTTAAATTGTTACACACCTAATTTTTGACTTATTATCCTGACTTATATTTCATTTTAAGGATGTTTCTTAGTTTACATGTATTCGACTCATTTTAGTTACTTTGCTCTGATATTATTATGGAAATTACAATATTGATCCTGTTTGTATTCAATTTAATTTGCTTTGTTATTCCTTTCTCACCCTCTCTAGAGAAACCAGCTGAATGCATGCTAAACTCTAAACTCTGGATTGGAACTCCTGCCCATGTGCTTATTTGTCCTTCCAGACAATCCATTGCATTGAGATCCACCTTAGATCAGCATAATCCTCAATCCTTGAATGGAATTATGGAAATAAACTTTTCAATGATATTCACATTTTTTGGAAAGGGTCTGTATTGTGAATTTCGTTTTGTTTAGATTTAGTGTGAGTTTATTTGAGTCAAACCAACCCTTCAGTTTCTTTAATTCATCTGCCACTGTGTCCAAAAGTTGTTCCAAATCATCTCCACAGTAAATCTACATTTGAATCTACAGAACCATAATCTGGATCTTCTTCTCTTTACTAATCTCGGTGTCACAAAAACCGCTGTTTCGTTTCTATGGTAACGAGAAATAATATTACGTCATCGGCCCACGCCAGCATCGTCGCAACGTCACACATGTGCGACAGCTGTGGAGCTCAGTTGGCGCTCACCAGCCCGGAGAGAAAAACGGAGATCCGATAATTTAGTCCGATTTTTATTAATCCGAGGAGCATAGGTGAGTTTACACTGACACACACCGAGCCAGGTAGAGGTCTGAACCACTCTGACCTGAACCAGGACCAGATAGACCTGGTCCCAGTCAGAGTCTGTGATAGTCCGGTGTCCCAGTGCGTGTTTGAAGGTGTTATTATTGATCTGATTGATCAACTGTCTGGTGTTATAATCTTATAATTAAGTGGAAATGCTGATTAAGCATTTCCACTTATTGTTATTCTCCTGTTTCTTTATTAAGTGGAAATGCTGATTAAGATTAAGCATATATCTTATATATCTTATATATTAAGCATATATATTATATGTGTCTGCTTCACCACCTGTCTCCGCCCACAAACTTTGAGCTACAGAAACCATTCTGGGCTTCAAAAATTCGGCTCATTGAAGATATTATGGGGTGTTTTGAGGATTGTGATAATAAATTGTATTAATGTGTTCAGCAGAGTCTTGTGTTCTCACAAGCTCCTTATCATGAATATATACAGAGGATGAGCGTCAGGGCCTACTTGGAGTCCTGTTTCCTTAGCTTCAAGCCTTCTTTCTCCTGCTATAGTTATGCATCTACGGTCCCCATGGCAACCAATTTGTGCACCTGGAGACACGCAGCTGACTGGAAAGCTGCTTCTAACGGCCATATGAGACACATGAAGCCAGGCTCAGTACACATAGCACTGGGGATTACATTTAGAACCCTTTACTCGAGCGCTTGACAAGTTCAGCCCCTATCTCCTCACATGAACTCTGACCTACAGAAACCATTCAGGGCTTTAAAATTAAAGCTCATTGAGGACATTATGGGGTGTATTCAGGATTTTTATTCATTTAAATTTTTCTCATTTTAAAGTCACTCAGTGATGATTTATCATTTAATTTTTCAAACTAATTTAAACTCATTCAAACTGATTCAAACCTTTCTGATACTTGAGGATTTCTAATTATTTAAATTTTCACTGATTAAATTAGCTTTAATATTTATGCATTATTCCATCCTTCAAACAAAATCCTACCTCTAGTACTACAACTACTGCTAATGTCAATTAAACTAGTACTTTCCCCTCTACTTCAACTGCTATTGCTCCTATGTCTACTTTCTCTACTGCTGCTATTGCTACTATTTCTACTTTCTCTACTACTTTGACTTATACTTCTTTTATTCTCAAACTACTTCTACTGTTTACATGACTACTAGTATCACTACTTGACTTCTTATCATACTACTTCTAGTACTACAACTTAAACTTATGCCACTTCTCACCTTCCTGCCTTTTAAGGCAGTTTCCTTCTTCGTTCAAACTTTGTGCAATTTTAGACATTTTTTCTAGCCTCTTTCAGCATGAATAAAATTTCCTTTTATAGAGCATATTCATACTATTTGTCCTTCAACCAATTAAACAATTATCCAACTTATATTTCTTTTTCACCCCTTCAACAGCTTTAACATTTAAACCTTTCTCCATGTTTTATTAGCAGTTTAGCATTGCTTTTTCAGCTTTCAGCACTCAGCATTTCCACGCATTTTCTGCAAGGAAATGCAATTTTTCTAGTTGTTATTCCTGCCTGCCATTTTCTTTATTATTATTCTTCCGTCCCTTTTTTGCCGCACTTCTCCTCCTTCAAACTTTGTGCTATTTCAACCATTCAAACTTTAAACAATTCCACTCCTTAAGGACATTATTGCGTCTATTTTTTTCCTTTCTACCCTTTATACTTTTTGTTTTTTTTTAACGTTTTGTGCCAAAATTTTAACATTGAAGTCAATGGGGAAATCTTCCAGTTCTTCCTTTTATTCTTCCACCTTCAAAGCCTTATAACTTCAGCATACTTTCACCTAGAGACCTCATTTTTGCTTTAAAATGTTCATTTACTTGTCGACAATTAATGTTGTATTCACTTTTTTGTGCTATCTTCTACAGTTTTCCCACAATTTAGCTTTAAGCACCTCATGGTTTTCAGCAAATTTTCAGGCTTTATAATGGGTGTGTATTGGAGAGGCTAGAGTGATGATGTCATCACTAGAGTGGACAGCTCCTCTTTTTTCGACAGAACCTCGCTCGAATATATCGCTCCCACGCCCACAAATTTCACTCCACAGCCATAAAAAATACATCAAAATGGAGGTATATGTGTCCTGCTTCTCACAAAAGAGGTTTCAAATCATTATGTCCTACCCCTTGGCCAGCAGGTGACCAACTGTCCAAATAGGCGGAAATCTCTCCCATTAACCCTAATGTAATTTTTCTCCAAGAAAATCCTCATCACCCCTCAGACTCAGACTTTTTTAACTCGCTGTTGTGGCCACATTTTTTGGAGTACAGACATGAAAAACACATCATTGTGTTCATGAAGGGCGGAGGATTCGTACGATGTTCTTATTTTCATTCTGGGACTTAAGGAAATCAATCATTAACGAGACACACACACACACACACACACACACACAAACAGTCTGACAATGTGTGTGCGTGTGTGTCTCTGTCTAAAAGACCTGCATGTACACACAGTTAATATGTGCCTGCTTCACCACCTATCTCCGCCCACAAACTTTGAGCTACAGAAACCATTCTGGGCTTCAAAAATTCAGCTCATTGAGGACATTATGGGGTGTATTTAGGATTTTGTTAATTAATTGTATCAATATGTTCAGCAGAGGTTTGGGGTTCTCACAAGTTTCTTGTCATGAATGTAGCTGTTACAGAGAATGAGTTTCAGGGCATAGTTTTGGAATTTTTTCTCAGCTTCAAGCCTTCTTTCTCCTGCTGTAGTTATGCATCTACCGTTCCCATGGCGACCAATTAGTGCACCTGGAGACACACAGCTGACTGGAAAGCTGCTTCTAACTAGCCTGGCTGGGCCATCCAGTTGCGTGAATCACTTGTCGTTAGGGTTGGGTATCGAGAATCGAGTATCGATGGGGACCAGGACTAACATTTCGATTCTTCCGGAATCGTTGAAATATTAAAATTTCGATTCCAAGTTTCGATGCCTTTGATGATTTTTTTCAGGCTATTCAAATATGCCGAAAACAATAGCCCTCTGATTCGGAATATTTGCTGTCCCGAAAATATAATGTTCTCTACCTTTACAGCTTACTGTACAGTTTATATACCCAAGTACACCTCTATGTGTGCATTTTTGAGACACATAAAAACAAAACGAAAGTTTACTGCTCCATTTAACATGTTGTCATGATCTAATACTCGTGTAATATGTGATCATTGTCTTCCACTAAGAAGCTAATGAGTGGAGGGGAGGCATTCTATGGCAGGGGTGCATTCTACAGCACAACACCTGTCTTCTGCTAACCAGCCAGAATCAGATAAGTGAAACAATAAATTACTTCTGTCCTCTGCTAACATTGAAGCGGCAAACTAATTGTACTGTGTACAGTGGGTCAACTTAAATATCCAACTAACATTAGCCCTTGATGGAGAAGTTCATGGAGAAATTCAGAAATTTCATCCAAAAAGAAGAGCTCCGGTTAGCACCCTCATTCAAACCATGCTTTTTTTTTTTTTTTTTTTTGATATCCTGCCTTTAAAAAGAATCAAAATAGAGAATCAATAGGAATCAGAATCAAAATAAGGAATCGAAATCGGAATCGTTCAAAATCAAACAATACCCAACCCTACTTGTCGTTCCTTCCCACAACAGTCTGGACTTCGGCCAATTGGGAGCGTGTATTACAAATCAGAAAAAAAACGGGCCAAGCAGCGACTGTGTTTCCACTGTTCCCTGGACAACAGGGAAAGGCAGCCCCTGATTGGTCCATGTGTAGATGTAGACGTCTAACACATGCTGCGGGACTTTTCAAAGCGCCGTTAATTCTGCAGTTGACTTTGCAAAGTCGGCAGAAATCGTTTATATCCGCAGAAAAAAACGTAAAAGACATTGTTTGCTCGTACACGTTGAAATATTACCAAACCTTTACTTGATGCTTGAGAGCCCAGCAGTTGCGCACTGTGATGACGTCAGATGTTTGGTTACGGTGAATGGTTACAGTAGTCTGTCTATCAAGGAAAGTTCTCCCGCCCACTTTTAGGGCTCCCAATTGGCCGAAGTCCAGACTGTTGTGGGAAGGAACGGCAAGTGATTCACACAACTGGATGGCCCAGCCAGGCTAGCTTCTAACGGCCATATGAGACACATGAAGCCAGGCTCAGTACACAGAGCACTGGGGGTTACATATAAAACCCTTTACCAGAGCACATGACAAATTTTGGCCCCTTTCTCCTACCACAAACTTTGAGCTACAGAAACCATTCAGGGCTCCAAAAATTCAGCTCATTGAGGATATTATGGGGTGTACTCAGGATTTTTATTCATTTAACTTTTCCCCACTTTAAAATTATTCTCATTATTCATGCTTTATTAAATCCTTCAGACAAATCCAAACTCATTCAAACTGGTTCAAACCTTTCTGATACTTCAAACCTGTTTAACACTTTAGGACTTCTAATTATTTAAAAATTTTCCCAATTTATGTATGTTTTAATTCTTAAAACAAAATCCCAGTTCTACCACTACAATTACTACTTATATCACTTTAACTTGTATCTTCACTTCTACCTCCACTGCTCTTGCTTCTCTTAATATTTTTTTACTTCTACTCTTACTTCTACCACGAGCTCTACTGCTTTGACTTCTACTTCTTCTATTCTAAAACTACTTCTACTGCTTCCATAACTACTAATATCACTACTACAACTACCTATTATCATAGTACTTCAACTTGAACTTATGCCACTTCTCACTTTTCTGTGTTTTAAGGTAAATTTTTTTCCTTATCCATTTTTTTTGCAATTTCAGACAGTTTTTCTAGCCGTATTCAGCATGAATGCAATTTTAATTTATGAAGCACATTCATACTCTTTGTACTTCAGCAATTTTCACTTTCATCCAACTTCTACTTTTCTTTCTCCAGCTCTTTAACCAATTTTACATTTAAACCTTCCTCCATTTTTTTTTAGCAGTTTTGCATTGCTTTTTCAGCTTTCAGCATTTCCACGCATTTTCTGCAAGGAAATGCAATTTTTCAAGTTATTATTGTTATTGTCAAGTTCCTCCTAAACCTGCAGATAAAGTTCAACCTTCACAGATGTGGAAATACTGAGAACATAGACTCTGATAATCCTCATATAAAACAGTCCAGAGGGTCCCTCTTCTTTTAAGAGCAGAAAACATGAAAGAGTCAAGGTCCAAAAGGTCGAAGAGAATGGATTATATTTAATTTACTATTGTATTATATTTTATTTTATTTTGTTTTATTCATTTCATTTATTCAATTACTATTGTAATATATTTTATCTATTATTGTATTATATTTTGTAAACTATTGTTTTTATTTTATCTTATTGTTATATTTCATTCACTATTATATTTATTGTATTGTATTACATCTAATTTACTATTGTATTTTATTTTTAATTGTATTATATTTTTCTTTTATATATTTCATTATTATTGTATTTAATTGTATTTACAATTGTCTTACATTTTATTTATTTTATTTGTCTTATTCACTATTATATTTTAAGTATTGTATTACATTTTATTTACTATTGTATTCTATATATGATCGTTTTATAATTTATCATTGTATTATATTTGATTAATAATTGTATTGTGTTATATTTTATTTATTATTGTATTTTATTTTTTAATAATTGTTTTTTATTCAGTATTGTAAATTTTTTGTTTATTATATTTTATTATGTATTGTATAATATTTTATTTATTATGGTATTATATTTTATTTATTAATTTATTTATTGTACTGTATTTTTTATCTTGGCAGACTGTTAAAGGTGTAGGGTTGGACAAATAAGTTCCCTGATCCTCGATCCTTGGTCCAGAGAGGTCCATAGTGTTTCTGAATCCTGTCTCTACCTGGTCTTTCATGGTTTTAAATCTGGACCACTGAATCTGGATTTGATAGTTTTCCTGACTCCGGTCTCCCCGTTTCAGGAGGATCAGAGATGCAGTCTGGATCAGATCCCACGGGACCTGGACTGACGTCGGTCAGGAGATCTCCTCGGCTGTCTCCTCAGGTTGGTTTCTGTCTGTTTTTGTCATTATGGGGCGGTTTACAGATGATCGATGTTTTAAACGGAGTCCCTTCATGTTCTCAGGCTGAACCTGTTGTTGGTTTGAGTCTGAAAAAACATCAGACCAAAAATGAACAGCAGCGTTTGATAATAAAAAACTTTGAATAAAAATAAGCATGTTCAGAATGATATGCTCCTGTTTGCGTTTGTAGTTCTTGATCAAAATGTCGCAGATAAGTGTGTCTTTAGAGATCCTCTGAGGAAGTCTGCTAATGTTTATTTCTGCTGCTGTCAATCATTGACCTGAATTGGAGTTCAACCTCAGCCTCTCATGAATGTTTCACACGTCAGTCAGACTGAAGAAAAACTCAACGAGGAGAAGGAGTCCTCTCTTCTTTGCTCCTTTCATTTTTCTCGTCTTCTTCTGTGTGACTATTTCAGGTCTGTATCTGACATTATGTCTATCACTGAGCCGCAGAGTGTGTGTCAGAATAAATGTTGGCGTGTGTGTGTGTCTTCAGTGCAGCGGCGCTTCAACAAAAGAGGAGAAGAAGAAAGGGGGGAGCAGTCTGCAGGAGGTGAAGAGGAGAGGCAGGATGGAGAGGAGCAGGGATGAGGAGGAGGAGGAGCTGAATGACAGGCTGCAGACGCTGGTGAGACTCCGAAGAGCACAGAGTGCTGTTTGTGTCTGTTTGAATTAACCATATTTGGAGACTGCAGGTGAACCAGCTGACTGATAAACAGCTGATCTGTCGGCCAGAGAAGAATCACAATGAGAGTCCATGAATGTAAAGAAATGGATGCGCTGAGTCTGACTAAAACTGGACTTCTATAATTTAGAGCACTCTTCAGTCTGACTGAAATCACACTATCATGAATGAGTTAAAGGGATATTCTGGTGTAAAATTAAGTTAAGGTCAAACACACTGTAACACCCAGTTAGACCCCCCTCCAGAGATGAATGTTGCTGACCGCTTGCTTCTCTAGTTATACCAACTTCAGTAACGACTGCAGGATAGAAATACACAGAGGCATGATGAGCTATAAACAAACCTCAACCAAAACACCACTCTATAGCCACAAATAATGCTCAGAACAGCACCTAACTTCGTCAACAGGACATATAGGGTCACAGACATAGTACTAGACACCAAACATCTTTTTAACTTTGACTCATTTCTTTAGCAAAGAGACTAAACACAACTCACCTACTCTCTTCCAGCAGCCGCTTGTTTGTAGTGAGACCTCAGGCCAGTCCATTACAGACTACAGCGGGGTGACACAGCTCAAGGAAGACACTATAATGACCTGTTTTATCTTGGCCTCAGTGAATAAACTGGTGTTCAGCAGTAAGTGAACAACGCTACACCCCTCCCTCCTCCACCTGAATTAATTCATTCGCAAGTTGTTTGTTTCATTCACCATGTTGTTCACTGACTGATACATGTCGTTCATTCGCTGAGTGAATCACAAGACTCTGCTAGCCCGCTGGCTGGCTGGGTGTTGTTCGCCAAAGAGTCAAAGGCGGCAGTTCCACTCTTGACCGTCACGTCAGGCTCGCGGCTGAGCTCAACTGAACTGAGAAAGGAACGAATCAGGTCTCAGAGTGATTCAGTTCACGTCGTTCACTCTGTTCTTTTGAACAAAACGTTCATGAACAACACAACACTACTGTTGATGAGGTTAGGTGCTGTTCTGAGCATTATTTGTGGCTATAGAGTGGCGTTTTGGTTGAGGTTTGTTTATGGCTCCTCAGAGCCTGAACGGAAACATCGTAAACAGGACCAAGTATCAATTCCTGTCGTTATTATCTTGTTGCCATAAAACCAGTGAGCCTCTTTTTTTCTCATGTTGGTCTGATGACATAAAAAAGCTGGGGCAGACTCGCGTGTGTCAGCAAATCTCTTCAAACTGGGACAAAGACTAATGTGTAAACGTTAATGTTTGACAGCAGCCGGCTGAGCTGAAAACTTGGTTATCAGTTCATAAAAAAGGAACATCATCATGGTGGTAAAAGGGACAGGACCCAGAATGGACCCCTGTGGTACTCCCTTTTCTTACACTCTTGAGGTCCTTACACACCAGCGAATTTGCGGAGCGAAGCGGAAAAGCGAGACGAAAATGCGAAAATATTCGCCGGTCCGAAAAATCGCTTTCGCCTATACACACCGGGCGCGAAGCGAATATGCGTATAAATTTTGCAAAGCGAATTAATAAAGTCGCTTTACGGCACGGAGGAGAGGAGATGCGGGGTGGTCCTGTACCGCTATTACCAGCCTCTCTCCCATCGTTGCTCTTGGTGCCAGTGGTGGTGTGTGTCGTGTGAATGGCTGCTGATTGACATGTCTAGCATTATGAGCGAGGGAGAAAGAGGAGGAAAAGCTGTGAGAGACGCCGCAGCAGCCAGGAGAGGCGAGGGCTGAGCAGTGATCCTTCAAGTTGTCTGGTCATTCTGTTGGCCCTGTAGCTGCAGATCATCGGTATGTCAAACAGCTAAGAGGGAGAATCAGGCATGATGAGGCGGTCACCCTGTGAAGTGTGCATGACACCTGTCTCCTAAGGAAGACATGAGAGTGTCATCTTGTGAGAAAACTACTTCATTAGTAATTAGAAAGAGTTTTGGATGCACCTCAGCTGTCTTTCTCTGCGTTTTCATAATCTCAAACTTCTCCCTCTCCTCCAGCCGTATGGGTCTGTGACGTCATCAACAACATGACTTTTGATTGGCCAGAGGTCTAGCAGGTCCAGATATTCGCCTGTGAATATCCGAAAAATTCGACACAAGAGCGAAAAAATAAAAGACGCTTTTCGCCCCGCAGAAAAATCGCCACCGGTGTGGAAGCTTGCATTGACTTTAAGCTGTTTTAAAAAAAGGCGAATAATTCGCTTGGCGAATAATAATTCGCTTGGCGAATTCGTGCCTGGTGTGTAAGGACCTTTAGACTGAGCTGGTCCCAGGATTACCACCTGCTGCCTGTTATACAGGAAAGCTCGGAAACTAACCCATGATTTAGTCAAGTCTTTAAGAGGAGATCCATGGTGTCTGCTCCTTTGAGCATCTGTAGGTGAGGTTGTGTTCAAATACATGTGAAGGAGGCGCCTGTGGACTGACAGAGGGTCACGTCTGAGGAAAACACCAATCTGAGAAACACTGTGTTTCCTGCTGTGTGTGTGTGTGTGTGTGTGTGTGTGTGTGTGTGTGTAGGATCTGTCCTGCAGATCAGCAGCCAGTGGAACAGGTGTGGTGTATTCAGAGATCTTCACTCGCCATCAGAACCTGTGGGAGCCCAGGTAACAGGACCCTCCTCACCATCACTGATCATTATCCTCACACAGAGATGAGACTCATTTTTTATCGTCAGTATTTAATGATCTGATTTAGGCCTGGACGATATAGAAAAAAAGCATATCGATAAAAAATAAATCATATTGATCGATATCGATAATTATCGATACAATAATTATAATTATTTAACATATATTTTAATTGCAGCCCTGGATGTTATATGCTATTGCTTAATGACCTACTTTTAATAAAGAACACAGAAGCACTGAATTCAAATTCAAACCTTTATTCAACCACCTTTTTTATTTTACCACAACTGAAAGTTTTTTTAAAAAAGAACTAAAAAAAAAAAGGAAATCAACTTAAGGGGCCTGAGTGACGTCAGTAAATACTGACAAACATAAAGACTAAAGTGACCAGAAAATCTGATAAATAAATATTTAAATAGTCTTTTGATGAAAATAAACAAAACAAACAAATATATAAATAAACAGAATAGCTTTAGGTGGGAATAACATACTACCAGTTTTAACTGTGTGAGAAACTGCCCACAGCCTGGTGTCTGAACACTGAAATATTTCTCCCGGGGTCGGGAGATTTATTTTTTTTAATTATCATGTGATTGACTTGATACGCAAACTGAGCACGAGAAGCAGGACTTATCCACGCCGGTGTTGTGTCGTAGAATGCACCCCTGCCGAATGCACCCCCTGCTAGTAGCCATGATCCAAATACTCGCGTCTTTGTAAAATATGAGCTCATTTTCTTCCACTTTAAGAAGCTAATGAGTGGACGGGATGCAGGGGTGCATTCTTCTCACCTTTTCAACCCCTGACCCATTTTCATGCCTGAAGCGCTGTGTTTGAGAAATACTTGCGGCCGGGCACTTCATATCGCGGGTCGAGAGTGGCTAGAAGCTGTTTGAAGCCAGGCTTTTCAACGGTAGTTATTGGCAGTATGTCCCTCGCTATGGAGCATGTTACTGCATGGGTGATGTCCTTATGCCGCTCGGACGCTTTGTCGTATTTTGGCAAGAAACGAAGTCCAGTTTGGTCTGCTTCACTTGCTTCGTGCTGGTGCTGGCAGCGGTTCCAGAGGATTCCTCCTCCGACGACGTGGAGCCGCGGCGCGGCCGACACAGCTCGTACTCCTGCGGGTGCGATCGGTTTAGATGGTAAAACAAGTTGGTTGTGTTACCAGACTTGGTTTTTACTAATTCTCTGCAAATTTTGCAAACGACCGCTGTTCGCTTTTTGTCAGACTTCTAAAAACCAAAACATTGCCATGCTGGTGAACTACTGACAATGTCCTCTGCTTCTCCTTGCTGTATCATTTTTTCTAATACACGTGCTGTCTGTTGTGGTTTGATAGGGGCTGGGCTTGGTGCCGTAGCGTACCTGAGTCTGCGTTTGTGATTGGTTGGGAGGAAGTAATGACTGTAGTAAAAGCTACATGATAGGCTATGATGAAAAAGAAAGGGAAACTGTGTTTTTCTATCGAACTTTTTATCGACCCGTTTTTTTTCTATCGCAGCACACGTCTATCGATCGATATATATTGTTATCGAATTATCGTCCAGCACTAATCTGATTCTGTTTCAGTGTTTTAAGGTTCGTTTTGTTTTAGTTGGTTAAAAAAATCATGCGTGTTATGGTTGCGAGGGTCAGGGTTAGCCCAGAGAGAAAGTTTGTTTCTATGCATGCTTTTAAAACCTCACCCAAGTTTTGAACTCTGTATTTGAAGGTGAAGTTGTTGTTTTGTTGTTCAGTCACCCGGAGAGTCCAGACAGGGTGACGTCCATCCTGGACGAGCTGCAGAAACAGGAGCTGCTGTCTCACTGCATCACCCTGCAGGTCTGTCTTTCTTCACTTTCTTTACAATCTTCAGACATGTCTTTGAGATGAATGTCCTGCAGGGAGCGCTATGCGAAGCTCCAACGAGTGTGTGTGTGTGTTTCTGTTTCAGCCCAGAGAGGCGACAGAGGAGGAGCTGCTGCTCGCTCACACGTGAGTCCACACTCTGACACTAAAAACTGCTGAAGAGGTGCGGCGCCGTAGAGTCCTGAAAAAAGAGGGGAGGCTTCAGCAAACGTCAGTTCAGGGAGTCAAAGAAAAACAGACAGCTGACAAGAGGAAAGACACACAGACAGGAAAAAAAGATTCAGATTAGCAGCTGTCAGACCCTCCTGTGTGACGTCAGCCTTTGTACCTTTCTATCATTCAGAGTAGGGGTCTTCTGGAAAGTTCTGGAGAGTTTGTGAGCTGTGTGAGGAAAGTGAATCAAATCAAACTTAATTTATAAAGCGCTTTTCATACAAAGGATGCAACACAAAGTGCTTTACATTCCATTAAAAACAAAAAAGTCACATACACAGTTTCCCCTAAAGCACACAGGGGAACACACACACACACACACACACACAAACAGCCATACGTAAGGGCGCTAAGATAGTGAATATGAGGCGGGGTACAGATGAACCAGTTTAGAAAGCGCCATCAGAGGAGCCGTCAGCACCAGGACACCAACACAAACATAAACCTCCACCAGGAACCCCGTGACCGGCCCCTGCAACCACAGCTGACCACCGCTCCCGGGGCTGAGGGCTCCCTCAGAGGAAATACTGGGGGTCCTAAAAATGATGAAAGGATAAAAACAAGTGAAAACTAAAATATGAATAAAATAAAACACAGACCAACCCAGTGACAATAAAACAAATAAATATAAAATAAGAAACCTAGGCTACTAGAATAAATGAAGATAAAATAAATAAATGTTCATTAAAAGCTAAAAGGTGGGTCTTGAGCCTGCTCTTAAAAAACACGAACGCTCTCTGCGGCCCTGAGGTCCTCTGGCGGGCTGTTCCAAAGAAGAGAGCCGTAATACTGGAAAGACGCCTCGCCATAAGTGTGAATTGAGGAGCGCAGGGTCTACGAAGGTTCATGAGGTAAAAGCATTTCTGAGAGATAAGAAGACCCAAGACCATTAAGACATTTAAAAACAAAAAGAAGAACCTTAAAATCAATCCGAAAACACACAGGGAGCAAACGCAATGATTCTAAAACCGGGAAGGAATGAACAGACGGGCAGGTGTCCAGCGAACTGGTGGATGAATTTTTATTTCTGATTTTATTTTATTCACATTAAAAGGTGGGGTAGGCAAGAATCTGTTGAAGAAGCATCTTTTTTTGTGGTGTATTAACAAAAAAGCTTTTAATATTAGTCAATAGTGAAAAGTTATTGATGATATTTGGGAATATAATGATATCGCTGTGTTCTCTTATGTCTGTGTAGTCAATTTTTTAATATTATTGAGCGGTCTGCTCTTTCTGATTGTAAATACAGCCGTTCTCCGTCTCCCTCATCCTGATTGGTTGTGAGGCGGACGCTGCTCCCCCACCAAACTCCAAACAAATTTAGCGTGCTACAATATTGGACAGTATAAACTAGCGCCCAACCAATAGGGATTTTTGGAGGCTGATACCGATTATTAGGGAGGGAAAAATCTGATTACCGATTAATCAGCCGATTTTTAAACATTTTTTATGAAGTTTTAAAATTTTGTTAATTATATCAACATATTTACATAGTTTTTTTTAACAAATGGCTGCTTTTGAGCCACTCAAACACTTCATTAGACACAGTGGTGAGATGGCTGTCTGTCATGATAGCATGTACTGAGTCGGGGTCAGTACCAGATAAACACATTAAACTATAATTCATAAACCTAAGGTAACAACCGAGACCTAACGGTGCTGTGACAGCTACGCAATTGAGTTTGAGACAGTGAAAATACTTATGGTATGTTGTATCTGAACAGGTTCGCTTACGAGCTTTAGTTACTTAGCACAGGTGAAATTTAAAACAAAGACGTTTATCAAACTGTTAAAGCACACAAACCATCGTCATATGAGAAATCCGACGCTATGACTCTCCATAAGTCGTCCTTCAGGTCGTTATCTTTGTAATGTTTGTGTCTTTTATCAAAAAAAACTCTGCTCTCCGACACGTAAACAATCAGCCGGTCGGCCATGTTGGATATACGGTGAATCTGACTTTGCAACAACACGCAATCTGATTGGTCAGAAGTGGACACACAGAATGCGAAACTTTAGAAAATCGACCATGATCTGAAAAAATAAATGCTGATGTGAACGCTTGTATTGACAGGATACGTGTTCGAAAAAAAATATTGACGTCCGAAATAATTGCACGTAAAAAACGGTCCTAGTGTGAAAGGACCTTATGTCGGGGAAACTTTTCAAATGGCGGAACTTTTTTGAAATGAAACCGAATCTTATTCTCTGCATTTTATTTCTGAAAATATTGCCGAAAATCCGCGAGTTTAGGCCGATTACTGATTAGTCTCAGATGGGCTGAAATTGGCCAGAATGTTTGGAAAATTGTCTGAATCCTCCTTTGGCCACGACTGCCGACACAAGCAAGAAAACAAAGTAAATACCGGAGACTCTGGAGGAATAACGGGCGCTTAAAATGGAGGTAGACCGGACAAGAGCTAAAAAGCCGGTTCAACATAAACGATGGGGGACGCTTGGGGATCTGGGTGACCCTGTAACCTTTCTGCTGGACAGGTAAACCGCTTTAACAAAGTAAGACAAGTGTCTGTAACAGAAGTGTTTCTTGTCAAACGGACCTGCTGTAGCGTGTTGGAGCGCTGCCAAACTGTTGACCTCAGGTCCTGGACTATGTCACTTTATCCTAGTTCTAGAAGTCCTGCAAACATTGTGTTTGCTGGTTGTCTGTTGGCATCTACAGTAGCACCAACTGTACTGTAGATGATTTCTTTCAAATACTGGAAATTCCTCAGATCCAGACGACACCATGTTAAACTTTAAAACATGTTTGTTTTCTTTTTTTTCTTAACTGATTTTAGGAAACAGTATGTGGACCTGATCAAGTCCACTCAGACCATGACGGAGGAGGAACTACACACTCTGTCTGACAAATATGACTCTGTGTACCTGCATCCTGTAAGAACACACACGGTTTATGAACAATTTTGTGCCCTCCGCCATTAAATTATTGAATTCTAGGGGAGGCATTTTCTGATCGTGTAGTGTGTTATATTTTATAAGGAATCCGATCTGGGTTCCACTGTGACTGGAATGGACTGACGTGATTTTATGTATGTGTGAGCTGCTCTTAAAATGCTGCAAATGAATTGCCCTTTTGGGATCAATTAAGTTTTCTGAAACTGAAACTGAAACAGAAACATACACACACTCATTTGTAGAATAATACACGTCTGAAACAGTTATTTGACTTTGTGTGTGTGTGTGTGTGTTTACAGGAGACCTTCCAGGTGTGTGTGTCAGCTGTGGGTTCGGTCCTCCAGCTGGTTGATCAGGTGATGACCTCTGAGCTCAGAAACGGATTCGCCATCATCAGGTAACAACGATTGCACCCTTTCATGATGCGTTTAAGTACACCTGTTACTGTAGGTGATGACCGTAATTCTTAAGCACCTGAACGCAAAGTTACCACGGAGACACTGAGAGTGTTTGAACCCTCTCTTCAGACCTCCAGGTCATCACGCTCAGTCCGACCAGGCCAACGGTTTCTGTGTCTTCAACAACGTGGCCATTGCGGCTCGATACGCTCGGACCAGACACTCAGTCAGCAGGTGTGTGCGTGTGTGCGTGTGTGTGTGTGAGTGTCATGCAGGTGTCATGTTTTAACCAGCTGTTAAGAAAACACAAAAACTCTTAAAAGGCTGAAATCAGAAAATCCTCAAACCAGTTTGAGACAGCACTGAAAGGGTAAATTGACGACCTTTCTGCTGATCGGTCGACATCATTGAACCCGGTTCTTTCTTTGTGTGTGTGTGTGTGTGTGTGTGTGTCTAGGGTCCTGATAGTGGACTGGGATGTTCATCATGGTCAGGGTATCCAGTACCTGTTCCAGGACGACCCCAGGTAACCTCTTTAACACCGTAGACACACACAAATCTTACATCAAATCCATCCTTATCAAACGTGTGTGTGTGTGTGTGTGTGTGTGTGTGTGTGTGTGTGTGTGTGTGTGTATGTGTGTCAGTGTGCTATACTTCAGCGTCCACAGGTATGAGGGCGGGGCCTACTGGCCGCACCTCCTTGAGTCTGACAGTCAGAGCTTTGGTAGTGGACAAGCTGAGGGAAGAAACATCAACCTGCCCTGGAACAAGGTGCAGACTCCCGTCACACTCACGGCTTCATTCAGTAACTCTCCGTAGAGCCGCAGTGATCAAATATAAAGTAATCAACTATACTATTGATCTTTTTTTAAAGTTTTAAAGGAAACTCAGACGAACAAACTTTAAAACAGGAAAAAGACAACTCTTGTTCTGGCACCTGAAATGTAACAGAAACACCGGGACGTTTTAGTCTCCCACAGATTCACCGGGATGACGTTTCAAGTCCTGGTTGTCGATGTGAGCTTCAGTTGAAAAAAACTGAGCCATTGAGGCAGATTTGAAAACAGCATCCCACCCCCCACACACAAACCTTTACTCTCTGGGCTCTATTTTGGTGCCTCGCCGGAGACGTGCCGCAAGCGCAGTGTCGATCAGATCCGCCGCGCTGACAAGGCGTTCCCAAGCACATTTTGGTATTTTGGTGAGCCGCGCAGCCCGGCGTAAGTATCCCCCCTCCCTAACTTAGCTCCTCCCAGCACCATAAGTCGTAGATGGGGAGGAGAGAGGGCGTGTAGTGGGTTTAACACAGCCGAGACCTGTTTTCACCAATCACATAAGCTCCTCTCCTTGCCTTTAAATCCGCCACAGGCGAGGCGTATTACTATTTTCATGAAGTAGTCAAAGAGATCAAGAGATGTCTTAAGACAGTAATGCCACAAGATGGCGACAGAGGGCAGCTCCTCAACAAGTGTCACTGTCGCATTGGGCGTCCTCCACACTCTCTCATATGAGCACAGATGGATTTGGTGTGTGTAAAGTTGGACCCAGTGGTAAGACAAACACCCTTTTCCACAAATAAAGACACTCACATAAAGTTGCATATATTCAAACCTCACGTGACAAAGGTGGGTTTAGCGCACAGATCACAACATGAACTCCAAAAATGGCATTAAAATCGGAACCATCTGTGCGTAATGATGCATCGCGCTCCGTGGCCTGGCTCTTTCTTTCATAGATGTTGGCATATAAAATAAATTTGGCCCACAAAACTGAATATTATAATATCCGTATGTCGGCTTCAAGTAGATAACGCATCTGAGCACTGAAACAAATCATCTGTTCAGCCGCAGCAGCAGCAAGACGGACAGAGGACACGGAGACGTGTCCAGGTCGAGCTGTGCGAGAAATAAGAGGAAGAGGAAGAAAGAAAAGGAGGGAGACGAATTAAATATCTTGTTAACTTCATCATGTGTGTATATTTACTAGATATTTAATTTAATTTGATGCGGTTTCAGCTGTGTTGATTCGGTCAGGTTGTGTGTCCAAACGCGTGCCAAAAGCGCTCATCAGATCAGATATAGATCAGAATATATCTATATAGATCTAAATGTATGTGCTGACTCAGATTAATAGTTGATGATGATTATTTATTGCACTGAAATGTGCCTGACACTGTGGAAACCTGCCGGTGAGGCATCAGTGACGTATGTCGATTCGCTGCCGGTCTACCAAAATACTACTAGACCAGCTGCGTTCCGCCATGCGCTGAAAGCTGACCAGGTTTGAATCAGCGAGCTTTCAGCGCACTTTACACCCTGGTGGCGAGCACGAAAATGTCACTGCGCCAGCTGATTCTGTCGACACTTCCCCCTGCCACGCCACCACGCCCAACTTGGCGGATCTCGGCTCGCCTCCGTGCGGCTCAGTCCACGAAAATACCAAACTGGCCTTGCGCCGGGCTCTGCCAGACGAAAATACAACTGCGCGGGGCTCGCCGCCCTCCGCCGCCTCACTGGCGCGAACGAAAATAGAGCCCTCTGTGTTCCACAATAACTCCCCCCTGAACCTGTATCGCCTTCCCCATGACACTCCCCCTCTGTCAGAGCAAGAAGCCGGCCGGCAGAAGATCCTACGCTAGCTTGAAATAGGAGCCACCATGTCAGATTGTTAGTGACTAGCGGCAGTAAACGTCAGCTCTGCTAGTGAGCGCCGTCTGCAGCTGCCTGGACAGCTACCGTGTTGACATTGCAGAGTCTTAGGCTACATTCACACTGCAGGTTATGATGCACAATTCGGATTTTCTGTTAAATACGATCTTTTTGTGCAGTCATTCACATTACAACAATGAATGCGGCATCTAATGTGGACGAAATGCGTCCGTGAAGTGACCCACATGCGCACAAAGCATGTTGGCTGGCTGTTCTCCGTTCCCTCGTCCGCCATTGCTTTCCGCTCCTGTTTGTGTTGTCGAAGTATGGTGACGTTTGTTGCATATTGATGACGTATAGGTCAGATGAACACAACCTGAGCGTCCACACTGCAGTCACATCGGATACATATCCGATTTATATCCACATACAAAAGAGGCCTGGGTCGGATTTGTAAAAATCAAAATTGTACTGTTTACACTTGCATGAAAAAATCAGATGTGTGTCACATATGGTTAAAAAATCGGAATTGACCTGCAGTGTGAACATAGCCTAATAGGCGTTATTTATGTGACATGTGCCACGATAAAAGGAGATAAAAATTACGTGTTCAACAAAAACTCTGCTGTCTTGGCGTCTGTTTTCAGGTCCAAATCCTGGTGGAGCTTTCTCCACTGCTCCAAGTATGCTCCGATGTTTATTCCAGTTAGATTCCTCGTTTGGTCACATCTCCTCTTTGACTCCGCCCTTTCTTCTGTCAGCTTGCGTTTTCTTCCCACTTTTGGCGGTGGGGCGAGCAGAAGTGTTTTTTTTTTTTTTTGCGTACTTCTCCATCACAGCTCCTGTAGCTAAGCTGCTACGCTACTTTTAGCCGCTTAGAGCTCCGAGGAGAACCGGGAGGCGATATTTTTTTTTGTAGGACGGTAGGTGAAGGTCCTGCCTCCTTCGCCTCTGATTGGCTAGAAAAGATGAAAACATCACAACATGCTCCAGCCAAATGTGGGCTGTTGGGTCTGTACATCGAACAGAACTTTACAGAACATTATGGTAATTCTGAATCTCCTAACCCTAACCAGACAGACGATGATGTTTCACAGCCATGAGAAATAACCAATCAGAGCCCAGCACTTCTAGCTACAAAAAAAAAAAAAGTTAGCGTCCAGGAGAGTGGGAGGAGACGATTTGGAACTACGGGAGAGGGGTGTGTCGAATACAGCGAGGTGATTGGTTGGGGAGGCGGAGCAGGAGATCGACCAATAGGAGCTGTCCAGGACAGATGGCTCCCATTGGTCGATGTTTTTGCAGCCCTGCACCTGCTAGGGTGAATGGATTTTTTCCGTTCTTTTTTCTGTTCACTTTGTGGAGATCAAACTATAGGACCATGATCGCCATAGAAACAAGGTTCATAATAATTACCAATCTCTCCAGTCGTCAACCATGACTTTAAATGAAAACTTCAACCATGATGAGAGACGGGGAGAACTTCGCTGGTCTTCGTGATGGAAGTCAGAAACTCAGAAACAGCAACAACAACACCACTTTACTTTTAGCTTCAGCCCTGATTAAACGATCACAATGAAGTATTCGAACAGACTGAATAGGGGCACAGTGAGAAAGTGATGCCATGACTGATTCATGTGTTTACTCTGCAGACGGGGATGACACACGCTGATTATATCTCAGCTTTCCAACAACTGCTGCTGCCTGTCGCACTTGAGGTGACACACACACACGCAGAAATGATTCTTTGTATATAAACAGCATGTATTTATATTGTCTTTGTGTGTGTGTGTGTGTGTGTGTGTGTGTGTGTGTGTAGTTTCAGCCTCAGCTGGTCCTGGTCTCTGCAGGATTTGATGCGGCCGTTGGAGATCAGAAGGTAAAAACTCCACAGACCTCAGATCAGCCACAGCGAGAGTACGATCACAGATTTACTGAGTTTAAGGTCTAACTGCAGTGTGTGTGTGTGTGTGTGTGTGCGTGTGTGTGTGTTCAGGGGGAGATGTGTGTGAGTCCTCAGTGTTTTCATGTCCTTACTCACATGCTGATGAGTCTGGCTGAAGGTCGACTCGTTCTCGCTCTTGAGGTAAAACACGCCGTCCTCATCCTCGTTGTCATGGAGTGTGAAGTCTACAATCACTTATTTAGTGTGTGTGTGTGTGTTCATGTAGGGAGGTTATAACCTGCAGTCTACAGCAGAGGGCGCTGCAGCCTGTGTTAGAGCTCTGCTGGGAGGAGCGTGTCCTCCTCTGACTCCGCCCACAGCTCCATGTGACAGGTAACATGTTAGACACCTGAGTCATGGAGTTTAGCGTCAACATAAAGAAGTACGATCACCTGACATCGCTCTCTCTTTCTCCCCCCCTCCCCCCCATCTCTCTCTCTCTCTCTCTCTCTCTCTCTCTCTCTCTCAGTGCCCTGGAGTCCATCTCTCAGACGGTCTCCTGTCTGTATCCATTCTGGTCCAGTCTTCAGGTTCTGGGTGAGTTTCTCGTGGATCATATTTCATGTAAATTTCCATCCGGTTGACTTTCTGGTAGGGCAGTAGATTATTGTAATAAAGAAGACATGCCATCAATAAACACAGTTAAATGTCATTTTTTATATCAAGATATATTTTAATATCGACTAATATGAAAAAAACTATAGAGTGATAAACTTTTTCCCATATCAACCAGCCCTACACCAAATATCCTGATGTGGGCAAAATTATGTCGGTTGTTGTTGTAAATTAAGGTATCATTAAATTTTCAGTTTATTGCCCAGCCCTACACCAAATACATAGATATGGGCAAAATGATGTTGGTTATTGTTGTAAATTTCGGTATTGGTAAATTTGCCGTTTATCACCCAGTCCTACACAGAATATACCAATATTGGCAAAATGACGTTGGTTATATTCGTAATTTGGTTTTAGTAAAACTTTGGTTTATCGCCCAGACCTACATCATATGTACCAATATGGGCAAAATGACGTTGTTTATTGTAGTAAATTTTGGTTTGAGCAAATCTTTGGTTTATCGCCCAGCCCTACATCATATCTACCAATATGGCCAAAATGACGTTGGTTATCTTCGTAAATTTTGGTTTTAGTAAATCTTTGCTTTATTGCCCAGCCCTACATCTCATATATGGCTAAGTGCAAAATGATGTTGGTTATTGTTGTAAATTTCGGTATTGGTAAATTTGCCGTTTATCACCCAGTCCTACACAGAATATGCCGATATGGGCAAAATGACGTTGGTTATTGGCGTTAATTTCGGTATTGGTATATTTTCAGGTAATCGCCCAGCCCTACATGGAATATACAGATATGGGCAAAATGACGTTGGTTATTGTTGTAAATTTCTGTATCAGTAAATTACCTGTTTATCGCCCAGGCCTACACCGAATATGCTGATATGGGGAAAGTGACGTCAGTTATTGTCATTAATTGTGGTATTGGTAAATTTTCAGTTTATTGCCCACCCCTACTTTCTGTCAGAATCTGTGGAGCAGAGAAGATTTAGGTCCTCTGTGGTTTTATCAATAAGAATTAATCAAATATTAAATTTGAAGAAGTGCAGCATTAGTTGGTATTTAATTTCAGTACAGACTTTAAATATTGTTGTCTTTGTGGATACTCTGCACCTCGGCTTCTTTTGAATTTCTTGTTTTGTGTCTTCTTCTTGATTGTGAATCAGGTCAGTTTGTAACTTCACTGTAAAGGCAAACTTATTTCCTGATCATGGACATACGACGTTCATTCATTCACACGTTTATTCATTTATTCAGTCACCAATCAGGAAACTACAGCGTCTGTCAAACACCTCAGATGGATCCATCAAAGGAGTGGCATGATCAAAACGACCATCAGTAAAGCTTTCAGAGCAGCTTAGTTTATGATTTAGGATCTAAAAATGTCAATGGTTCATGAACTTTCCTCTAAAGTTTTTTTTCAAAGATTCATGATTTAGAAATTTAGAAAGTTAGTAATCTCATACCTGTAAAAATACTTAATTATTACAGAGGGTGGCCCCTTTGCTGAGCATGTCAGGACAACAACCAATGAGAGCGTAAAACCAGCCAGCCCTGCCCCCTCTGTCACCACGACAACAGGTCTGGTTTATGACGAGAGAATGATGGAGCATGCCAACCTGTGGGACAGGTGAGTTACCTGAAAATACGGTGATGTAGAGGATGACACCCCCCTCATGTGACCCCCTCTGTCTGCAGACATCATCCTGAACAGCCTCAGAGAATCTTGAAGATCTTCTCCAAACATCAGCAGCTAGGATTGGTTGATCGTTGCCATCGGATACCAGCCCGCCTAGCAACAGAGAAGGAGCTGTCGAAGTGTCACAGGTGTGTTTTTTTTCTTCTAATCTAACTCTAGATTTTTACAGAGTCTGATGGAAAAATCAGTAAGTGGTTTGTGTGTGTGTGTGTGTGTGTGTGCGTGTGTGTGTGTTTGTTTGTGTGTGTGTGTGTGTGTGTATGTTTGTATGTGTGTTTGCTTTTTTGTTTGTTTGTTTGTAATGTGTGTGTGTGTGTCTCTGTATGTGTGTGTCCCTGTGTGTGTCTGTCTGCATGTGTGTGTGTGTCTGTCTGTACATCCAGTGCTCAGCACATCGAGCAGATGAAGTCCACGGCGGGGATGAAGCCCAGAGATTTACACAAACTGGGGAATGACTTTAACTCCATCTTCTTTAACAACCAGAGCTTTACGTCCGCTCTGCTGGCCGCAGGAAGCTGCTTCAGCGCGGCGGAGAGCATCCTCATGGGACAGGTTTGCTTACGTTCTGCCTCACGTGCCTCCAGATTAACCCTTCGATACTCTACAGGTGAGAGCTGGGGCCTGTTCTACGAAGCAAGTTCAACCTAGCGAGGTAGCCTAGGAGCTACCTCGCTCAACTTAGCGCTGTAGTCAGCGGTAAACGGTCTTACGATGCTGGTTATCAACCTCGTAAGTGGATCCAGCTTTGCTAGTCAGTGGGCGGGGTTTTTATACTCAGTGAGTTCAATCTGGAACCTTTGAGCCGTTGAGCGTACGTTGCCATGGAGACTCCCCTCGCCAAGAAGTGAACCCGCGTCGTAGAACAGGAAACCTCGAACTTACCCTCAACGTTACCTTGCTAAGCAGTAATCCTGCCTCGTAGAATAGACCCCTGATCAGTGTTTCTCTCCAGGTGAGTAACGGCGTGGCCATTGTCCGTCCTCCTGGTCATCACGCTGAAAGAGACTCTCCCTGTGGATTCTGCCTTTTCAACACGGCTGCCCTCACTGCCCGCCACGCACAGAAAATATCCAAGGATGCTCCACTGCGAGTGCTCATTCTGGATTGGGATGTTCACCACGGCAACGGGACTCAGCACATGTTCGAGGACGACGACAGGTGAGGAGGAGGCGTGTGAAGTTAACGAAATAACAGCTAAGTGAATGAAAGTGATGATGGACCTCTGTCTGTCTCCAGCGTTCTTTACATTTCCCTCCATCGCTATGACAATGGGACCTTCTTCCCCTCCTCAGTGGATGCCGCACCCGACAGAGTGGGCGTGGGAAAAGGGGCAGGGTTTAATGTCAATGTGGCGTGGAGCGGTGGGAGGATGGGGGACTCGGACTACCTAGCTGCTTTTCACAGAGTTGTCATGCCAATCGCATCGGAGGTAACACACACATGCGCACACACACACACACACACACACACACACACACACACACTCTCCTTCTGCTAAACCTCACCAAGCCCTCTGATTGGTCGATCCTCTCTGCAGTTTAACCCTGGTCTGGTTCTGGTGTCAGCTGGGTTCGATGCAGCTCGAGGGGATCCCCTGGGTGGATATCATGTGACCCCTGAGGGATACGCCCACCTCACTCACCTGCTGACGTCACTGGCTGGGGGGCGTGTCTTGGTTATACTGGAGGTAAACTTTGAAACACACAAACAAATTGACACACACACACACACATATTTAGAGGATGAAATTTATTAAGTTGTGTGTGTGTGTGTATATGTGTGTATGTGCATGTAATTGTGTGTGTGTAATATTGCTTGTGTGAGTGTGTGTTATTGCCTGTGTGTGTATGTGTGTTATTGCCTGTGTATGTGTTTGTGTGTTATTGCGTGTGTGCGTGTTATTGTGTGTGTTGCCTGTGTGTGTTCGTGTGTTATTGCTTGTGTGTGTGTGTAATATTGCATGTGTGTTTGAGTGTGTGTTATTGCCTGTGTGTATGTGTGTGTGTGTAGTTGAGTGTGTGTTATTGCCTGTGTGCGTGTGTGTTATTACCTGTGTATGTGTGTGTGTATGTGTGTGATTTGCCTGTCTGTGTGCGTGTGTGTATGATTTTGCTTGAGTGTGTGTGTTATTGCATGTGTGTATGTACGTGTTATTGCATGTGTGTATGTGTGTGTGTTTGTTATTGCCTGTGTGTGTGTGTGTGAGTGTTCGTTTTGTGTGTGTGAGTGTGTATTATTGCCTGTGTGTGTGTGTTTGTTTTGTGCGCGCATGTGTGTGTGTCATTATATGCCGGCACGTGTGTGTGTTATTGCGTGTGTGTGTTATTGCGTGTGTGTGTTATTGCCCGTGCACACACATCAAAACACAAACAAACAGACACACACACACACATATTTAGAGGATGAAATTTATTAAGTTGTGTGTGTGTGTGTGTTTGTTTTCAGGGCGGTTACAATCTGACCTCCATCTCTGACTCCATGGCCATGTGCACCAGCGTGTTGCTAGGAGACCCTCCTCCCTCCTTAGTGTCGCCCCTCTCTCCCCCTCATCACAGCGCCGTGGCAACAATAAACGAGGTCATCCGACACCACGCCCCCTACTGGCGGTCCCTGAGGATACACAGTGAGCTTTCATTTGATTAAAGGGGACCTGCCATAAAAATGTAATTTTTGTTTTTTTTTGTGTCAGATAAGGTCCATATTATGTTCGTCTTATGTTGTAAATGTGAAAACAAACCGTTACGTCGTTTGCATTCTGTAAAGGTTTAAAATAAAGGAACGAGTAAACCAGGCCAATTGAAAAAGCAGGTCGGTGTTACGTTGCGTTGACGTTGCTCATTATAATTCACGAGCGCGTCCTCGGTGAGCCGCGCCCACTCTCTCGTTCTCGTACTCAGTCACAGCCAGAGCGAGACCCAGCTACCACTGTATCCGCTATGGGTCTCTTCCAAACGACCGGTGTTTCCTTCGGTTCACTGCCGGGAAAATGAACTTAAAGCTGGGCAGAATGAATGAGAAAACACCGCTGGAGATCTCCGGCTTCTTCCTCAACTTCCACCTCCTCTTCGGACTCGGGGTCTAAAATATATGGTTTAATACCTGCCGTTTTTAGCCTTTAGCATAAGGTGACCAGACGTCCCCGATTTCCGGGGACAGTCCCCGTATTGGATGACATGTCCCCGGCAAAAGCTGTCCCCGAAAATGTCCCCGATTTAAGCGTTCCATGAATGAGAGCAAAAATGTTGCGTGTGGCCTCGAACAACGGTTATTACAGTAGCCGAATAGGTAGGAAGCACAAGTAAGCAGTCCTGAACAACAGTTCTTATGGGGTTATTACAAGGGGCATGTGCTGCTACTAAATAGTACCGAGACTTTGTCTGTGATCACACAGCCCCTGCAGCCCCTGCAGCCCCTGCACCGCACCAAATATCCCCGGATATCATTACAGACATCTGGGCACCTTACTTTATCACACATTAGCATATGCTATTAGCATTAGCATAATAACAATGGATAAACCGAAATCCGAACCTCCACTGCTGAGCCAATCAGAGCACAGCAGGCTTCACAGCAGCGATCCAATCAGAGCAAAGCTCATTACCATAAATGCTAATGAGCCAAAATCAGTTGGTTTTCCTGTAAGGTTTTTTAGGCATACTAAAACAAACCATCAAATAACTTTTCAGCTAAAATTATGTTGCAAACATGATCAGAGGACATCAAGGATTGTGAAAAAATGATAAAAATGGGGATGAAATTTTGGTGGCAGGTCCCCTTTAAAATTAGTTTATGATGAGAAACTTCTCGCCTGTTTGATCAGAAATAATAAAAATTCTCCCAGTTCCAGAGTCAGTGCAGGCCTCTCTTCCCTCCCCAAAGCATCGTGGGAAACGTAGGTCTAAAGGAAAAGGCAGGAGGTCAGATCAGAGCAGCGCAGACAGACCTCCTCTGCCCCCTACAGGACAGGAAGACTCAGCGGTAAAACATTCAAAAATAAAAAATCAAAACTTTTTAAGAAAGAGAAAAAAAAACAACATTTTGTCTGTTTCCTGTTTTCGTCCAAGCAGGCGGAGTTTAGGCTGGATCAGCTCACTCAGGGATTGGCTGGTTTGGACATCAGTCAGACTTTAGCCAATCACACCCCTGTAACATCGACACCGGTAGGCGGGGCCAGACCGAAGGTCCGCCTCAGCTCAGAGAAGATCATCAGTGGAGGTGAAGTTAAGGTGGAGTCAGAGGAGGTGACACCTGAGATTAGCCAATCAGAGGGGAGCACACAGCCTCAGGTGAGTCACCTGTGTTAGTGTTCCTGAAGGAGACCCAGCCCAGGTTTGGGACGGGCCTCTATTAGAAGATGTAGGGTAAACACCAATAGACTCTGAGTCTGGATTTACAAAAACCTGGTTCTCTCTTGTTTAATGCTCGCCATCTCAACAGGACGTGTAGAGCAAAATGCCACTTCTGCTTTCAAAACGCATGGATTTATTAATTTCTTTTTCACATTTTACAGCCTGCTGTGTCAGCCGGAGGACAGGGGGCGGAGCCAGAGCCAGAAGGGGCGTGTGGTTGGTCAAAGACTCAGATATCTCTGAAGCTGACGTGTGGCGGACAGACAGACGTCAGAGACACTCTCATTAAACCTGTTCTTATAAATACCTGTCTGTGTGGGGTCACATGACTCACCTGTCTCTCTGTTGGCCCCTTAGGCCCCTCTGTATGTTGTGGACCCTCTGCCCTGGTGTCCTCACCTGGATGCGGTTAAGCCCCTCCCTCCTTCAGGTATAGATGTCTTCCAGTTGTGTCAGGACTGCGGCTCTGAGGCGGAGAACTGGATCTGTCTCACCTGTTACCAGGTGAGACCCCTCTCACCTGTCTCACCTCTTAGACCACCCCTCTCTGAAGATGTCTCACCTGCTGATGATGTCGTGTTTCTCACCTGTTTGTGTGTCACTCAGGTGTTCTGTGGTCGCTACGTGAACGAGCACATGGTGACTCATGGCGTGGTGGCGGAGCACCCGGTGGTCCTGAGCTTCTGTGACCTGTCGGTGTGGTGTTACCTGTGCGAGTCATACGTCCACAACCAGGTAACCCCGACTCCTCACCTGAAAGTCCAACTGAAACCACCTCCACCTCCAACTTCTCTGATTTGATGTTGATCATAAACTGATGGTCTGTTTTTATTGGTTAAATACTCCTGGTCAAAGTTAATGATTAAAGATCAATATTAACACTGATCCTCGGCGATCCTACGTGACTCCATGAATATTGTTTACAGTTTCTCAGGAACTATACCGTGAATCTCTACAGGATAAAAAGTGTTCAAAAGCGTACCCTTTTGGCGATCTATCAAGGGTTTCCAGACATTTCTACACCTGCCACAAGGTTTACAATCCAGCCACACAAATAGGTGTTTGATCAGAGACGTTTGATGGTAAATCTGCAGTGATATACCGGTGAAAACATGATTATTGATCAGATTGTTGTGATAAAAAAAGATCGCTATCGCTAAATGCCGCTGATGTCGGGTTTGACAAGCTGTTTTGATGACATCTTTTTCTGTCAAACTTTCAACCAATTACATGGTCTCATATTCTTCTTCTATTGTTCCCTTGACGGTAGTGTCCAATAAGAGACAAGAAAGGTCCCTGCTTGTCTGCAAAATAAGAAATAATGGTCCTCAATGTTTGGAAACAAGCGAAGAAGAGAATATGAGCAGTTATGCTGATTTGGAACCTAATTTTTTGGGGCCAATGCCAATACTGATTAATCGGCCGATTTTTGAAATTCATTAAAAATTAAAGTTATAATATACAGTATATATATATACTGTAGATATCTACAGTATACTGTAGATATACTGTAGGCTACTGCTCTTTATGCCAACAGGAAGACCGAGTGATCAAACTCGGACGAGAAAAGCGTTTTCAACTACCCCTCGGGACTTTTCAAATGGCGGAACATTTTCAAAGTGAAACCGAATCTTATTCTCCGCATTTTATTTATGAAAATATCTGTGAAAATCGGCGAGTTTTGGCCGATTACAGATTAGTCTCAAATGGGCTAAAATTGGCTGATTTAATTGGCTCGCCGCTAAATCGGTCGGGCCCTAGTCCTCTGTCTCATCCCAGACAGGAACTGCTTCAAGGAGTGGCATTAACAACTGTAAATAGTAAAAAACGCCTGGAAGAATTAGCGTAAATATGTTAATAGTTTCTGTTGTGTGTTTGTTCCAATCCCAATATTTTTTCTCCTGATAGCCAAGACTTGAGAGAATGATGTGCAGGTGAGAAAAGGCTTGGTCACTGTAGATTTGTGTTTTTTGAGCAAAGTACTGTTGGTATTAATTTCTGTTTTTGTTTTTTGTTTGACTTTGATGGTTCTGAATCTACTGTCACATTCATTTTACATCATTTTAGCTCCATAAACTGAGAGCTGAGGTTGTCCTGAAAAAAAAGATGGATATATATTTGCTGTGATTGAAAGAATCGAGTTGATACATAGGGCTCTATTTTCGTGTACGCCGGTGAGGCGACGGAGGGTGGCGGACACCACGCAGTTGTATTTTCGTCTGGCGGAGCCCAGCGTACAGCCAGTTTGGTATTTTCGTGGACTGAGGCGCACGGAGGCGAACCGAGATCCGCCAAGCGGGGCGTGGTGGCGTGGCAGGGGGAGGTGTCGACAGAATCAGCGGGCGCAGTGACATTTTCGTGCTCGCCATTGGCGTGTAAAGTGCGCTGAAAGCTCGTCGATTAAAACCTGGTCAGCTTTCAGCGCAGGTGGAGCGCAGCTGGTCTAGTGATATTTTGGTAGATCGGCGGCGTATCGGCATACGTCACTGATGCCTCACCGGCAGGTTTCCACAGTGTCAGGCACATTTCAGTGCAATAAATAATCAACAACAACTAATAATCTGAGTCAGCACATACATTTAGATCTATATAGATATATTCTGATCTATATCTGATTCTGATCTGATGAGCGCGTTTGGCACGCGTTTGGACACACAACCTGACCGAATCAGCACAGCTGAAACCGCATCAAATTAAATTAAATATCTAGTAAATATACACACATGATGAAGTTAACAAGATATTTAATTCGTCTCCCTCCTTTTCTTTCTTCCTCTTCCTCTTATTTCTCGCACAGCTCAACCTGGACATGTCTCCGTGTCCTCTCTCCGTCCTGCAGTGGCAGCTGAACAGATGATTTGTTTCAATGATCAGATGAGTTATTTACTTTCAGCCTACATATGGATATTATAATATTCAGTTTTGTGAGCCAAATTTATTTTATATGCCAACATCTAGAAAGAAAGAGCCAGGCCACGGAGCGCGATGCGTCATTTACGCACAGATGGTTCTGATTTTAATGCCATTATTGGAGTTTATGTTGTGATCTGTGTGTGGTTGTGACCACCTTTGTCACGTGAGGTTTGAATATATGCAACTTTATGTGAGTGTCTTTATTTGTGGAAAAGGGTGTTTGTCTTACCAGTGGTTCCAACATTACACACACCAAATCCATCTGTGCTCATATGAGAGAGTGTGGAGGACGCCCAATGCAGCGCTTACATTGACACTTGTTGAGGAGCTGCCTTCTGTCACCATTGTGTGGCATTACTGTCTTCAGTCATCTCTTGATCTCTTTGACTACTTCATGAAAATTGTAATACGTCTCGCCGGTGGCGGATTTAAAGGCAAGGAGAGGAGCTTATGTGATTGGTGAAAACAGGTTTCGGCTGTGTTAAATCCACTCCCCGCCCTCTCTCCTCCCTCGCTACGACTTACGCCGCTAGGAGGAGCTGAGTTAGGGAGGGGGGATACTTACGCCGGGCTGCGCCGCTCACCAAAATACCAAAATGTGCTTGGGAACGCCTTGTCGGCGCGGCGGACCTCACTTACGCCGCGCATGCGCTGCGTCACTGGCGAGGCACGAAAATAGAGCCCATAGATTTTTACAAAAAAAAAGGGGGGAACAAAAATAGCAGAATATAGCTGGGAGTTCGAAGGGTTAATATGAAGTCATGATATCAGTGAGCTGAAAGGACAGCGGAGCAACAACAACACATGAGCTCCGTGTTTGTAAAAATCGTCGATGTTCTTGCTGTGGTGCGACATTAAAAAACGAGAGTCGACCTTGTTTCCTCCCACTGAAAAAAATCGTCTCTCCTCGTCCTCTGTGTCTGTTTGTCCAGATCCTGTTCGAGGCTAAAAACGCCACTCACTTTGCCAAATTTGGAGAGGAGATCCCGCCATGGAGCTGAGGAGGTGAAGAGTGGCTGATATGGAGGAGGAGGAGGTGTGTGGTGTAAGAGCTGTGTCTGTTTCTCTTATTTCTGTCTCTCTCCTCTCTGTGATTGGACTGTTGAGTGTGTTGTCACAGAAACCACCTCCAGCAGCAGTGGTGCTTTGTGGGAAAAAATAGTTGAACCCATCCAGCAAACTCAGCTGCCAAAACTCAAACTCACAAGCCAAAAAAAAAAGGAATTGATGTTTTTATTTATAGACACACGGTGCTGAACATCATCTTCATCATCTTCAACATCCTCGCCGTCAGGTTGTCGGTTTGATTCCCTGAAAATGTGACGGATCACCAGCGGACTTCGTTGAAGAAGAAGAAAAGTAATGATGATGTCATCAGCAGGCCCCGCCCACAGACCGGCTCAGAATCTGATTTCCTGTTCAGTGTCTTCTCATTGGTCATCCCTCTCTGTGAGGACTGAGCTGTGATTGGCTCTGAGCTGTGACATGAACGTCCACTCTGGCAGAAAAAAGCGAATACAGTTTTTAACAATAATTAAAATGGAAATGTAAATTTATGAGTTATTGAAGAAAAAACAACAAATCAAAGATGTTTAAAGGAAGGTGAAGGTGAGAAGAGAGTGGCGAGGAATCCAGTCTGAAATTTACAGAAATTACATTGAAGATTTCTAGGAATAAAGTCACAAATTTGAGAGAATAAAATGACACATTTACAGGACTGTAGTCTTCGATTTGCAGGATTAAAGAAATACATTTACAAATTTTAATTTTACAAATTAAATCATTTTGTGCAGCTGCTTTTTCTGTAAACTGAGAACTTTTCTTCATTTTTCAGCTTTAGTCTCTCAAGATAACCGCTTTTTTTCTGGAGTACATATGACTTTTTTGTAAATTTACAACTTTTTCTGGTAAATTTGATTTTACCTGTAATATTGACTTGTCAAATTAACAACTTATTTTCATAAATTAAAGGCCTGTACCTCATAAATGTATCTCCTATATCTTATCCGTCTGCGACTTTATTCTCGCTAATATCCGTCTTTTTCTTGAAACTTTTCGAAATCTCTCTGTAAAGATTGAATTTCTGTAAAATCACTTTATTCCTGCAGCTGAAAAAAGAAGGTTTTCTCCTCCATCAAAAGAAAACATAACTTTTAAAACTTCTTTCTGGCTGCTTCAAATGAAGACAGAAAACTGTGCGGAGACAATAAGAAGTCATCTTCTGATCTTGGTTTGGTTTTTTGTCTTTTAAAAAACAGAGTTTTAGTTTCTTTCTTTAGATTCGTCCTTTTATCTGTTACTCTGAATCTTGACGTTCAGATGGGATAAAACTTTGAGTTTAAACTAGAAAATGCAATTTCTGAAGAAATTACGAGTGGGATTGCTCTATTTGAAATTGTTATTGCTTAACTGCTATTGCGAATGGCTGAATTTTGAAAGTCAATGAAAGAAAAGAAAATTTGAATTTCAAGGAAGCTTTGAATTTATTTGAATGATTTGTATGAATTCATTGAATAGTGCATAAATTGTTTATAAAAAACAATGTGTGGAAAATTAAAATGATTTAAAATCCTGAATTATGAGAGGTTTAAAGTATAGAAAGGTCTGAATCAGCTTGAATGAGTTGTAATTTGTTTGAAAAATACAATGTATGAATCGTAAAAAGTGATTTAAAACAGGGAAATTTAAATGATTAAAAAATCTTAAAGTATTAAAAGTATCAGAAAGGTTTAAATCAATTTCAATAATTTTTAATGTGTTTGAAGAATTAAATAATGCATGAATAATAAAATTAAATCTAGTGTGGAAAGAAATTTAAATGAAAAAAAATCCTGAATGCATCCCATAATGTCCTCAATGAGCTGAATTTCTTAAGCCCTGAATGGTTTCTGTAGCTCAAAGTTTGTGGGAAGAGATAGAACAAAATTTAAAAACTCTAGTGAAGGGTTTTAAACCCCCAGTACACTGTGTACTGAGCCTGGCTTCATGTGTCTCATATGGCCGTTAGAAGCAGCTTTTCAGTCAGCTGTGTCTCCAGGTGCACTAATTGGTAGCCATGGTGACGGTAGATGCATCAAGACAGCAGGAGAAAGGAGGCTTGAAGCTGAGAAAGCAATGCTCAAACTATGCCCTAATGCTCATCCTCTATAATGGCTATATTCATGATAATGAGCTTGTGAAAACCACAAAACCCTGCTGAACACGTTGATATAATTTTTGTGTCTGTGGAGCCAAAGATGTCTTCACTAGGACAAGTTAAAAACATTCCCAAGATGTGTTTCCTTTAAAAATCCTCCTCTCAGCTTTATATTGGAGTCAATGGAGAAGAGTGACAGCAAGTTTTACCATCACTGTACCAAATTTTATCTGTGTAGAGTGAAGCGAGTTGCCACAATCGTTTTGTAAAGACAAAGTTTATTTATCTTACTGTCCCCTTCTCCAGCAAGATAAATATCTGCTCCTCACACTAGCAATTTTAGAACTGAAGAAGCTTCTTGGATAAGAGGCGAAACGTCTTCTCAACTCTACACAGTCCAGTTGCCTGTTTTTAAGTCTTCAAGATAACCATGACCTGGATGAATGAGAATCTACATGGACATAGACCTCTTCCAATACGCACCCATTATAAAGCCAGAAATTTGCTGAAAACCATGAGTTGCTTAAAGCAAATTGTGGGAAAACTGTAAAAGATATTAAAAAATTTAATACAACATTAATAGTCGACAAGTCAATGAACACATCTTGTGTTTTCGATTACTAAGCCTTAACAAAAGTTGCCTCATAAAATTTGTCATGGCCCATTAAGCCAAGTCCTGTGTTGTGGGCTTTAAAAACAGACCTTGAAATTTGATTTCAGAGTCTGATACAGGACTGTTATGCGTGTTTTTAAGGGTTTAGATTAGCCTAAGACTAAGTTTGCACATGTGAAAAACCTCTATTATACCTATACATAAAAGAATATACATGAAAATGGTGAAAAAACAATTACTACAATTTGCCAACAGTATAACAACATAAATGTGAAACACAAAAAGTATAGAATGGAACATGAGGAATAGTATGCAAAAATAACTCAGCAGTTTACTGTACAGTGTAGTACAGAAGTATTTTACAGAAATTAAAACCAATTCAAATTCAGAATTTAAAATAATGTGAAGGGTAAGGTAAAGAATACAAATGCAAATAATGCAAAGTTATCCAGGCTTGTGGAAATATACACGCATAGTTAGGTGAAAGGCTTATGACTTAAATATGGCATTATAGTACTTTCAAAGCTAACTGCAGTGAAATGTGGGCCCTCTCATGTAGAAAAAAAAAGAAAATTAAAGAATAATAAATAATTATAATAATAAAAAAATTAAATGAAATAAAACTGAAAGTTAAAAAAAAATCTAAAATGATCAGATTAAAAATTTGATTTGAGAACTTGAAATAAAATGATATAATGTATTGGTCCACCTTACCACCAAAAGGCTTTTCACAGTAGACCAAGGCTAATACTGTCATCAGCTCATTGTAGTGGACTGACAATCTGGTCAGCATTTTTGTTTGCAAAAATAAGTTTACTGTACAGTGTAGTACAGAAGTATTTTACAGAAATTAAAATTAAAAAAAATAAATTTAAATTTTAAAATAATGTGAAGGGTAATGTTTGCAAATGCAAAAGATGCAAAGTCATCTAGGCTTGCGGAAATATACAGGCAAAGTAAGATGAAAGGTTAATAACTTAAATATGGCACTGAAGTATTTTTTATAGTATGTATTGGTCCATCTTACCACCCAAAAGGCTTTTCACAGTAGTTAGACCAAGGCTAATACTGTCATCAGCTCATTGTAGTGGACTGACAATCTGGTCAGCATTTTAGATCCCAGTGTTTTCTTATCCAAGCATTCAGACTATTCTGTCTTGCTAGATTGCTGGGTTGTCTTCACGTTGATAGTTTCCTTTTAAAAAGTTATGTACTATGGAGAATTACATTTTAAGGATAAGCATAAAAACTTTGTTCCTCTATGAAATCCATTCACACAGCTCGTTTAACTAAGCCCTGTGTTTTGAGCATTGTGAAGACAAACTTTCAGCAGAGATTGTTTCACACTGTAATGCTTGGATCACTGCTGTCCAAAACAGCCCAAGACTAAGCACACGTGAAAAACCTGCAGTGTACCTACCAGCTGAATCCCAAAATACATCATTTATTTCTAAAAACACGTCTTCTCTTGTAGGTAAATTTGAGGGATATGGTGAGCATAGAAATTCAGCTGCCTGCAACAACTGAAGTAACTTGTATTTTTTCCCTTCATCAGTGTTGGTCATCTTTTGATATAAGGACAGATACATGGTAAAAGGGAAAAAATACCAGTTACTTCAGTAAAAGGGAAAGAAAACACTAAAATAAAATAAAACAAATAAAGTCCAAGAAACATAAAGGAAACTTAAAATATTAACAGATATCGACAAGAGATCACTTAATGTAGAAAACAGGATTCAAAACAATATAAGAGTAATAGTTGTCCTGTCCTGAAGACAATCAGTCAGTTCCTCAAGTGAGTACTGTGTTCTGTTTGGGCACTTTAGTTCAAAACCAAAAGCAGAGCCCGGTACAGTTCAGAGTTAAGGTTTAAAGTGAGGTAATGTTTTGACCTTTGACCTGTGGTTGTAGAATTGCTGTGTGCAGTTATCAGTGTTTGAGTTGACAGCATCACTGGAGTCAGAGGCAGGAGGAGGAGAGGCCTGAAAAAACAAAATCCCCTTCACTTTAACTCTATAATCAGATCCAAAAATCCTGTGCTAACAGTAATTCTGTGCTTTTCTATGTTGGTCAAACATGGTTATTGTTATGGGGCAAGGAAATACACCGTTACCTCAGGGAAAGTTTAAAGCTGCAGTAAAGATGAACTGACCATCTGAATGTGATGGAATTTGCTACAGCTTGCTTCACAGGACTGCAGGACTTGTACGATCACCATCAGTAGGACTCTGCTGAGCTGCACTGGCTACATCGTGGATGCACAGACAGTGACTTGAAGTAGGAGAATGTAGCTGTGTAGCGATTTGAATTTATAATAAATGTCTGAAGATCAATAATCTCAAATTATGACATTTATGCACTCGTTGAAAGGGGTACCACCCACCCTTAATGGTGGGAAAATAAAGAAAAACAAAAGTTTAATTCAGAAATAAAACATCAAGTCAATCTTTAATTAATCAATCTCATATTCTGAAGCCAAAATTCTCATTTCAGGGACTCCACTTCTGGAAGAACACAAACAGACCAGAACTTAAAAAAATAATGATCTGTTTATTACAGGATAAATGATGGTACAACACACATTTACGCAATAAATGATGATAAGATAATGAGGATATGTCCAGACATATTCAAATGATGTGCTTGAATCAAGAGGTTGCTGCAAGTCTGGTTTCTCTGTATTATCCGTAATTTTTTTAATTTATGCTCGATTTTTTTCATATATTTGTTGTAATTTTATTGGCTGCTGATGGATACTTCTGCTGGGCAAAGAGTTTACTCAAGAGAAGAGCTCCTTTCATTGAGGAAAAGCAAATCTGGGCAAAAACATACAATTCCAGAGGACATCAGGAGGTGTTGTCGTGGTTGCCGTGCTGGTGCAAAGGTGAAGGCAAAGCTGAATGCTAGGAGGTGGAGATATAAACCCTTTCTTCCATCAATCATCATGGGAAACGTCAACTCTCTGCCCAACAAAAGCGATGAGCTGGAGATCTTGGTGAAGACTGAGAAAGCATACCGTGTGTTTTACTGAAACCTGGTTGAATCAAAACAACTCGGACTCCAGTGTGGATCTACCTGGCCTCACTCTTACACCCTTCACACATACCTGTCAAGGAGAAGTTGTGTTGTCCAGATATTGAACTGTTGGCAGTTGCTCTTTGGCCATATTATGTTCCAAGAGAATTTAGTCAAATCATAACAGTAGTTGTTAACATTCCACCCAAATCAACTGAAGAATGTTGCGATGTTTGGCAAAAAAGTGTTGCCATGCTACAGACTCAACACCCTAAGGCATTAATAATAATATCAGAAGACTTCAACCATGTCACCCTCTCCTCTCACCTGACTGGATTCACACAGTTTGTCCTACCAGAGAAAACAAGACCCTGGATCTGCTGTATGCCAACGTCAAAGAAGCCTACAGAGCCACTGCCTTACCACCACTGGGCAAGTCAGATCATAACTTGGTTTATCTACAAACCCGTTACAGACCTTGTGTGCTGAGGCAGCCTGTGACCAAAGTCAAAATCAGAAGATGGACACCTCAAGCCAGTGAAGCTCTAAGGGACTGTTTTAAATCAACGGACTGGAATGTGCTGCTGGAAACAGATGTGGATAGTATGAACATTGAAAAACAGGTTGACTGCTTTACTGATTATGTCAACTTCTGTAGAGACAGTACCCACAAAAACTGTTCGCTGTTTCCCCAACAACAAACCCTGGATCACAAGAGACATAAAAGCAATCCTTAACCAGAAAGAACAGTTCTTTGAGAACCCTAACCCTAACCCCCGGGGGGGGGGGGGTATCTCTTTTTATCACTCTGTAAATGAGAAAATACTCTCACCACCCCACAAATTCAAATATCTCCATGTGACACTGTCTGTGGGTCACTAGTTGTACTTGTAATCACTTATCTATCATACAAATATCCTAATTAGAATATTACATGGTCAACACATGTATCAGGCGCCAGTATTCCTGGTCCAGAATGAATACAAAGGAGTATTTTCAGGACCTGAAAAAACCATGGCGATATTTGAATGGTCAGCCGAAACAGCCGACCATTTAGTCCACTTTCTCTAGCGCAACACCCTAAATGAAGGTTTTTATTATTAAGGGTGAACAAAAATCCAAACCTACATGGCCCTGTGTGAAAAAGTGAACTGTGGTTTATCACACCTGAGTTCAATTTCTTGAGCCATACCCACACCTGTTCTCAATCAAGAAATCACGTAAACAGGACCTGCCTGACAAAGTGAAGTAGACCAAAAGTTCCTCAGAAGCGAGACATGCCGAGATCTACAGAAATTCAGGAACAAGGGAAAAAGAAAGTAACTTTGATTTATCAGTCTGAAAAAGGTTATAAAACCATTTCTGATGGACCACTCTCCCTGAGCTGCCTGCATCAGATCTCTCACTCTGCTGTGTTGTGAGGTTGTGCCATATTTTGGTTCTCTCTCCTGCAGCTGTTATCGTGCCAAGGACCCTGAGTCTTCACCAGGGAAGACTCATATGTCCCAGGAATGGGTGGAAAAGAAACAAAGCTTACAGTTCATAACTATCTATCTATCTATCTATCTATCTATCTATCTATCTATCTATCTATCTATCTATCTATCTATCTATCTATCTATATATATATATATATATATATATATATATATATATATATATATATATACACTGTGTGCACAATTATTAGGCAATTTGTATTTTTGAGGATAAATTTTATTTTTGAACAACTGCAGTGCTCTCGGTCAATCCAAAATGTTAATAAACCTCAAACCTTAAAATTTTCTCATCTTTAATAATACCAGCCCATACCAGTACCCCGCCTCCACCTTGCTGGTGTCTGATTCGAAGTGGAGCTCTGTGCCCATTACTGATCCAGCCACAGGTCCATCCATCTGGTCCGTCAAGAGTCACTCTCATCCCATCAGTCCATAAAACCTTTGAAAAATCTCTCTTCAGATATTTCTTGGCCCAGTCTTGACGTTTCAACTTGTGTCTTGTTCAGTGGTGGTCAGATTTCAACCTTCCTTACTTTGGCCATGTCTCTGAGCACTGATCATCTTGTACTTCTGGGCACTCCAGGTAGGTTGCAGTTCTGGAATATGACAGCACCGGAGGATAATCGATTCCTGGTAGCTTTACGTTTGAGTCTTCTCAAATCTTTGGCAGTTAATTTGCGTCTTTTTTTCTTAACACATTTCTTGCAACCCTGTTGACTATTTGCATCAAAATGTTTGCTGTTTCTGTGATCACGCCCAAATATCTAAGCAATTTCAAGAGTGCTGCATCCCTCTGAAAGACTTTTTACATTTTTTGACTTTTCAGAGTCACTTAAATCTCTTTTTTGGCCCATTTTACCTGAGGAAAAGAAGCTGCCTAATAATTATGCACACCTTGATATAGGGTTTTGATCTCCTTAGGCCCCAGCCTCCCTCATTACACTTATACACATTACCTGATATGCTTATATCCAATAAGCATTCAAGTTTATACAGCTTGGAGTTGGAAAATATGCATAAAAATGATGATATGATAAAAATACTCACTTGCCTAATAATTGTGCACACAGTGTATATATATATGTGTGTGTGTGTGTATAATGATTTTTTTTGTTGATAAATGCCTGATTTCCATTATTTTGTTGCATTTTTATATGGTACCCTCATGTCAATTTTTTTCCCTCCCTTTGGACATTGCACAGTTAAAAATATAAGAAAACTACTTTAATTTGTCATGTATTGTCCTATTTTGATATATTTGGATGACAAGTACTTTTTCTTGGGTATATTATTTCAGGTAAAAATCACCCAGTGGTAGTGATGGTGTTAATTTTAGTGACAGTCTTCTAGGGTTAATCTGATATTTGTTTTGTCCTGCAGTTCAGTGTATTTACATCCTTTATGTTTCTCCTGCAGTTCCTCTTTCTGCCTGCGGACGTCGCTGTGACACAGTCCCGTCCTTTTAAACCTAAAAACAGGATTTGAAAAGTCTCGATGAGGTGAAGAGGGTTTGTTACAGAATGATATTATTATTATTATTATTATTATTATTATTATTATTATTATTATTATTATTATTATTCAGAATAAACAGGTTTACGACGCTGGAGGAAGATCAACATCCGGGGACGTGGAGCTGATTCATCTCTCCTCTCCTTCTGCCTGCACCCATAGACATAATAAAAGGGTAGACCCCGCTGGGGGTGCTGCGCAGCGAGAAATGCGGCCGCCATCTTGGTCAGGTCAAGCTTCCCATACGCTCCGGTCAATCATATTCATTCATTCATTCATTCAGCGATGCCGGAGCACTGTGCGGCGTATTCCTGTGCCAACAGGCGGACAGCAGAGAACAGGGCTCAAGGAATAACTTCACAGTTATGATTACACGTTTTTTCAACATTACACTTGACTGTAGAGTCATTTGTAGGCCAAAGAGGAAGACTATCGGTCAACTCCAAAAAGGAAACAGCATTTGCGAACAGCTAGCTTATTCACAATAATAGCAACTTTGCTCGATTATCAACAGATTCGCATTAGATTGAAAAACTTTTGTTTGAGAGAGGTTCTAAGAAACGTTAAGAAATAAAATAGAAAGAAGAAGGAAGAAAGTGAGCTCTGTTTTATTATCTGTTTTATTAAAGATTTCTTTGTGGTGATCTCCTGTTTCATTTTGAAGATTTCCTAAGGACAAAAACTTGAGGAAGAAGTGGGAGATTGCTGTTAGAGGGAGAAATTCGCAGCAAGTGATTCCTCTGTGCTGTGTAGCCAACAAGCAAATTGATATGTAGTTTAGATGCTGTCCTGTCATGCTTTTCTTGTGTTTAAATTTTTTTGATATGTAGGCTTAATATTTGTGTGTATTTCTTTGTGTGTATTTTCCAGTTATTAAAATAGTGCTTCTATATGAGATTATTTGTGTGTGTCTACAAATGGATAAATAACATTAAACTAAATAAAATATAATCAAATCAATATATATTGAATTGGCCTATTAAAACCGCCAGTTATTAATAATTATTGAGACATAGCAGGAACCTAGCTCTAAACCTAGATATATCCTTGATTAATTGTTATACTATAATACAGCCACTGCTGCCATGTTCTAAAATATCATTTTATTCATTCTGAGTATTTGAAAACGCCAAAAAAAATATGGCCTCTATCATGCCTCTTTGAATGGCGTTTGCAGAGAAGAAAATTACGTAGTATTGAGCGAACTATGATTCATTTAATGCGCTCAGACTTCATTCCGCCGGTTAAACAGCGGTGCAGAGTGAGGCGGATGACCGGACCAAGATGGCGGCCGCATTTCTCGACAGCGCCCATTCGTGGTAGCGGCCGATGCGGGGTCTATCTTTTATTATGTCTATGCCTGCACCCCTCTCCTCTCCTCCTCTCTGCGCGCGCGCACACACACACACAGGTGGATCTCCTCCAGCTGCAGGTTTGTTTCCGTTTTTTTTCCTCTTATTTGATTTGTTTTTCTGTTTCTGCTCCAGTTTTTTCACGTCTTCTCTTGTGAACAGACGGACTTGAAAACGGTGTTTATCTGCGCCTGCGTGAATAACGTCGATGATGTAACCGTGTATTTATTATTATTGTGTGGTTGTGTATCTCATCAGCTGATCGTCGTGTTTTGTGTTGATTGATTGTGTGTTTTTGTGAGTCTCAGATCCTTAACTGTCTTTCTTGGTGACACCGGGGTCAATATTAGATCGAGGATTTTCTCTCTGAGTTTCAAACTGTCAAACTGACCACGATATATTTTGTCATATCGTTCATCTTGATTATTGTGCCAATTTTTTTTTTCAACTGCTAATTTTAAAGCATCTGTATTAAAAACTAAAGAAACTAATAACAAAGCTAATTAAATAAGATAAATATAAAAATATATTAAAAAACATTTTTACTTACTTAACAGTACAACAAATGTAGATTAATACTAAATGATACAGTGAACCAGTTTACAGAGAGTGTTTTTTATGGAAGTAAATCTGTGCCATCTGATTTTGAATTTGAATTTCTAAAGCTGAATTTCTTTTTTTTTTTTTGCATCAAAATCAGACTGAATTTCAAAACCATTGAATTTCAAGCACGCGTTTTTATTTCTGACACTAATTTTTTTCACAATGATGAAATAAATTAAGTGTAAAAAAAAAAATTGTTTAGTTAAAATTTGACTTAAAAAACTGTTAAAAAAATGAAAATTCAACATAAAAAAAATTTCAGTGTCAAATAATTCGTTTAAAAGAGGCCAACCCAACATCTGGGTAATCAGGGGCCAGTTCTAAGAAGCAAATTCGACCTAGCAAGGTAGTCTTGAAGGTACCTCGCTCAACTTATCGTGGTAGCCAGCGGTCTCGCTAAACGGTCTTACGATGCTGGTTATCAACCTCGTAAGTGGATCCAGCTTTGCTATGAGCGCGTGCACGCATGTAAGGCAGAGCCCGCTGCATCTGACCAATTGCGAATGACCATTTTTAAAATTATTTTTAAACTGCCAGTTTTAAAGCATCTGTATTAAAAACTAAAGAAACCAGAGATTAGTTCAACATTTTATTAACATACAAAGTAAATAAAAAAGCTAATTAAATAAGATAAACATATAAAATGTATTTAAAAATTTTCTTTACTCAGCAATACAAAAAATGTAGTTTAATACTAAATGATAAAGTGAACTAGTTTACAGTCCTGAGTGTTTTTTATGGAAATAAATGATTTTGAATTTGATTTTCTAAAGCTGAAATTTTTTTGCATCAAAATCAGACTTTGAATTTCAAGCACGCGTTTTTACTTCTGGCACCAATTTTTTTCACAATGATGAAACAAATTCAGTGTCAAATAAAAATCGGTCTCTCAAAATATTTCGTAAGTGAAATTTTGACTTTAAAAATCTGTTAAACAAATCAACATAAAAAAAATTGTGTCTAATAATTTAGTGTAAAAGAGACCAACTCAACATCTGGGTAACCAGGGCGCATCAATCTTTCACTGGGGTCAGTATCACATGACCAATCTAGCATTAATTGATATGCTGGACGATGGATGATTGAGCCAGTGAACTGAATAAAATCCGGAAAAATGCCTTTATATTGTTGTATCTGGTCTGTCCGCGATGTGTAGCTGCAGAAGGAGGCTTCGTGACACTGGCTTGCTTGTATAATAGGAGTTTATTATAACGACAACACCAGTATCAATACAGCACTGCAGTTGCTGGGAGAGGACTGCCAATGATGTCCAGCTCTCCCAAACCAGAGTTTGTGACCCTGTTATATATGGTCAGGGATGTAGGCCCTCCTACATCCTCTCTTTGTCCCCAAGCTATCTTTCATTACCATCTGGTTTTTACCTAGCCTTGAAATGTGACCTATGACCCTCAAAACCCCAGAATGTCTGGACCAGGTACCATAAAAGTGACACAAGTCCACATTCCACAATTTGGTAATCTCAGGCTATCCATGGGAAACACCTCAAGGCCTTGCATGTTGGTGCAGTATTACAGATACCACAATATTCTTTTCAAAAGAAGACCATCAGAATCCGTAGTTTCTATACTTTAAAATTTATGCTGTGTTCCAGTTGTACTCGGAAGTCAGAATTTCCAAGCTCTGAGTCGGAAATTCATCTGGAAGGCCACCCTGAAGTCAGATTTCAGACTCGGAAAGTCGGACGATCCTCGCCAACCCCAACTTGGCAACAGCGTCATATTCCAAGATGGCAGCACAGTGCATCAACAGTAAAGAGTAACAGTAAAAGCTCTTGTAATGTTTTATTCTGTTTTGTTTTTATGAAATTAAATAAGTGGTGTATATTGCACTGCCCAACATCTAACTGTGAAAACAGTGCTACGGTGTTTGCATGAGTAAAATACTGTGTTTTGTGTTGTTTACAACTGGAATAGCTAACAACAACTAACGGCCAACAACAGCTGACAATTGTAAACAACAGCTAACAACATTGACAGTAGTCGTCCATCTTGTTTTTCCGACTTGTTTACTGAAATGCTGTCAACTCGGGTGTAGGGTCATTCCCAGCTCTGATATCTGACTTCCGAGGAAACTGGAACACAGCATTTAAACCTCAAACTGGTGTTGGCAAGCAGCTGAGGAAACATCCTGTTTTTATATCAAATCTATTTAATGATAGATGTGTGACTGTCAAAAATCAGCAGGATGGGAATCCTTGTTGTAAACCAAGATTGAAGCACAAGCGATGCAAAAACTGTTTTGTCCACAGGGGGCGCCAAAGTTGCTCCCCAAAGGAGCTTTTAACTTATGAGAATACAAGAGTAAATTAAGGAGGAAAAAGCGTAAATCCAAACTCAGAAGAATGTCTTAAATTTCAGTAAATAATCTGCTTTATTCTCATCAGGTGGTGAATTTATTTTTGCAATAGTTAAACATTAATATGATGAAAAAAAAACTACAAGGATGTGGTTTGGAAAATAAACTAATCAGCTTCCTCTTCTTTCTCTTCCTTTCTCTCTCCTTCAGTCATGTCGGTGTCGCCCGCCCTCACAGATCTCTCTCGTCTCTATCAGACAGAGTTTGTGCGTAGCGCCCGGGCGGTTGGCGTTCTCTGGGCCGTCTGTACGCTCTGCTTCGCAATCATCCAGGTGGTCGTCCTGGTGCAGCCGTCCTGGATTGGCACCGCAGACACTCGCTACCAGGGTGTGGGACCAGCTCCGCCCAGCGGCACTCTGGGATTGTTTGAGGTGAGAAACATAAAAACACGCCACCAATCAGAAACTGTCCAATCACAGCTTAGACAGAGAAAATAGCGCCAGCAAACTCCATCAAGGTCCAGAAAACCTGTTCAGTAGAAGCTGGTCTGAATGATCCAGAATCTGACCTGAAACATGAATCCTCATTGTCAAGAAATTATGATGTGTTAGTTGGGGCAGGTCGTAGCGTTCACACCAGTCCAGATTAGCTGATGACCTTCTATCACCCAAGGGTCAAAGTTTTAGCCTAAAAACGGATTCTACTTTGATTTCCTGATGTCTCTAAAAGAAGATCGTTGAGACTTCTACACTATCACCCCTTGTTACCTGTGTGTACTCAGGTGTGCGTAGAGTCGGACTGGCCAGTCCCAGACTGTCGTGGCGGTCTGTCCAGTCTGTCTCCTCTGCCTTCCTTCCAGTCGGTGGCGGTGTTAGTGGGCGTGTCTCTGTGGGCGGTGTGGACCAGCGTCCTCTGTCTGTGTCTCTTCAGATTCTGCAGCGCTGCAACCGTTTACAAGATCTGTGCATGGCTGCAGCTCACCGCAGGTCAGCGTTTTTATCCGTGTGTCAGAATCAAACTGCAGTTCCTCTCATGTCCACAAGAGGCTGTTTTCTGCTGTGAATCTGTGCCCAAAGAACCCGTGTTAAAATATGCAACTTTACATCGTCTGTTTACATCCAATTTAGGGATAAAGTTACAGTCCATATTTAAACTGTCTGTCCTCGTACCTTTTCTCAGATCTACAGTGGTGTGAAAAAGAGTTTGCCCCCTTCTTGATTTCTTTTTTTTGCATGTTTGTCACACTTAGAAGTTTCAGATCATCAAACACATTTAAATATTCGTCAAAGACAACATGAGTGAACACAAATTGTAGTTTTTAAATGAAGGTTTTTATTATTAAGGGAGAACAAAAATGCAAACGTACAGGGCCCTGTGTGAAAAAGTGAACTGTGGTTTATCACACCTGAGTTCAATTTCTCTAGCCACACCCACACCTATTCCCAATCAAGAAATCACTTAAACGGTTACGATCAGCTACGATCAGAGGATACAGCCTTTTCGTAGCCGTTTCGGATGCAGTGGAAATTGGGGGTAAAGGACTTGTAAAACTGTAAGAGGATCCCTCAGATGTTTGACAATCCAGATGATGGTCTCTGTGTCTGTCTCCAGGTTTCTGTCTGGCGTTGGCTTGTCTTCTGTTTCCAGACTCCTGGGAGAGTCCAGAGATGAGAGCCCTGTGCGGAGACTCGGTGAGGATCTTGTTTTAAGTTGTGTCACAGAAGACCAATGTGTCTCCACAGCAGAGATCCAGAACAAAGATTTGAGTCTTCAGGGATCGAACTCTGCAGTCTGAAGTTTGACTGTGATGTTTGCAGTGATGACTTTGTGGTTTATACCAAATCCAGTCTTTATCTTCATGTATTGTTCTTGTACCAAATGATAGCATCAAGTATCTAATTGGCTCAGATCATCAGGTTACCGAGTGACCATGCTTGGTGACCTGCTACAACGACCCTGAATCTGTTCTTGTCTCCAGGTGGGCAGTTTTTCTCCAGGTAACTGTTCCGTCCACTGGGCGTACATACTGGCCATTCTGGGTATTTTGGATGCCGCCATCCTGGCCACGCTCGCCTTTGTTCTTGCCAATAGACAGGACGCTCTGCTGCCGCCAGATGCCAAGGATGGTGAGGAGAAGACCTGGACTCCAGGAAGTTTCCAGATTTAGCTTCGTAGTTACCTCATTAGCTCTGGGTTCAGTTAGCTAGGACTAGCTTCAGATTTTGCCGATGTGTCCTGCTGGCGATATTTTTTTATACATAGGATGGTAGGAGAAGGTCCCGCCTCCTTCACCTCTGATTGGCTGTGAAACGTCATCACACGCTCAAGCCGAGCGCGGGCTGTCGGTTCTGCACATCAAACAGAACATTATCGCAATTCTAAATCTCCTAACCCTAATTGGACAGATGATGACGTTTCACAGCCATAAGGAATAACCAATCAGAGGCCAGCACTTCTAGCCAATCAGAGGCGAAGGATCCCCCTCAGATCCCCCCCTTGATTAGATAGACAAGCTCTGATGTCCCCCGTCCAGAAGCCTTGCAGGGATTAGAGTTGGTCTTCCATGGCAAGACCAGTATGGAATCAGACCTGTTCACTTCTATACGAAGTTTGATGACCTGTTCAGTCACGTTTCAGATCTGTTAGCTCAGGTATAGGTTCTAAAGCAAGTAAGCACACCTGCTGGCTAGACTCTGGATTGAGTTTTAAAATTTTTTTTTTTTTTTTTTTTATCAGGGAGAAACATTCAAAATGAGTCCAATCGCAATTACACATATGTGTCAAAGCAAACAAACAAACATGCCCAATTAGACTAACATATTCTCCCTTTTATTTTATCATATGTAAAGTAAGAACATTTGAAAAATGGATGTCCCATTTCCTCATTTTCCTCAGATCTACCAATATCAGTTTTCAGTTGTCCAAGTACTTTAATTGTCTGGTGCTTCATGTATCAGAGGTATTTAGAGCAGTTCAGGCCTCTGTGCTCTTATATATCTGATCCATTTCCACCAACGTCTCTTAAATGTCCCAGACTGTCATCTCAGAGTGACTGTCAATCTCTCCATCATGTAAATTTCCTGAACAGTTCCTCCCCAGTCTTCCAGTCTCTGTGAGTTGGGTTGTAACCACTTCCTTGTTATCGTCTTCTTTGCTCCAATTAGTAATATCTTCATTAGATATTTGTCTGCTATCACTTCAGTACGCAATGCCATGGTACTGAAATACATTAAGCTGACACTTAATTGTATAGTAATTTGAAATATGAGTTCCAGACAATCATGAATACCTTAAGACAAAAGTTTCAGACAATCCCAAAATAAATGATAATGGTTAGCTAAATCCGAACCACACTTCCTCCAACAATAAAAAGTTTCATGACGTTTTTTCATCCAAATTCCCTCCAGCTCTGTAAATTGGTGGTTTTCCAATGTAATTTACAGATATCTTCCCATTCTTCCTCAGATCTGACCAAATCTCTCTCCCTCTCCTATCTACATTTAATATGAAGGGAGTCTTGAAAACTTTTATATAATCTAGATATTAATTTCTTTCCACTCCCAGGCTTTTAGAATAGAACTTGTCAATTTCTCTTTCAGGATTGAGGTATTTCATGATAAGCTTCAAGTTCAGTTGTCTTTGGTCTAATCTGTTTTGAGTAATCTTACCATGTTGTCCTTGTTATAATCCTGGTTAAAAGAACTCCTGTCTGTGTTTCAGTGACCACCGGTCTGCTGATGTCGGCGTAGAGTGACCAGGTGAGTCCCTTCGTTTTTTTCTGTCGCTCTCTCTCCTTAAAGCTTCAAACAGACATAATGTTGTTTTCTCATCTCTTCTTTCTTTTTTCCATCTTTTCTGTAGGATTAATGGATCTTGACTGCTCCTCCTGATCTCTCCACCCTTCTTTTTCATTACTATCACTTTATTCCCCCCCTCTCCAATGACTAGAACTCTAGCTGGGCCACCCTAGTCATAAAACCTGGAAAACCTTTTATTGGTCTAAAATGAAAATGCAGTTTTCCAAAATCAGAATCACTTTCAAACTCCTGTCTGGTCATGTGACTCTACAGCAAATATGTCCATGTTTTTAAAATACCACACTCCTTTTTTTGGGGGGTATTTTTACATTTATGAAGAACATTCAAGATTTTGTAGGAAGTATTTTGATGCATTTTTCTCATGTTATTGTCACACTGTACTCATAACATGTATCTGAAGCTATGCAAGAGATGAGAGAAAAAGAGGAGGCGTGAAGTTTTTGTTGGGTGGCAATGGAAGAAATGACGAAGCCGACAAGTGGTCAAGTCAAGTTTTAAGGTCCACACATGAATATTGAGCCTTTGTTTTCCTTTCCTCTGACAGATAAGCAGCTGCACTATAACCTTTATTTTCCCGGTGGTTTTCATCTTTTCCTAACATTAGCTTAAATTTGTGTGTTCAAAACCTGTTACTTGATGGGCTCCATGGCTGAATTAGAATGTTACAACGCCCATCTTCCGGTTACCTAGCAACAATGTTTTTATTTCATTACCACTGGAGCCCTGAGCTTTTCCCGTTCAGGGCCGCTTCACGTAACTTTACAAATTCCATTTGAAGGCAGCAGAAAAGTTACGAAATAATGCTGCTTTCGAGTTACCTCTGAGGTGAAAATTATGTCACACCTGAGTTCCCAGTGTTTCCGTTACCAAATCGGAAAAAAGCTAAATCTCAGGTGAAAACAAGATGGCTACATCTACCAAAGTGTTTTTAGCGTTTGCCTTGTCCGAATATAAGGCAAGCGCTAAAATAACTTTTGTAGATGTAACCATCTTGTTTCAGGCCTCCGATTATGGCTGTATCCATGAGAGTAATTTTAGCTCTTGCCTTGTCTGAATATAGGGCAAGCGCTAATATACCTTTCTTAAATGTAGCCACCTTGTGGCAGGCCTCCCATTATGGCTACATCTTTGAAAGTCATTTTTGGAGAAGGCAAGCGCTAAAGTAACTTTCGTCGATGTAGCCATCTTGTTTCAGGCCTCTGATTTTGCTTTTTTCCGACTTGGTAACTGAAACGCTGGGAACTCGGGTGTCCTTTTCAGCTTGGACATCTAACTTCAGAGGTAACTCGAACGCAGCATAAGAAGACGACTTTCTGACAGCATGACCTTTGACCCTTGAATCAAATACTTCAGTATTAAGTTTTTATTCCCGTCAGTCAGTCTTCCAGATCCTTAAAACTGTATGAACTTTATTTTTCACAAAGCATGTCAAACTAATAAACTACATTTTATTAACATAGAGCAGCTCAGAGTCGAGATGAATTTATGTCTTTAATCTAAAACTTACTAAGGTCATGTGAAAACCATCCAGTGTTCACTATGTGGATCTAAAAGTGAAAATCAATCATTTTAAAGGTGCAAAGACAAAAGTAAAAACAATTCAGATCTGTTTGTAAAAAAAAGACTCGAGCAAACATTTCTGTGGCAAAATCTGTGTCGTTATCTAAAGGCTGCAGACTTTAAAGGACGCAGACCTTAGTAGAACAAACCTTTGAAGGATCATGAACTCAGCAAAACCAACCTTTAAAGGACCGAGACCATAGCAGAAACGACTGTTGAAGAACCCAGACCTTAGAAACCTTTGAAGGACCCAGACCTTAGCAGAACCAACTTTGAAGGACACAAACCTTAGCAGAACAAACCTTTGAAGGATCATGAACTCAGCAAAACCAACCTTTAAAGGACCGAGACCTTAGTAGACACAACCTTTAAGGGACCGAGACCATAGCAGAAACGACTGTTGAAGAACCCAGACCTTAGAAACCTTTGAAGGAGCCAGACCTTAGCAGAACCAACTTTGAAGGACACAAACCTTAGCAGGACCAACCTTTGAAGGACTCAGACCTTAGTAGACACAACCTTAAGGGACCAAGACATTAGTAGAACCAACCTTTGAAGGACCCAGACCTTAGCAGAACTTACCTTTCAAGGACCCAGACCTTAGCAGAACCAACCCTTGAAGGACCCAGACCTTGCCAGAACCAACCTTTAAAGGTCCCAGGGGCCTGTTCTACGAAGCAAGTTCAACTTAGCGAGGTAGTCTGAGAGCTACCTCGCTCAACTTAGCGCGGTAGCCGGCGGTCTCGCTAAGCGGTTTTACGACGCTGGTTATCAACCTCATAAGTAGATCCAGCTTTGCTATGAGCGCGTGCACACATACAAGGCGGAGCTCGCCGCATCTGACCAATCGCGAACATGGATCAGTCTGGAGTGTCAGAGCAGCAGGCTGGAGAGTGAAGGACCGCAGACTTTACAAACTAGGAGCAGGAGACGATCATGAGAAAGTATGAAGAATTCAAATCTATCATAAACCTCAAAAGCAACACCGTCGCCGCTGCAAAAGCACTGAGGGAATGCTGGCAGAAAATTAATCTTTGATGCCATTATCACCCTGAAATAGCACTGTTCAACATGAACTTTTAACTAAGGTGACAGTCCCCGAATTGGATGATCTGTCCCCGGCTAAAGCTGTCCCCGAAAATGTCCCCGATTTAAGCGTTTCATGAATGAGAACAAAAATGTTGCATGTGGGCAAGAACAACGGTTATTACAGTAGGTAGGAGGCACAAGTAAGCAGTCCTGAACAACAGTATTTACGGGGTTATTACAAGGGGCGTGCGCTGCTACTAAATAGTACCAAGATGTTGTCTGTGATCGCGCAGCCCCTGCAGCTCATGCCCATTCATTCCCAAGATGAATCATTCATGTGTTCATTCCTATCGTGTTTACATGTTTTGTGTAATATGTCGGCCATATGAGCCTTTCATAAAGGTGGTCATCCGGAGAAAACTCTCCCTGAAAACTCTCGCGAGCCGGAGTGCTCCTCGGACAATGCGAGCACCGAGGTCTATAGGATCCTCCAAGAACGGACAAGCCGTTTTTCGAGAGAACTCATTGGTCAGTGGGCGGGGTTTTTATACTCGGTGAGTTCAATCTGGAACTTAACCTGCCCCGGAGCAGGTTAGCCGTACAGCGTATATTGCTATGGAGACTCGCCTCGCTAAGAAGTGAACCCGCGTCGTAGAACAGGAAACCCCGAACTTACCCTCGAAGTTACCTCGCTAAGCAGTAATCCTGCTTCGTAGAACAGGCCCCAGACCTCAGCACAACCAACCCTTGAAGAACCTAGACCTTGGCAGAACTGGCCGTTGAGGGACCCAGACCTCAGCAGAACCGACCGTTGAAGGACCCAGACCTTATCAGAACCAACCTTTGAATGACCCAGACCTTAGTCCATCTTTGTAACAGGACAGCTTTGAATGTCACACCGCTGTAAAGCATGTGATCTTTAAATGTGGCCTCCGAGGGTTGCAGCCCTTGGATTGGGACACAGCCAAAACTTAGGTGCCAAACCCTCCTAGTTGCCATGGTAACAGCTGGTGGCCATACGGCAGAATGTGATTTGGATGTCTGAGGAGTTATAGGGAGATGTACAAGTCTGATTAAAAATGACCCTAATGAGTCTCTGTAGCCTGAAATGAAGGACTTTTAATTTTGTAGATTTCTTTTTGTAGAATAATGTTTGTATGCAGATTGTTATGATGTTTCATGTTGTATGTTTCATGCATGTCTGTGTAATAAATAAACAGACTGTACACTGTCAGAGAATTAAACTGGATTTACCAGTCTTTACAGGAGAGCATGGTAAACGGACATCACGGCGAAGGTACCAATGAGGTACTGTGACAAATAGATACTGTTTGACATTCTTGTCATACAGTTTCTTGTCCTCGAAGGCCACTGTAGCTCCAACAACAGCGGGAGTGAGCAAGGGGAGCATTTCAGTCTAAAGTCTCGGGGCTTGCTGTCACGAAATATTCACATCTCTAAACATTGTACCTTTGGGACAGTTAGCAATAGCTTCAAACTAGCTAAGCCTAGCCAAATAAAGTCAAGCTAGTCCAGTTCATGATACTTTTTTTGATACCTCTGATTGGCTAGATGTGCTGGGCTCCGATTGGTTATTCCTTTTGGCTTTAGAACGTCATCATCTGTCGGGTTAGGAGATTGGGAATTGCGATAATGTTCTGTAATGTTCTGTTTGATGTACAGAGCCGACAGCCTGGGCTCGGCTTGAGCGTGTGATGACGTTTCACAGCCATAAGGATTAACCAATCGAGGCCCAACTTTTCTAGCTGGAGGCAGGACCTTTCCCTACCATCTTACGAAAAAAAATACGGCGTCAAGTTAGCTCACAGTTAGCTAGATTTTAATTAACTTATGTAATTAGCATTAGCTTGAAACTAGCTTAGCCTAGCCAGATAACGTTAAACGAGTTCAGTTAACGGACAGTTTGCTAGATTTTAATTAATTCATGTATTCAGATAAGTTAATTCGTTGTCTCTGTAGTTTCTCATTCATCTAGGTCGTGGCCATTTGATTCTTCCGGACTTGCTTGAGGTTCTTGATGATGTTTCGCCTCAGGTCCTTTTTAATGAAGAACTAGAAAAGCTAATTTAGTTTTTAAGTAAATTAAATATAAACACTGGAGGAGTCCTTTGTTAGATATTGACTTTATTTCAGAGTGTTAATCACAGACGGACGAGTGATTTACTGACAGAGCTGCTGCAGGCGAGCTGAAGTGCATGAATACAACAGAAAACCGATCAGAGAGCCGATGAGCTGTTGCCATGGTTACAGTCTTAATGCATCTTCCTGAAACACATTGGCACTGATGGAGGGACGGGGTCTGGTTAAATACCTCTTTTTAAAAAACTTTGAATCTTTGAGATTGAAAATTTTCCCACGTGGGTTCAAGCACAACTCCCAGAAGCCATCACTGCCAGGAACGACCAATCAGAACGCTCTGGACTTTGTTGTCGGGCGGCTGTTGGCCGTTGAAGTCATCCCCTAATGGATTATTTTCACCATTTGAAGTTATGTTTCGAGTGAGTTTGTGAAAAGACAAGGAACTGAAGTAAAATTTCTTTAAAGTTTCCTGGAAGAAACGACATAATCTGCTGGTGCCTTTTAAAGATCCAAAATTTAGAAAGGGAATTTTGTTGAGCTGGTTTACGGGACTTAATAAACACCTTAATCCTGGTTCTTTAGGGACCACGATTAAGGTGTTTATGAAGTTTACAGGAATATGAATGACCAGGTTTCTGTCTGCATGTGAATGTCACACCCAGAGTATAATCAAAACTGGGATAAAACCAACAACCCAGACCCTGAAGTCTACGTTAACACGCTCATGGATGAAGGTGTCAGTGCTCTTGTTCTTGTTTTTGGTGTCATGATTCGGTCTTGCGTCTTTAAAAGTCTTCAAACCAAACAGTGAAATGATCTAGTTGGTGGATTCATTAGCTCTTAAAAATGACTCCCACCCTTTGCAATGTGAGTTTCAGCTTCTTGAGTTTTTGACCTTGAAATTCCACCAGATCTACGTTTCACTTAGGTCCTCAGTATTGTTCACCTCCAGCACTGTCCACTTCAGGCTCGAGCTACTTTTGCAGGATATAGAAGCATCAGTAGGTAGTTGTAGTATCCTGAGACTGCTATTGTATCTAGAGGAAGGTCTAGGCTCCAGGTGTGGTTACCTGGCAGGTAGTCTATATATAGAAGAAGCCTGACAAGTGATTCGCTCTCTGTGTATGATGCATGCCATGTACCAGTAAAAAGCCAAATACTCTATTTGTTGGAGTCCTGCGTCCTCTTTGTGTTATAGTAGTGTTGTAGTACTTGAGATAAGTCTTGGTCTTGAGACCATTTTTTTGAGGGTCTTGGTGTCGTCTTGGAATTGAAGGCATTTTCACTCGGTCTTGTCTCGATCTTGGAGTGAGCGGACTTGGGTTTTTGAACGAGACCGGTCAGGCTAATAACTTCACATCATTGGTAGTAATAATTCTCCCCCAGCTGCAGCTGCTAAGTTACCTGCCCAGTGTCACACTGTCCGAGTGACTGACGCACACCCTCCATACAGAGAGAGGATGGAAACAACAGGAAGAGAGGCTGTGTTCCTGCTTGCCAACCGGTGAAAGATGTCTGCCAACTCAGCAATAATTAAGTTTGGTTTCCTAAACCACAAGGAGTTTATTTGTAAAACGACATGCAAGTGAAAACACTCAGCAGTGTGCAAATTCTGCAGTGCACAACTCACAGAAATAGCTGGTACGACTTCAAACTTTTACTGTCACCTCGAGAGAAAGCATAAGGACAGGTACGCTAACGGTTACCTTACAGTAGTGTTGTAGTACTCAAGATCGGTCTTCGTCTCGAGACCATTTTTTGAGGGTCTTGGTGTCATCTTGGAATTGAAGGCATTTTCACTCGGTCTTGGTCCTCTCTGGTCTCAGTAATGTCTTGGTCTCGGTTGGTGCGGTCTTGACTACAACACTATCAGGACGTCAGACACAGAAACAACACTAAAACAAAACTGGTAAATTTGCAGAATAAAAGACCTGATGGTGACCCCAGATTGCGTTTGGCTGAACTACACCAACAGGAACCACCTCGGTGAGTGGTGCCGGGCCTGGAGTGGACGGGTCAGAGGTATTCAGAGCTCATCATGGAGGTGAAACACTGTTGAGTTTCATGACTCAAACTGTCAAGTTTGAGACGGACCGAGTGGGGATCTGGTGGAAGTGGAACCAGAGAGGTTCCTTCTGCTGCTTAGTTCAGGAGTTATTCATGCGTTCACCTGTTTTTTTAATGATCTCCTTCGTGAATATCCTTCTCTCTCAGTGAACTTCTTTTTCTTCTGATTGTTTTTAAGCAGGTTGATGTGATGGATCTGTCTACAGAGAGTCTCACAAAGATTTACTCTCAAAGAAACCAGACACTTCAGTGTTCAGCTCTGCAGGATTCTTAGATATTATTTGGATTTTTAAAACATTTTTTCATGTTTCGATTGAAATCATCTTTGTTTTCATTTTTGACTTCGCTCTCTTGGAAATTTTCTTTAGATCGTCCCCCAGTCATGTTGTAGCGTCCAGGAAACTTTTTAGAAAAAGTAAAGGGGGATGATTTCTCTGTTTCTGTCTCCATCACTCCATCATTTCTTCTTATGTCAACAACAAACAATAAGACACTTATTCACAAAAGCAGCAAAAACAACAAAAACTCACAAAATAAAACGTAAAAAATATGACACCTCCTTCTAGACCTCCTCCCCTTGTTTCCCTTTCTCTCTTCTTTTATCTCCTGTACTTTTTCTTCCTTGACTTTTATCCTCTCCTCCTCTCCTCTCCTCACTCCTGTTCTCTCCTTTACTCTCCTCTCCTCTTCTCTCTCCTCTCCTCCACTCTCTTCTCCTCTCCTTACTCCTGTCCTCTACTCCTCTCTCCTCTCCCCTCCTCTCTCCTCCTCACTCCTCTCCTCGCTCCTCTCCTCTTTCCTCTCTCCCCCTTACTCCTCTCCTCTCCTCCACTCCTCTTCTCTCTCCTCTCCTCCTCCTCTCCTCTCTTACTCCCTCATATACTCCAGGATCTGATCGATCAGTATCTGTGGGTCGTAGTTCAGAGCTCTCCTCCTGCGCCTGCGACTCCCATAATTCAGTTCTTCCATGGCATTGGTTGCCATGGTATTGATGCGTTTCATCCTCTGCAGCCCGGCCGCGGGGAGGCGGAGCTTCCTCTCTTCTTCCTCCTCCTCCTCCTTGTCCTCCAGCCTCTTCACTCTGAGCAGAGGGGGGTCAGTGCTCGGAGAGGCAGGAGCCATGTTGTCAAGGGAGCGGCGGGTTCGCTTGCGGGCGGTGCTTGCAGGTTCAGGTGCAGCGTAGGACACGTCCCTCTTCGCTCTGCGGCTCGATGACATCACTGCAGAGTCGCCAGGGCCAATACTGGTCAGTAACCTAGCAACCAGACGTCTAGGGAGGAGGAGATCCAAAGGTATCATTAACGTTTATCACTCTTTATTAATATTTCACTCTATTATTCATTCAAACTCTGTGATTTTAATTATTTAATGTCTAAATGTCCAAAAAAAGAGAACCAAGATGACAGAGAGTCAGGGGTAGTGCTAGTTCAGGCAGGCTAAAACCAAGCCCAACAAAACCTGGTTTAGAAGTCGCTTCGATCGATTGATTGATCGATTGTTTATTCGACCAGATACACATACAGTACAATTTTAGACAAGGAATTTCCCATTTTTTGGAGATCAAAAAGGAGTAGGTTGAAGTTATTTAGTTAATATGTACCTCCCCTCATCCCTTCCTGTTTGTTTACCCTTTACATGTCTCTAGAATATGTGATGTTGCCAAAAAGTAACCAAAGCTCCAAAGTCTAACATGAATATACAACTAATTATTAATACTGAAACAACTATCTGTCTGACCTCCTCAAGGACTACATCTGCGGACCTTGGGCTCCTCACTGTCCGTTATGGGAAAAGGCGATCCCTCGGTGACAGAGCCTTCAGTGTGGCCGCCCCTCCTCTCTGGAACTCTCTCCCCTCTGAGATTCGCCAAGCACAGACTCTTGACTCTTTCAAGTCTGCTCTGAAGCGACACTTGTTTATCCAGGCTTTTGGTATCTAGTTATGTTTATTGTAGTGTGTTGTTAAGCGCTTTGGGTATCTTGAAAGGCGCTATACAAATGTAAGATATTATTATTATTATTATTAAAGACCTCATCCTACATCCATACCTATATACACTTTATACATATACCTAGAATACTTCAAATCTCTCATTTGTACCATTCCTATATACAATTAAATAAGTGTGACAAATCACTTTTGTAAGTGTTTTTCAGTCAAACTCTGCTTTAATTTACTTTTAACAAACACCTGGTTGTTTTAAATTTCATTCCCCTCTTAATACATACCCTTCTTCTTTTCCACTGAACATTTTCTGTACATTACTAGGGAGTAGATTGTTATTATCTTTATACATTGTCTGTGCAGTTCTAAATTCAACTAGATCAATAAATTTTAATAATACTAATTTCAGAAACAGTTCATTTGTATGATGGAAGAATCCTACCTTGTTAACAATCCTTATTGCTCTCTTTTGCAAATATTTATAGATTGTAAATTCGTTTTGTATGTATTTCCTATAGACTGTATATAGAATGGACAGCGTCTGCCTCCTTGCTGGGTGAAGCCACTCCGCAAACAGCGCCCTCTGTTGATGGGCTGCAGTATAGGTCATAAATCCTGCCTCCGCCAGCAAAGCTTATGGGGCTGTGGACCAACTTTAGAAATGTATTACACAGAACATAAAAAAACACCTATTGCATAATGCTCCTTGTATACTTCCATCAGCGCCATTGCAGTGGATGTTTTGGTCCTCTATTGGCGGTCTATGAGTAAATTATGTTCTTTAATGACGCTATCAAAACATGTCAGAAATGGATTGTGAGGAAAAAGTTCAAATATGTCGAAGAGGAAGTTCTCAGGTATACACTGATAATAAACTGATCAGAGCAGACATCCTCCTGTGAGCTAAAGGAGGGTGATGTCCCTTTGTCCCCTGCAGGTTGACCTGCAGACCCACCGCAGACCATCCTAACTGTCAGATGAGTCTGGGGGTTACATGAATCTGTTTCTGATGGATCACCTCAGAGCCTCATGCTCTCCTGCTCTGCTCGGACCCGATGAAACCAGACCCGACTGCTGGAGTCTCTCCTGTCTCGCTCTCTCCAGCAGAGCCTGAGCCACCTGGGGCTCCATCCTGACAAAAACACACCACAGGTAACGATCAGAGACTTTGTTCTGAGAAATTAACCCTTAGAGGTTTTATTGAACGCTGTAGTCACGAGAGTGTGCTTTTCACCTGTCCAGCAGGGCCTGAGCTAGCTGGGGCTCAAGGAGGCCCCACCATGCAGCTGGTGGCCTCCCCATGTTCATTCCCCTCCCGGTCTCATCGTAGTCTGGGGGGGCCGGGCCCTGGAAGTCCCCTGGGGTCCCCTCGTCATCTTCTTCATCCACTTCCTCCTCTACTACCTCAACATCACCCGGACCGACCAATCCTGCACTCTCTGCTTCGCTCAGTAGGCGGAGCAAAGCGGCCAGGTAAGCTTTGGAGAGAATTGATTGGTCAACAAGATGATGAGGAGAAAAAACAGATGTGGTTTCTTTGTATTCATTAGAGAAAATATTTTACGTTTTAAATTTTACATTTCTGACTTCGAAGCTCTCTCACCAGCTTTCTGTTCCTCCTCTTGGGCCCTTCTTTGGTCCCTCTCCACCAGTTGCTGGAGAGCCTGATCCAAGCCCCGCCCTCTCCAATTATCTGATTGGTAGTATGGGTCGATGGCTCCAACTCCTCCTTGGGAGGCAGGAAATGACATCATCCGGTCTTCGTAGGGCAGCAGGTTACGGAGGTCTCTACGCTGGCGTCTCAGTTCCACAACCGAAACGTCGAGGTCACGCCCCCTGCTGCGACCTGCAGGTAGAGCCTGAGATACAGAGAGAAAGGTCGGGGGGGCAGGGACAGAGGGAGGTATGGGATTGATTTTAGTGACTCTGAATTCAATGAGGTTTAGGGTTTGGGTCATCTCTGTGGAGTTCCACGGGGTTCAGTTCTGGGTCCTTTTGTTTTCTGTGTGCGCCCTGTAAATGACCCACATTATGTGTTGGGTATCTTCAGTCTTATTTTGAAGGCACAACCCCTATTTGCTATTATTTTACTTCCTGTAAACAATATAACAGAGACCAATGCCCTTAATTTCAAAGGAAGTTAGTAATCAACGGAGAGTAAAACGATACGTAAAGTCAGTATCCACCCATCAATAACATCACTTTAAGTTGTTTAAAGTACCTGTTTGATAGAAGCACAAGGTTCATATCTGCTTCTTTTCTCACACAAATTAATATGAAGTGCCTTTTTAACATTTTTATAAAGTTTGGTTGAGTTTCGTGTTGCCGAGTATGAGCAAAGATGCTACAGTTACGATGATGGTTGCGGTTAACACAGACGTTATTCATTAAGTTCGTAACATGTCGCCCAATGTATATTTTAAATCCACATGTATTTTATTCTGTGTATGTATCAGGTTCTGTTCATAACCTTTATGGACAGAATTTCTAGGCGCAGCCGGGGGGTGGAGGGTGTCCAGTTCGGCAGGATCGCGTCGCTACTTTTTGTGGATGATGTGGTACTTCTAGCTTTGTCGAGCAGTGACCTTCAGCTCTTGCTGGGGCGGTTCATGGCCGAGTGTGAAGCAGCTGGGATACGAATCAGCACCTCCAAGTCCAAGGGCATGGTCCTCAGGTAGATTGCCTTCTCCGGGTTGGAGGGGAGGTCCTGCCTCAAGTGGAGGAGTTCAAGTATCTTGGGATCTTGTTCACAAGTGTGGGTAGGATGGAGCAGAAGATCAACTGACAGATTGGAGCGGCGTTAGCAGTGATGCAGACGTTTAACCGATCTGTCGTGGTGAAGAAAGAGCTCAACCGTAAGGATCAGCAGTGAGGTTATGTAAATATGCTCCATAAATTGAAATTTTATTCATGCTGAAAGAGGCGAGAAAAAATGTCTGAAATTGCACAAAGTTTGAATGAATAAGTAAATTACCTTAAAAAGCAGGAAGGTGAGAAGTGGCAGAAGTCTGTGATTTTTCCAAAAACCAGATTGATAAATTTCATAAATTTTTCTGTAATTGATAAAATCATTTAACTGGTTTAAAACTCTTTTCTAAATCTTTTCTAAAATTGTACTTAAAAATTGCAAATTGGATACAGGTCTATAGTTGTCAAGTATTTATGCATCCCAATTGCTTTTCTTCAGAATAGGTTTAATAGTAGAAGTTTTAAAAGCAGAGGGGAATACACCTGTCTAAAGAGACTAATTTAAAATGGTAAGAAAATCATGCTTGAAAAAGTCATAAAAGCTTTTAAAAAGGGATGCTGGGATAGGGTCTAAAAGACAGGTGGTTTGAGTTGTTTAAAAGCTTTTTCACCCAGCCTTCACTGCTCAGGGGGAAGCTCAAGAGGGCGGGAGTGGACTGTCACCTAGCCGCATGGACCGTGGACTACCTCACCGACAGACCACAGTTTGTGAGGCTTCAGAACTGTGTATCGGACATGGTGGTCCGCAGCACGGGGGCTCCACAGGGGACAGTGCTCTCCCCCTTCCTCTTCACCCTGTACACCTCGGACTTCAGCTACAACTCTGGGAGCTGTCACCTCCAGAAGTTCTCTGATGACACAGCCATCGTCGGATGTGTATCGTCAGGGGATGAGCGGGAATACAGGACTGTCATCACTGACTTTGTCAACTGGTGTGGCACAAACCACCTCCAGCTCAACTCCAGTAAGACAAAGGAGATGGTCGTGGATTTCTGCAGGAGGAGGACACCTCAGACTGTTCCAGTGAACATCCAGGGTCTGGACATCGAGATAGTGGAGTCCTACAGATTCCTGGGTGTCCACCTCAACAATAAACTTGACTGGTCAACAAACACAGACGTCCTGTACAAGAAGGGCCAAAGTCGTCTCCACCTGCTGAGGAGACTGAGGTCCTTTGGAGTGTGCAGGACTCTGCTCAGGACTTTCTATGACTCTGTGGTAGCATCTGCACTTTTATATGCAGTGGTCTGCTGGGGGGCAGGGAGCACTGAGAGGGACAGGAAGAGACTGAATAGACTGGTCAGGAGGGCCAGTTCTGTCCTGGACTGTTCTTTGGACTCCCTGGAGGAGGTGGGTGAGAGGAGGATGTTAGCAAAGCGTGTATCCATCATGGACAATCCCTCTCACCCACTGCACCAGACTGTGGGGGCTTTAAGCAGCTCCTTCAGCAGCAGACTGAGACTTCCACCTTGCAAGACGAAGCGCTACCGCAGGTCATTCCTCCCCTCTGCAATAAGACTTCACAACGAACTGTAATAATAACTGGACTCCCACCACCACTTTTTGTGTATATGTAAATTGTGTATATTGTAGATAGTTTTATTTTTCTTCTCCCTTTTTCCTTTTTCTACATTTTTTCTTAAATATTACATTTATTTAAGTTCTTAATATTAGGATCTTTATTTTTATTTTATAACTAGATCTAATAAGAGCCTTCAGTGACTGGAGTCACTGCCTCCTCCTCAACACCTCAAAGACAAAGGAGGTGGTCATAGACTTCTGTAGATCCAAACCCCCTCTTCAGCCAGTGAACACCTGTGGAGTGGACATCGAAGTGGTGACATCATATAAATACCTAGGTGTACATCTGGATTAGTTGGATTGGTCTAAGAATATAGACTACATCTACAAAAAAAGGGGCAGAGCCGCCTCTTTTGCCTGAGAAGACTCCGATCATTAGACATCTGTAGTAAGACGCTGCAGATGTTTTATCAGTCTGTGGTGTAGATCTACAGTGTTCTGTTCTACGCTGCAGTCTGCTGGGGAGGAAGCATCAAACACAAAGATGCAAGACTTCTCAACAAACTGGTGAAAAAGGCTGGCTCTGTGGTAGGACTCAAGCTGGACTCAGTGGAGGATGTGGTGGAGAGATCTACACTGAGGAAAGTGGAGTCTATTGTAAAGAACATGAATCACCCACTTCACAACACCTTGATGGACCAAAGGGCCACTGGTGGTGGACGGCTCCTCTCTCTTCACTGCAGGACAGAAAGATTTAGAAAATCTTTTGTACCAACAGCCATCAGGCTTTATAACTCTTATGTTAATAATAGATAACTTTTATAGACATATTACGTGAGACAACAGACAATTGAATTTCCCTTCGGGGATCAATAAAGTTCTTATTCTTATTTTTAACAGTTTGCTAAACGTCTCTGTTTTAAATTTCATCTGTGCTAACATAAGCTTACAACGGTTGTTACCATAGTTCCATGTGCTTATCTGCTACTGGCCCAACTCACTATAAGTGCTGACCGTTTGGCTTGAGCATGTGATTACGTTTCCAGCTTTTCTAGCCAATCAGAGGCAAAGGAGGCAGGACTTCCCCCGGGTTGCGTCTTTTTCCCCGGAAAGTCACAAAACGGTATCAGGCTTGATGTGTATAGTCTGAATATTTCGTAAATTCACGTTCTATATTTGCATCGGTCCCGGTGTGTAAGGACCTTTAGAGAGGCAGAAATGCTCTTTTTAGTCAACATAACTTAAGTTGTATATGATTTCCAAGCTGTTTGGTTTGTTTAAAACATCTAAAATGGAAACATGAGGCAGAAATTGAAATAGAATATATATATATATATTTTTTTTATTTCATATTTTTTATTTAAATACGGTCTATGAACTGAACTCACTGATGAAGAGTATGTAGCTGCGGGTGGAAAGATGCTCCACTCTGATCTATTGCTGATGACTCTGTCCTCTCCCTCTGGACTACAACCTTTAGCCAAAGCACTCACACATTCATCCTGTGTGTGTGTGTGTGTGTGTGTGTGTGTGTGTGTGTGTGTGTGTGTAGTGTCATATGAGGATGCTGTCAGTGCTGTGGAGATGGGTTGCCATGGCAGCATAGCAATTTGTTCTGTCCCTGTTTCCAGTAATTTATATGGTTCTCTGAGTGTGTGTGTCTGCGTGTGTGTCTGCATGGGTGTGTGTGTGTGTGTGTGTGTGTCTGTCTGTCTGTGTCTGTCTGTGTGTGTGTATTATGGATGGAGAGTGCGGGTGTTTATTAAAGAGAAGATCTTTATAAGAGACCGATCAGCTGACTAACAGACAAGAACAATTAGGTTTCATTTAGGTGGTCCTCAGAAGTACAGAGGAAAAATACAGAGAAAATGACTGATACAGGAGGTCCTGGTCCATCCATCTATCATCCATCCATCCATCCACCCATCCATCCAAAACTCATCCCTTCTATCCATCCTACATCCTTCCATTATTCATCTATCATCCATCCTTCCATTTATCAATCCACCCATCCTTCCATTCATCCATCATCCAGCATCCATCTATTATTCTTCCATCCATCCATCCATCCATCCATCCATCCTTCCATCCATTCATCTGTCCTTTCATCCATCCATCCATCCATCCTTTTTTTCATCCATCCATTCTTTCATCATCCATCCATCCACCATCCTCCCATCCATCCATCCATCCATCCATTTATGCATCCTTTCATCCACCATCCTTGCATCAATCCATCATCGTTCCATCCATCTATCCATCCTTCTTTCCATCCATCAATCTATCCATTCATCCACCAATCTATCCATCCATCCACCCATCTATCCATCATCCATATATCATTCATCCGTCATTCCTTCCATCCATCCATCACTTCCATCCATCCATTGATTGTCCATCCATCATCCATCTATCATCCATCCTTCAATTTATCCATCCATTATTCCTTCATCCAGCCATCCATCCATTCATCCATTTGTCATTCATCCATCGATCCATCAGTCATCCATCCATCCATCCATCCCTTTCATCCATCCAAAACTCATCCCTTCTATCCATCCATCATCCTTCCATTATTCATCTATCATCCATCCTTCCATTTATCAATCCACCCATCCTTCCATTCATCCAGCATCCAGCATCCATCTATTATTCTTCCATCCATCCATCCATCCTTCCATCCATCCATTCATCTGTCCATCCATCCATCCATCCATCCATTCTTTCATTATCCATCTATCCATCCAGCCATCTTCCATCCATCCACCATACTCCCATCCATCCCTCCATCCATTTATGCATCCTTTCATCCACCATCCTTGCATCAATCCATCATCGTTCCATCCATCTATCCATCCTTCTTTCCATCCATCAATCTATCCATTCATCCACCAATCTATCCATCCATCCCCCCATCTATCCATCATCCATATATCATTCATCTGTCATTCCTTCCATCCATCCATCACTTCCATCCATCCATTGATTGTCCATCCATCATCCATCTATCATCCATCCTTCAATTTATCCATCCATTATTCCTTCATCCATCCATCCATCCATCCATTCATCCATTTGTCATTCATCCATCGATCCATCAGTCATCCATCCATCCATCCATCCCTTTCATCCATCCAAAACTCATCCCTTCTATCCATCCATCATCCTTCCATTATTCATCTATCATCCATCCTTCCATTTATCAATCCACCCATCCTTCCATTCATCCATCATCCAGCATCCATCTATTATTCTTCCATCCATCCATCCATCCTTCCATCCATTCATCTGTCCATCCATCCATCCATCCATTCTTTCATTATCCATCTATCCATCCAGCCATCTTCCATCCATCCACCATACTCCCATCCATCCCTCCATCCATTTATACATCCTTTCATCCACCATCCTTGCATCAATCCATCATCGTTCCATCCATCTATCCATCCTTCTTTCCATCCATCAATCTATCCATTCATCCACCAATCTATCCATCCATCCACCCATCTATCCATCATCCATATATCATTCATCTGTCATTCCTTCCATCCATCCATCACTTCCATCCATCCATTGATTGTCCATCTATCATCCATCTATCATCCATCCTTCAGTTTATCCATCCATTATCCATCCTTCCATTCATCCATCTAGTATTCCTTCATCCATCCATCCATCCATTCATCCGTCCTTTCATCCTTCCTACCATCCATCCACACATACATCCATCATTATCCTTTCATCATCTATCCATCCATTCATCCATCCATCCTTCCATCCGTCCTTTTTTTTCATCCATCCATCCATTTATCTGTCCTTTCATCCATCCATTAATGCATCCATCAATCCAGCCATCCATCCTCAGCTTGTTGGAAAATGAAGCAGCTTAAATTTCCTGCTTAATGATTTTGTGTTTGTCAGATAAACAAACAAAAAAATGACTCAGCAGTTGAACACACACACACACACACACACACACACACACACACACACACACACACACACACTCTCACACACACACACACACACACACACACACACACACACACACACACACACACACACACACACACACACACAGATTTATGACGGTAATATTGCTCACACTGCTTCAGATTTATGGAGCAGATTCAACATTAGAGGGAGGAGGTTTATGTGTGGTGATGATGATGATGATGATGACGTGGATGAGGAGGAGGAGGTGGTGGGGTGGTGTAATGGGTCCTCTGTGGAGCATCACTTTGTCTGACTATATCTCCTCTGAGAGCTTGTCTCTGGTAAATAAAGGTGAAGCATGTAAAAGAAGTTCTGGATCAGCAGCGGTTGGTTCTTTGTTAGCTGTAGCAGTAAAGAGTTGTCGTCATCATCTACATGTTTAAGGACTTTTCGAATCTCAAACCTGTGACTGTCAGTGTCCTGCTTGATATTTCATATACATAATCAGAGTCCACCCCTGAACACATCCATGTTTACTTCTCCAATACTGTTGTAGTGCCACCCTGTGGCAACTATCACTCTTTTCATGTTATAAATGTAATTGGCGTGCTGACAGTCACATTGTGGGCAGACTAGGGCTGGGCGATAAAACGATATATCGACAATTGATTTTCCATAATATCAATATAAAACATGGTCAACATCCTTTTCAATAGTCAGCATTCTGCCATGTTTTGGTAGACTATACGAATAGCCAATGAAAAGGGCAGTTGCTCCAGGGTTAGCCAATCATGTGCTGGATTCGAACCAAGTAGCAAACAACTGGGTCGTAGCAGACAGCAGCTACACCCAACCATAGCACTTTAATAGGTGAAGCTGACAGCACTGTTGGTGAGAAAAAAAGAAAATGAGTGCTACCCCCGACAGAAATGACGATGAAGGCTCAACAGATGACCACATCGTCGACAACACTGGAATGAAAACAGCGGTGGTGTATTTTGGTTTTTTGAGGTCGGACATGAAGCAGAGTAATATGTACTGAAAATTATGTCGAGTACATGTTCTCACAAAGTCGGTGAATAATTTAAATCTTTTTCACCACCTGAAGCAGCGCCACGCCGCAGAGCACACGCAACGCAAAAGGTTACAAACCCCGAGAGGAGCGAGGAGCCCATGGCGCTTGTGAAGCCGAAAAAGACGACCATTCAGTCCGCTTTCTCTGGAGCAACGCCTTATGACAAAACGTCAAAGAGACACAGAGACCTCACAGATGCAGGAGATTATTGTGTTGCAAAAAACATGCTACCAAAAAACACTGTTAAATTACGTTTTTGTCGTGATCAGTGGCGATTGCTCTAAGACTGCAAGGGAAGCTCAGCTTCCCTTAAAATGTGACCCCCCAAAAAAAAGAAAAAGTGGTGAAATACGTACTGCTGTGTGAACATTTCTTATCACACTGTGATAAGAAGCTGATAATCACAGGTAACCGGCACAACTTCGTTCTCATTCATCCTCGCAGCGCCTCAGCGCTTAACACAGCCTGACGCTCAGCGTCTGCTGACTTCAATGTGGAAGCTCAAAGTGGGTTGTTCCAGCAGCGAAACTAGACGCTCATTGGATAAATGCTGGGCTTTGTCCCGCCCATCGGACGCTCAGCGTCTCTGGAGTTCTATGACGAGAGGGCGGTCCCAACTTTCTCGTGGATGCTTAGCTTCTGCATCCATGATTGGATGAGCTGTCTGAGGTGAAATCCTTTTTTGATTGACAGCTAAACAAGCGAATCAGCGATCTTGAAGAATAAAACATCTACCAAAGCATTTTCCAAGTTATTCATTCCATTGTTCTTAACTGCTCCGGAGACTTTACCGATCCTCAGCGACTTTTGTCTTTGTTAAAAACGACTGCAGTTGTGTTTGGCGACTCTGTTCTGTTACATACAAATAAACAAACACAATAATGATGTAGGCCAGAAAAATGAGCTTCCCCTCCTTGAAAGACCAGCAGCCGCCGCTGGTCGTGATATATATCTATATCGACTGATATGAAAAAATAAATAATGAAAAACCTTTTTCCATATCGCTCAGCCCTAGGCAGACCCATCAAGATATTTAGCTCATAATGATCGAACATCTGCAGAGTCATAGCTCTTACAGGTCTCAACATGTGCAGAGGTGCAGGGGGCCCTTCATCGCGCCCAAATTTATCCAGAAGCTTTTCATAAACATTATGATTGCCCTGAATTGTTGTTTTTTTTAATCGCGAGAAGACGATGTAATGTTGTGACAGCTGAGGGTTAACATGCCACGAATGTTGGTGGTGACGCAACATTCTGTACTTTTCAATCTGATGGAGCTTTTAAAAATATTTATCTATTTCAAAAATTTACAAATATCCTTAATTTCATTTAATCATAGATAGAGCTACAAAAAAAAAAAAACACTCTGAATGTCCTCACTTAGATGGATAAACACTCACACACACATATATATCACTCACACACACACACACACACACACTGAGCTATCAGGAGACCTGTGTAAAAGATGTTCCTGTTGCCGTCTCTTGTCTCTATGGTGACTGGAGCTAAAATGACATAGTCACAGCAGCAACTAGCACACACAAACACACACACACACACACACACACACACACACACACACACACACACACACACACACACACACACACACATTGTGATGTAACAGTGCTGATGGACACATAAACATAACTAACATGTTTTTGCATCACTATCGGGTTACCGTGGGGACAATAAAACACACACACACAGACACGCACACACACACACACACACACACACACACACACACACACACACACACACTGGACACAGAACCACAGACACAACCTCCTCCTTACCTGGGCGGTGTGCAGCAGCGCGGTGCTGAGCAGCAGGAGGCCAAGAGTCGCCATGCTACTGACCGAACACACACAGACACACACTGACGCACACCACTCTGACTGCAACAATGATAACGGAGTGAGAGAGACTGAGAGAGAGAGAGAGAGCGAGAGAGAGAGAGAGAAAGAGGAAGGGAGGGAGGGAGTGATGACGGGGGGTGTGATGACGGGGAGAGGAGGAGAGAAACAGTGAACAGATAAGGAAGAGGGAGGAGGAGAGAGGAAGGACGTCTAACATGGGAGGAAAGGAAGGAGCCACAGCAGGCGAGAAAGAAGAGAGGAAGGAACCATGGGAGGAGGAGATGTTTGGATGAGGAAGGAGGAAAGAAGGAGGGAAAGGAGGAAAAACTAGGAGATGGAGAAGGGGAGGGTGCAGGAAACGAGGGATGAGTGATGGAGTTTAAATGAAGGAGAGATTCCACTCAGTGTTTTTTATTTTTGTTGTTTAATTTCTGTGACTTTGTGAACATTTGAAAGGATTCATCTTTAATGTGGCGTCTGTTTTTTTGGGTCATAATGTGCTGCTGAGATTTGCTCCTTGTTATTCATAAAAGTGCTCCACCTGACGCCCAGCAGCTCCATCACCTCCCCCTGCTCCTCCATGATGGATCAAGGTTTACTCTCAGTTTGGGTTCCTGTGTCTCATTTCCCAGGTTATTTTATTTTGATTGTAAAAAGACAGAGCTCAGCTTTCCTGTAAGTTTATTTCTGTCATTTCGGTTAAGTTTCCTTTTTTTTTTGGCACATTCATGTTTCGTTTCATGTCCTTCCTGTTTTTTTTTGGATGTCCACTAACTCTTGTTTCTATCTTCTATTTTTTTCCTGTCCGGTCTGCCCAGCCCAATCTCGTTACACCTGTTTTCCATCGCCCTCATTACCTCTTGTAGTTGACCTCATGTGTGACTCGGTACATTTACATGACACTCGAGAAAACTGAATTATCGTCTTACTCCAATTAAGACCGGACAACCGAAATGTATGATATGATTTGTTCCCATCATTCATATAATCAGTTGATTTCTGCCATAGAAAGAGATTGGAAACAAAAGATTGATAGTGGGACGTCAAAGTTATTTGTTTGTCAGCCTTCTATAAGAAATGTAAGATGGTTAAAAGGAAATAAAATAAATGGAAATATGTATAAATTCCACTTAACCTCTAGATCACTAATGATTACACCTTATAATACCTATAAAAAATGGGAGGATATTTTTGATTTTCCTATCCCATGGCAACATGTATTCAAGCTATTGTTCAAAACAACTGTAGACACATTTTTAAGATCCTTTCAGTTAAAAATCATGTATAATTTTTTGTCTACTAGAAAAATGCTTAAAATTTGGGGTATTATTGAGACAGATGAGTGTCGTTTTTGTTCAATGGAATCTGAATCAACAGTACATCTGTTTTGGTATTGTCATGTTGTCTCTACTTTTTGGAGGGAGGTTCAAAGAATGTGTATTGCTATGAAGATGTGTTTTACATGTGACTTCCTTTCTGTTATGCTTGGAGATGTTACAGAAACAAGCAGTTATATTATTAATTTAATTATTTTGTTGGGAAAGAGATTTATTTTTGAAGCTGACAGTGCAAATTCTTCGAATATCAAGCAATTTAAGATGTTTATTAAACGTCACTTTATTTTGGAGGGGTATACTGCTAATATGAAAGGGGATGTTGGACAGTATTTGGAAAGGTGGGAAGCATTTATTGAAGTGGAAGACTGGCATTTAACTTAAAAAAAAAAAATGGAAAGCAAAACTTGGTGTACTGTTTGATGTTTTTTTTTAATTTTATTTCCTCCTACTCTTTATTATATTATTATTTATTTAATTTGCTGATGCACTGTATGTTTTATGTTGTAATGATGTTTTTGGTGTGTGCTTGTGTTAATTGTTTTTAATTAGCTTCGTTTGTTTGTTTTTGTGATTATTACTGTTCTGTCTATTGGTGGTTTATGTCATGTTATGTTATTTTTGTTCAAATAAAAAAAAAAAAAAAGAAAAAAGCCCGGACAACCGAAGTGCATGTAGACTCCAATTGGACTTGGAGAACTCTGATTAAGACACCCAGATAATCCGATTGGAATTCAATTTTCTCTACCATGTAACCAGCGTAGTTGGTGTATGATCGGACAATGCATGTGCGCATGCATGTGCGCACACCTCCGTAACCCTGGAACAAAAACACCAGAGAAGAAGTGGCGCTATCATTTTAAGAACTTTCGACTCAGAAGCAACTGCAACATGGCTGAAGCACGGAAGAATGTCCACTTTTGGAATGATGAGGAGAGAGCCGTTATGATTTATGTCCTAACAGAAATGGATATTTGAAAGTAAATGGATGGTCGCAAAGCAAGGAATGGAGACATCTTTAAAAAAGGTCCGGAAACAGCGCCACTGAAAGACCCATATTGCCCCCTCGTTTTGGGGAAGAGGACACGTTCACGTCAATGATTTGATTTTCTCAGCTTCATGAAGAGAGAAGAAAAAAACTAATTATGAGCTTAGTCCAATTAAAGGTGGAGTAGTCAGGACCTGAGGAAGCTCCAGGACATCACGTCGTGTTTAGATCCTCGCTCGTTTTCTGACCGTTTTGCCTCAGCCCTTTTTTTGGAAACCTCTGCCTTTGCTGACTGTCTTACTCTGTACCAACCTCTGCCTGTTCTACCTGCCTGTTCGACCTGCTGGTGTGGTGATTTGTGTCCACACATCCTGAGTCCTGTTTCATGACAGTTTTCCTCCTGTCACATGACAAACACACTCAGAGACTCAGTTTGTCGTTTATTGAAACTTTACACAGGATTAACACAGCGGGGGGGGGGGGGGGGGGGGGTCTCCATAGCAACAAGTCACACACATCATCATCGTCATCACTGTCAACACCATCGCCATGGTTACTGATGCTGGATAGAATATCATCACACAGGATACATCACAGAGGCAGAGAGGAGAGTCACAATGAGGAACGACAGAACGAAGGAGGAGAGAAAGAGAAGAGGAGAGGAACAAAAGCAGTGAACATTAGGAGAAAAGAGGAACAGCAGCTATAAGAGGTCAGAAGACGGAGAGAGGGGAAAATAAATAGACAAAAAGTTTAAAAAGTGATTAAAAAAAGACGGTATGAGGTCAATTTAAAGAAAAAGAAACATAAACCGAAAAATAAAGAGGTAGGTCTGAGGAGTGATGGGGAGGAAAGAAAGAGATCTAATAGAGCGATTGAAAGAGAGAAAAAGAGGAAGTTTGGACAGGTGATGCAGGTGAAAACACACACACACACACACACACACACACACACACACACACACACACACACACACACACACACACACCTGTACAGGAGAACAGGAAGTAGAATCACACTGATCATCAGTTACTGTACAACACGAGCAGAAAACACGTCACCATGCGGAAGAAGATACCGACGCTAAAACACACTGCCACTTTCCGAGAAAGAAAAAAATAAAGAACAAACAAAGAAACGGCGTTTTCCTTAATTTTCAGACTCAGAAGATTTTTATTATTAAAGCTGCTAACAGCTGCAGCTGATTGGCTGAGAGCTGAGGGGGCGGGAAATACACTGCAGGTGTTAGCTAACAGAAACGTCCGTCTGAAGAATCAAAAACATTTACTCCAACTAGGAGACAAGGAGGTAGGAAAGTTCCTTTGAGGCGGCTGTATTAATTTGTGACTCTAGTGTGTTTGTTAGACAAGATTCGGTGAAGCAGGTGTTAGCTTACCACAGAGCCCTATTATCAATTTAAATCTTGTTAACCAATCATCAATCACTATTCTGTTAGCATAGCGCCACATTGGTATGTTGTAGGAACCAACAATTAATGCATAAATCACAACTATGAAAAAAGAAAACTGTGTCCTATATGACGTATACTGTAACCAAGCTGCTGTTAGCTAACAATGTTGTAGCTGAGTCTCTAACCTCGAGTCTGACCTGCTTCGTTCGGCTAAAATAAGTCTGTTCACCAAGTTAGCGTGGTTAGATTGCCGTGACGTGACAGCTTTGAATCAAACCCCGAATAACTCAACGAGTCTTGGTACTCCTACTGTTCTGGGACTCTGGTGCAGTTTGTTTAGTCTGCAGCCAGTTGCTATTTGGGTAACTGAGTAATAAAAGTCATTATTCGTAACAACTCTGCGACTCCAAAACAGCAAGTTAACCTTTACGCCTCCTCAAAGCTGTAATTCATGCTAACAGTGAAGCTATCTCAGCTGGGACTCTGCATTTTCACAGTCAGTCCAAATTTAGAAAAGTGTGGTCACCAGCATTAAGACAAAACTAAAACCAATTGGAAGAACCAGTAAAACCCACTCGCTGTGTTTGTGTTTGGATTAATGCTGCGGTTGAGTTACTTCGGAAGCCAGATGTCTAAGCTGAAAATGACATCACACCCGAGTTCCCAGCATCTGTTACCAAGTCAGAAAAAAGCAAAATCGGAGGCCTAAAAGAAGATGGTTACGTCTATGAAAATTATTTCAGCGCTTGCCTTATATTCGGACAGGTCCAGCTCTGACATAACTTTCGTAGATGTAGCCATCTTGTTTCTGCCTCCGATTTTGCTTTTTCTGACATGGTAACTGAAAAGCTGGGAACTTGGGTGTGAAGTCATTTTCAGCTCGGACTTGTGACTTCCGAGGTAACTTGAACGCAGCGTAAATTCTTGATAATTCTGACAGACGTTAGTGCAGCGCGCTAAGACCAGGGGCGTGTCCACATCCATGGGCAGAAGGGTATCCCAGCGAGGGCGTGACTCGTAAAGGGGCAGAGATTCATGTTTGTACGATCACCGGCACAGGAATGAGAAGAATTTATTGACTTTTCCTTCTCCCCCAATCATATCTACTCTTGGGGTGGCCACTCAGACTGAAAGGAGGGCCCTGATTGCCCCTCTGGACACGCCCTTGCTCTTCGACTCGCCAAAGCAGGAAGGTCAACAAACCCATCGATCAAACACTTGAACGGGAGCCATTTTGGATCCAGTTTCCACATGAAGCTTGATCAAGACTGGGTTAACCGCGCCTCCAGGATGACATCACTTCCTGTGTTGATATTTACATGCAGCAAGACAAACGGGAAACAGCTGGAGGTGATGCTGGTGGACGCAGGGCTGATTGTTTTGATCTGGTTTCATTTGAATCAGTGTGAACCCAGTCTGAACAGCTCCATGATAGGCTGATGTGAACCTGGTCGTTGGGGGCGGGGCATAGCGAGGGGGGTGGGTCAGAATAGGAAACATCAACAAACAGTTGAGTCTATATTATATATCTGTTCAAAGTGATATCTATACAACACAAACATTCATTCTCTCCACAGATTATGTTCTTTAATATGAATAACTCTTATAAACAGCATCGCTTCTTTGCAGCCTTCCTATTGGTCGGTTTTGTTGTTGTTATTGTTTTGGTGCTTGTTTTCAAGTTGTGGGTTGTTTTCTATAACTCTCTTCTTATCGTTTACACATCGATTCATTATAGTGAACATCTAACCCCCCCCCCCACCACCACCCCACCCTTTCACTTTACAGACAGACAGGAGTGTTGCATTGTGGGTAGGTTGCAGGCGACCCACTGTTGGTTCACTCCGACGTTTTCTGTGAAGGAAACACAAACACGACATTTAGTGAAGCTCCGATCGAAGCTAATGACACTGTGGCCCAATCCCAAACCGACCCCTACACACTCGCCCTTCACTACCGAGTGTCACTTGTAATGAAGTTACACTCGCAGCTGTGGAGTGCGCCTCAATTGAAATGGGAGGGTATAAACAAGACGGGCAGGTATGGGACACCCTCCTCACTCCACTGGAAAATGGAAAGATTCATTGCCATAGTAACATAAGGACGCGTCCTGTGCAAGGCAGCGTTTATTTTCTTAGTAAACGGACATCGTGTTCCGTTCTGAGCCATCTGCCTCGTTTCTTCATCCTTCCAGTAAAATCATAAATCCATTAACAACCATTACAGTGACAGGAGCTAAATTATGCTTCTGATTGTTAGTGATTCCACACGTCTTTGAACCCCTTTACTATTTGACATGTGCCTGCACAATCAAAACAAATGTCAGCACAGAGTAGGATTTCGGACTTTCTTTTGATCTTTCCAAACCACGTCTTCTGTGTTTTTTTTTTTTTTTTTGTCAGTTAGACAAAGGTGGACACATACGGAACTTATATTTGTATGTTGTTTCCTCCTCCTCCATTTTTGCCGGCGCACTACCTGCAAATCCTGCCGTGCGTAAGCATCGGTGCAGACTCGCTGTTGAAGGGCTGAACAGTCCACTCGCCCTCCACACTCTGTTGTTTAGGACAGCCTTCAATATGGCGGAGCCTCCGCGGGGACTCGCAAACAGAGGGAGAGTGTATAGGGCAAGTGTTTAGGGGGCGGTTTGGGATTGAGCCTGTGAATCTTCTCACTCTGTACTTCCTGTGTGACTCACCTGCTGCCTGTCAGCTCACATCTGATTGGAGAAGGAGGTGGGCGCCCCCTGCTGGCCATAGCCCTGACCGTATTCTGCATCCTGCAGGAAACACAACCATACAAAAACACTGTCATAATGTGTGTGTGTGTGTGTGTGTGTCTTTGCTGGTATTTGTTCTCCTTATTTCTGTCTTTGAAACAGTCTATCAGTCAGCAGCTGCTGAGCGGACAGGGTCCAGTCTTTGGTCTGGATCAATATTCTGGATTAATTATTCTGTCTGGACGAGGATTCAGTTTTTGTCAGGTCACCTCTGTTTGAATCCCTGAATGGCCCAAACTAACCCGCCCTAGAATCAATTCTTATTTTCATCTCAACCATTAATGAAACATTGGGGATGCAGACAGCAGCTACAGGCTGTTAGGGAGGACTTACTGATGCTCAGTTCAGTAACTGTGGCTTTTTATGCTGGCTGTACCTACAAATCCAACTCCAAAAGGACCTAGTCCAAATCTTGTGTCCCTGGAGTCCAGGTCCTGGGTATCTTACACATCTGTGAAGGCTCCATTAAAGGGATATTCCGGCATGAAATAATTTAGGGTCAAACACACCATAACACCGAGTTAGACACCCCCTGCAGAGATGAATGTTGCCGACCACTTGCTTCTCTAGTTATACCAACTTTAGTAACGACCGCAGGATAGCAATAAAAAGCGGTCTGAGGAGCCATAAACAAACACCAACCAAAACGCCACTCTATAGCCACAAATAATGCTCAGAACAGCACCTAACTTCATCAACAGGACATACAGGGTCCCAGCCATAGTACTAGCCACCAAACATCTTTTTAACTTTGACTAATTTCTTTAGCAAAGAGACTAAACACAACTCACCTTCTCTCTTCCAGCAGACGCTTGTTCATAGCGAGACCTCAGGCCAGTCCATTGCGGACTACAGCGGGGTGACGCAGCTCAAGGAAGAACATTTATTACCATTTCTTTATCATTTCCTTGAAGTAAAAATCACCATATTAATCATTTTTCACTGCAGATGTGGTAGTTCTTCTGCCTTAGCGTCTCGGTCTGATTGTATTTCCATGAAGAAATGATCATAAATGTTCTTCCTTGAGCTGCGTCACCCCGCTGTAGTCCGTAATGGACTGGCCTGAGGTCTCTCTACAAACAAGCTGCTGCTGGAAGAGAGTAGGTGAGTTGTGTTTAGTTTCTTTTCTAAAGAAATGAGTCAAAGTTAAAAAGATGTTTGGTGGCTAGTACTATGGCTGTGACCCTATATGTCCTGTTGATGAAGTTTGGTGCTGTTCTGAGCATTATTTATTGCTATAGAGTGGCGTTTTGGTTGAGGTTTGATTATGGCTCCTCAGACCGCTTTGTATTTCTATCCTGTGGTCGTTACTAAAGTTGGTATAACTAGAGAAGCAAGCGGTCGGCAACATTCATCTCTGGAGAGGGTGTCTAACTTGGTGTTACAGTGTGTTTGACCCTCACTTAATTTTGCGTCGGAAAATCCCTTCAATGCTGACTAATATCTCCAGGTTTAGGAGCATCAGGACTCATGGGTTTAATATCACTTGTCCGTAAACTGTCCTGAGGTCTGATGAATCCAAATCTAACACTTTTTTGGAAAGGACAACTGGACTTACAGGCGAAATGTCCCAAGTAAGTCCAGTTGTCCTTTCAATGCAGAACTGGAAATTATAGATGCTGCATCCTCAGTTTTAAACAGTATCTCCAGGTTTAGGAGCAACATCTGCTGCCATTCAGACAAAGACTTTTTCAGGGAAGACCTTCATATGATCCCAAACCACATTCTGACAGCAGGGATTACAACAGGGTGAGTCCTGCTGAGGAACTGGACTAATGCGGTCCTGACTGAAAACAAAACTATCCACCTTGTAACACAGGAGGTAGAGGAGCATCTATGCTGCTGCTGCCTGATCCATGCAGCGCTGCCTCATAAGTAAGGTTCGGTATTGTTAGATTTTGAACAATTCCGATTTCAATTCCTCATTTCGATTCCTATTCCTATCGATTCTCTATTTCGATTCTTTTAAAAAGCAGGATAAAAAATGCATGGTTTAAATAACGGTGCTAACTGGAGTTCTTCTTTTTGGATGAAATTTCTTAACTTCTCCATGAATTTTCAAATTCTATTAACTTTTTAAGAACCTTACTATGAATTTCTCACAGGGCTGTTTTCAACCAGTATATAAATATCAGTTTTTGTTGTCAGGTCGTTTGTCTATGAAAAATTACAAGGGCTAACGTTAGTTGGATATTTAAGTTGACACAGTACAAATAGTTTGCTGCTTCAAAGTTATCAAAGGACAGAAGTAGTTTATTGTTTCACTTATCTGATTCTGGCTGGTTAGCGGAAGACAGATGTTGTGCTGTAGAATCAGTGGTGGCTGCTGGTCTTTCAAGGAGGGGAAGCTCATTTTTCTGGCCTACATCATAATTGTGTTTGTTTATTTGTATGTAACAGAACAGAGTCGCCAAACACAACGGCAGTCGTTTTTAACAAAGACAAAAGTCGCTGAGGATCGGTAAAGTCTCCGGAGCAGTTAAGAACAACGGAATGAATAACTTGGAAAATGCTCTGGTAGATGTTTTATTCTTCAAGATCGCTGATTCGCTTGTTTAGCTGTCAATCAAAAAAGGATTTCACCTCAGACAGCTCATCCAATCATGGATGCAGAAGCTCGGAGTCCGGGAGAAAGTCGGGACTGCCCTCTCGCCATCGAACTCCAGAGAAGCTGAGCGTCCGATGGGCGGGACAAAGCCCAGCATTTATCCAATGAGCGTCTAGTTTCGCTGCTGGAACAACCCACTTTGAGCTTCCACATTGAAGTCAGCAGACGCTGAGCGTCCGGCTGTGTAAAGCGCTGAGGCGCTGCGAGGATGAATGAGAACGAAGTTGTGCAGAATCAGCTTCTTATCACAGTGTGATAAGAAGCTGATTCTGAACAAAAGTTGAAGGCTTTCTAGCGCGTATTTAGTTCATGACATGTACACACAGCAGTACGTATTTCACCACTTTTTCTTTTTTTGGGGGGGGTGACATTTTAAGGGAAGCTGAGCTTCCCTTGCAGTCTTAGAGCAATCGCCCCTGCCGTAGAATGCCTCCCCTCCACTCATTAGCTTCTTAGTGGAAGACAATGATCTCATATTTAAAAAAAAACACGAGTATTAGATCATGACAACATGTCAAATGGAGCAGCAAACTTTCATTTTGTTTTTATGTGTCTCAAAAATGCGCATATCGAGATGTACTTGGGTGTACAAACTCTACAGTAAGCTGTCAAGGTAGAGAACATTATATTTTCGGGACAGCAAATATCCTTAATCAGAGGGCTGTTGTTTTCGGCTTATCTGAATAGCCTGAATGAAATCATCAAAGGCACACACCAATCCGTCCAAGGGTAAGGAAAACTTGGATTATTTCGCCTTATGTACTTTCAACCGCGCTTCCGTCAGGGGGGCATTCTATGGCAGGGGTGCATTCTACCACACAACACCAGTGAAGCGCGTCAAGAGACAAGCACTCGGGTATTTCTCCTCCATGAATCCTGAGGTGTTTAATCATGTTGGACGTTCACCTTCCTTTACATGATATAACTGTATTGCTAATGTTGCACTGAGATAAGAGCTCATTCTTCCAGCTCAAGTTAGTCAAACTTTTGACCAACAAAGAAGAAGCCGCCGAACACTAACAAGGACAGAGCGTATGAGACGAGGCCACACAGAGAGAGGAGAGAGACAGAGAGAGAGAGAGAGAGAGAGAGAGAGAGAGAGAGAGAGAGTGCATTACAACCCTCAGCAGCTGCATTGCTGTGGGTTGCAATGCACTCTCTCTGTCTCTCTTCTCCCTCTGCGGCTTCGTCTCATACGCTCCGTCCTCGTTGGTGTTCGGCGGCTTCTTCTTTGTTGGTGTTCGGGGGCTATTTCTTCCGGTCGGTGGACTCCGGCATCGAAACTTGAAATCGAAATTTTAAAATTTGAATGATACCGGGAGAATCGAAATGTTCGTCCCGGTCCCCATCGATACTCGATTCTCGATACCTAACCCTACCCATAAGTGACTGTTGAACCCTCACCTGGTTGTATCCCTGCTGGTTGTAGTCAGGTTGGTAGCCTCCCTGATTGCTTGCGTAGGGGTCTTGTTCGTATCCACCCTGCTGGCCATAGGCATCTGGTGCAGCTGCTTTGTCCTGAGGAGGCGGGGCTCGCATAAAGGGGGCGATGATGCCCGTCTCCTTAAAGACGAACCAGAGGTTTCCCACCCACAGGATCAGGTTAATGAAGCCGAAAGCCTGTGAGAGAAGAGGGACCATTTTCGATTTGGCGGCTCAACAGAAACAGAAATGTATGATGGGATAGCCCCTGTGGACCAGGGGCCCCTCGGTCCAGACGCCTTTCTTCAGGTGGATGCAGAGTGAGCCCAGACACGTCTTTCTGTGTTGAGTCCACGCAGACATGTCTAAGTCTATATTCTCAGGGAGGTTCTTACCACAGAGGTGTTGAGTCCAGACATGACCGGGTCGTGGACTTCACGGCAGCGGTTCCCTGCCTCATCGCAGGCTGGGATCAAAGTGATGACTTCATCGGGGTCAGTTGCCGTCTTCACATCAGACAGACCTTTGGCCCAGGCTGCCGAACTCACCAACCACATGAAGGCAAACACGGCGGTCACACCCAGGTCCTGAGCACACACACACACACACACACTCAGTTATGGGGCTTTTAGAGCTCACCTGGCTCACCTATCAGAGAGACGATCTGAACTCTGAACTTACAATTAGCGGTCCTTTGTTGTTCTCCTTGTACTTCTCAAAAAAGAAGATGTAGATGCTGAGAGCCGCCGTGGAGTAGAGGAAGGCGAACACGCCGATGGTGACAAAGAACTCAGCCGAGGAGGAGTAGTCGCCAACCAGGAAGCATCGGTCCGTGTTCCCGTTCTTACAGGTAGGGGCATCGAAATACACCTGGTGAAGTCTGTAAGAGGAAACAAGAGAGGGGTTTAAGAAGGGGGTGTCCAACACGACTCACAATCATTTCACTGACCGACAGACGGAGCATATGTGAGTCTGTGAGACCAATACAAGCAGACTGGGAATAACTTTGAGTTACCCTCAATTTCCACCGCATCCGGATTGGCTACAAAAAGGTCGTACCCTCTGATCTTAGCTGATCGTAACCATTCAAGATAAAATATCAATTTCCACCGGCTTCTTTCCGTTCCTCTGCGGATCGCCGGACTCCACATTCGGCTTCTTTACAAAATAAAACACTCCTTGTTTCAGACGGATCGTATTTCACACCATGCAAACGGGCGGAGACGAACAATTTAAAGGTTGATAGACGTCATTTCACCCCGATGACACCACGAATGAGGAAATGCTGATTCTAGAAGTCGAGAAGTAGATTTCCTCCTCTAGAAGGACACAATCTATATGGTTATCTGGCTTTACAGGGACAACTCGTTATTGTGTGATTGCATGTGAATCCGTGGGTTCTTGTGAGTTCCTCGCGATTCCTGCTGTCCGTAATCTGCCACGAAATTCACCTCACAAACGGACCCAGTAGAAATTGGTGGGCGGGGAAAATCGCAGCCGTTCCGGATGCAGTGGAAATTCAGGGTTAAAGTTAATTTTCACTTCACTCTCTCTGTTTTTATGCGCACAAGCCCAGTCATGGGCTGGGGATCATGAGAGTCCATGTCTGCAGGGATTACAACAGCATGGCTCTGTAGTCGAAGCAGACAGTGGGCTGAAGTGGGAAACTTTCCCGTGGTCTGATAAATCATGGATGTCAGAGGAGCAAACCTGGGACAACATTTCACTTTCATAAATTCACTGTCAGCTGAGTGTGTTTGGGGTCAAAACTGACCTGAATGGGTACTCAAACTCCACCTCTATACTCAGGTCACTGTCTGTGCGGTTCTTGCACTCCACTGAGAGCCTGAACATCCCAGAATAACTCCCACAGGTGGAGAAGGCAAAGATGGCGAAGAACTGTAAGAGGAGACAAGAATTAGTCTTAATGAAGACACCGACCTTTATTCCCTCATAATGTCTCAGCCTGATGACTGAAGTCAAGTCTTGTCAGTGGTTATCCAAGATAATTAATGTTAGGGGGACAGGGGATAAACAGAAACAATCTGTGCAGGTTCACTGTGGATTAAATTAGACGTTTTTTGAATGAGGTTTGGTTGAAATGGAGGAAAAACAAAGACTGGACCTCCTGCAGGATCATGACTCATCAGTACTTCTATCTATAGAAATTCAGAGAGGAAGCTGGAACTGAGGGGGGTGATCAATATCATCGCCCTTATCTTCATCCTCATCTTCATCACCCAGAACACCAACTGTGGATTCTAACTCCAGGGTTCAGTTTGAGGCTCAGTCCTGAAACTCCTGCTGCTCTACTTTTTATTAGAGCAGGAGAAGCTACATGCTAAAGCAGAAGCTTCATACACACACACACACACACACACACACACACACACACACACACACACACACAGAGAGAGCAGATGGTCACAGTCAGACTTTCTGTTCAATCCCTGCTTGGTTCTGTGAGTGTGTGTTTGTTCGTGTGTGTGTTTGCTGCACAGGAAGGTTCATTGTGATGCTGAAGGGCACTTTAACAGGAGGCCTTTTAACAGCCGCCCCTTACACACACACTCTGTTCATGCAATGGCGTGGAGGTGGCGTCCAAAACCTCTGAGTTTGGAGTGGAAGTGGGAGTGGGCTATTGGGACCTCACACACTGATACTTGTTTATGAACCTGGCTCACTATTATTGTTGTTCATTCATCCATCATCTATCCCATTCAGCCTATTCAGGGTTGTGGAGGGGCCTGGAGCTCCGCTTTCAGTGGACGGGAGGCAGGTACACCTGGACAGGTAACTTGTCTGTCTGTCACAGGGCTGGTATGTGGAGACAAACAGCCATCCATGTGAAAACAGCTCTGTATGAAGAAACTGAGCGACTCTATCTTCAGAATTCCTTGAGGTTTACAGATTTACCTCTAGCCTTAGTTTAGTGAGAGTTCAACTCTTTGAAAGTAAACTGATGAGCGATCAGGTCCCTGCAGGGGCGGGTCCAGACTTTTGACAGGGGTGGCCAGGGTGTCTCTGCCCTCTGATTATTAACATGTATGCCCTCTCTGTCTTGAAACACTACCATTCAAGCGTTGCAGAGATAAAGCATTCCAGTGTTGACTTTTTTTAGAATAATATAAAGCAAATGTGCATGTTTCAAGGGATATTCTGGCGCAAAATTAATTAAGGGTCTAACACACTGCAACACCGAGTTAGACACCCCCTCCAGAGATGAATGTTGCTGACAGCTTGCTTTTCCAGTTATACTAACTTTAGAAACGACCTCAGGGTAGCAATACAGAGACCCACGCGTTCAATTAAAACGCCACTCTATTGCCACAGATAATGCTCAGAACAGCACCTAACTTCATCAACAGGACATATAGGGTCACAGACATAGTACTAGCCACCAAACATCTTTTTAACTCTGACTAATTTCTTTAGCAAAGAGACTAAACACAACTCACCGTCGCTCCTCCAGCAGCCGCTTGTTTGTAGCGAGACCTCAGGCTAGTCCATTAGGGACTACAGCGGGGTGGCGCAGCTCAAGGAAGAACATTTATGATCTACCAAACTACCACATCTGCAGTGCAAAATGATTAATATGATTATTATTACTTCAAAGAAATGATAAAGTAATGATCATAAATGTTCTTCCTTGAGCTGCGTCACCCCGCTGCAGTCCGTAATGGACTGGCCTGAGGTCTCGCTACAAACATGCGGCTGCTGGAGGAGCGACGGTGAGTTGTGTTTAGTCTCTTTGCTAACGAAATTAGTCAAAGTTAAAAAGATGTTTGGTGGCTAGTACTATGTCTGGGACCCTATATGTACTGTTGGTGAAGTTAGGTGCTGTTCTGAGCATTATTTAAGGCTATAGAGTGGCGTTTTGGTTGAGGTTTGTTTATGGCTCCTCAGACCGCTTTGTATTGCTATCCTGTGGTCGTTACTAAAGTTGGTATAACTAGAGAAGCAAGTGGTCGGCAACATTCATCTCTGGAGGGGGGGTCTAACTCAGTGTTACGGTGTGTTTGACCCTCAACAATTTTTACGTTGGAATATCCGTTTAATGCTGAAGTATACTGATTTAAACTTGTGGTGAATACAGTGCACGTCTGTGAGGTCATTAACCTCTTATGCAGGCACCAATCAGAGCAGCACAGCTGGAGCGCTTTTGGACCTTCGCACATCAACGTCTTTCTGTGGCAGGATGACGTGTGCAGTCCTGGTTTCATGGATGTCACAAAGACAGTGTTGTGTAGTATTTAGTGCTGTAGGTGTGATGGACTCACCCATTGTAAGGCCTTGATGAAGCCCAGAGGAACCTTCAGCACCCTGAACTGACCCTGAGCCACCAGCTGCACAAAAACACAAACACATAAGTCTCAGTGCACCGCTCTGAATAACAGACTCACTGCTGTAACACTAAAAAAATGAAACACCTAAAAACCCTTAAAAACACCTTAAAAACATTTAAAACACCTCTAAATTACAGTCAGAGTTTCACTGAGATGAACCAGAAAAATAAAACATAAAGACAGACTACCAGCACACCATGATTAACGAAGAGGAAACAATCAACCAATCAAACTTTATTTATAAAGCACTTTTCATACACAGACTGTAACACAAAGGTTTGTCCATTCAAGCGGGATACTAAAATACAAACACAGAACTAAAACCTCTCTGTTGTTTCCTCATTTAAAAGCTCAAACGAGTTAAAATTAACAGCATTACGTTTTTAAAAATGTGACCTGATAAAATCGATTTTACTTCTGAAGTGGACGTTAAGGTCTTCACGTGACAAATCAGAGCTAAAAGGTTGGTTCATTGGTCAATGGTTGAAAAAAGGACTTTCGCGTTATTGTGACTCACTGTGATTGATTTTGAAAAATGCTCCAGTTGTGTTTGTTTTACTGCCTTGTTGTGAGTGATTATTTCACAAAATATCTGATAGTTAACTGTTAGTTTGTTTTTCCTCCATCTTCTTTCAGCAGTTCTGCATTTTCTTTTCAAACTGAGAACATCATTTGTTCACTTCGGAGGTTTTATGCTTGTTTTAATTTTTTTTTATCTTGAGAGGTGCAACAACATCAAGTGCTGCTGTGAGTTTCTGGTTAAAATGGGATTGTGGCTGATGTGTGGGAACCAATCACGCTCGTGCTATGACCCAGGGGGACATCAATAGTAGTGGAACTGATAAGAGGGAACAGCATAGATATCTATAAGAAATGCTTAGATGATTCTTTGAGGCAGAGTCACTGCCGTCCCTACACGACGGCTATCTTACTCCAGTATACCATTCTGGTTCGCTCTATGGTAGCTGACGGGAGGTGAGTAATCTGCATGATCACAAATACTCTTAACTCGCTGAAATCTTGACAGACTTACAAATGGTTTTGTTTATTACAGACCTTCATGATGTGGCTATGAGTTGGGATGCTTGGACATATCAAAATGGCAGATTTACTTTAAGAAAAAAAGACTTAATCATGAAGCAGAGTTGTTTCTAACTTTGAGTCGCTTTGTCAAGGCTGAGACCACAATCGAGATTTTAATTTCTTGTATGACAGTCTATTTTTATTTATTCATTTAGTCTAAGTGTCAGTCTTTGTGGATGTGCTTGTGTTTATCAGCTGTCTAACTTGGCTAACAGACTCGCTGTGAGTGAGACCAAGTACATATTACAAAGTTGACCCAGTAATTTGACATCAGTTAAAGAGGCAGAAATGCTCTTTTGATTCAACATAACTGAAGTTTTACATGATTTCCAAACTGTTTGGTTTGTTAAAAACATCTAAAATGGCAAAATGAGGCAGAAATTTATATTGAAAATAAATATTCATATATATGTTGTTGCTATATGTTATAATAGTTATCCCTATTATAGAAATATTACTAATATAACATACATGTAATGATTAAATGTTTTATATATAAATGATTTAGTATAGCTGCCTTGTGTGTGTAGGTCTACATCTATCTGAAAATCCATGGTTAAAATTATTCTTGAGTATGCAGGAACATACCCAAAACCCTGAGGTTTGTTACAAACCAAACCGTTTGAAAATTGGTTAAAAATGAAGCAATCTTTGGTTATTTAAATTCTACATGCACCGTAGACTGGAATGTTAGGAGTGGGCGAGCGTCTCGTAGCAAAATGGCTGCCATGCGTATACGTCGGTCTCCATTGGCTAACAGTGTGAGTAAGCCATTAAGCGTTTATAAATATATCCATATCTATGATTGACAGGTGTGTGGTGATTTGTGGTGACTAGAGAGTGTTGCACGTGGGTGGAGGACGCCATGAAAAATGTTTCCTGTGAGCAGTTTTGCCCGCAGACAATTGGGATGAACACCGTCACCCCTAAGAAGATTTCTCCTGCACCTGAACAGGTCAAAGTTGTCGATGTAGTCGATGTCGATGTAGTTGACACCATGGGTGGCAGGTTGATGACCGCCAGGTGTGCAGTGCCAGCAGCCGGCTGAAACGCCCACAGCCATGGCCAACGAAGGGAATGAGGCTGGATATCTGGATGTGGTTCACAGATCTCTGGAGTGTCGTGGTTAAGTGGACCAAGTCCGCTTTCAGGAGCTCAGACTGCTGCCTGTGGATGTCACTTTGTACTGATGTGGATTATGACTGTGGTGATTCCTGGTCTGGTTGCGGTGACTTCAGTGGTTTTACTGGTTTTGTTGCAGACTGTAGCTCCAGGAAAAAAACAAGTTATCGCTGAGCCCGATCGGACATTCGGGATTATGGAGTCCCCTATCACCAGAGTGGTAGGCTGGGGCTGTGGGTCACTTGGCTCTGACTGGACCCTGTGACAGGGGCTTCGGTGATGCTGGGACAGGATTGGCAGAAGGCTCCAGGTTATTGGATAGTTTCTTGTTCATCTTTCTCAGTACCTCGAACCTGCTCCCAGCTGGATTGTCCTTGAGGGAGGAGAAGATCCAGATGGAGGAGTTCGGGAGTTGTTCCGACAAGGCTTCTTACCCCGAATGATGGTCCAAGGTTCCCGGGACGCAGGTGTGGAACAGTCCGGAACTTTCGGTTTCGCACCAAGCCGAGGCCAGTCCTGGTCATCTTCCTGGATGGACTTTCAGCGCACATAAGGGGGGCACCGAGTCGGAGATGAGGGACGGGCCAGGCCAGGGCAGAGTGGCGTCGTTGGTGGAAACCCGACCATCCAGTTCGGTTCTTTTCTGGGATAGCCAAAAGCATCCAACACCGTCCGGTGGAGAGTTAAGTGGAGGCATTATGTTGCCTTATATTTGTTGTGAAACAAATGTCTGTCCAGGTGTGATAGGTCCATTTCGAGTCTGAAATCTTAAAACCGCAGCATAGAGAAAACGTCACCTTTGGTGTCACACTTTGGTGCCAGACCTTAGAAAGTGCATGAAAACAATAAAAACAGTCAAATGTTCACTTTAAAATGATTGCAAAGAACACAAATTCTGGCCCAATCATTCAGTAGCTACAACGGCGTCTGACCAGACAGACATGTTAATATTAGAGATACAATAATGTCATCAATATGCATAAATGTGTGATATAACCCAGAACATCAGCAACACAAAAATACCAATGAAAGGAGTTTTTTTAATTCACATCCAACAGCTTCATCTGAGGAAATACAAATCTGTTTATACTATTAAACAAGGAATCAGGAAACAGACCTGAGGTCAGTCTGATCCCCTTTAAATACTAAAAACACTGATAACCGGACTGACAGATGCTCCAATGTTGTAACAAACACGTCGATATGAGCTCTCAGGTTGCTCTGCTGTTTTCAGTCTGATCAGATCCAATAATCTGACCTCAGATCAGCTACCATGCCGACAGCATCCATTAAAAAAGTCTGTAAAAAAAGACCAATTAAGAAACACAATTAATGTGATCAGTGATCTGAGCTGAAGAGGACAGAGATGAACGTTTTGACTTTGAATAGATGGAAATGAGGAGTAAAGTGAGTAAATATAAATGTTGGAGTTAAAATAGAACGTGGCTTTTTAAGGATGACTGATCAATCTCTCAGCACAGACTGACAGGTAAATATTATCATCATCATGGAGTAAGATAAAAAACACATCAGCTTTACAGCCCTTTAATGACTTATTAACAGCCTGAACCTTAACAGTGTTTACCTTTGATTGATTGATTGATTAATTGATTGATTGATTATGTTCAAAAAGGAGTGGGAAGAAGTCGAGACCTATCTAGTCCCACCCCTCCTCCTACACTAATGGTTTAAATAAATATCATAGTAATATTAATCATGATAATAATAATAGCAATAGAAATAATCACCACAGTAAAAATAACAAAACAACAACAAAACAATAATGATAATAGCAACTATGATTGTACATCCCTGTATCCTGTGGATATCCTTTGGAGTAAATATTTTTGTTGCAGTTAAATTGTAGTTTTTCAGTAAATGCAGTGATGTTTTAATAATATTGAAGTCAACACTGCCATTATATTGCAGTAATAGAGCAGTCAAATACCAGTAAACCAGTACTGTGTTTATATTGACGTAATTTTGAATGATTAGTGCAGTTTAACAAAGTTTTTTTTTTAATGAGCAGATCAGGAATACTGCATTTCTGTAGCAGTATTACTGCTGTGATTTCACAGTGATGAAGCTGTGTTTGAGGAATGTTGCTAGAAACTGTTTCTCTCTCGGTCTCCATCTTATGACTACTTCTGGAGGGGAGGAGGAGGAGGTGATCCCGTGTGAAACTGGGTTAAACTGGGTTATTACCGGGATAAAACACGGGAAGGTTCGGTTTGAAAACGACAAGAAAGAGCAGAACCAGTTCGACCCGCAGAAACAACAACAACATCAGCATCATCACTGCACCCTCCTCCTCCTCCTCCTCCTTCGGCTGCCATTTTACACACACACACACACACACACACACACACACACACACACACACACACACACACACACACACACACACACACACACACACACACACACACACACACACACACACACACACACACACACACACACAGCAGTACAGTATTTCATCACGCAAACAGGAGCAGGTTAAAGCCTGGTGTTTTTTCGGTCGGTCGTCCTGCAGACAGCGCACAGGGTAAAGAGCCCACATTCCGCCGCGCATCCAAGTCAGCACCTCCTGCAGTAAGAGCCCCGCACACCCTCAGAAACCCCGAAAAGATCTCCTTCCAGCACCCCCCAAGTCAAATATCAGACCGAGATCAAATCAGAGAGAAATCCTCCTCCGGTCTGAGATTTGACGGTTATCTGTCCGTCCGCTCCCTGTCTCATCCCTCCGTGCTGCGGCCCGACACACCGAGGCTCCACCGCAGACAAACACAAACATGAATCCCGAATCACGACACGAACACACCCTGAGCGGTGCGCGCACACAAAGGATGAAAAGATGAATCAGAATAAAGAAAAAATGAAGGAAAGATGCTAAAGGTTTCTACCTGATTTACGACGTCCATCCTGCCGCCTGTCGAGTGCAGAGAGAGGAGATGGAGGGAGGAGGGGGGAGGAGGAGAGGAGAGAAAGAGGAGGAGGAGAGGAAGAGAGAAGGGGAGGGGAGGGGGTCTGTAACCGCGTCATTCATTGTTTATTTATCGATAATTGGTATTCAGAGCTCAGAGTCATTAAAATAAAAATATAAAGCAGAGGAAAGGGTTAACCTCACACTGACTTAATCATATTATATAACACACACACACACACACACACACACACACACACACACACACACACACACACACAATAACTACAGCGACAGCATATCATTTTATTATGTAACAAACCGGAAGAAGCATCATTTATCAATAAAAACTGAAGCAGGAGGGGCGGGGCAGTGGCGTCTTCGCAGAAGTCGGAGGCGTTGACGTAGTGACGTTAACGGTGATGACGATAATGACGATGAGGGTGATGATGATGATGATGATGAAGGTGATGACAATGAGGGTGATGATGATGATGATGATGATGAAGGTGATGACGATGAGGGTGATGATAATGATGAAGGTGATGATGATGGTGAAGGTGATGAGGATAATGGTGATGATAATGATGATGAGGATGAGGATGATGATGAAAATGATGGTGATGAAGGTGATGATGATGATGGTGATGATAAAGATGATGATGATGGTGATGGTAATGAAGGTGATGATGATGAAAATGATGATGATGATAGTGATGATGATGGTGATGATGATGATGAAAGTGATGATGATAATGGTGATGATGATGAAGGTGATGATGGTGATGATGATGATGGTGATGATGAAGGTGATAATGATGAAGGTGATAATGATAAAGGTGATATGGATCATAATGATGGTGATGATGATGATAATGATAGTGGTGATGATGATGATGAAGGTGATGATGATGACGATGATAATGGTGATGATGAAGGTGATGATGATCATGATGGTGATGATGAGGATGATAACGGTGATGATGAAGGTGATAAACATTATGGTGATGATGATGATGATGGTGGTGATGATGATGATGATGATATGTATCATGTGATGTATAAGAAGGAGTGAAAACAGCAGACATACAGTATATTTAAACCTGTTTGAATCACAGCTGTTAAAAAAAATAAACAGTAAAATTGATCAAATTTAAGAAGCAACAGTAAATAACCACATAAAACAAATAACAAAAAAAATGAGATTTCAAAATCATAACTGTGAATTTAAGGAATATTCCAGAGTAAATAATTTAGGGTCAACCACACCGCAACACCAAGTTCAACACCTCCTCCAGAGATGAATGTTGCCGACCGCTTGCTTCTCTAGTTATACCAACTTTAGTAACGACCGCAGGACAGCAATACAGAGACCCACGCGCTCAATCAAAACACCACTCTATAACCACAAATAATGCTCAGAACAGCACCTAACTTCATCAACAGTACATATAGGGTCCCAGCCATAGTACTAGCCACCAAACATCCTTTTAACTTTGACTTATTTCTTTAGTAGAGAGATGTAGCGATTTGAATTTATAATAAATGTCTGAAGATTAATAATCTTCAATTATGACATGTATGCACTCATTGAAGGGGCACCACCCACGTTTAATGGTGGGAAAATAAAGAAAAACAAAAGTTTAATTCAGAAATCAAATGTAGTGATTTGAAATGAGCCTCATACGGTCGCACCAAAATATATGTAGCGATTTGAAATGAGCCTCGCAAGGCCGCACCAAAATAATACTTGGCGATTGGAATTTATAATAAATGTCTGAAGATTAATAATCTCAAAGTATGACATTTATGCACTCGTTGAAAGGGGCACCACCCACACTTAATGGTGGGAAAATAAAGAAAACAAAAGTTTAATTCAGAAATCAAACATCAAGTCAGTTTTAATTAATCAGTCTTAATTAATCAGTCTTAATTAATCAGTCTCATATCTTAAGTCGAAATTCTAATTTCAGGGACTCCACTTCTGGAAGAACACTAACAGACAGGAACTTAGAAAAATAATGATCTGTTTATTACAGGATAAATGATGGTACAACACACATGCAATAAATGATGATAAGATAATGAAGATAAATAATAATAGGTGAATAAATCAAGATTCTGAGTCAGACTAGGAGCACTAAAGTTAATGATAGTGAGTGAATATGCGCTAACATATTAACCTACACTAACTTTAGTGTCGAGATAAACTCGGATGTGGATTTGGAGGAATCTAAGATTACCAGAATAAGAGGATATCTGAGTTGAACGCAGGAGACAGCACCAGCCCTCTTTAGAGCTCTGGAGGTTTGCATACTTAAGTGAGACTGGTCCTTGGAGAAGATGGAGCAGGTTCCGAAGGTCCGGGCTACTGGCGGTTCGAGCGGTTCAGCTCAGAAGACGACTGAAGTCAGCCGAAGGATGAGCCCGGAGTTGCAGCACTCAGGCCCGAAGCAAAAACCAGCGCCTGTGGATCCTGTGGATGCTCGTTTGGGTACTTCTTTAGTCTCACTCAAAAACTCTGGCACAGAGGATGACCTGGGCCTGTTGGATTGCGTTCGGAGGTGACTTTGAAATCACGCAGAAAACTCAGAAAAACGAGGCTCGAAGAGCAGAGAAAACTTTCAAAAATGGCTTCGCGAAATTAAAGAAAATCAATCAAAGGCTTAATCTTGAATTACTATGTGCACAAAAAGTTGAAGTTTCAAAACTTGAACTAAGACGATGTTAAAGAAAATCAACGTGAATCAACACGTGGCGTAAAACTTAGAAGACTAAGAAAAAGTTCTAAGAGAGAACAAAGAAAAGGAGGACCACAGAAGGGTGTGGACAGAAGAGAAAGGGGCATAAGAGCCGGGGACAAGAGAGTCAGCAGAAGAGCAGAAGCATAAAAGGAAGATAAGAGGAGCATAAGAGAGTGAGCAACCCCACTTCACTGGTTTTATCTTCTCACACTGGGAGTGTCTGAGGAGAAAGAGGAGGGGTCATCGGGTCTCTGATTATTTGATCTAACTTATTCTTTTGGCTGGTAAAAGAGTCAGATCTGATACTCACTCACTATGATTAATATCATTGAATGCTTGGTTTCATGATAAATAATTTGATACTAAACACATATGAATGAAGTGTAGGATCACATCAAACATTCTCATTATGTTTTAAGTATCACATTGAACATGCTAAATTACTCTGAAATGAAACAGATAGTAACACATAGAAACTGTGAACAACAAAAGAGTAAACACATGTGAATGAACGTCATCATGATTAATAATGGATTCTAAATACTCACATTCAGATTATTCAGTGACATTATAACCACCTAATGGTTAAGATACTAAATAAATAACTAAAATATAAACCAAACATTTCTAAACTATTTCTGTTACTTAGAGTAAACTTAGGATTCATAGTCAATAAATTTAACTCTTAAAAGTTCATGAAACAGTCTGAAAAGCTGTTGGTCTAAAGAACTAAAGAATAAGGATTTATTCTGTCAGATAAGATAACTTGGCTTCTGAAGCACATAGAAAAACGGGAAACATCTCATTTTAACACAAATTTCATGATTAGACAGATTAGTACATTGCTGAATGCGTAAGATGTCATAATCAGTCATTTGTATTCTTTCACCAAAGGAATGCAGTCTTTATCAGTGTATGGTCGAGCAGGGTTTTACGACCGAGGTCTGGAGGTCAGTGTCCCCCCTTATCCTGGGGTCCGTATGTTCACACACTTTAAGACGCTAAATCTCAAATGGGAGATCTGGGTTGAGACGTTAATGTTTATTTAGATGGTCAGTAATGGAGTCAGTTTGAAAGGTAATAAAAACTCTGTCTCTGTTCGCCGAACTGACCAATCCTGAAGAGTCAGAGGTTTAGTCAACCTCCGGTTGGGTCACTTATTTAACCTGAAAGTGCAAACACGTCTGGAAAGATTTATATCCTGTTTCCTGGGACCAGATAAGGAAACTTTCCTGTAAGGAATGTGTGGGTTTCACATCCAGGGTTGTCTTGATTGCTACAGTCCCCCCTTCGTCACGGTGGTCCTGTCCATGGAGCATCGGGACGACGAGTAGACAACCATGAAGCAGCAGCAGGTGTATGCAAATAGGACTGATGCGTCTCGTCATCACTATGTGAATCACTAGTACTGCTTTGAGATAAAATTAAGCATGCATTAAGCTATCAAATAAAATCGTCTAGGTGTTAGACTTTTCTCAGTTAACTATTGGTAGACTAATGTGAAAGAAAATCTCCTAATTTTCAGTATTAATGAGATTTAGAAAAGCACTCTTTAGTCTGAATGCTAACTGGATCTAAAGCTATAGCTGTTTTTCATGCTTGCTGGAGAAGTCTGAAAGTTCAATTTCAGTTTCAAAAATGGTTAAGACTTAGGTGGAAAAGAAATGTCTGCTATAGACATGTTTAATCATCTGTGTATGAGCATAGTCAACCTGAATCACAAACATCAAAAGTTTACTGCACAGAGTTTCTCTTAAACTTTATCTGTTAAACTTGGGGATGATGCTCTTACCGGTTTGACTAATTATCTGCTGTTGAGTCTGAAATTTGTCAATCTGAGTCTTAATGACAGAAATTTCAGCTTTTAATCTATTGATGAGATATTTGACAGCTGACAAGCTGACCATATTGACAGAGGAGAGACAAATGCTAACAAAGAAAGCAGCAACTGGGGTTGCAGTCATCAATGTATCACCACAGCATTTGGATATCTTATTGGAGTCATTTAGCTTTGGCTGGGTGACTTCTGCTTTCGCAGGACTCACACCTTCATGACTCCGCAGTGTTAATCTCAGTGGTTAGCTGAGTAGTCATGTTTATTCACCTTCAAAGTGGATGAAACCGATTGAGGTGGATAATAAGATCGTCGTTTCTGAGAGTGTGATTTACTCTGATTCTGCCAGTCATTCACCCCCCTTTGGCGGTGTCGATGGTTTTTCCTTTGTCTGGGACAAAACCCACCGTGACGGGAGTCTGAATAACAACAGTTGGTCTCAAAGTTTACCGGGCATTGGTCTGTGTCAGACCTGGGCCTTGGTGTGTAACTTTGACCTTTGTGAGTTTGTTGAGGTCGAAAAGGTTTTGGAGGCCAGGTTAACCACTCATTTGGAGGCTTATCGGAGCCTGAAAAAACACAGTCTGAAGCTTCGTTCAGCTCCATGGGCAGTGATTTTGTCTCCATAGCCAAGAGAGTAACGGGCTCTGCTTTCTTAGCCAAAGTTTGTCGTTGTTTGGCAAAACCTTTTACAGCAAGTTCACGAAGCTGTCGGCTAGTCAAAGTGTT